TCAGGTCACAAGTCAATTTTAGTTAAATTGCATTCGAATTTATAACAAATCTAAATGCTTAGAAAAGAATGAAAACTATGATGGATATGAAACAAATTAAGGGCATCGTTTTTATAGAGACTCGAATTCTTTTTTGAAAAAAAGTCAGCAGTGGCACCTGTCTATCTAAACCAGGTAAAAATATACAGTAGCCCAAACGTTTTATTTCTTTTTATTAAATTCTTATAAATTTCGCCCTTTTAGAATTTTTGCATGTAGCACACTTCTTATCGCTAATTCGAAAGGAGATAGAATTTTTTCGTTGTGTATAATAGCTATCTTAATTTTTTCAAAATATTTGTACAAAAAAAAAAAATTAGAAACATGCTCTTCAAGAATGAAAAAGTAAGGATCATTATAGTTTCTATTTATTTTTCTACATTTAAAAATGTATCGATGTTGGAATCAGTGCTATTATTATAATTGCAAGCAGTGAGTATTCACTGATTTATTTTTAGAGAGAAATTTTTTTTTTATTTTTACAGTACACACGTTTCCCCACTGTAGACGGCCCCGCCTCTTCTTAATGTAATGGGAGGAGTTACTGCAATAAAAATCGCAGCATTTTCAAAATTTCAAAGTTTTTTATTTTTACTGAAAATCAAGTTTTAAACAAAAGAAACTGAATCACATCAAGGTTGGGCTTTAATTCGGTTTTCCCTCGAAAAAATCCCAAAAAGTCGTGAAGTAATTAATTTATCAGCTAATTTGCAACAATATCCAATGATTTCGGTATAAAAATAAAGCTTATTTTATGTAAAATTCCGTTATTGAACTTTTTATTTTAATTATTCATATTTTAATAAAATTTAATTAGGAAGAAAATTGTTCTCGAATTATTACTAGATTCTTTACGCATCATAGCCATTAAGAGAAAATAATTAATTATTTTTTTTTAATTCATTTTTTGCTGGAAAAAGTTATCTGCCGATGTCCTTGCCACCTTTTGTATCATAAATAAAATCATTCTACATAATAAAACGCAGTAATTAAGCATTTTAAATGTTTTATTACTAAACACTTAAATTTTCGCAGATTTGCAGTGTATAATTCACCATTTATGTATTTTTAAAGAGTTTTAAATTTCATCAATTAGAAAGATAGTTAGTTTTTTCTGTATGTATACTATTTAATTAAAATTTGCCTTTCATGAACATTTGTATAGTTAATCAAATCCCATTATTTCAACATGATTACATAAATCTTATTTAAAATTTTTAAGTTATCACTAAAAACATTAAAATGAGAATTAAAATAATTTTCTAAGGAATTTTGATCACATCGAGGACTTGAGTAAGGTTTTCTAAATTAATTTAAGGTGGAAATATTTTTAATAAGACTAATAATTTTACAAATAGAATTCAGTAATTGGCGGCAATTAAAACATCAAAGGGATCAAATATTCTCAAGTTTAAATTAAACGTTGAGTTTTGCTTAAAACAGTCATTGACTAATGTCAAAATATTTCAATATTTGTTTGAATCGAATAATACTATACAATTATGATGATCAGAAATTTAGGAATACCTTTAAAAATTAAAACACAATTAAGAAGAAAGAGATAATATGAATCAAAATACCTTATAGAGACTACAAGAAGGAAAATGGAGCACTTTCAATAACAAGACCCCCCTATGATCAAACTAATTCCCTCGCATGACTTGTGCGCCAAAACTCTGCGGGAGTCTGCCATCATGTGCGAGATACGGTATTGAACGATGAAAGGAGTAAAACCGATCTTGTTTTCTTCACAAACCAATACCAATGACTTCCAACGCTTTCGCGTTCAACTATTTGCTGATTCATAAATGGAAACTGCTTACTTTTCGATTGTCATCAATCGTCTCTAGACGATATGTAAATGGAATTCTTTTTCTTCTCAATTTCATATTAGGTAAAATATACTTTTAAATATATTGTTACGAATTACTTATATAATATGTCTGCATGAAATGTAGAATGTTAATTTCTAAAGGACTTGGCACCCAGTCACCATTTGGAACATATATTTTGTTATTATCACTGGAATGATAAAAAATATTTATAATTGCATGACATTAAATACAAAGTTATATAATCGTATATATTTTATATTATTGTTTAAAAATATGGAGTTTGATGATTCATATTAAATAAATTTCTAATAAAAATCGAATTCAAACAAAATAATTACTTTCATGACTATCAAAAAAATTGAGTTAATATTAATTATTGAATAGTAAGTTATGAGTTAAAAATAATAATAAGTAAATAATTACATGATACTGCCTTAGTATTTTAGGTAATTTAGAATACATTCACACACAAAAATCAACAACAATTTAAATTTGAATTAATAAATTCTAAAAAAAATTTTAAGCAATGTTTACAGATATTGTTAAGATATCACTGAAAATCTCAAATTTAGAAGTGTTTTATTTTAATGCATTTAAAATGTTTTAAAATGACGTCCCCCATTTGATTACATATTGTAGTCACTTTTAACGCACTTGGAAGTGTTTATAAGTGTTAAAAAGTTCAGGGTTTCATTTTATATATAAATAAAATCAAAGTGTCTGTCTGTCTGTTCAGAATAATCTTTGAAACAGCTGTAGGTTGTTAAAAGTGACATAGGCTATTGTTTTACTGTTTATTGTTCATAACAATTGAATTTAATCTAAACAATTTGAAAATAAATCCTATCATTGAGATAAGTGAGATAAAAACTCAATATATAATTAATATTACCAAAATATGAATGTAAATAATTGTGAATTGATTTTAAAAATTACGTATTGTTCATAATAATTAAAATTGTTCAATCAATGTTATTGGGGATTTAAAAAGAATTTTTGGATTAAAAAATATATTTGATTCATCATTAATATAAATATTAATAAATGAAGAAATTCATATATAAACTTATTCACGTCCATTATTTTTTTTTTTTAATGTGTATATACAAGATAAAATAATTAAAAGTGATATTAGTTAAATTAAATAAAATAGTCATTTATCAATCAATTATGATCCACAATAATCTCAAGCACAAATTAATTATTGTCTTGATTTAATTATGCATAAATAATATAAAACTCGAAATAAAATTTTTTTTAATCCATAATTGTTATAAATTTTATTTATAATTATGATAAAATTCATCTGTGCTCGATTTTGTTGATGATTTATCTCATCTCAAATCTGAAGATGCAATTTCTATCTACTAAAAAGTTGCGAAATCATAGTGTTAACAGTGTTGGATACATGTAATCTATTAAAGATAAGAAAAACAGGAATTTTTTTTTTCCTTTCAACAGTCACAGTGTCTGAATTAGTATACAGTTTCAAAAAGCGACTGTAAAATATCTTATGAATTCGAATGGCGTTCTCTGAGCATTTAATGCATAAATATGTAAATAATGCATGGTCACAAATATTTTTCATCGAATCCAAACTCCAGACAGTGGCATCTAACTTATGGCCACAGTTTCGGCAGGGCTGGCTACGTACGGCAAAAGAAATAAACGACATTTCGAAACATTGTCTTTTTTGTAAGTATGGATCTATCGTTGTGATACACATTTTATTTTTTTATTTTTTTCAAGATTTTTTCTTCTCAAATATTTTATACGATCATTGTATTTTAATACTTCATAAACTTCTCAGCACTTATCTATGTGTTTTTTAATTTGTAACAGATGTGATAGAATCAATAAGAATATTGCTAAAAATAGCAAGAGCATTTTTCTTATTATAGACAATAAATATATTTAAAACATCGAATGAATGTAAAGAATTTCTGACTGTCTCTATACAAAAAAACGACGGACAATTGAAAGAATACAACAAAATAACTTATTTTATTAGTATATAACAGAACATATTTTATGCAACTTGCACATTCCTGATTTAAAGTTTTAGCTGGTTATAATATTTATTGCTTCCTTCAGGAACATCATTTGACGAACTCAATTTTTCTTTTCTTATTGTATCTTTGTCGTGGCGCGAAGCACGTGTTTTGCCAGTTCCCATTGTTTTCTGTATGATAAATAGTCAGCAGCTCGTTTGAATGGGTAAGGAGTGTTCGCAAACATCCAGCGAAAATGTAGACACTGTAAAAATGACAATAGAATATAAATACCTCCAATCTAATAATTAGATAAAATCACTATCGACATTGATTAAGTTGACTCCGAAATTAGATTCTGTAACTGAAATATTAATACTTATTGGAAGCATTATATTTGTCTTATCATTCTTAAATACTTCACACTATTATTAACAACTTCAACAAGAACATTACTACAACAGAATGTAATGTATTTGGAATTTTGGTAAATAAATTGATGATTGAACGGATGGTTGTTGTTTTATCAATCAACTTAGCTGTGGAGTTGTGTCATAAACGATCCATGGCATGAAATATTTGATGAACCGAATTAGAATGAACCTAAAATAATATCTATTTTAAAAAAATGGTTAAAATACTGGAACTCTTCTAAAAAAGAAATGGTGCAATGGCACCAAAAATTGTTTAGGGTATGCTCATCACTAATCAAGGTAAAAATAAATTGCTGAAGATGATTGAAACCCTTATAAAAAATTTCTAGTGCCACAGAAGAAGTACATTTTACGCTTTTATTTCTTATTTGAAAAAAAAAAATATGCATCACATCGGCAATAATCTAAAAACTTATACAGTATTTGTTATCATTCAAATAATCACTACATCAGGTAGCAATAAACTCATGTTATAGATGTTTAAAACGACTTGTATTGTTTAATTTTGGATCAAAAGAATATGATACATGTTATAATCAAGTAGGCATGGTTATGGACAATTATTTTGATAATAAATACAATGTAAAACTTGATACAATATCAGAGTTACAATATTATTCAATCATGTATTTATTATGAATAACGTGATTGGAAGTATGCTATATGACATCGGAATTAGTTCACACCTAAAAATATAATTGTATGTTGTCATAATATTTTAATTACTCTTAATGATCATTTTACACAACTTACATCTCACCCGAAAATTAAATATCCAGTGTATTACGGGGCATTGGCACCGTTTCTCATTTTCATTCTCACTTAATTATGGTATAATAGAACCACGAAAAGAGCCATTTAAGTCACTGGTCAATATTGAACCTCCTATGAGATTTGAATAGCAGGTGAAACAACTCTTTTGTTGGTTGTACTACATCATGAACTTTGTTTTCGAACAAATAATGTTGCTCCATAAGCTTAGATTCAGAATATCTTAATAACTAAATCTTTTGATGGTATTGTATTTCTTCAGTGATGTTTTTAAAACAGTAAAATGTTTAAAAATTGGTATAGACAAACCTTCATGATATTAATTATTGACGAAATTACAAAAATCTACAAAATTCACTTATATTTGTTTATCTTCAGTAACAGATCTATTATATATCAAAAAAAAAACAAAATTTCTTTTCAGTTCATATCAAGCTTTTCTGGTTTTATTTTTTTGTAATTAGTAAACTTGAATGCCTTCGATTTAAGATCAGAATTGGAAGTTATCATTTGGTTATTCTATTAGAGATAAGATAGAATTTTGAGTATATTTTAATGACTATTGGATAGTTCAGTAGGTTGCTTTTTAGATTTTCAGGGAATCTAGAACTAGAATCCTTAATTCTCAACAACTCATTCTTCCACGCAGGCTTACGTAAAACTATCACATAATAGCATCATCTGATTATTTACAAAGATTGGTTCAAATTCTTAATAGTAAAAAAAAAAAATCTTTGGAAAATTTGTACAAATCACACTAAATAGAATAAAATTTGAACCAACTCGAGCAGAGGTTGTTTTTTTATATGTTTTAGTTGAAGTTATTGGACCTTTTTTCATTTACTGGAATTAAATTGGACTGATCTTTTAGTCTGTCATTTCATTAAAGTCAAAGAATCATATTTGTACATACGTTTTGGTATATAATACAAATCATGGCAGCATACAGTGTGATATAATGTTTCTGAATCATATTGAACTATGGGGATTAATTGATTGTATTACAGTACTACATATATTTAATTACATATTAAAATTGTTCAAACATTATTAAACTTTTATATTCATTTGTGAAATTGTTTTTCGTTCATTACTCTAATTTTATTGTATATACTAAAAATTAACACATAAAAAATTGTTGAGACTTTGTTAAATTTTATTTACGAATGTAGTTCATTACTTTTTACAAGATTTTGTTGGAATAACTGTTTATTATCACGGAATTGGGGTGGTGGTAGTGGCAGTACAATATCGTTATCTTTGTTAGAAAATGCTATACTAACGTTAAATTCTGGTGGTGGTGGAACAAATAAATTGTTGTAATGTTCTTCCATATCAATTTCAATAGGCGGAGGTAGTTGAGAGAGGCCTACATCATACCTCGAAAAAATATTATTGATTTGAGTTAATTTTTCTAAATGATGATCATCTTTCTTAATATTATCTTCATTATTTATTATTTTAGTTGAATTATCGATACGAATCAATCCTTTCATAAAAGCATTTTGATCAGAACAAAAATTACTGGAAATATTATCAACAACTTCTTTAATTTTAGATGACTGGTTGTTAATTAATTTGTTGGGATAAATTTTTGCTGGTTCAGATGGCATTTTTGTATCGTACTGTTCTTGAACCTCTGATGGAAATGGAGATGTTTCATCACCCAGAAACTTCACACCAACTTTGTTGAAATTATCTGAAATTTCTTCAGTGAATTTTTGTTTTTCAACAGAAGCAGTAGTATTTCTAACGCATTCATTGACTTCTGATTTGCTGGCATTTATATCTTCTTTTTCCTCATTATCTGATTCTGATATACTGTAATCTGGTTCAGGTATAAGATCTAAATCATGAGATACATGTGACATAGCTTGTAAAGATCCAACAATATTATGGTTGTTGTGATGGTACATACCATCGTCTTTGTATACTCGGATATTTTTGATACTTTTTTTATTATTATTATTACTTTCACGGCATTTATTACTGCTATTTTGACAACTATCACTACTACAAGAACTACTTCTACGACTCCTACGACGACTATTACCACTACTACTACTTCTACTACCACTACTACTACTACTACTGCTACTACAATCACTACAGCTTCCGCTAATGCTGTTATTGATATATTTATTATTATTTTCATTTTCAACTTTATTTATGCTTTCGGAACAAAATGGAACGGTTTTAGTAGTGTTTGTAGTAATAGAAGTTGTAGTTATAGCAGTGTTAGTAGTAGTAATAGTAATTGCCGTTGTAAATAGATTACATTTATCTATTGGCTTCTTTGTATTTTCATGATTTCCAAGTAGGATGCCTTTCTGAAACCTTTTTGATGCATTACGGAACATACTATTCGATGTCTCTAATTCGGAAACTATAGCACTTGATTCTTGGAGTCTGTTTCTCAATAAGTTTTTAGCATAAAATTTTTCAGTTTTTAGATTTTCTAATTGAGGATAAAGTTTGGCAATATTTAAAGGTCGAATGCTAGATTTCATCCCATGTTTCCCTCTGCATAACTCTAAAATCAGATAAACAATAGTTTCATGACGAATTAGTATTTATGAATTATTAAATAGAAAATATCATACCTATCAGGTTTCGTATATAAGATGTTTTGTTCATCATATTAGAGAGATCGTTCATTTCGTTATATTCTTCGGCACTTTGTTTACAAGACAACAAAGGGTCAGGGAAGTTTGGAAGCGCAGTGTTTTTCTTCGTTGACAGTATGCTTATATCACCCTGACTGTGGAAATTCCTTCCTGTAGAGAAAACCGATTCAACCTCTATTTTAAGATCCAGGGCACTGCAGTAATATTTGTTCAATGGTGATCCACAGAGATAATTTTCAGGGAAGGGCAAACGAGAGCTTTTCTGAAAAATAAAAAATTATAAGTGTATTTATCTAAACAATCAGCAATAATTTTTGAAATAAAAAAAAAGTCAATGCAAAGGTGGTTCAAATTTTGTTCTGAAAGTGATTCATGGTCCATACTTAGTCTCAATCATAATATTATGTATATTCGATGTCAACTTTACATGAAACTCTTCAGTTAATTCTGTTGACAATTATTCAATCGACTCGAAAGCACAAATGGTAATAAGAAAAGATGAATATTAAAATGGAACAGCTGAATTAATTCGGAAACAATACCAACTGGTAAAAAGTATGTAAAGATCATGAATGATTACATATGATCATGTAAAAACAATCAACACATGATCGTCGGTATATTTTTATTGTTCATCTTTGTATGTTATCATTCAGAAACCGATTTAGTCTATAAGTGACATGAAATGATTATTGCGGTATCTTTAGTTGAATTGTGTATTAAATTTCAACTTAAATTTCAGCTAGAATATTTTTCTCTAACAGAACAGTAGATTTATATTTACGTCATTATGTGAAGCTGTGATTGGATGGAATGTTGATTGCGCGCAGCTACTATTTAATCGTAGCTGGTGTGAAGTATTATACTTGGAGTTTGAACATACAAAAGTTTGCTGAGATGCATGGAGTGATTCGGCACTAGTAAATTTATCTTCATTCCTTGTATTATCATCAGTCCTTCCAGCATCCATTTCTGGAAAAACAAAAATTTGTAATACATAAATCTATTTTAGATTGTTCATAATCTTTTAAATAATGATAAAAAATATTTTCAAAATAAACTAAGATTCCTGCACTAAAATAAATTGATTTTTTTTTATTGATGTCATGACAATGTAAGCTTACAATTCACTCGTTTGCTTTAATACTAATATACGTGCATTATCAAATTAAAAATTTTGATATAAATTTACCTAATCCGGCGACCATTGATCTGGCTCTGGCTCGTCCAACACTTAGTGTAGTTCTGGGATCTCTTCGGGGAGGCATCGGTGCTGGTAATCGTCCCAAAGTATTAATCGTTGGTATATTCCAACAACTACTTTTTCGGGGTAAGGTTGCATATTGAGGTTGATTGAAATGGCTTGTTGGCAATGTCATACTTGAATATGAATAAGGGAGATTGTTCATAGGAGTTATGACTGTCATTTTCACTAATTCACCGGAATTTCTTATTAATTCTACCACGTGTTCATGAGAAGCTGCCGAAATATCTTCTCCATTAATCTATGATCAACATTAGAATGAAACAAGAAAAATGTACAAATTGTTGAAAAATATTAGCTACAAAAAAACTTATTTTATTCTCACCTCAATTAAGAAGTCACCTTTTCTGAGACCAGCAAGATCTGCAACCCCACCAGAAGTCACATCATCTAAATACTGAGCAGCAGGAGCAGCACTCGTCAAGTTAGATGACATTGATTTCGCACCTCGAAGAATAAAACCGAAACCTCTTTTTGAACGATGTAGCACAACTGTTTTAGGTTCGGAGGTCATCCTAAATGATATAAAAGAGTGCATGTACAGTAACATTTTTATAGAATAAAAATAATAATGCGCTTTCATACATGTGTTTCAATTTCGGTACAGTGACTAAAGATTCGCATGGAATGTCATTCTGATCGGTCCACATGGAAGCATTACTATCGATGAATTGAGTGGATAGTGATACGTTGGAATGCCTTTGCTTGATTTGTTGGACACAACGAGCTGGAAAAAGGCCTGTTTTATGGCCATGCTGGACACCTTCCAAGAGTCCACAATCGGTTGCTCCAATAACTAGGAAAAAAACTTTGTTTAGGATCTTTTCTTTAATAGTTTCAAAAAATGTTGCTTGTTTGATGAGTTAGGAATCAAAATGGTTTCGGTTGTTTAACTGACTCATACTACTCAACTTTTAGGAACTGCCATAAGGCAATCTTTGGAAGACAATTATAAAGATAAACTTAATACATTATGAGGCAATTAAAAACGCTCAACAAACCTACAAGTGAGATAATTGTAATTTATTTTTACCTTCTAAGATATCGCCTTGGTTGAGATTCAGATGTCCAGCTATACTACTGTTGTATGTCTCTGTACAAATGACCGTTGTTCCAGGCCTAGATATTGATTTCGTTATTTCAGATCGTAATATTTCATTTTTCGATTTGTCACCCTTTATTTTCGTTTGGCTGTCATTATAGTTTTCCTCTGAAAAACATCATTTATTCATAGAACCTTTCATATTTAATTGATTACTCCTATAACGATTGTAACAAATTATCAGTAATAACTAGAATCTTTATCTTTATCTTGCTGAAATTATTGGTTAGATGAAGTGATAAGAAATATCAATCTTATTAATTTTACCGTAGCAGTGTTACCAGTAATGGTCCATAGAATGACATAACATTTTGAATAATATATTTCAAGGCTGCAAGTTTACTTAGCATTAAGGTGGTTGCTTGTTTCCACAGGTTGAATTTAATTAGAATAAGATTTTTATAAGTTATTGTTTAACTTAAAGGAGAAGTTAGAAGCTAACATAGAGAGTCCTGTGCACTCTCATCATGTAGGAAGTAGTCTCCATAAAATATTGGCACTTCAAAAAAGATAATTGAAAATGTGGAAATCAATATTTGGATCAAATTTTGAAAAAAATAGTTATTAGTTTTGTCTGGCAAGCCTCGTGGGACCAAAGAAGCCCAGAGGAAGATTCATGTGATAAAGTTACGAGTAGGGAGTGTAAGATTGTGATAGATCATTTTGGATTTAGTAGAAGACAAGGATGAGTAAAAAATGGAGTAATTAAAGGGAAACTTCAACATTAAATAAATTGATTCTTTATAAACGAGTGAGAGTGCAGCAATTCATGGCAGTGCTGTTCAACTGTGGTCATTTTGTTTGCATGATTTTTACCTAGTAATAAGTTAATCAAGGAAGTTTTACAAATGCCACTCATAAGACTCATAATGATAATTTAGGTCTTATTATTATTCTTTTTTTATTCACTCGAAAGATTTAAAATTTTGAAACTACTTTGATGATGACGATAATAATGATTGAAGAAATATATCTCGTTCATTGATAACTTACCAATTTCCCCACAATTGTAGCTTGCAATAATTTCCGCAAGATCCATGTTTCCAGCAATTACTGCCACTTGGTAAGGAGTTTGATTAGCATAATTGAGACTATTCTTCTGCGCTCCTTGAAATAATAGCCGTTGAATACAAGAGGCATTTGTGTTATTTACTGCACATACATGAAGTGGAGTATTCCCTGATGCATTTTGGGCGTTTAAATCAGCACCATAAAATAACAGATGATCAAGGTGCTGTACCAAGTTGTTTCTACATGCCTAGAAAGAAACAAAAAATTTCATAGAACATGACTATTGTGGTAACAGAATTAACAATCATTCTGTAGTTATCACCGTTCTACTACTTTTAGAATATTTTTCAAAAAAAAGTAGGATGTCTCTCCTCATAAAAAAGCATGAGATTAAAATCTAGCTAAAAATTTTTAATACTTATTGAACTATGGACCATTTAGGTAAGTACAATATTTTAGTAAAAAGGAGAGCAAAAAAAAACTGTGAACAATGGCAGGACTCATGGGTACTGATGTAAAAATATGAACTCTTATTGATTGTGAAAGTTAACATTGAGCATCAACATTGTTACAAGTAGAAATAGCTATTGATGACCAACTACGATTCCTCTTATGGGCCATTTAATCTACTAAATTCATGCTGCAGTGGATGCTGACATTCGAAACTTGGAAATCGACATTCCTATAATCGATAAGTCCAAAAGCTAGCCTTACTACTTACAGCTAAGCTGGCTCTTCTATTTTTAAGTGTAAGCCAAAGATATGGGGCTGACACACTCGAGCCAATATCTTCACCAGAGGTCCAATATAATCTGGTATCTTAACTAAATACTTAAAAGATTTATTACATACGTACTTGATGGATCTCCTGCCATCCTTGACAGTCCTGTGAACCAATGGTTGCATGATAGTTCAGGAGTATTTCACAAATTCTTGGATCAGTTTGGTGAATGACACTGTAGTACAAAGGTGTAAGACCTTTTAGATCCTTATAATTTGGACTGGCACCAAGTTCTAAAAGTGTTTTTACTGCTTCGAAATTATTTTTCTCAACTGCTCGATGAAGAGCTGTTAACCCTTCTTTTGTTCGATAATCAAGGATAGCTCCGCCATTAACCAGAGAAATGATGACTTGGGATGATTTTTTTAGTGTCGCAGCAAAAGACAGTGGCGTTTCTAAAAAAAATGATTATGCTAAATAATACACAGAAACTTAATATTTCGTGATATATTGTTCTCTTAAATATACCTCCATTGTCATAGGAGTGAAAGTTAGGATCCAATCCTTTATTGCACAGTTTTGTAATTTTCTCAACTTGATTGTTTGTTATGTAATCATATAGCCGTCTTAAATTAGTTCTCGTGTGCAGAGACTTCAATTGTTTTTCATCCACATGAAACATTTTATATACTCTTCTTTTGTACTTGAGCTTTTATGGAACAAAGTAAGGACAACGTGACCAACTGTATGATACTCAATTTTCATATAAATATATTCAATTGATCACCATTATTATTATTACACTTTAGTTTGGACTTCTGGCTTTTTGCATACGTCTTAAATGGACCAATACTCGTAACTTATAATTTAATTCTCAAATTTCAAAACTGAATACTTAATGTTAATAATAAACTCAAACTATACTTGTTGAGAATAGAGAAGTGAATGATACAACCTATCATGTATCAAACAAACTTCGATATTATCGATAATAGTAATGCAATGTTTTCTGAATATTCTTAAAAATATCTTTCCAAAATTATAATAGATATTATCTATTAGAACGAGTAATTATTGTGAATCTTAGCAACGATTTCTAAATAAATAATCATTCTTTTGATGTTCCAATTGTTGAGTATAATTTAATTCCATTTTGAGAATTATCAACCTCATTGAAGATATCTGAGACTGATCTAAAGAATCTTATTTTGGTCATCAATGTCATCATGAATTTTTAAAACAGTGTTTGTATGACATTGATACCTTTTTCTAGACTTTGAAGTTGGAAAATATTTTAAATTCTGTCTCGGGATAACTACGCCGAATTTTATAATCTTTCCAAATAAACATTTGGTGCCAATAATTTTTTTAACAATAATCTTTAGATATTCAAATGAACAATTACCTCTAAATATCCAATAGGATGATCGAAAGTGTAATCCCCAATTGGGCGTTCTTCTTCTAGAAACTTTCCCGCTTTACCGTTCATAGGTGGGCAGAACAGCCCATAATTGAAACTCTCCTCCAACTCCTGTAAGTCATAAAAAGGTAGATATTAGCTATCATGTTCAACAAGAACTAATAAAATAATAAACAATTGTATGATTTAAAAAATTGCCTTTGTTAGATATGTTACATTTATATAAAATTCGCAAGTCAGCACAAGTCTGTGTTGAAAGTGAATATTATTATCTCTCTCTCTCTTTCTTGGGGTTTATTCCACTTATTATAAGATTAGTGCATAGTAACATAATTTGATATGTGTTACACGTACAAGTACATAAGAAGAGAGTAAATTATCTGTACCTTCGGTAACGATGATAAACACTGCTGCTTGGCATCCCAAATAAGTTGATCTTTTGCGAACTGGAGACATTTACTGATTGAAAGTTCAGGTACATGTATACGCATCAGTAGGGATTCTCTCCCACTTGTAATGATCTCAGTCCCGATCTTGTAACTGTCACTGGTCTGTTGTGGACTTTCATTATTTGTAAAAGATTCAATATTTTTTACAACAGACGACTCCATCGCAGCGAATTCATCGACATTCGTAATCAAATTGTGATATGTCTACTCTATCTGAAAAAAAAAACATTAAAAAAATTATTCTGAAACTGGTAGTGCAAGAATATCAAAGTAAATTATAGACTGATAATCTGAAAGCGAAAATTTCTCATCTCATTAATTTAAGATGTGATATCTTCGAATGTTCATTGGAACCGTATTTCAATTTTTTAATTTTCCTCGAAGCTGTAGATTATTTTTATCAGACGGAAACCAATCTTGTGCGTTGCCGATAGGATGCTGACCACTGCAGCCCTAAAAATGGGTGTCTCAGACATAGCCCTCAATTATTGGACAAAATTATCAATTAATTCTGTAATGGATAATTTAGAAAATAAAAATATCAATTACTGAATAATCATTAATATACAGGATTACATTATCAATTACTGTATTAATTCCAGTCCTTTGAGTGATTAACAGCATTGATTGTACTAATGTAGAATCTAAGATTGCTTTCTGAAGAGCCACTGCAAATTGGAGTGTTTTACAGTGAACGCACGTAAACGTATTCAATATTACATGCCATTAAACACGTTTAAGTGTGTTTATTGTCACGTACTTCGATTTACAGTGTATGTAATTATACAAATGTCTTTATCAAGTGGATAGTTGAGATACTCGAGGTCGCGGGTTCGAATCTCACCATATAAATAGTAAAATTATAAAAAAAAAAAAACCTAAACGTATTTTCTTAACACTTTTTAATTTTATAAAATACATAGCATGCTTTGTAAAATAACAGACTTAGACGTATGTACATACTCATAAGTATATTTTTTAATGCTAATTATTAATGTTAAAAATATTTTTTATTACATAAATGCGTAAAGTTAAAGTTCCATCTCTGTTTCAGTGAGCAACGCAATTTCTGCCACAGGATAACACAGCACCCGTCTTGACATGCGCATAGACAATTTTTGGTCTTTCTTTGTGAAAGAGAGAACGTCATTGTTTCAACCCCAAAACAAAAACGGAACTCAAATTTTTTACGACGATTATGACGAATAATAGTATTCGTACTTTGGAAAAAAGTCGGTCATTACAGAACACGTGTTTTCCATCCTTGCCTTCAACTCCGGTGTTTATTTACACGTGGTCTGTAATAGCCTACTTGTCTCCCTTGGTACGTAATATACGACAATTGTCACAATGAATATTTTTTATCTATGCGAGTATGTAATTATTAACAAAAATATTTTTTTATGATTATTAATAATACATTAATTATTGTATTTATAATATAACTATTTATTAACATAAAATATTTTTTAAAAAATTAATTTTATACATTATATTACATATATTTTTTCTATTTTTATAAATGTCAATCTAACTATCGATAAATTTATTTATTATCTGATGACGTGAAAAGTATTTTGATTCTCATACATGGAGAGAATTTTTTCACTAAATGTAAGTGCAAAAAGTGACGTTTTGAAGTTTAGAAATAACAATATTTCTATTCGTTAATAAATTTTGAATGCTTGTAAGTTAACTTGATACTTAAGAGGTGTCTTAGTAAAATAATAACTTAAGATAACTTCAAAATTACTTATGACAACCCAAAATTCACTATTGAACAGAAATATTTTGATTCTTTTCTTTATAACCAAAAGAATAGTTAGAGCAAATCCACTCAAAACCTCATGGATACTATTCTAGTAGAGATACATCGATTGGTCTTGGAGTTGATTCAATCCAATGCGTAAATATGATTATATTTACGCATATTATCATTTTAAAAAAGTGATCATCTAGATTTTCTGTGTTACGCACACATAACCACTTGAAAAAAAATAATATAAATAAAAAATTAAAACTTCGGGACTTATTATTAGATTTATCATTGCTATTGACATTTAAACTAACAGTTTAATACAGAAATAAAATGTTTAAATGAAAAACAAAAAAGTCAATTGCTTGATATAATCATTATTCAAGCCCCTCTTTCAATTTCTATTGTACATGTACCAGTTAATTGATAATTTACAGAAGACAATTTTTAAACACCTGTTCTAAAAGTATCTATCCGAAGTAAAGTAAATTTGATGAAATATCTATAGAGATAATGTGAATCTATCGAATCTAGAAATATCAATTTCTGATGAACCTTAAGGATAATACATTAAATTGAACTAAAAATGATTTTATAAAAACTTGGAGAGAAATGGCGTACTCGATCAATTAACCGGATGATATATTGCTATCATAAGTGTAGATATTACACATAGAATATTTATAAATATAGCTGTGCATCCTGACATTTATTTTTACGCATACAGAAAAAAAATGTCAAAGTGTTCAAATTTTTTTGTTGCGACCTAAAACAGATTAATTAAAAAAAAAAAATTTCTTTGCTTTTAATTTTAAAAAATATACTCGAATTCAAAGTCTCATGTAATCAAGTATTATAAACAATAAACATAACACATTTCACCCTGTTGACTTCCTGTCATCTTGTTAATTAATCATTATGTGGAATTTTGTTTATGATCTCGACTGACAAATTGTTGGAAGGTACAGCATGATATACTGCAATTTCAATTGTGTTAAAATAAATTACATCAAATGTATTTCTATGGTTTTCAATTTCAATGTTTTATAAATAAATACGAGAATCTAAATGACATTGCAGTATTCTGAAAGCATCAACAGAATTCTGTAGTTAACATATAAAATTTCTACATCGAATGCACTTTATGAGTTTCATTAAATAACCAAGCAATTGTTGCATGGAAAAAAAAAACAAATTGATTTTTTTTTTATCTTGTGAACAATAACTTTATACATCGAAAAAACTATTAATGCAATTTAATTATCGATAAGTTTAGGTTTTAATTAAAAATAGTTGTACATATATAGAGTGATTAAGAGCTGATGAACAACATCCGTTTATGTTGTAGGGACGTACCATCATCTATCTCGGAAATAATGATAGATTATGTAACTAACTGGTTGAAAATGAATGTCTGGAAATCACTGCGACATGCAGATATTTACTGAATTAAAATAATTTTCACTTTGTTATTTTTAGAAATAAAAATATTCACGTTATACAAAAAATACGGTATTTAAGTCATGACACCCCGGTATACGTCAATAATAATTTCACTCTGATACTGTACGTCAATAGTTAAATTACACTAAATGCACTTCTTCCTTGTTTCCATTTTCAGAGAAAGGTCAAATATTTAGGAATTATAATTTCAAAATAATTCATTGGAATATGAATTATTTATAGTTAATTAAAAGATGTATATTAAAAAATAAAAAGAAGAGATGTGTCAGGAAAAATTGTTGATAAGCTATTTGTTTCATCAGATACTTACCATTATTCAGTGATTATGATTTACTCCATAACATATCATTTTACAATGTTTATCACACATCACTTGATGAATATCATAATTTTATATACTTTGCACACTACATAGATACTTGTTATTACAATTTTATTTATAAATAGTAAGATAACTCATATCAGTCACCGTTGTATGAAGTAATATAAGGTACTAAAAGTTTGTAGGTGGCGCTACGAATGCTCTCATCAAAGAGTGAGGGGCTGCAGGCTAGCGTTGCCTAGCAACAACACAAGATCGAAGACGGGTAGAGTATTCTTTATCCTTTCCATTTAATCGACACTATTAAATTCCCTTAGATTTTAACTAAATTTTTTATAGGAACAATCACCTTCATTGCTATTTTAACCAATTACCATACGAAATAAATACAAAAACGATGGAATCCAATCAATTTTTATTGATGGTTTAGGATGTAATTCTGTAATCAATGATGTTTATACAGGTGCATAGGTAGTACAAATGTCTGAATCCGTTGCACTATTTTTTATTAGTGCTATGATATTTTATATTTACGATTGTTTACTAAAATGAAGTTTCGAAAACAATGGCGGTATTAACACTTGCATATGGGGTGCAAATAATAATAATCTTTATTGGCATCGAAACTTTAAAGTTCCTGAGCAATACGATAAAATCGATGTAAATAATACAAGGTGCGGTTTAATTAAGAAAATTGATTATTTAACCGTAAATGAGTCTTATATTTTTTACTTGATGATTTAGGATAGTTTATTTGTTAATTTTTATAACAAAGTTTCATTGAACCCTTCGTCACTAGCGCTACTTTTCTCCCTAATTCACTTGCGTAGTGAATGCTGCGCCGTCGTGTTAAATCTCGTATGACGTTGCCAAATTAATGGGTGGTAGTTTACTTATGTTAACATGGAAATGGTTAAAATGGCAACGCTGTCTGATAGTTGGTACACTCGCACTAGACAGCAAAGTGCTACTTTTCTGAACTCCATTCCATATGCCATTTACATGCATTCGTAGAAAATGATTGCCTAGAATAGGTTTCAGCTGATTCATTTTGCAGATGATATTGCATATTTTGAATCGTGTATTAAACCTAGTAATGCCTTTCGTTCAATAAGGAAGATGAACGATATTGAACTCAATCGGGTTTAATCAGATTCATTGGTGATGTATGCTTGGTTACTGCAAATGTTGGACATAAAACAGAATGCCATCAAACCTAATGAGGCCTACTGTCTATTGATCTATATAATATTTCTGTAGATAAGAAATCTCCTCATATAATAACTAAATTAGCCAAATAGCAACATAATTATTATTGTTTTCATTTATCTAAACATAATAAGATAATTTTAATATTATATATACACATAAAAAATAGTACATTATTAACCAAGGGAGCAAAGTACGATATTCTGACCTAGGTATATAATTACCATTGAAATCAAAGGTAAATACCTACATAAGGATCAACATATTATATTTTAATATATCATCACCCAAAGTTAACATTCTCATTCTCAATTTAGAATTGGAAAAGTGCCAATTTTTCTTTCGCAGAGAAAAAAAGCATGCGTCTGCGCATGCGCACAGATGATTTTTAGTCTTACGCCGAAAAGTATGAATTCTGGCGAGATCATGGATCTGTAGATAATTATAGTAAAAATGTCAAGTGTAATTGAAAATCAATAAAAATTTTTTTTCTAAAAACTCTATTTTCTCTGATTAGATCCAATACATCTTAAATGTTTAGACTTATCAGATCAGCTGAAATTTGAATTTTTCCAAAAAAGTTTCATAATTCAGATCTGATCCAATCTAACTTTTTTCCCACAACTATTTAAAATTTTTATTTCGGATATCAATCAAACAAAAATTAATCGAATCATAGCGATAATTAAAAAATTTCTAATCGATCTTTATATCTATTTTTTTATCATCTGATTATCTTTTGATAATTTTTCGACTGCTTTTTGACTAAAACATGGTTATTTTCATCGCAAAGAAGCGTCATCAGAGCAAACTATAGAAAGTAAAAACTGCGTTTTAGTTTCACCAATATTTTTCATAAAGATAATCATGTATCAGTTTGTATATCAGTATTCTGATGATTAAAAAATCATGTGTTCTCTTACACACTTATTGGCTTCTTTTTACGCATTAAATTAAAAAAAAAAAATCACTTGACACTGTTCTCTCTTCTGAATTGTCAATATCAAATCATTGTAGAATATTCCAATAATTGAATCAACTTCATGATTAAATTTGTCAATTGAAAGTGTGTAGTGTAAGTTTCAGTGTTTTAAAATTGAAGAATGCATGTACAATAGAAGTTGAGATATGTGGGCGGGATGGAGATTTACGTAATCACTTCTACAAACAGTTTTCAGTCTGATTGATTATTTCATAGAATGAACATGAATATTTTGTCGTTGATAATTCTTATGGTTTTATGTGTAGAAGTTAAATATACAGCTGAAATTACCACTGAATCTCATGTATCAGTATCTCAGCAATTTATTCACTTTGACACCAACGTTAAAACGAGTGCGATCATCAATGTTCCAATTAGATGCCCTCCAAATTTTGTAAGAGTGGGAAAACGATGTCGCGTTATTTTTTAAGGTAATAGTTATAATATTATTGCTTTCCCTTTATATAATAACAATAATTATTAATATCTTAATACAACAATAACATATGTACATATGCATCCATGAAGGTTTGAAGTATTGGATCTTACTTCTACTAGCAATAAATATCTACTAACTCGGTCTGATCAGGTGAAATTCTTCTATTGAATTAAACCAAACTGAGCCAGTTATATCAGATTGAGCCTAAATAGTCTCATAATTCAAACCTGATCAGATTTAAAGTATTTCACAGATATTACAGTAAAATGTTATGGGAAATAGAGTAGTTCATTTAGCTGGGCATAATTTTTATATTCACAGCTCTGTTGCTATCAAAATATTTCACTGTAAGTCTATCTCATAATTTTTGTCTTCTTTGCTCATTTCTTCTTATCTTATTAATTTCATTTATATCGTTTTCATTAGTTCTATTATCTTGAATGTTGTCATCATTGTCGTCATTTTCGTTGTTATCATTGTCATCATTAATATTTTCTCTAGAACATGTAGAGTTGGCATAATGTTCACTATGCACAAGTTAAAAAAGTAGTCATAACTTATAAAGTTCAGCCAAAAGTCTGAATTTATATTCTTACCAATTTATGTACTTTTAAGAGAATTAATCTACATATTTTGAATGTTTCAGATACCTTATCTGGTAACAGAGATACTATTTTACATGCAATCTATTAAATGGAAAAAAATATTTCAAGATGTGTTAATAGACTGACTTCAATCAAAATAAAATGTAAGAAGAAAATTGAAATTACGTAAATTATCTAACGACCTCAGAAGAATATATAGGTTTCAATATATTTACCTATAAGTAATTAAAATATTATGAAGAATAAAATACGCTTTGAAAAAGAAGACAGCTTCTGGAGATTGGTAAGATAATCTGCAAGTTCTATGAAGACATATTTATCATCCTTTCATTTTATCAAAAGCCTTTTTGATAATAGATCAAGTATGAGTAAATGCTGTATTGCTGCTTCTGGTGTATCATCTTCAAATCAGAAATTGAAGAGGGTAACTACTGTCACCTACAATGCAAATATTGATGGATGATTTGATTGGAACCAAACAAAACAATGCCATCAACCTACTAAAGTATTTTTAGAAAGTATTCTTAATGTGCATTAAAAAAAATCAATAAATTTTCACCAACTAAGTAATGAAATCTTTCTCCTTCATTATTCCACCAAGAATTATTTCTATTATTAAGTAATCAAATTTTTCCCAATTAAAAAGAATTTAATCAAAATGATTTACGATTTTGTAATAGAAATTTCCTATTCAGAAATGTAATTCCAATAGGGAAGAGTTTAAATTGAATCAATTGAGAAACCTCCATCCTTATTACTAAACTCCATAAAATCTGATTGGTTCCGATTGAAACAAAAAAATAATAATCAAAACTGAAATTTTATTACATTATTAGCTGAGTTCTAATTAGATAATTTTATTTACTGATTAAAATGTAAAACGTCTACTGTTAAATCTATATTATAATCACTAAAAATATTTGTTCATATCAATGATGTCAGTGATATAGACTCGAACCTGTAACCTCTGTAGCTGCATTTCATACTTTAACCTCTGTACCATTTAGTGAATACTCACAAATAATTTGCGGAGCATTTATTGAAATAGCTATTGATATCTACTAATAAAAACCGGTTAGAAATGTTTTAATTTCTGCTTTGAGTAAAATGAAAGAAATGAGCTGTATTTTGGTTCAAGATTTTGAGCGTAGAATTGGATTAGATAAGAGAAAATCTTGAAATCATTGAGTTGATACACGAATTAAAGATAATTACTAACAGTGTGTTAAACCTATGAAGAATCTTTAATTCAACTATATTCACTGAATAATCTACATATTGAATTCACACTTAGTTGTCTTTTCATTGATTACTTTCACAATGATTCACACAATCGTGAAACACACAGTCGTAAGGAGCCTACGAGTTGTTCTGATGAACCAACACACAAAAAATGACTTTATCAAGACGTAAGGAAATGGCCGCCACAATCGATAAAACTAATCGATATTATCATCATATGTCTGTTTGTTAAGTTGTTTCAAGGTGCATAATAAATTGAAACGGTCAGGATTGTTTTTTGGTGGTCTTTCCACCAACGAGAATGAGTTAGAGTTGTCACAAACTAAGTTGACTGATTCAACTTCAATATCTTAAGATTTCATAAGTCGACTTGTACGCGTTTCAGTTGAGCTGACTAAGTAGACGTCCTACTTCGTCGGTAACTAGGAGACGACTTGCTATCTCTAGGACAGCCTGAAGAAGACTCACTACCTCTCTTGTGGTCATGAGAAGACTAGTCAAAATCATACGAATTTGTGTGAATCATTTTATGAGCTGCCTGAGCCTTGTGAGAAATTAATTGGTGATAATTGGCTCAGGAGAGTTGACAAGTTTGCTACAATAACAATAGATAGCTCAGAATAAATAAATAAAATTTTAGTCAATCATTATTACTATTATTTGTTGATTTAAAATAGAACTTTTCACACTGATGTAAAATAGTTTATAAACCAAGGTAGGACATTTAAACTTTCTTCTTCTAAAAATCTTAAATCAAGTTTTGAGCTTCTTTACTTTTCGTTTTTTAATCTGTAATGTTATATCAAATATTAGACTTAGTTAAAATTAAAAAGATAATCATTGAGCACGTTAGAAACTCGATCCGATCTATTCATCAAATAGTAAGATTAATTTTTTACTTTAAATGCAAAGCAGTCGTTTAAAAAAACATTTATTTCAACAAAAATTTAAGTTTAAAATTTTACACTCATTTCGTACATAGATTAGAAACATTTTTGTAATTAAATATAAATATACTTAAAATCGGTAAATAAAATGTTCTTTAATAGTCTAACTAAAAATATATTTGACGTACATTTTGGTACAGCTTGATAGCTGTTTTCAATTAAATTAAATGAATTTTAATTAAAGGCAGTCGATCATTTTAATTTTATTTTAACTGTAAAATTTTTAAATGTTGTAGAAAAATAATAAAAAAAAATCGGGCATTTCTTGATTCGTTGAGATTTTCTAAGAGAGAACCTTATATAATATACAATTTTATTGAACTTCATTATACTTAGCTTAAAATGATATAAATACTATGGAAATTCACCATAATATTTGATTGTAAGAATTAGTAAACCTAAATAGTAAAAATTGTTTTATGATTAAGATATATGATTGAATCAAAAAATGCTTTCAAGTAATAATAATATAAAATTTTATAAATATTTAATAATAAAAATAACACTGCATCATTTTCATTAGCAAACTTCCCTAGTAGTCAGATTTTTATCCTATTAATATATTCACTTTAATATGATTTTCATTTTTTACGAAGCTATAAACTTTTCTAAATTTTTTTATTAAATTTGAGCAAAATGATCAACAGAAAAAAAATTGTACTACTTGGGCTCATTCATATTCTGTACATACACAAATAGTATACAAAAAAGTAAAGATTACCTTTTTCGCAATCTTTACAGCCAAAAATACTGTTCATCTATTTGGACTGAAATTAGTTCATCTATTAGAATTCATGGATTAGAAAGAGAATCATATTTAGAATGATTCAGTTCAATTAATCTGTACGTTTTCTTTCTTCTTCAACACGTTGTCTTGTTCGATTAAAAGCATCCGTTTTCAAAAAGTCTACAGTTTTGTAAACTGTGGTATTTGGTGACACTTGTGTGGTTGGTAAAGATGATGAATGGAAATTATCATTCGTTTCTAAATCTAGATCTAAATACTGTAAAACTACCAATTGTCGATCGGATGCCGGAATGAAAGTATCATGATCTTGATAATAATAAATCTGCTTAAAAAAAATCAATGTTATTTATTATATGTGACATAAATAATTGACGAAAAAGAATATGTACCTCTTCTTTGTCATCATTTGTGGTATTATCTTCATCTGATGTTGAATGATGTCTTATTCCGTATCCATGAACAGGTGATGGTGAATTCGGAAAGACTCGATTTTTCCTTTTATCTGGCGGTGATGCTAAATGCAATTGTTCTGATAAAAATGGATAAATATAATTAAAATAAAGTTTGATATCTTGGGCAAAAAAAAGAAATCAAAATATAAAAGACTTACTCTTCGTTGAAATTTGTGCTAATGTTGGTTTTAATTTTCGATTAATACTGGGTGGTTCTACCGATAAATGCTCTCCAGGACTCGTGTCATTTGTAGATGAAATTGATCCAGGTGTTAATTCATCTTTACCAATGGAAATCGAATCACTCATTTTTCTTCCTGGTTTCAATTCACGATTAACAATTGGTGGAGGTAACAAAAATCTTGGTGTGTATTGTGCATCTTTGACCAAAGGACTTGCTAGATTAGAATACGTTGCGGTGGTTGAATTTTCGGAGTATGGACTTGATGGCTCATCATCGTGGAAATCATATCGAAAAACACCATCATCCATGATTGACGGTGCAGCATTGCTATAAAAATGTTTAGGTAAATTTTCAGCGACATTGTTTGCATTCCATGTATTAGTTGAATTTGATCGATGATGACGCGGAAAATCATAAGTTTCATCGCCGATTTTAGCAGGTGTAGAAGGTGCTGGTGTTGTCGGTGTAGTTGGTTTAGAACTTTCAGTCGTGCTATCTAAATTTGTATAATTGTGCCCAGAGTTTTCTGAATTGATATGAGATGGTTTTGGTGGTCTAGGTGGTATTGAAGATTTTCCTCCAGTTGTTGAAGCAGAATCAGTCATTTTTAGTTTACCGAAACGCTTACAAATATTCCATGAACTGATATCTATATCTATCGAACTATGAGGAGGTTTAAGATCACTTGATGATGGAAAAGTATCCCAATTGACGTTTGGAATTGATGCTGTCCATTCATCATCAGTGAATACACTTTCTGCATCTGTGGTAGTTGGAGATTGTGGAGGAGATGGTACAAGTTTTCGTGGAGCATCGTAATGCTCATTATTATGAGTTATTTGTAAATGAGTTGAACTATCATTCAAGCGTCGTCCTGAAATACACTCGCTTATCGGTATATAAGGACCAGAAATTGTGCTTGCCGGTGATATCGGAGGTGATTCTTGAGGTTCAAACTGAAATACTAAAAAAAAATTATTTTAAGAAAATCATAATATTTAAATTAAGCTTCTATGGAACTTCAGGGGTTCTGGAACAATAATAAAATTTTAAAAAAATCAAGTATGATGCGAATTAATGCTAGATAATAAATTTTTTTTAATAATACCAGTATCATCGATACTTATGGTATTCCTTACAATTAACTTTTTAAGTAATATGTAGTAAGTATAAATAATTAAATATTATGAATTATGGTTTTTTTTAAACATTATAAACTTAACTCAATACCTGGTATTTAGCACTTGATACAGAAATGCTTAACAGAGCCCAAATAAATATTATAATGTTAACTTTTAACGTCAGCTGTAATAACAGTTACATCATATATCACTAAAATTACATCATCATTCAAGTTAGTATTGCAATATTAGCAATTTATAACATGATAATCATGAGAGCTTATGTCAAAAAAAAAATTATAATAAATTTTCAAAACCTATGTGCACAAACATGGTAAAATTTTAACTATAAATTTATTTAATATTAATTTACATTGTATTTATTGTTTATTAATATTCTATAATTCTTCCAGAACCTTAGAATTCATTTATATATCATTCACTAGCGTTTGTGGTAGTTATCATGCTAAGGGGTGGGTTTTATATGCCCTTCGAAAAGGCCGCACAAAATTAATGTAAGAAGATTATAATTTTCAAAAAAATTCTTGAATTTTATCTGTATTTCATTCACAAAATTTTCACAAGTTAAATAAACAGTAAACTACCCCCTTTTTATGTTTATCGTTCGTCTACTGTCTTTCGGTTTTTCATAAATGGTATCATTTTCAGTATTATTGTATTAATTATCTAAGAATAATTGATTTTCCTTTTTTTTTACCCATCATATTACGAATAAAAAGTTTTCATCAGCTACCTTTATGCATTTCACGAGCTTTGTAATAAAAGATCTGTCGAAAAGTTTAATCAGTAGAATTATAAAACAGTGATAGAATAGGTGCAGTATGTACTAAACATAGACCGAACCTATAAAAATAATAAACTTCAAAAATTAATATTTCGTGAACTAGTCAGACGAAGTCATTTAAATCATAGGACCTAACAAATATCATTATTATCTATGTCTACTATGAATTTAAATAAATTTTGTCGACAAAAAATTCGCACAATGACTACTTGACATATAATATTATTAAAAATATTTACATGGCTGTTCTTCATCTTGAGTGTATGCTTTTAGACCACAAACTTGACATACTGCATCAACCCATTTGTTCATCTCAGCTTCACTTTCCGCCACTAGATAATATATTCTTTTTGGTGTTTTTATATTAAACATATACTGATATTTTTGTTTTCGATTTTCAAACCTTAAACCAGCATCAACCTATAAAATGATATCTCAAATATAATTAAATGTGATAAATTAAGAAATAATAATAAATGTTAAATAGTGACGTAATATACTTGTTCGCATTGATCTAGATCAATGTGGCCTTTAAGTTTACGATATCTTCGGTCAGTGTAATATTCTAAAAAATATTGTCCTGGTAATTCACCACTGTGACGTAATGCGAACCATCGTTTTCTCCAACGCTATAATAGATAAAAATTTAACTTTATATTTATTACGGACATGAAAAAATTTTTAATACAAAGCAAAATTATATACAGTGTATTAAATATAAAAAATTTAAAGTTTATTATTACAATACTCACTGCTCTCCAAAGTTTTGTAGGAGGAGATTTAATTAACCATCCTTCATAAACAATTTCTCGTGATATTTTAATAACTTCCATATTTATCTCTAATATTGCATTCTCATCAAAGCAGAGCCGTTTTATTTTTACTTATTCAAGTTGAAGACATACATATGTCGGACATTACATTCAAAAATAATTGAATGATATGCATGTACTGATATTTTTTTTCGTAGAAGAATATTACAGTTCATTCTTACCTATAATATATGAATAAAAAGTATATAAATAATATATAGCAGATAACGGTTCAAAATATATTGATAAAGTTTTTAATATACAAGTAGATTTATCACAAGAAAGGTTAATAATAGTTTGATGTCAAATCAGCTTTGGAGTAATAACAATAATTACCACAAACACAGTCTCAAATGTATCTTTCGGATTCCAACACTTAACACTTTGCAATCACAATTTAATTATAAGACGAAACAATGTAGATAATCAAAATTCATTGATTCTGATCTCACCATAAAATATTTATTTATACCTTAACAAATAAAAATAGATTTTTGTATAATTTCTCCTAATATTAATTGACTTTGTTTTTTATTGTAGACTTATTAAATTCAATCAACGTTTTATCATCCAATCACAACCTTTTTTCTTATGTAAAAAGTTATGAAAAACTCGATTAAATAGCTGACCTCGAAAAAATCATGATTGAACTATAGTACAAATTAATTGAAAAAAAATAATATGTATATATATACTATATCCATTAGACCTCCTGTAGAACAATGTCCTATCCTGTACTACTGCCTTGAGAAAAAGCAGCAACAGCCATATTGAATGTAACTTGGTATTTGATGAGGAATTTTTACGGTCAAATATCCCCTGTTCCTCCTCTCATATGGTTGATACAGTACCGGACATAAATGCTGTTCAATTTTTTGAAGGTTATAAGGCAATTTCCCTATACTGTCTTATAGAAAATCACACAGCATTTATGTCCGGTACTGTACCATTGGGGGCAACATCTTCCTGTCTAGTTTGTCAGATGTCTCTACCAGTACGTAGTCCGACTGTTACATTTTTGGCCAGTTTGAATATATATTATACTATAGAGTGTATGTACAACACACAATATAGTACAAAGGCTATAATTTGTTTTCAGGATTATTTTTTTTGACACATTTTTTTTTTTACTTAACTTGTAATAAATCATGCAATTAACAATAAAATATTATTATTAATATTAGTTAGAGAATATGTTATTTATACAATGCATTTAAATAATAAAAAATACTCGATAAATAGGATATGTGAGTAAAAAAAACGTTACATTTATAAATACCAGTCATTTTGGAACAAATTTTTCCTATTGTGATAGTTTTTGTTATATTTGGTGACATTTCGACTGCAAGAAAATATTTTTGTTCCTCGTGCAACATCATTTTCTATTATTAAAATAAATTAGAAGCAATAAATACATCGTTTCTCATCTCATGGGTAAGTTAAATTTTATTTTTTGATTATAATTTTTCTATTATCTACTAACTTGTTGCTTCGTTGTGACATTTACGGTCATGTATGTTGATAATCTTTCGATAATCAAAAAGGAATGTGTTGAAATGAAAAATTGTGTGGTAAATGTATATTTTATAGATAGACAATTAATTGTATTGTATAATATTGAATATAAACTTTGATATAATTGTATACAATTTAAAATTCTCGATTTCCTTATTGATTCTTAGAAACCATTGTTCTAATACACTAGGATTTAAAGAACAATTTGAAGGAATTGAGTAATAAAAATTTTCTAATTATCTAATTGTACGACACAATTAATGTTATTACCTGAAACGGACTGACCTAAAAATTGAATGAAAAATCTTTTGGTCAATAAATATAACATCAGGTTTTTTGGGTTTTTTTAAAGCACTTAGTATATTGTTAATTAAGAAAAAAGAGGGGAGTTGTTATCTAGGTGCCTTATTGCTGCCTGAGCCGAAGGCTAGAGTGGTGAGCACCTAAAGAAGAATGTACTATTTTGTTTACATGGTCAACATATTTATTCTTATCACATTGTTGCCAAGAGTTATTTTTTTCACAGTTTTAAGGTGAAAGAGCTGCAGGTCTTTTCCTTGAAACAAAGACGGTGCCAATCAACACCATCTTCTTTTTAAGGGAAAAATACGTCGCTATTTTCCCTGAAAATAAGGGAAAAAACTCAACTTTCAGCAAGGCGACACAATAGTACATTTTACACCTAGTGACGAAAGTAGACTTTCTAAAATCATGTGTAAAATTACGACCCGAGCCGAAAGCGAGGGGGACAAATACAGTCTAATTGTTCTTTTTGAGGCTGATTATAACCTTTCATCATACGTGTGTAGAAAGTTTAAGCCGTCTCTAATAAAAAAGTGGACTTTCCGCGTGAGAATGAAAAAAATTAAATTTTTATGTATACGAATTGCCTACTCTTGGCCAACTCGAGCAGTTGCTCGGGTTGCTCAACGGAGACCACGGGAAGGTGGTAGGCTTCCTCCGTCGGGAGGGGAATGGGGAAGGATGATAAGGATAAGGTTGGAAAGGGTTAGATGGGTCATACTTACCTGGACCCATGTAGAGGATTTATCCTCTACATTCTGCTGATCCACTCCTGTTCTCGGCGAAGTCGGGTAGCCATCCTCAATTGTCGACGGGCTTCTCTGCGTCGTTCCCTCAGGATGCGTTGGCGGAGCTTGTTGGCCGCCTTCATCATAGACTTGGCTGAAAAGTCTATCTGATCTACCAACTCTCCACAGTCGTCTTGAAGGTCCGTTCCCTCAGTGACGTTCCGGACTTCGGCAAGAAGATGCTCCTTCAACACTTCTCCGTCTTCTGGAGTTCCGCCAGCTACGATTAGAAGTCGAGCAAGTCTCGTAGTTACAGTTTCTACAAACCTCTCCCGAAACTCCTGGACTTCTGGATCGGCAACTTGCATTCTGCTTTCTTCCATTGTCGGCACAAATCAATAACAATAATCACGATGTGAACACTTCGAGCTCTCACGCGGGTATGAACTGATTTGGGCATTACAGTCCTTAGTTGTGCCATTAAGGACCTCCTTTTTCCCTTCCAAACTCTTGTCTTTAGCGATCTTATTGGCCATAATTCACCCCTCGAAAAATTCTCATGATCCAAGATTTGCCCTGCTACCCCCATGGAGGCTGAACTGGGAAATTCCCAAAATCTAGAAATTTCTCATAGCCAAGTTTTACCTGCTTAAGAACGTAGGGTTTCAACATGCAAAAACACTAAAAAGCAATAAAACACCTGCTTGAAAATTATGACGACTAATACTGCAAATCGTCACGTTCATCGAGTCATAAAAAAGGGTCCAGTGATCAGGTAGATAATTGATCAGGGTTAGCAAGATGAAAAGGTCGAATAAGTAAATTTTCCATAGAATAATAAACTATCTCTGTTAAAAACAAAATCGTTCAAAAAGCAATACAGTCATGACGAAATTCATGAAACAAATAAGTTCAAGAAAATGAATCTAACATAAATTGGTAGAAAAATACTTCACTTTTTGCTATTTTAGACAAACATTAACGACAATAAATTGCCTGAAAAAATTCTATTACACTTAACATACATACAATATTTAAATTTCAAAATCGAATACTAAAATGTATTTGAAAGAAATTTTTCCCATGTCCGAAATGCAGGCATAACTGTGTTGATTACAGAAAAATACGATGCTTATATTAAACATAAATGTATAGCAAAGATAAATACCAAATCAAATAAAGATTTCATGAAAGAACACCAAAGGCTAAAGCTCTAAGTGTTGATGGTCATATTACGTACTATAGGAGCATCTTTATTTTATCAGAAATCTTATGATTTATATAATTTTTAATTAATCATTTACTTTTTATTCAATTAAAAAACCACGCTTCAAACAGAATCATAATGAATGGAGAATATAGGATTAGCTGAAATGACAGAATGTTTTTACAAATATTCTAACATTTACCGAAACAAATTGTAATTAATCATTAATTTTTCACTTCAAATAAATCTGAAACGATAACTTAGTTAATTGTTTTTTATATATAAAATTAAAAATCCTCTAATTTTCCTCTATTTGTCTATTTTAACGAAGAATTTACGGCCATCCTTTATGATAGACAATCACCAACGTGGTTAGGACTTCAATAGGTAACTGTTTAGTAGTGACGTATAAATTTCTAATTTGAGCAGAATTTTATTGTTCCAGCAACTTATTAATAATTTAGTCAGTTATAAGTTTTATAAGATTTCAATTCTAGCGATAATGAATTTCGATTATGACTCCAATTTACGCAATAAAAATGTTTCATATAGAAGATGAATCTAATAGAAGTAGAAAAAAAAACATTTTAAATATAAGATTTGCCTACTCTTGGCCAACTCGAGCAGTTGCTCGGGTTGCTCAACGGAGACCACGGGAAGGTGGTAGGCTTCCTCCGTCGGGAGGGGAATGGGGAAGGATGATAAGGATAAGGTTGGAAAGGGTTAGATGGGTCATACTTACCTGGACCCATGTAGAGGATTTATCCTCTACATTCTGCTGATCCACTCCTGTTCTCGGCGGAGTCGGGTAGCCATCCTCAATTGTCGACGGGCTTCTCTGCGTCGTTCCCTCAGGATGCGTTGTCGGAGCTTGTTGGCCGCCTTCATCATAGACTTGGCTGAAAAGTCTATCTGATTCACCAACTCTCCACAGTCGTCTTGAAGGTCCGTTCCCTCAGTGACGTTCCGGACTTCGGCAAGAAGATGCTCCTTCAACACTTCTCCGTCTTCTGGAGTTCCGCCAGCTACGATTAGAAGTCGAGCAAGTCTCGTAGTTACAGTTTCTACAAACCTCTCCCGAAACTCCTGGACTTCTGGATCGGCAACTTGCATTCTGCTTTCTTCCATTGTCGGCACAAATCAATTACAATAATCACGATGTGAACACTTCGAGCTCTCACGCGGGTATGAACTGATTTGGGCATTACAGTCCTTAGTTGTGCCATTAAGGACCTCCTTTTTCCCTTCCAAACTCTTGTCTTTAGCGATCTTATTGGCCATAATTCACCCTCGAAAAATTCTCATGATCCAAGATTTGCCCTGCTACCCCCATGGAGGCTGAACTGGGAAATTCCCAAAATCTAGAAATTCTCATAGCCAAGTTTTACCTGCTTAAGAACGTAGAGTTTCAACATGCAAAAACACTAAAAAGCAATAAAACACCTGCTTGAAAATTATGACGACTAATACTGCAAATCGTCACGTTCATCGAGTCATAAAAAAGGGTCCAGTGATCAGGTAGATAATTGATCAGGGTTAGCAAGAAGAAAAGGTCGAATAAGTAAATTTTCCATAGAATAATAAACTATCTCTGTTAAAAACAAAATCGTTCAAAAAGCAATACAGTCATGACGAAATTCATGAAACTAAGTTCAAGAAAATGAATCTAACATAAATTGGTAGAAAAATACTTTACTTCTACACAAAGCTTATAATATTAGCCTACATCCCGTTTTGCCGTTTCAAAGAATTATAGTATTTAAAATTATTTATGTCATCGCTTTTTCATTTTATATTTCATCTATAGCTCTAAATTTCTGTTCTAGATATTCCAAAAAAAGAGTCAACTGAACTTGGATTATATGACTTTCTTGTTGAAGCTGAACTGCAACAATATTACGAAACTATAAGAGGTAGAATTTTAAGTACAAGTTCTATTTCAACTTTACAAAAAAATATTTCATATGCACACTTATATTTAGCTAATCTTGGTAGCAATTAAGAGACATTTTAACTTTGATGATATAAAGCATAATGTATAATTTTTGCCATTTTTTTGGTCATGCTAGAGCTGAATTATGGGCATATATTTTAGGGTTTTATTATTCTGCCATCTTATTGATGACTTAAAAAACTACAATTCTAATTTTAGCATAAATTATTCTGCATTGACTATGATTTTGATTAAAGCAGTTGAAAAGTTTCATCTTGAAAAATCTATTAGCATGCTTATAATTTATATAGGCTTCATAGAATGTGAGTCAATACTAACTATTGACTGGTTGTTCAGTAGGGTCCATACAAATTTCTCGCGAATATCTTCCTTTTCCTTTGCCAAGAAATATATTAGTAATTTCCACATCTTTTATACGAATATTCAAAGTAAAAGAATACTTTTAAGCATTTCTTGAAGCTTTTAAAACCTCTCTAACTATGATCTATCCAGCAATCAATAATGTTTTTCGGATGGTAGATTGTAGGTGATGTAATGTCATCAGGAAGTGAAAAACTAAAAATAATTTTTTATATTAAACAAGATATTGAGATGATAAATTATGTATAAAAACATTATCTCAAACCATTCAATTTTCTTTTTCAGATGACTTCAAAGTTGAAGCTACCGCACAGTTGAAACGTATCACAGAAAATGATCTGAAAGCTATTGGAATGAGTAAACCACAAATGTGCCGTTTGAAAAAATATTATCGAAAATATTTTCACAAAAATAGTTTGTCAATGTCTAAAAAAGTATTATTATCCAAACAAGATGGAAAGCATTGTGGATCTATTGATCACACATTTGATGGGAATTATGACAAACTTATTTCCAAAATGTCGAACAAATATATCATCTCTACAGATTCAATAGTTATCCATAAAAAATTAGGAGCTGGTGAGTTCAGCATAGTCCAACAAGGTATTTGGAATAATAATGGAAAACGTATTCAAGTCGCTATCAAATGTTTATCACGAAAAAACATGCAAAGTAATCCAATTGAATTTTTGAAAGAAGCGTCGATTATGTATTCTATCAATCATGACCACATCGTAAAACTATATGGAGTTGCTCTCGATACTTACACGTGTATGCTTATCACAGAACTTGCGCCATTAAGATCATTATTAGAATGTTTGAAAGAACCAAGTGCACGAGTGAACTTCTCAATTACAACACTGTGTAACTTTGCTACTCAAATCGCCAGTGGAATGCATTATTTGGAAACGAAAAGATTGATCCATAGAGATCTTGCAGCTCGTAATATTTTGGTGTTTTCCAAAAATAAAATAAAAATATCCGATTTTGGATTTTCTCGAGCATTGAGTGTTGAAAAAGACTACTATCGTACTCAATATAATGTTAATTTAAAGCTACCAATAGCTTGGTGTGCCCCAGAAAGTATATTATACTTGAAATTTACATCATCGAGTGATGTATGGGCGTTTGGTGTAACATTGTGGGAAATGTTTTCATATGGTTCTCAACCGTGGGCTGGTCTTACTGGTCATGAAATTTTAGATGCTATTAATGAACCTAGATTTCAGAGATTAGAGCAACCTGATTATTGTCCCCGTGACTATTATTTATTAATGCAGAAGTGTTGGCAACATGAGCCAATAAAACGGCCTCAATTTAGTGAACTAGTTAAGCTGCTTCCAGATATGCAACCAGAACAGGTTCGAACTTTGCAGAAGTCTGATGATGTTAAGCAATTGATTTATCGACAAAATGATATTATATGTGTTCTTGATAAAACTACTGATAGCCATCTATGGAAAGGAGTACTTAATGATGGAAGAATTGGATTTTTCAATCCAGCCCATACAACAGCTCATCTAAATTTTAATAAAGATAAAAATATCAACGAGCATATTGAGAATAATAATAAAGATATCAATGCTCGTAGCCGTCAAAAAATACAGATAGATTTAATATCATCTCCTCAAAATGACTCTAATTCAAACGAAGAAGACCGGAATAACTTTGACTTTTACAAACATGGTAAATTTATTTTTGTAATATTATTCAAAAGCAATTATCGTAATAGATGTTACATGCATTTAATATTTTTTATAAATTATTTATGACTAAGTACTGTATTAAATAAGCAGTGTTTTGCAATCTTCAACTCCACCAAGGACCCACAGCCATTTTTTTATCTCAAGAATAACGGAATTGATCTATTCAGATTCCGAAATCTAAAACTTAATTATTATATCTTGAGTAGATTATTTGTACAGACATATAACCCTCGACTGAATCATTCATAATTGTCTTATTAATGCCAATCGTTTCGACTTTTAGCCCCTATTCTGACATCATCATAAATTATGCTAATTTTTTTGTTAATTTCATTGTTATACGTCTTGTTATAGAAGGATTATCTATGGGATTGGACCACCATGACATGAGGGAATTACTAGGAAATAATCAACTATCAGATTTTGTTGCCAGTTCGATTGTTGAAGAGAACATTAATAATCAACATGAATACTATGAAATAAAAGAAGAGGGATGTAATAAAAGTCTGATAACACCGACTGGATCTAACAAAAATGATCCTGGTACGAGTTTAACTAATGACATAGATACAATATTTCAATCATTTGGTAAGACATTTTAACCAACAATGAATTCAGTTATCGGGGAAAGAGAAGAAAGAATTCAGATTTGATCATATTAGATAAAATTATATCAAATCTGATCATGTAAAATATTTTTTGACACCTGATTACAATCGAATCTAGCATCAGATTTCATGGAAATTAGTTCCAATAAAGTCTCATTGAATCTGATCAAATGTAATTTATTTTGTGATCATATTTAGCTAGATCTAATTGATTGATATCTTGGTTTCGAATAATTTTTTTGATAATGCCCACTAGTCTTACATAATATGCAAAACAATAAATCGAAATTGCAAATCGCATGTTTTCATCATGATATCTTGATTACAATTTTTTTATCTTAGCCATCGCTAAAATTTAATACAAAACATTTAAATTTTTTACAGGTGCACCATTTCTTTTTTCACCAGAAAATGGTACATCAGCAGAACATGAATCCAGCAATGTACAGAACGAAATTCGTGAAATGCAAACAAAATCAAGCGTAAACAAGAAACAAACTTCTGTAAGTATCCTTTGTAGGGAGAATTTATTTAGAAAGTCATTTAAGTCTGTTTCAAGTATTATTTTATTGATTCTCTTGAACTTTTAATGGACAATGAATAAGCCATTGTGATTTACAACAGAATTTTTCGAAGGTCTGATTTCAATAAATTTCTGCGGATTAACTCATTTTAATCCTTATTTAAAAGTGTTCAGGTACATTATTGTCCCAAGTTTGTACTGAGTTTTTGCATGCGTTTTATTACGGTTTCAAAGGTACGAGAGCCCTAAATTGTTGGACCTTTAAGAGATTCTACTGTATAAGGCTTTATTATACACATGAATTATACAGGAAAGATGAAAAAAATTTGAGTTAGGTGCTGATGAACTACTAATTTTTAAATGTAGTTAATATTGAATGTCTAGTTAAAAATCATCAACTACTAAACTCAATACATCATCAAAGAATTTTTTTTTCTACTCTGTCATAATTATAATCTCTTTTTTCGAAATTGTTCAAGGTAAAGCCTATATCTGCAGCAGATCAGAAAACTCTGTATTCAGCCATTGCTATGGCTCAAGAACTAACAGCAAGATCCATGACAGATCTTGAACGTTCCCAAGAATTAGCACAAGTATTATCGAATACTTCCAGACATAGAAAATTCTCTATGAAATTAACAAATCAAAATAGTCCGAAACATAATAGACGCCATTTCTCGGAAGAAGCTGCAAGCATTCCCGATATACAAGTGAGTATTATTTTATTGCATTTATCATCCATAATATTTAGCACAAATGTCCATGTAATGTGTAAACGTATTATAATGTCCTAATTCTCTCTCTTCTCTCTTAATAGTCATCTATTTATTCATCAAGACATATAGGAATGTATTGTTGAGAATTTTTAACTCTGTTGGTGTAAAGGCTTCATTCGTATGACAGTCAATCAGAAAAATAATTTGTATATATAGATTAATTAATGAAGATTCATATTAAAGAAAAAAATTCCATGATAGTTTTAAGAAGCAAATTTTCAAAAGGACTCTAATTGAAAGAAATGTGTAAAACTCTGGATATTCGTGTGAATACATAATAAAATTTGAAAACACTTATTTTCAGGCGACTTTGTCTGATGAGGCAAAAGCAGTGTACAACAGTTTAGTAGCAGTGCAAGTATTCAATAGCTCTCTTCAAACCGACGATTCAAAAATGTCCAAGTATAATTTTCCAGACGAATTACAAACAATGAGTAATAAGAACTTGGATATGAGTATTGTTTCGCCGCACTTGGAGGAAATCATGGGATTTAATAAGAATGGAAACCAATCAAATTCATGTCTATTAAATCTATCTTCGAAAATAAATGATTCCTGGTTCTCTTTATCACCTTCCATGACCTCATACACATTGAAGAAATCTCATTCGATGTCAAATATTGAAGCTAAAGAAAACGCACAGCAAACAGAAACGAATCCAATTCCTTTACCTCCTCGCGATAGATCAAAATCACTACATTCGCAGCTACTTCTACCTAGACATAAAAGAAAATATCCCTTGATTATACCCGAGACTACGGAGAATTCTGCACAGACAATGGAACAAAGAGGAAAAGGAGATTTTCCTGCACTACAAGAATCGGATGATAACTCTATTTGTTCTTCTGATGTGAGATTGAAAACTCCTGTTTATGCGCTTCGGGTTTATAATAGGTAAGTTTTTATCACAAAAATAATTTTTATATCACGTCTGCATAGTAAACACTAACTTACCGCACGGATCTGCCGTAAGTAAATGAACAATTGCCCACGGGTCAATTTCACGCGTACTAACTTTAATCTCGTACGATAAACAGCATTTACTACACAGCTGTAATGTAAAATAGAACGTGAGACTTGAACCGTGAATACTCTAATTGCACAAAATGTTATAGGATAAAATTGATTCATTTGTATGTGTAAAAACGATTAAGACCAGTAGAGTATCTTTAAAAAATCAATTTAATAGTTTTTTATTTGATTGCATCCTATTTTTCATAATATAGTAATAATGTTATCTTTTTTTTTGTTTCAGGCTAGATAACTTGGAGCAACCGGCAATTATAGAATCAGAAACATCAAGTTCTAAAGATACTACATCAACTTCGGATGATTTGAAATCTAGAGCTGAAAATTTCATAAAAAGTACTGATATATTACCAGTTAACAATGTAAAAGTAAAAAATGTTGAACACTCAGATCATGACAATGAAATCGATACAAAACTAAAATATTTATCGTTAAATTTTAAAAATGGTAATGACTCATCTAATAATGAAAATTTTAGTAAATCAACAGATTTAAAATCATTTAATTTCGAATTGTTGAATAATTTTTATGATAAGTATTCTCAAAATCAAAATAACTCATTTAATTCTGATTTGAAATTAACAGTGAATGATATGAAAAGCACAATACCAACATCTAGTTCAAGTAATCATAATTATTGTTTAGATTCAGTTAAACAAACAGATCAATCTGTTTGTGTACCTGAACTCTTTCGGCAGTCTGACCATGTGTCATGTGAAGATCTGCTTGAATTTGCATATGACAAACCGAATATTCATAGAACACGAGGTCCACATAATGGATCTCAATCTGATGAAGTAAGAATCATGTTGAAAGTTTTGCATGGCCAATCAACGCCAGAATCATGTGTGTTAGCTTTAAATGCTGCTAGCTGGGATGTATTAACTGCTATTAAACTAGAACGATTGCGTAGCTTACTTCAAATACAAAGTACTTCCACAACCCTGAAAAACTGCCAAAAAATATTGAGCCGATATGGTGGCAATGTAGTTGAAGCAGCTACGTTTCTGAAGTCAGAAAATTGCAATGTTTTGAATGATAACAATGTAGAATAGATGTTGTAGCTATTGTACACATTGGATTTGTATCAAATGAATTTATTTGACAATCAGAATATGTACTTAAAAGACTGTAGTGTGAGTTTATAAAAAGTATTATTTTATAAATTATTAATAAAAAAAATTAAATCATCTAATTGATTTTTTTCTGTACTTAACTTATATTAGAAAATATCCGAACTACCCACTACCTTTCTAATGACTAAAGACCTGCTTATCCTGCATTTAACTGATCTAGATTTTTAAATTATCTTTTTGTTATTGAGAAAAATCGTGAAGTATAAAAGTCTGTTTAATTCCCATGTAGGTGTGATGCGGTTGAATAAAGCTCATATGATAGACGTAGACAAGACAGGGTAGATTAATACCCTCTAGGCTAGATCGATAATCTCGTCAAAAACGTGCACTTTTGTGTGCTTCGCGAGATATGAGCGTTCAAATATTTTTTTATGATTTTTTGAAGCATAAATAACTCACGTTCTATAAGGCCCACATGGATTATGAACACACCAATAAATTCGTCCAGAAGAACCTTTCAATTAGATTGTTCGAAATCATAATCAATGATAAATAATATATGCTAAAATAAAAACTACAGTTATTAAGATCATCAATAAGATACCAGAATGATAAAAACCTAAAAAATAACAGAATTCAGGCTAGCATTACTGGCTTCATCTACAATATTAATTCGTAGAAAGACATTTTGTTTAATTTCCAACCCTGGACATAAGAAAAATATCTATCGAATATATTCTAGTATTTGATTCTGAAATTTAAATATTGTGTGTATGTTAAGTGTAATAGAATTTTTTCAGGCAATTTATTGTCATAAATGTTTATCTAAAATAGTAAAAAGTGAAGTATTTTTCTAACAATCCATTTTAGATTCATTTTCTTGAACTTATTTATTTGTTTCATGAATTTCGTCATGACTGTATTGCTTTTTGAACGATTTTGTTTTTAACAGAGATAGTTTATTATTCTATGGAAAATTTACTTATTCGACCTTTTCTTCTTGCTAACCCTGATCAATTATCTACCTGATCACTGGACCCTTTTTTATGACTCGATGAACGTGACGATTTGCAGTATTAGTCGTCATAATTTTCAAGCAGGTGTTTTATTGCTTTTTAGTGTTTTTGCATGTTGAAACTCTACGTTCTTAAGCAGGTAAAACTTGGCTATGAGAATTTCTAGATTTTGGGAATTTCCCAGTTCAGCCTCCATGGGGGTAGCAGGGCAAATCTTGGATCATGAGAATTTTTCGAGGGTGAATTATGGCCAATAAGATCGCTAAAGACAAGAGTTTGGAAGGGAAAAAGGAGGTCCTTAATGGCACAACTAAGGACTGTAATGCCCAAATCAGTTCATACCCGCGTGAGAGCTCGAAGTGTTCACATCGTGATTATTGTAATTGATTTGTGCCGACAATGGAAGAAAGCAGAATGCAAGTTGCCGATCCAGAAGTCCAGGAGTTTCGGGAGAGGTTTGTAGAAACTGTAACTACGAGACTTGCTCGACTTCTAATCGTAGCTGGCGGAACTCCAGAAGACGGAGAAGTGTTGAAGGAGCATCTTCTTGCCGAAGTCCGGAACGTCACTGAGGGAACGGACCTTCAAGACGACTGTGGAGAGTTGGTAGATCAGATAGACTTTTCAGCCAAGTCTATGATGAAGGCGGCCAACAAGCTCCGCCAACGCATCCTGAGGGAACGACGCAGAGAAGCCCGTCGACAATTGAGGATGGCTACCCGACTTCGCCGAGAACAGGAGTGGATCAGCAGAATGTAGAGGATAAATCCTCTACATGGTGCCAGGTAAGTATAACCCATCTAACCCTTTCCAACCTTATCCTTATCATCCTTCCCCATTCCCCTCCCGACGGAGGACGCCTACCACCTTCCCGTGGTCTTCGTTGAGCAACCCGAGCAACTGCTCGAGTTGGCCAAGAGTAGGCAAATCTTATATTTAAAATGTTTTTTTTTCTACTTCTATTCGATTCATCTTCTATATGAAACATTTTTATTGCGTAAATTGGAGTCATAATCGAAATTCATTATCGCTAGAATTGAAATCTTATAAAACTTATAACTGACTAAATTATTAATAAGTTTGCTGGAACAATAAAATTCTGCTCAAATTAGAAATTTATACGTCACTACTAAACAGTTACCTATTGAAGTCCTAACCACGTTGGTGATTGTCTATCATAAAGGATGGCCGTAAATTCTTCGTTAAAATAGCCAAATAGAGGAAAATTAGAGGATTTTTAATTTTATATATAAAAAAAAATTAACTAAGTTATCGTTTCAGATTTATTTGAAGTGAAAAATTAATGATTGATTACAAATTTGTTTCGGTAAATGTTAGAATATTTGTAAAAACATTCTGTCATTTCAGCTAATCCTATATTCTTCATTTATTATGATTCTGTTTAAAGCGTGGTTTTTTAATTGAATAAAAAAGTAAATGATTAATTAAAAATTATATAAATCATAAGATTTCTGATAAAATAAAGATGCTCCTATAGTACGTAATATGACCATCAACACTTAGCGCTTTAGCCTTTGGTGTTCTTTCATGAAATCTTTATCTGATTTTGCATTATCTTTGATATACATTTATGTTTGATATAAGGATCATATTTTTCTATAATCAATAAAGTTATTCATAAAAAATGCATTTAACTAAATTCTTGTCGCTGTTGAGTTCATATCACAAGAGAACATTAACAACCATGAAACTAAATATTCAGAAATGGATCTATTGATCCATTTGTTCTCTTTGGTATTAAAGGACCTTCATTTTAGATACCATTGGCTCTATCTGGATCATTCACTTTACAATACATGACCAAACGACAGTATATAAATGAGCAGATTCTTTCACAACAGCTTCCGTCAAGACAAATATTAATCAATACTTGATGGTGGAGCAGCATAACGTGATCTTATATCAGTGTCTCCATCGCAAATGTACTTCCCTATTGAATAAACAATATTTAAAATTTTATAAATCATCATGAAGTAAATATGGATTAAAAAGTAGTCGAACTGAGAACAGAGTTTTTTAGATATTCCATATTCTCCAATCATTTCTATTTTACCTCTTCAACTACTTTGTTTTCTACTGCGCAAGTGTACAAACGGCTAGATAAGCCCACAAAAAACTTTCTTTCCAGTTCGACTATCGTATATGTATTCTGACATACACAAATAACAGATGAGACAAACCTGAAACGAATCGACGTTTAACAAGACTCACTCTATAACCAGGTCCAATTAATTCAAACTCAACACCAGATAATGTAGTGCCTTCGCAATTAAATTGAGTAAAAATGGTACCCTGGGTTCCTGGTCCATGAGTTAACTCGATTCTTGCTTTCAATGATCCAACACCATTGCCTTCACTATGTTGAGACAATTCGGTGAATTTCCAAAGTAAACGATTGGTGTCAGGTAACCATTGAGCTGGAGGTTTACTGTGAAATGATTTAAGTCCACCATCTATCGGCGCTGCGACATGAAGGTTCAACAAAGGACTTGGTGAAGCCATAGCCCGATTGTTATATTTATAGTCAATCTGTAAAATCAAATAATGCGATTACATTAAAAAAAACATATTTAAAAATGCCGATTTCACAAATATGATGATTCGATTATGGGGGAAAAGTGTCTTACAGTAAATGTAATGATAGTTTTATAAATGAATAATTGACGATTTTACGCGTGTATTTGTCAGCTACTAGATCGTTTAAGCGGCTAACCGTTATTTTCTAGACATGTCATTACAGAGCCGCGTTAAATAAGGTTCATGTCACAAGTTCCTATCATGCGAGTTTCTCTAGCAATTAACTAGAAAGTATACAATTATTGGATTGGACTTCTATAGTGTCTCTATTCTCAGGTAATACTGAAGTAAATGAAAATTCTACGTTTTCGGCTTTGGAAGGGTGCCATTCGCGTCGTTATTTCGGTCCTGAAGCAAGTCATCAACCAAGACTATCATTGAATTTATATCTGTCTTATAAATACAAGAATACCTTCAAGTCTGTATGAGTTGATTCACATTTCCAATATGAAACAAGTTGAAAAGGACATGAAGCAGCACCTTCTTTATTTTTAATATTATATTTGAGTATGTCAACATTAAAATAAGAAGCTGTTGGATTTTGCTCAGCTTGGCGGCGTAGTAATGTAGTTAAGGCACTCATGTTGAATTCAAATACTGTACTATCCGCTATTGTCTGTGATGCATCTCTATTCGTAGAGAATATAAGAATCAGAACATTTTCTCATGATCATTTATAACAATTTAAGTAACTAAATATACTCACATGTTAACCAGTTGATTGTTTGGAACCAGTCTCTCAAGACGATTACTGTTTTTTATCCGAAACATAAGTTTCGCAGGACTTGGATTGTTGGCAAAAACAGCAACAATACCAGCAGGAAATGAAAGCATCATATCTCCACTCAACTTTACTTGACACCGTGTTTCATTTGTACCACGAAAATATGAGTGTACAATTTCATGAAAGGCCACAGCAAGGGGAATAGTATCAGTAAGACCAATTGTCAACGGCGAAGGACCTCTTGATGATCCCATACCAACACCCGCTGTACGAAATTCTAAGCTTGCCACACTATCAGCTCGAGATATTGTTGCAGGTGACATTCTCCCACGAAGCCCACTTTCACTCCGTCTTGATGGTGGCCTTGGAATTATTATTGATCCCGTTGGGGTTGATGATGCTGATTGTTTTGGTGGTAGAGCTGGTGTTATATCTCCCACTTCGGGAAATAGATCACCTTCTGCAAAAAAAAATTCAATCAATTATTTCTAAAATTTTCTGTAAGATCATGTTTCTTCTATGAGTGTCAGATTTTCAAAATACAATACAAAAGCTATTCGTAAAATTGAAATTTGTACTCCAAACTAGATACAGAAAAGTGAAAATTACCTGGACATCGTGTTTGAATAGCAGGTGCCGATTGTGGAGGTGCCATTTGTTGAATTGGTGACATTGGCATAAGAGATGGACTTTGAAGTGGAGCATAGGGATGATTTGTGGTAGGTGTTGAGGCACTAGAGGGCGTATTACTTGGATTAAAAAGATTAAGCCCTAAAAGATCCGAACTTGGCTTTCCACCTAATTGTTGTGAAACTGATTGAGATCGTTTCATATGGTGCTCTGAATCTGTATTGGATCCTCGACGACCCTGAAATTCAGAAATTGCCTGATACTTTACATAATATTCTTATGATTAAATACGTTGACAAATACGCAGTTGATACAAGAAAATTTGGAAATTATGCATTATAGTCTACATCCCTTATTCCCCATTGTCTTCTGCCAACACTTTTCCTACCTACACTCATCATAGCTCTTCTCACACTGCCTAAATTCAAATATGTTTGACAATCTATATTAATTCCTCAAAGTCGGGGAGGGCAGGAATCATTATGCTGCATAATTGCCGAAAAATTTTCCCATATCCTCTACATACTAATATTCATCTTATATACCGTAGGAGCAGGAGACAATGATAGATTTTCGACAGTTGCTCTAAGTTCGTCAACACTAGCACTCATAGGAGCTCCTCCATTACTTAAAGGTTTTATCTCAACGTGAATTTTTCTTTCTCTTTCATCATCAGATTCGGTATCAGAACTAGAATAGAAACCTTTTTCATTCTCCCAAAGGTCAGATTTCGGTCGTATACAATATCCATCTTCATCAACTTCAGGTGTTGGTGTTTTAGATTTGCGACTTTCATCTTTTTCTTCTCTATAATTTAATATAAAAGATACAGTAGATATTTAATATAACTATCAAATTGGAATCTTTTTTTATCATTATATGGGCGTAGATTGATGGAAAAGTCTTTGATATGTTCGATTTATTTTTCAAAGTTATTGATGTAATGTAACTAAATAATATACAATATAAACAAAAATACTGACAAATCAGATTTTTCTTCCTTGTTGCTAATTGTATCCATTGAATCCTTTTTTTTTCTCGCTTTTTTCTCCTTACGTTTTTCACGTCGACTACGAAGAAATCCTGTTAATAATATAAATATTCGGTATTAAATTTCATCTGTTCGAAATTGGGCAAAATATTATAAATCGAATCATTTAGAAACATCGATTATAAAAATATTCGATAAAACTGAATCGTTTTTTAAAAGAAAAAAAAAATACAATTATTACTCATGACGGTTAATTAGTTGGTTAATACTTGTCGAATTAAACTTCATTACCAATTGATAAAACTCCAATTATTGTTCTATTATAAACTTTTACTCGCATGTGAATGAATGTAAGTTATTTTTGTATTACACAAAACACTATATAATATTTATAAACAACATATAAATAATTGCAGTCTGAAAAAGAGTGCAAAAGTACAAAAATAAAATTTACATTGTATTCTTTGCCCCCAGCCATTCAAATAGATAAGTATATCAGATAATTCAACAAAAATAGTAGTGATAGAAAATTCACACCAGTTCCTAAATTCAATAATCAGGAAAAAAGATTGTCATTGACTTGCCCGATCTCGAACCGAATCTAGACCTCATAGTACTAAGCTAGATATTAATCTAATAGCATCATAAGCCAGCATTTTCGGCTTTTCATACTATTCGGTTTCAATTCGGCATGGGTTCTAATAGAATCTTTAGTTGATTAAAAATAATTAACAGTCGACAGTCTATTCACAGATAAAAATTTTATGTTTTTGTGTTAAAACAATTTTTAGTTAACACTTATGTCAATAAACATATTAACACAAATTTTTATTTAACTAATCTGTATGTCAAAACCATCATATTTCGGCGTAGAATGTATTTGATAAGAATACACAGAGCATTTCAATTGTCTGGACGGTCAAGTAAATTAAGATGTTAGTTTAAATCTTGTGTCAATTGACAATTGTTAGTTCGAGTTTCCATACTAAAAACCTCCGTACATGGTGCCAGATTTCAAGCTAGATCGCTTCCTCAGAGTCTTGAAGACAGCCTTGCATGCTATGCAACTGAATCCTGTCGCTACTAATGAGTTGGTTTGTACCGATACTATTTTTTATGCAAAACTGTCTGCTTGTTCGAGCGTTTTACCAATCGTAGAGCCGAATTTTATCACGTAATAGAGTCAGTCATCCATCAATTCGTGGTACTAATTGTCAAACTAGCAGAGCAACAAGCTTGGTGTGAGGCTGAATTAGCAGTACTCTTGATTAATTTTCAAGCATCATATGATTTACAGTAGCCCAAAGGCGAATCTAGCAAGCGAGTCAGCTCGAATTTTAGCACCGTGTGTGAGAGCCTTAAAAAATTTTGTTTGTGCGAAACAATAGATTCAAATTTAAAAGGAATATCAAGACCTTCAATTGGATGGAATAAGGAATAAAAGCTAAGAATAAGGACTACGCATGCGCACAAACCAATTCTTTTGCATTATAATGCTTCTGCACATGCATAATCCTTATTCTTAGCTCTTATTTCTTACTCCATCCAATTGTTTAAAGACCATTAATATTAAAGTGACAATATTTTCGTAAGAAGTTAATGATACATAATCAGTTAAATAATCACCTAATATAGAAAAGATCTAATTAAATGATTGAATCAAATTATTATTAATTTTTTAAATTTTAGTGGATTGTTTCAGATATGTTAAGTATGTTTAATTCAACAAGAAATTTTTATCTGTGTTAATTATTAATTAAGTAATTAAAAAAAGTCATACCTAATATTTAATAATGATCTTAAGTAATACAAAAAAATTTTTTTTTTGAATCTCATAAATGAGATATTTGGTAATTTAAAAATAAAAAGTAAAATTAAAGTAACTATGAATAATAGTCGATTGTTATAAAAATAAACTATTAGAGGAAGCTGGTGATAATAATTAACACCTCACTATAAGTTTTAATAGAATATTTACAATTAATAAAATAGAATTTTACCGGTATTTAAAAGAAAAATTAAACTAACAGAAAATATCAATAGACCCGGGATATTAATTAAAATTTATTAATAATGCTAAATGCTTCGAACTTAATAATCAATTAAAAGTATTTATTACACAGTCGAGTTTCTTTATAAATATTTTTCTAATATTTTCTAACAGTTAATACTAGAAATGCTTTTCATATTTAATCTAGAAATTTTTAACTTTTTATTTAATAATTAATAAATAAAAAATGTTCTTGTAAATGATTAGCAAATAAAGGAATAAAAGAGATTACCCATTTAATAAAATAACCGTTGACGTAACTTCAATTAAACGGCTCACCTGAGGTTTTTCCGTCAGTAACCTATCCCTCACTCTGTATACAATTCCTTACCTCCATCTCCCTTTAAACTATTAAATAAAAATTTTTTTGCAAATTACTAATAAATTATATGAAAATTCGTGTTGTTATTCATGAAGAAAAAAAGCTATGATATTTTGGAAAATAATTCACCCGAGAATAAATCAAATAGATCTGAATATATTCAGATCTATTATCTAATACGATGAGATCTATTCGATCTGCGTGCATCATTTTTTGTCTATAGATCTTTTCTGATCTCACTAGATATATGCTATTGTGTAATCTACGTAGAATAAATGTTCTTTCCTTTGTTTGATCCCAATTGATTCAAGTAGATCTGAAAAATGGTAAAATGTAATTCGAAGTAGATCTATTTCATTATTTCCCAGATTTATAATCTTTCGTACCCTGACGGAAAAATGTCTACAACTAATAACATTATTTTATAATTAACTAAAATTTTCTAATATCATCCCATAAAATTTATAAAGTTTTAAAATAGAGTAATAATTTGTTAAAAGCCTTATCAACCATCAACAACTTTTAAATGATATTTACAACTTAAAACGTTGCACTGAAAGTACATGCAATCTTCAATATGACTGTTAATCAATCATATAATTATTTATCAACTCTAATAGTTTCATTCGGAATTTCTAAATTTTCTAGGACTTAAATGAAAAAAAAAAATTCACCGGTAGAACTCTTAATTAGAGTGCGTCTGGGGTAAATGGAGGAGAGATTGCCAATTGAAATAATTTATTAATTTATTTATTAATTATTTATTATTATAATTTTTTGATTTTCTTTGATAAAATGCTGGTTCTAGTTTTGATCCCACGCACAATGAAAAGCAAATGGTTCTATTAATTATCTCGATTGGCCATCTCTCCTGATATGGCCATCTACCCCGGACTTATCCTACTATAATTTCAGGCTTTATATGCTAAACCTTTTATCTTATTGTCGTTCTTAGACCAAAAAATGAATTTAAAAAATTGGCGTCTTCTTAGAAGCAACATCTAACAATTACTTTCTAACTATTCCTTATCAAAACTATTATGCGACGTATAGAGAGCGCAGTAAAGTATAATAGTTACTAGAAAATGAGTGTTCTACAAATTTAAACATTTTGATGCAACTATTTATGACAATGTGTCATTAAGAATTTTGAAATAGTGATAATGATGGCAAAAAAATGATGATAAAGGAGATGAAAATGAATATAGAATATACGGAAAAAGAAAATAGTATTCCAAGAAATGAAAATAAAATATAAAGGAAAAAAAGTTTTTAATTAATGAAAGAAAAAGGATTATTTACACTGGTAATATAGCATCAATTTCGGCAACCACTTTTTCGCATGTAAATAATTTCGGTGTCATTCAATCTAGCGTTATTTTAATCTAATATCTAATATTTCATAGAAAAAAAATATATATACGCATGTTTCATACAAAAAGCTGTAGAAATTTTTCTGTCAGGATATGTTCTACCTTGGTGCAAGTCGGTAAGTGATTATTTACTTCAGGCTTCATCTCCTTAAATTCTGCGAAACTGATAATATGAAATTTAATATACTTACATTTAAGCCGTAAGAGGAATGGTGGAGTGCGCTATGCCACGATGAGTGCAGATATGAAAAGTAAAAGATAAGGCACAAGCATGTGATAACTAAAATGGTAGACTACCTAGCGCGTAAGTAGAAGACTCCGGTATGATTTTCGGTCTAATCAGTTGCCCTGTTGCTGAAAAATCTACCTGTATACCCGAAAATACGAAATCTACTGTGCACGTAGTATAGTATACTCTGAAAAGACAGATTTAGCACTATTTTATAATGATTTTCACTGTTTCATTTTTAGAGAGTAAAACTGAAAACCTCAATTTTAATTCAGCCATAGTTGAAAAACACGTATGGTTACAGTGGATGATAGTAAAATTTATCTGGCAAAAATAATTTCTACGAATTAATATAATAAATTTAATATTAATTAAATTTCAAATTTAGTCCTAATCTGAAGTACCGAAAATGGTTGTGCTGAATCTCGTGATAAAGCAGAAGGATGCATATCTAATTATTATATGCTGAATATTTTACCAGACATTATTAAAAATAATCGAATGTTTTTATATGATACCTGTATGGTAAATACTAACTTGTCGCACGCACTTGCTGTTGATAAGTGAGTGATTGTCGCGAGTCAATTACACACATAATAACCTCAATCTCGTGCGGTAAGTAGTATTTACTACAGTTTTATAGTATGAAATAGAATGTAGGACTCAAGTCGTTCATAGCCGATTACTTTCGTAGGCCAATAACCGCCTACGTGAGTAATCCGTTATTTACCGCTCTAGTTGTACAATATACTATTTTACTACTCAACCTTGTAAATGTCTTTTACGGCCCCTATCTTTATGAGCATTATAGGCCGTTTATCGACCGATGAAGACCCGTGAAATAGGAGGGCAATTTGGGTCTGTAATAGCTCAATTGGACATTTTTCAATGTTTTCCTGAAGGTTATATCTGTTTAGAAATCGTTCACTTGTAGCGGTCATCGTATCGATAAACGGCTCAGAAACATTCGCAAAAATAAAGGGCATTCAGGGAATTTGCGAAATGAAGTATGATAAAGAATAGCATACACTTCGTGATGTTAATAAGATGCTACTTATCCGAACAATGTTTACTGCCCTTAAGATTCAAATATGTGTACATGTTTATATCTTTCGGGCAGTAAAACATTGTTTAAAATGAGTAAGTGATCAATGTCATCAAATTTTTTCGAGATTTTGCAGAAAATAAAATTATCAATGGACGAACCTGCATGTATAAATCTATATAATCTGTTAAATATTGTGTAATACGTCTGTAGTAATTGGAATTAGTCTTGGTATGATAACTTTAACGGATAAATTGAAACCTTTAATTAATTTAAAATTATGGAATATCTCATTGTCGGTTACATTCAGGTGAAATGTATGTTACTGAGTAAAAGTAGAGGTGAAATCAAAAATAAAATGATCTTCGTAATTCCATTTTATGATAATCATGAAGAAGTGTGATTAAGCTAAACCTAATGAAGACCGACTTCATTTATCTCAAAATGAACTATAAAAATACATTCATTATTTCACTGTGATCAAATTATTTTCGTTTCAGTATATGAATATACTACGAGTTTTTAATGTTTCTATTTTTGAAATTTTTATACATGAACCTACCATGGGAGTTGGACATAAACAGATTGAGAAGTGAGGTGGTACGACGAAAGCCTTCAGAAGCATCTTTATCCTGTACTCTATACATCACATCTTTAATATCCTTTTCTTTTTTCGTTAAATTCTCCCTATTCCCTTGCCAATCATCTACTTTAGTGCTCTGACTTTTAATGCATTGTTTATTACCAGCAACACCTGTTTCTCCATTGGTTCCTTTAGTGGCTTCTTTAACATCTTTGACATTGATTTCATTCCCGGCATCGATTGACTGAGTTGGATTTGCTACCTCTGCGAGATTAGTCATCACCTCCTCGTACTCGATCACCCCTGATGCATTACGAATATCACCTTCGTTGATTAAATCTTGTTCAATGCTTGACCTCTCGTAGGTAAAGCGTCTATGCGCATTACCTGGCCTTTCGAACCCCGTGTACTTCGATTGTACGAATTGTTCCAACAGCTTATCCACCGTCATATCCAAACATTGACGCTTGAAATCGATATGTATTTGACCAACTTGTTCGTGATTTGACTGAAGAACATCAGCGTATGTGTTCAAGAATTCCTTCATTTGGCGAAGATGTGCTTCCTCAATGTCTTGAAATCTCTAATCAAACCATTAAAAACCATCAATACTTCAGAAAAAAAATTACAACTATTTGTTAAGATAACTGCATGCAAGTAATATACGTTTGTACTCTTTAAACTACTTGATAGATACTTAAATAATATCATTTCTAAAATCTTACAGATGTTAAATCGTATTACGTTAATTGATTCACTTATAATTAAGTTCAAAAATTAACTATTCAAAACTCCATTAACCTTTCGTTACTTGCGCTAGGCCTCCTGACAGCCTCAATTGTATAATGAACATGGCGCCACCTGTATTGAAGGCAAGGCGACGTTGCCACTTATCTATATCTCACTACAAACCTATAATGTCAATTAACTGGCTGACTGAACAACTTGGCAACACGGTAAGGATAAAATTCTACAACAGCGTTTTTTCGCATCCATTCAAACAAAAATTTAATTTTTCGCTGATAACGCAAGTAAAGAAAGGTTAAAAGTAAGTCAAACTATAAACACGAAATATAAGTTAAATACAAACTCTGAATTTCGCTACCTAACTAATTTTAGAAATATAAAAATTATTTACTCTGCAAGCATGAGTCATTTTTGTCTCAAAATCATTCCTAATAGTTGTGTATTTATCTACAAGAGCTTTGTAATCATCTTGTGCTTTTTTAAATTTCGCGTCAGCTTTCTCAATTTCTTTTTGACTTGCATTATCTTTTTTCAATTTTTCCAGTTCAAGTCCTCTCTGGAGACACATATCTTTAGCTTTCTGAAGAGTTAATGTAACACTTTGCATGTTTTGAACAACTTCTAGTGTCGAAGATTCTTCCTCCTTTACCTGAAATTAAATCCGCATCAATAATTGTTTGAGTAGATAATATTAAAATTTAAATCAATTGAGAGTAGCGGTCGGTATACTTGTCATGATTACTTCTGTCTCTCTCCCCCTCATTCTGGCACTTACACCGACCGCTACTATTACACAGAAAGTTTCTTCCATCCTGTTGTCCTTTGAACGTTGTGATCTAAATAACCCGTAGATGGTAGCGTGGTTTTAACAAATATCCTCGAATATGACATACAAATGAACAATTTACTATCGTTTAATATTTTTGAAGTCAATTCATTACATTTGTATTTATATAATAAAAACCCAAATGGTTATTTCAAACGATGGGAATAGTATAGTTATTTGTTAGAAAACATGCAAAGCCATCCATGCAAAAATTATTTAAGAGTGCTGAAATTTGAATGGGATATTTAGTATTTTTAACGAAAAAAAAAACATGATATTTTTTCACGAAATTTTTTCACCGATATCCTATTAAAATTATGATGAAAATAATAACAGTCAAAATATACTTCTAATCATTTAAGTCTGGTTAAATTCAAATATTTTTTTATATTTCATTTTTCTTCACTTATAACTACACGGAGAAAAAGGAATTATAAATTTTACTCCAATAAATAGTAGTCTGTCGCTTCAGGTAGAAAAATGGCAATAAGTAATTGTTTAATTAGTATACATTACAATTTTTTCTTGTAAAAGTTTTATTACATACTCAGATTGTAATATTTTATATTTATTTTTTTATCATTTAAAATTTTAATTCATAATAAAATTTTTACAAGAAAAAATTGTTATGTATACTAATTAAACAATTGCTTATTATTATTTTTTTACCCGAAGCGACAGACTACTATTTTTTGGAGTAGAATTTACAATTCCTTTCTCATCGTGTAGGGAGAATTAAAAATGACTGATGGTATTTATTTCTATTCACAAGTGTCAACTTTATTATTGAAGAAATAAGTTAAATTTGACTGCAACCAATATCTTTTATATCTGCAAAAACTTTTATTAATTTTGTAAAAAATTTATTCATTTTTTAATCAACGTAATGATCGTTATTTACTTGAGTGCTAATCTAACTTAAGAATCGAAAATGTTTGAATATTAACTTCCTGTTTGAAAGTTATTAATTTATATTTAATAAATGCATCATTCACTTCACGATCATTGTCCACGAATTGTAAAAAAAAACGACTTATTTAGATATAAAAATGTAATTAAACTTATTATCATTTTTTTCCTATACATTTCATTTATAAAGCTACTGAAATATAACAAGTGAGATCTGTATGATGACATGACTATTTGGAGAGTGTCTAATCTATTTTTGCAAAAAAAACCGTGATTATTATTTCAAAGTAGGTTACTTACAGTCTTATGTTTTCTATGAAGTTCATCAGCATATTTTGAGACATCTTTAATAAGCTCAGCTACTTTATGAGCTAGTTGTAAATGTAAACCAGCTAATTTTTCTGCTGCACCTCTCAATGCTGCCCATACTGGAGCAAACGTTCCTTGAGTGCTACTGGTATTACTTGCTTGTTTAGCAACTTTACTCAATAACTTATAATTATTTTCTTCAATTGCTGATCTTTCTCGGAGGAAATCCACCAGTTCTTTACTTGCTACTACACCATGCTTCATATTATGATATAAAACATCAAATCCATTATTCTTTTCACCCTGTAATAAAAAGGAAATTTAAATTAAAAAAAAAAACTAAGAATGGTGATATACAATAGATTCAATCTTTTTTGTTGTAAATGAATAAAAATTGAGAATACATATATGAAGTGAAAGATCAATATTGAATAGGAAATAATAGTAACAATTATCTATTGAATGAATGATGAAGTTAGCTGAAGACTGAGAATGTCTACTAGTAAATTATCTTTGAGTCGATTATTAAATAGCGTTATCTATTCAATAGGCCACTGTATTTAAATTATATATTCTGGACTCTAACTCAAGAGTCGTCGTTAAAAATCGTTTTCTCAATTGGAAAATAATGATCAGGCCGGATAGCATCTGATATTCACATCTATTTGGATCCTAAAATTGACCGAATTTAAATAAATCTGAATAGATCAAAGGAAACCTAAATATTCCAATCTGCATATATTTTATCAAATTTTCAGAGATCTACTATTGGTAAAAAAAAGTCCGCTTTAGAAGTCATCCAACATGTGTATAGACCAACAAATTATGATTTTTATTTTCAAAAAAACAATAATTTTAAATTTACTAATAAATATTACGATAAACATTTCTCCGAGTATGAAAGATAGAAGTGAATGTTAGAATTTAAACCTAAGTTTTTAAATGGAAACCCTAATGGAATTTTTGCAATCAACTTAGTGTCCCTGATGTTCATTCTAAATAGCAAAAAGTAAAAGTTCATTGTTATTACTATAAATTTTATTCACATTTCTTCAAACTGGCTTATTCGGTGTACTGATTTTTTCTTCACATTTAAAAGCAAGACGATTTTGCAAGATTCTAATCATCACGTTTAACTGTGGAACGAAATAGTTCAATATCCTTTACAAAATGTACTTGTTTCAACTTTTTTATTGTCAGCCCCTATTGTTTATCTACCTGTCCACTTGATCCTCTTCCGGAATTAGCAAAACGTGATGTTTCGTTGTATTACTTGTCACAATTTTATTGGGGTATTTTATTACCCCTTATTGTTCGTATGTTTCTAAACTTCTAGTTTCTATCAAGTAAAATTTGGCTCTAGAAATTTTCCCGGTTTCGGGAATTTCCCAGTTTTAGTTTATTTATTACAGGTAACTAAATGTTGGACCAATCGCAAAAATTCTTGAGGGTGGATGATAACCAATGAGATCAATTAGGATCAATGTTAGGAAGGGATGAAGGAGGTTCTTAATAGAATAACTAAGCGCAAAAATCTCGAAGCCACTGTATATCCCCGTGATACTTCGACGTGTTCACATCGTGAATATTTTGTGCTAATTTTTGTTGACCCGAACGACGCAGGATGCAAGTGATGGATCCCGAAATCCAGGAGCTTCGGAAAAGGTTTGTGCAATTGTGTACATTGAGATTATGTAGACTTTTAATAGTGTCTGGCAGAACTCCAGAAGAAGGTGCAGCATTAAAGGAGCGCCTACTCGCCGAAGTCCGAGAGGCAACTCAGGGAACAGACCTGCAAAGTGAGTGCGAGGAATTGGTGGTTGAAATTGACATGTCCGTCGAGTCTATGGTAAGAGCGGCCAACAAACTTCGACGAAGAATCCTGAGAAAACGACGCAGAGAAGCCCGTCGACGATTGAGGATGGCTATCCGACTTCGCCGAGAACAGGAATGGATCAGCAGAATGTAGAGGATAAATCCTCTACATGGTGCCAGGTAAGTATGACCCATCTAATCCTTTCCAACCTTATCCTTATCATCCTTCCCCATCCCCCTCCCGACGGAGGACGCCTACCACCTTCCCGTGGTCTTCGTTGAGCAACCCGAGCAACTGCTCGAGTTGGCCAAGAGTAGGCAAATCTTATATTTAAAATGTTTTTTTTTCTACTTCTATTCGATTCATCTTCTATATGAAACATTTTTATTGCGTAAATTGGAGTCATAATCGAAATTCATTATCGCTAGAATTGAAATCTTATAAAACTTATAACTGACTAAATTATTAATAAGTTGCTGGAACAATAAAATTCTGCTCAAATTAGAAATTTATACGTCACTACTAAACAGTTACCTATTGAAGTCCTAACCACGTTGGTGATTGTCTATCATAAAGGATGGCCGTAAATTCTTCGTTAAAATAGCCAAATAGAGGAAAATTAGAGGATTTTTAATTTTATATATAAAAAAAAATTAACTAAGTTATCGTTTCAGATTTATTTGAAGTGAAAAATTAATGATTGATTACAAATTTGTTTCGGTAAATGTTAGAATATTTGTAAAAACATTCTGTCATTTCAGCTAATCCTATATTCTTCATTTATTATGATTCTGTTTAAAGCGTGGTTTTTTAATTGAATAAAAAAGTAAATGATTAATTAAAAATTATATAAATCATAAGATTTCTGATAAAATAAAGATGCTCCTATAGTACGTAATATGACCATCAACACTTAGCGCTTTAGCCTTTGGTGTCCTTTAATGAAATCTTTATCTGATTTTGCATTTATCTTTGATATACATTTATATTTGATATAAGAATCGTATTTTTCTATAATCAATACAGTTATTCCTGCATTTTGGACCAAGGAAAAATTTCTTGAAGCATAAATAACTCACGTTCTATAAGGCCCACATGGATTATGAACACACCAATAGATTCGTCTAGAAAAACCTTTCAATTACATTGATCGGAATCATAATCAATAATCAATAACATATGCTAAAATAAGAACTACAGTTATTAAGATCATCAATGAGATACCAGAATGACAAAAAACCTGAAAAAGAACAGAATTCAGGCTAGCATTACTGGCTTCATCTACAATATTAATTCGTAGAAAGACATTTTGTTTAATTTCCAACCCTGGACATAAGAAAAATATCTATCGAATATATTCTAGTATTTGATTCTGAAATTTAAATATTGTGTGTATGTTAAGTGTGATAGAATTTTTTCAGGCAATTTATTGTCATAAATGTTTATCTAAAATAGTAAAAAGTGAAGTATTTTTCTAACAATCCATTTTAGATTCATTTTCTTGAACTTATTTATTTGTTTCATGAATTTCGTCATGACTGTATTGCTTTTTGAACGATTTTGTTTTTAACAGAGATAGTTTATTATTCTATGGAAAATTTACTTATTCGACCTTTTCTTCTTGCTAACCCTGATCAATTATCTACCTGATCACTGGACCCTTTTTTATGACTCGATGAACGTGACGATTTGCAGTATTAGTCGTCATAATTTTCAAGCAGGTGTTTTATTGCTTTTTAGTGTTTTTGCATGTTGAAACTCTACGTTCTTAAGCAGGTAAAACTTGGCTATGAGAATTTCTAGATTTTGGGAATTTCCCAGTTCAGCCTCCATGGGGGTAGCAGGGCAAATCTTGGATCATGAGAATTTTTCGAGGGTGAATTATGGCCAATAAGATCGCTAAAGACAAGAGTTTGGAAGGGAAAAAGGAGGTCCTTAATGGCACAACTAAGGACTGTAATGCCCAAATCAGTTCATACCCGCGTGAGAGCTCGAAGTGTTCACATCGTGATTATTGTAATTGATTTGTGCCGACAATGGAAGAAAGCAGAATGCAAGTTGCCGATCCAGAAGTCCAGGAGTTTCGGGAGAGGTTTGTAGAAACTGTAACTACGAGACTTGCTCGACTTCTAATCGTAGCTGGCGGAACTCCAGAAGACGGAGAAGTGTTGAAGGAGCATCTTCTTGCCGAAGTCCGGAACGTCACTGAGGGAACGGACCTTCAAGACGACTGTGGAGAGTTGGTAGATCAGATAGACTTTTCAGCCAAGTCTATGATGAAGGCGGCCAACAAGCTCCGACAACGCATCCTGAGGGAACGACGCAGAGAAGCCCGTCGACAATTGAGGATGGCTACCCGACTTCGCCGAGAACAGGAGTGGATCAGCAGAATGTAGAGGATAAATCCTCTACATGGTGCCAGGTAAGTATAACCCATCTAACCCTTTCCAACCTTATCCTTATCATCCTTCCCCATTCCCCTCCCGACGGAGGACGCCTACCACCTTCCCGTGGTCTTCGTTGAGCAACCCGAGCAACTGCTCGAGTTGGCCAAGAGTAGGCAAATCCTGACATTCAATGGTACATTGAAAGCAAGTATGATAACCATGTGGTTCAAAATCGTCTAATTGTTCTTCCTAGATGTGAAATGAATATTTCGTCATACACCCACTTAGAATGAAAGTTTTCACCCTGTTTTTAGATCGAAAAAAAGAGATATTCTGTTCCACAAAAGAAGACAAACATGTTTGTGCGAATGTGCACCAATTGGTTTGTAAGGCACAGTTCAGAATCCAACTCTTAGCTGCATTGGCTAGTAATGCACTAGTATTTTTTATTATTCTACTGACCATCATTTAACGTTAGAACCGTTATCCTTAAAGAACATGGTTCCAATCGATTAGAAATAATATTCATTTCAGTCCAGAAAATTAATGGAACATTAAAGAAAATCTTTTCCCTTTTAGTTTAATGATAAAGCTCAGATAGGCTGATTGATAAAAAGAAATAAAACTTCATTTTCAAGTTTCTTAAAATAATAAAAAAATTTACATAGGTTTGTTTCTAGTGTCAATCATAATTGTCTCTGAGATAACTCCATATTTTTTAAATACGCTCTGAAAACTATCAGACGGAAGTCAATATCTCAATTGGTTCGTAAGTTATCACATTGAAACAACTGAGAACAGATTCACAGATATACATACACACGTTTTATATTCTAAAAAACTATTGTATTAAAGTTAAAGAAAAGAAATAAAAGCTTTATTGTAATTTCAAAATTTCAACAACCTACAATAACAGCTACGTCAATCAAGAAGTTGCAAACGTTTCAAGTCGTATTATAATCTAAAATGTAAAACAATAAACAGTGTAGGTAAAATAAGCTGTTCATTGAATTCAAAGTAACTAGTAATATTCTGACTATAATCTTGCAAAGGTCTATCTTCTAGAATATCATTGAGTAACAACTCGAGTAAGTCAATTATCAGAATGAAAAACATCCAACTAGAATACATTTTTTATCAACCACCAGAATGTTATTAAAAATGTGGACACTTCACATTTTCTATTGAAACTTATTGAAGTATATCATCATTAATTGAGACATTCTATGTCTAGACTAATTTAAATGATTAAAATTAAGCAATAAGCTGATTGAATTTACTACGACGATTGAAGTTCTACAACGAAATCAAGTAGCTGATATATCCAAAGAGAATATTAATTTAATAATATTGGAATAAAAAATGACAGAACATACAGTTGTTGATGATATAAAAAATAATAAAATAATATCAAGCAATTTTATCAATAAAGAACAGACGTTTTAACTATCTACATACATTGATTGAAATAGAAAAATATCATTGGTATTTAATTGCACTTTGAATTTTTAAATGCAAAGAAATAATAAAAAATACTACAGCATGAAAATCTCACTCTAGTAATTACTGTTAATTTGATTCATGCTATGATTAAATTAAGATATAATGTAAAATTGTATAAGTTTTGTTTGTTACATTAGAATCTTTCAAAGCATTCATCAATGTTCATGCATAATTTTAGAGATGATTGGTGATTTAAAAGAGATGAGTAAATATTTTATTCACCAATACATTTAAAATATAAATACTCATGATAGCTATGAAGATTTATGCATATTTATCTTTTTAAATGATTGCTGTATGTCTTACCCAAAAATAATCAGCAAAATCGACAGTCATGATGCTCCAAAATCAGATCATACCCATAATGATTACCTAAGAATTCAATTACTGACACTTAATCACTTTAAAGCTTTATTTTATAATGATCTATAACATTTAACCGCACCCGATTAGTCTTTTCACTTCTGTTTTTTAGAACAGACTTTTTATTATAATGTTCATTTTTTTTTTTCAATTATGTAGAAAATTAGATGAACAAAATTCAAGTGATGGTATCACGAATTTTAGACAATGACACTTTAATAATATTAAACAAAAATTTTTTCGTAAACTTAATAATATCCTTTACCCTCTCAGAAATAAACTATAGTTAAATGGAGAAAAGAGTGTCTCCAAAGATTTGGGTGTTTTTCAACTATACTCGTAATGGCCAAAAAGGTATGTGGTCAAGCTTAGACAAGAACTCCTCTGATGCTTTAATCGAACAAAAAACAATCCTCCACCATTGCTCTACGAAAATGTGCGCGAAATACAAATTGCGATGATCATCATCTAGGTTAACCAACAAAGCGTAAAATTTCCACATAACCTGTCATTCAAAAAATTTTTAAATAATTAAAAATATCAAGAATAAAAATTAGAAAATTAGATTTATCTACATAACTCATTCAATATTTTAATTTCTATCAATAAAGTTATTTTTTATTATAGTAACAAACGAAAAACACTTCAATTTGGAATAACAACAAAGTAGATTTCCCAATCGGTAAATTTAGTTTTAATTTATAAAAATAAAGGCACAATTAATTTATAATTTTAATGAGTTTTTTAAATTAAACAAAAAAAAATTTGTTAATTCAACTAATGATCATGAATATTTATAACATGAAAATAATACAGAATTTACGTTTTCTGTGTTGGCACTGGTGTGCTCCAAAAAGGAGTATTGTTTTCATTCCATTCAGTTTATGGTGGGGACATGTGATTCGTACGATATTTGAAGAAGTGGGTATATACAGTTCTTTTTTGGCTAGTTCGACTTCAACATATTTGAAGTTAAATAATATTAATTAGTAGTTATGTAATAATAGTTTGTTTTCTAATTTACTTACAGAATCTGAGTAATTGACATATTTCATCATTACAATAATTGTATCCAAGATTTAAGTCCATTCATCAACAATTTATACATATCAAATATTTTGTTCTCATACTTTAGTAGCACAATTTTTGTTATGCCGATAACCTTTGTCTAATATTATTAGAATAATGTAAATATTAGTAGGATAATGTAATAATAGGAATAAATACAAACAAGTTTATTATCTAAACAAAAATCTGACTACTAAGGTATAAATTAAAAATGGCAATCATTTTTAACCATCAAGATCTGATAACCCTAAACCTACACAGAATGAAATTGGATAATATTTTCAATGAATAGCAGAATTAAAATTTCATTTGTTATAATTTTTAGGGAAATTTTCTAAGGAAGCTATTTCTTGAATCATCAATCATTCAAATGAATTTTTTAGCAGGTTTTATAGGAATGGTGTGTAATTTTACAGTTGATCTGTGTTGTCATTTCAAGAATTGAAGAAGAAAATCAGTCTAAATAAAATCGTGATTTCAAATATTTAATGAAAATTTTATCTGATTTTTGCTGCAAGTGTAGGATTTACTGTATTTTATGAACTGTCATTGTAGATTTAATTAGTTACAAATTTTTCAGTTCTTGAAACAACTACGTTGATAAATTAAAAATGCTGAGCAGAAATTTTAATTTATTAACTTCTGTGGAAGTTAGAAAATTGTCACGTCTTCAATTCAACGGCTTGTTGAAGGTTAGTATGTAAATAATCATTAGATTTTCTTATTCTAATTATGTCTGATCTTATTGATAAAATACTTTCATTTATGGAATTGTACCATTTATCAAATTAATCTCATTCAACCACGAGATACTTTCCAAATTATACAGAATATTGTTGAATTAATTAGTAGATCAGAATGTAAAAAAGTTTCATAATGCACTTTTTAATTGCATTTACAATTTTTTCTAAAATGATTAATTATTAATATTCCTACATAATATAGAATTCTGTAGAAATTTAAATTAACTTTAAATATTGCCTTTTTTGATTCATTACAGCTACTTAAACCATGTACAGTAAATAAGACTCAACAAGCATTTATCACAGGCAAGGCTGCACGGACGGACCGACCTCCACGACCACCACCTTTTGATTATAAAAACAAAGCATACAAATATTGGAATGTATTAACGGATCCAATGTTTGAAAGATTTGATGACAATTCAAAAATAGTCGTTATTGATGGATTACCTGCTACAGGAAAAGATAAATTTGCTAAAAAACTAGCTGAAGAATTAGAAATGCATTACATGCCACCACCAAGGTTTTCTGATCTTTTAGTTGATGAATATGGTTTCGATTATCGTACGTTAAATTCTCAGTTACCAGTTGATGCCCAATTCTTTGACGAGAAAACGTTCTTAGAAAATCCTACTGGTCGAAATTCTACAGCAATTCAAGTTAATTTCTTTTCATTACGGTATCACCAATATTTAATAGCATTAACACATCTACTTTCTACGGGAGAAGGTGTTGTTATACAGAGATGTCCTTGGTCAGATATGGTTTTCATGCATGCAATGAAAGATTGTGGCTATGTTCCACAAAGAGGATATGATTATTATAAGAGCTGCCTTGAATATGGTCTTCATCGTATTCTACGACCACATTTAGTAATATATTTAGATATTCCTGCTTCAATTGTTAAGGTAATGTATGTTCGTACGATCTTTATGTTATCTGAACCTGACGGAATATTTTCATATGCCAAATAAAATAATTACATTGAATGAGCATTAAAAGTATTTCATTACAATATCAAGTTATTATTTACAATATATAATAATTATTTATATTCAATTGTGAAAAATTTTTGTCACAAACAATATTGAATTAACTAATGTATTTTAAAAAAGGAGAAAATTTCATTTATTAATTAAAACTTCTTATGCAGGAGCGAATTAAACAACGAGGTCTTCCTCATGAAGTAAACTCAAAGGCGCTAACTATCGAGTATTTGAGTAATATTGAAAGATATTACAAAGACAATTATTTACCAACTATTTCTAATCACGCTCATACACTCGTTTATGATTGGACCAATGAAGGTGATATGATATTTATTGTGGATGATATTGAACAATTGCAATTTGAGAATTATCCACGGGAGAACCCAAAAATGGGTGATTGGAAATTCGATACACGAGATGATCAGCGTGCAGCTAGAGGTTTTTACGCTAATGACCGATTGGAATTATTAAACAATTTGCAAGTACCGCGTTTCGATGTTCCAGAAATGTTAATAACAGGACAAGATGTTGAAAAACGTAAAAATTTAATAGGAAAATTACAAGATCAGGTAAAATATAGTAATAACAATCATTTATTTTACTCATATATTAGTTTGCTCAATTTTCGAAGAAATATAGCGAAATTCTTTTTACTAGACTTTGTTTAAAAACGATAACGAATATTACGTTTTAAAAAAATTTCCAATCTAAAACTCGTAGAATAAAAATCATTTTCTAATATTCAAAACTTCATAAATAAGAATACATACGGAAATGTATTTTTAAATTTTATTAAGAATTTTTGCAAATTATTTAATGTTTGATTAATTGAAATTTCGATCATTTTAAAATATTAATACCACAAATATTTATACATAAATGATTTACTTTTTTACTTTTAATATTATAAAAATCTATTATTAGAGCATTAGAAAAATCATACTCTTCTAATTATAAAACTAATCTATAATTTTCCATAAAAATAATCAAATCTTAATTAAGTTTAATTAATTAAAGAAAAATTTAATCAATGATATTGTTTTTATTAGGGGGTCATTGCAGAGTATGAAAAAGGATTCAATTATGACAGAGATGAAGGAGTCCTTTGGAGAATTAGACGACTTCGGAAATAAAAATATCAGAGTAATAATTTCTCAATTTATATCAGTGTATATGAGAAATTGAATGCAATTAAAATAAAATAGGCTAAATTTATTGTAGAAAATATCAAATATAATTTGATTCACATTTTAAATAAATAGATATGTGATAAAATAGAATGTTATTTCAATGGGAAATAATTAAATCCCCTTCAAATTAAAATGAATTTTATTCATTCCTCATTAATCTGTAACTAATCTTCACAATTTATTTAGCTAATTTCTAAACACAAAGTGCACCTTTTTTCCAAAAGGTCGTAAAAATCATTAAAGACAATTTATTACTTTACTGCACTGTTCTTAATCAATCATGATTTTCATAAATTATCCTTTCATTCATTAATGAACATTTTTATTATAATAGACAAAACGTTGTAAATGATTCTTTTACATATATCTTTTAAAACACTAAGAATTCATAGGCTGAACATTTAAAGCTATCTATAAAAAGACTTTGTTTCGGTTATTTATTAAATTGTTATTTTTTGATCAAGTCATATATGGTTTATTTATAAATAAACCATATTTAAAATCTGGTTATTTAGGAACAAATGAACGCATATTGGCACATGTAAATCAAATACCCTTCATATCATCTCTCGAAAAATTTTCATATTTATAAATATATATTTTCAAAATAATTATATTTTCAAAGTCAAATCTAATTACTTTCAAATGACATATAGAACCTTTTGATTATTTGGAAATATCGATCTAACATTACCCTGTTGAACATTGAAAGTCAAACAAAATCTTCAAATTCATACTTAATATTTAAAAAAAAAACCTAAGATATATTTTATTCAATAATTCGTTATCTTAAATTGAATCTTGTATAAAAAGTATGCATTTAGCAGCTTTTGTTTAATTCGGATTGTAATTGTTTAAGCTTCACCACCATAATACATCAGAATTAAATAGATAAACACTAAAAACTTAATGTAATTGAATGTATGACAATGGAATCCTTAAAACAAGAAATTTACTGGACAAAGTGTATTTACAAGAAAAAAAGGAATATTCGTAAGACAGAAGTCAAAATTAAGAAGAATTAAAAGAAGAAAATGTTTTTTTTAGAGTTCATTACGACATTCAATGATTTTTTATATATCAATACGATTTTAGTAATTGCAATATAATTATTTTTTATGTGTTTCACACAGCAAGTATTAAAGTGTATTCAAGCTTGTAATGATTATATTTGAACACTAAATTCATTTATGAATAAATTTATTAATAATAATATTTACAAGCTGATCGTTATTATTATAATAATAATTCTCTAACGATATCTACTTTCAGTAATATGTTAATTAAATTTAACTTAATTACTGTTTTTACACAATTGTCTGCATGAAAATTAAAAAAATAGCACATTATATATCGAGGAAAGAACAATAGGTCAGCTCAAATCACCGACAAGGTTTGCTACTCCAGCAAAAAATGAGAACTTACAATTTGAGATGGCTCAATTGTCTTCCCTAAATTAGTATACTATTTGTCACCATGCCTTTGCTAAAAATTTGATAAGCCTTAGATTAGGAAATGAAATTTCCGCATAGATATGGTAAAAATAACATGATCACATCAATCATTTAAAATATTGAATAAAAATATTTCTTTTTTCCTCATATTAAGTAATAATTCTCAAAATTATATTAATTTCTTTATTGAAAAATGAACACTGTATGATATATTTTTTTTTATTGTTATTTTTTATAATTCTAAAAAAATTTGAAATTTATTTGCAATTGAGTTTGTGTGTTTACTATTATTTATTTTATAAAATATTCTTTTAATTGACTGTTCTTACTTCATTTATTCTAGTTCTCTAACTCAATATAATTTAAACCATTTAAAGTTGATAGTTTTTAATGAAATCGATCAGTTATATCGTGAACTGTATCAAATTTCACATTTTGTGTGTTCTTGAAATTTTATTAACTCACTTGTTTACAATTAAGGTCAATGTACCTTATTCTGGAATTGGAAAAACCATATATTATTACACCATTACACCATTTATTTAAATATATCATCAAATATTGCTGTTTAACATAAATTAAGTAAATGATGATTCACTTTAATGTATATCCTTTTCAATTGAACCTTTATTTTATTATTGATTTTGTTTGAATTTAATCAAATAATGATTAGTTAAAAATCGCTTAAATTTCCAGAATATGATACATTTACCGTATTATTCAAAGTTTTACCTTACTTTTAAGCATATGTGTATATGTCTCAGACAGTTATACATGTGTATATAATCGCTCGAGACATTTTGAATGTATTAATACTATTTTAATAGAAATATCAATATTTTTCTAATACTTGAAGATCATTTATTAGTCGGAATTGAATATCAATTTTAATTTTATAGTAAAATAGACGAACATTTTTTGAAAATAATTACCATAATTTTGAATTGATAACAGATAAACTAAACATAATCATGAAAAGATAAAATAAACTTCAAAATATGAAGAAATATTTCATATGAAATAAAAATAAAAAAAAAAAAAAATAAGTAAAATTCATGATTTCAAATGATTAATCATCGAGAATTTAAAATAAAAATTAAGCAATTTAATAATAAAAAGGAATGTACTTGATATTAAATTTTTGGAAAAATGATTTTTGAATAATATTTATATTATATATTTACACTATAATCACGATAAAATATTTACAAATATGATAGAAAATTTTTTAGTAATATTACTCCAACACTTTACACAGAGAGCACAGAACATATTTAAATGGAAAAAAAAAAATTTAATGTTTTATCTTTATTATTCAAATTCTTTGATAATATTACTAAATAATTTTCTATGTGTTGGAGAAGAATTGACAAAATATATAGACGATAGTAACGCAAAAAGCGTTAAATTATTGAGATGATTGAAGAGTTTGATTCTATGTATGAAAAAACTAACTGTTCGAATTATCAACTTGTTTTTAAATTATAATTTTACTTATTCTTTTTATCTTCAAGTAAAGAACTTTTACCAACCCTTTCTGTAGCTGTAACATTGTCAGTTTCATCAACTTTATATCTCTTTAAAATTTTTCTTGTTTCTGGGCTGGTTTCATTTTTCGATTTAGACATAAGTTTATTTATTTTTTCAGAACTAATAACGGTATTTGAAGTTAAAAGAGCTTTTGTATCATTTTCATTTTCTATTTCCGACATTTTCGAACAGTTGGCAGATTTCGTTAAAGATTTCTGTTGATCAATATGATCTGAGCTACTTGTAGCAGGTATTGAAGTTTTAACAGAATTTAAATGATCACTATTTTCGGGAGGATAATTTTTTTTTTCATCACTTTGTTTTTTTTCCAAATCCTGACTAGATTTTAAATTTATACCTCTTAAAGTTATATCTATTTCACTTTCATCAATTTCTTTAGTAGAATAATCTTCACTTTTGGAGTTAGTGGGAGAATCTTTTTCTTCCGCAATACGTGGCAATTGAGTGCTTCCACAGGAATTCGATAATCCAACATTTTGAATATTAATTGACATTCCATGGGGTATCTTAGAATAATCACTTGATTTTTGATCAATTGGTTTCTTTTCGTTTTTTATATCACTTGAATCTTTTATAGATTCTGAAGTATCATCATTAGAATCTACATGAGATGTTTGAGCAATTGTTACTCGTGGTGTAACTCGAACTATGCTATTTGCCAAAGGAGAAATCGAAGTTTTACTCTCAGCTGAACGTGGATGTAATCGATCTGGACTTAAAGCTCGTCTAAGAAGTGGTGAACCGGGTTCCGCAGATTTTGGACGGCTGTAGCTTTTTTTTTGACTTGCTGGCGTTGATAAAGATGTACCTAAAAATACAAATGAATATTAACATGACAAAAATAATTTTAAAGTTTTTAAAAAGCTTACTTCAATATTAATTCAAGTCAATGTTAAAATCTAAATGTCTAACAGGTCCTTTTTTAAAATTATTACGTTTACAAATAAAAAACTCTTACCCGGACTATAAGACTGTGTTGTGTTAGAGCTGCCTGGCTGGTGTCCAGTTGGAAAAGCCAAAGGACTTGGACTTCTTGTAGGACTAGCAGGAATCGGTGAAGGACTTGGTGTTCTTGCTAACGGTGAAAGTGGAATATGACCGACAGATTTACGACGATTCGGTGAATGTATATTTTTTGCAGCTGAATGAAGTTTATGTTTTAGTCCATGAAGGGTACTAGGTCGTTGGTAGTGTGATTGATTGGATATGACGTTTGTAGATGAATTCGAACCAGGTGATGATGAATTAGGACTTGAACAAGAACTTGAATTTCCCGTTATATGGTACGACTCTGAATTAGGACGGTTAGTTGTTGGCGGGGATGGAGTACAAACAGATTTAGCTACTCCTGGAGGAAAATAAGGGGAGGATTCTTGTTGGGAAGGTAAAGACCGAGTGAATGATTGAAATGAACGGCTCGGTGTTACCATGGACGGAGAACATATCCCTGCAGCCATCTGTATAGAATAAGTTGAAAAATTATACATGAAAATTTTTGTTTCAGTTAACAAAATATCATCTTCATTTAAAAATACTAAACTCAAAATTTTTAGTATTTTGTTTACATTATTAAAAATGGATGTAAATAGTAATACTTCTTTTTTTTAAATTGAAAGTAAAAGAGTATTTTCTTTTGAAAAAAGGCTATCTATATATAAATAAAATATGTTATGTTGATGTTATTTACATTTATAGAATGTAAGTATCACATAACATTACATACATAGTCATTTAATAACAATTAATTTTATGAAACGCAATAAAAATAATGCACGAAAAGATCATTCATAGAATTTTCCAAGTGAAAAACCATTTTCTCTGCAAAATGAATCAGTAAATTAAGATCTACTAGAGTTTTATGATTCTAGTACGAAGATTAATCTTAATATCATAATTCTTTTCATCACTTTTCATTGTAAAGAGTATTCTGATAGCTTGAATCAACATCACACGTTAAAATACAGCCTATGTTGAATTATTGTTCATCATCACAAGAGTGACTTCAGTCGACATTATATTGAATATTGCAAATCAAAGGGGCTATTTTTGAATTAGTGCTGTATTTAGACTAAATACACTGTTTGTCGAAACTAATTACAAGCACACCCTTCCTCTCCTCTTTATCTAATATTTACTAACGTCATCAAGTTAATGAATAAACAGTTCACCTCCCTACATGTACCTAAAAAGTTGGAGGTCAATAATATTTTTATGCTATAAACTGTACATGTTAGAAATAGTACCTTCATCTTTTTGATCTCCACATTTCTTTTGTTTACATACAACTTTAAGAATAAGGTAAGAGAAATGATAAATCCTCAATTTGATATGCATACTAAAAATTTTCTTATCTGGAGGTATATTTTGAGCCTCCATAAGTAATCATTTTATTTGCGAGAATTTAAAATTTAGTCTGATCTAGTTGCCTTTGTTTTCTTCAACGTGAATAACAATTTCATCCATTGCATGAACCCGTTTTCTTTTTTGTTCTCAGTGTGTAACAAATTGTTTTGTGTACTTATGTGAATGAATGCTTGTCATTAAAAGTATAGCAGTTAAATAAATATAAGAAAATAATGTTGCAATAAAGAAAATAATAAAATAATACAAAAACCAATCAAATAAATGATAAGATGTATACTCTAATAAATAAATAAATCAAAATTAATAGACAAATCATACCATAAATGGAGGTTTGTTGTCGCTTGGTAGAATAGGTGCTGACAATGGACAACTGATACTTAATGGCTGAAATAAAATAAAAAGTGTTTTTAGCGTCAATTTGTGGATTTCTTATTAGTTGATTCTTGCCAATATTTCTCTTAGTGTACATTTATGCGATACGGACTAGAGGCAGGTTTAATTCTACAACAAACTTTAATATTAACTACTTATAAATAAGAAGATAAAATACTTCATGTTCCGACGAGTTCTAAAGCCTTGTTTTATATATTTTAAAAAGTGTCAATCAATTTTTAGATTATAAAATAAATCTTTAAATAATAAATCACTATTTAAAAAAAAAAAAAATGAATATTTAAGATACATACCTGTTGCATTTCTACACTAGCACGTTTAGTACTAATTCTCCTAAAGAGTGAAGTTTTCCTTTTTTTATCTGAATGGTCGCGTTTTTGTTTACGTTGACGATGTAAAGTTCGTCTTGCCATTTTACTTTGTGCAAGTTCACGTTTTCGACCACCTGTCTTTATACTAGTATTTTCTAGTGGAGTACTACGTAGAGTTACATGATCTCCACCACCACTAAGCATTAATTGAAGAACTTGTGTATGATATAAACCTTGTACAGCTTCACCGTTGATATGCGTTATTAAATCTCCTGGACGTAAACCAGCTTCAAATGCTGGACTAGATGGGTCTACAGCCTAAAAATAAAATTTTTTAATTATTCGAAGAATCATTATTTTAATTTTTTAATGCAAAATATAATATTCTATAAAATAATTACCATAACTAGATGATGCATTGTATAAAAATCACTATCACCATAATACACTCTAATAGTATGAACAGTAAATCCGAAGCCATGAGGTCCTCGTCGAATGATTATTGGCGGTTTTAAGCTCGTCACAAGGGGACTTAATTCTCGACAAGGGGATGTATCTCTTGAAGAAGCAGTTGATGATCCTCCAGGTGATTCTATTGACTGGTAAGCTATAACATTAATTAATTTGTGTTATAATTATAAATCAAAAATAAATATGGCTCAGGAGGAAAATTAAAAATAAATTCAAAGATTTTCAAAAGCAATTTTATGATGAATTCTCTTATTTTGAATTGAATTTTAAATTTTCAAACTATTTATAATAATTATTCTAAATCAATCAGAAAACTAATGATCAACAATAAAATTATTCATGAATCTTCATTACACACGTTGTTTTAACTACAAATAGATTAAATGTTTATATACTTACAAGAGAAATCATTTGCCGGGATTACAAGTGAAAGTCCACTAGTTGATGCGGATTTAATAACAGAGCGAGGTTTTTGTTTCGTTCCTACTGAAAGTGGTGTCGTTGATAATGATTCATAAGAGTCTGTACTAGAATTATGTTTGTCTTCACCAGTTTCTCTACCAGCTACTGTTAAATCAATCCTGAAAATAAAATTTCTATTAGTAACTAGCAAAATAATATGAAAATGTAAATTCAGTCATATGCGAGTGGATTTGAAAACAAAACTATTTTTTATTTATAAAGAAATTTAAATGCTTAAAAAACAATCTGTTTTGAAGCCTTAAAAAGGCATTCGTTTTTCGATTAGTTTACACAATAATAAATAATATTGGCAAAAATTGATGAAAGTAAATGATTTACAAATAATTAGAAATCAAAAAAATTTCAATTTTTCATAGTCATTGTATTAAATGGAAACAGTATAAATGAGTTAAATAAAAAAAGATAATTAAACAAAACTCAACAGAAGCACAAAACTCACATGTGATCGCTGTCAATGGAAATACTGAACCTGGGCAGCTTATCTCGAACATAATTATGTCTTTTTCGTTGAATTTGAGGGCTGATATCATCAGATTCTGTTTGAGATGATTCTGGAGTACTGAAATTGACATTAGAAACTAAAGTTTCAGCAGAAGGATTTTTTTTAATAGTTGAACGGGAATCCCCACTCGAAGCCGGAGAGAAATGAGAGGACGAAAAGTTATCCATATTTTTTTCTATGTTATTTCCATCAACTTTGGTATCAGTAGAACGGTTTTTATCACTCACGAGTGGAGGTTTTTCATTTAATTTAGGAGGAGAACAAGATGCTGAAGAACTTGGAGATACTTGAAATCCTGTTCGGTCAAGTTCATTACGAAAGAGTTGTTTTTTTGAAAAATCCAAATCTGATTCATTATTTATTGTTGATCGAGACTGGGATATTTTTCGTGATTGCGGAGAATAAGAAGAAAAACTACCGAACAATGGAGAGTCATCAGTATCATCGGTATCTTCACCAAAATCATGACTATAACGATCCATTCGTGTATCAAAATAACTCGTGTCTTCATCATGCGTCAGTTGCGGAACAAATTCGGCTTTCTGGCGTAACAATGTATTCCAATTAACTCCATAAAAGTAGGGATGTTCCTTAACTTCATGAGCTCCTCCAGTTCCTAGACGTTCTCTTGGATTTTGCTGGAGTAGAACGGTAATCAGGTCTTTAGCTTCTGGTTGCACTCGCCAGTCATCTTCATCAGGCCATTCAATGTCATCATTAACGGTATGAGCAAAAAGCTCTTCAGGTGTTTCTCCAAAAAAAGGAACACAGCCAATTAAAAACTCATATAATATAATCCCCATTGACCACCAGTCTACAGGTTTTCCATACCCTTGACGTAAAATTACTTCAGGAGCTATATACTCGGGTGTTCCGAAAACTTGTTTATCAGAAAATTGTCGAGTGTCTCGGTCTATATAACCTTCGTATAAATTTGTTGCTAAAGACATCAGTCCCATCTTACTTAAACCAAAATCAGTAAGCTTAATATGTCCTAAAGCCGTTATTAAAAGATTGTCTGGCTTTAAATCACGATGAACAATTCCATAGCTATGAAGATACTCAACTGCAAGAACTGTTTCAGCAAAATAAAATCTAGCCGTATCCGGTGGTAAAGTCCCAATATTTTTTAAAAGACTTGCACAATCACCACCTTCAACATATTCCATCACTAAACAAAGATGTTTCTTTGTTTCAAAACTACAGTACATTGAAACTACAAATGGATTATCTGTAAAACTCATAATATCTCTTTCCGCAAATACTTGATCTACTTGATTTCGAAGCATCAAGTTATTTTTATTTATTTTTTTCATAGCAAATCGTTGACGGCTTATTTTTTCTTTAACTAAGTATACTGCACCATAAGCACCATTGCTGATAAGTTTAACTACTTCATAATCATCTTCACATGGCACTCGTTGGAGTTTATCATCTTCTTTATTAGGGCTTGATGATGATAACTCTAAATTGCTTGAATTTAAACTTACGGAGTCTTCTAGTTTATTTATATCTTCTTGAAGTTCTGAAAAATAAATTCAGAAATTATTTATATACTAAAATTATTATTATTTAAAATTTCGGAAAATCATTGGAAGAAATTCAAGAATAGAAAAATTGTGGTAGTTTGAAAGATTTGATCAATTTACCTGAAATAGGATCTCGATTGAGAGATAGTTTACTGATAATATACTGAGGAATATCAGCCTTTATACCACTAATAATTTTAGCTTGACCCTCAGCTTGCTCTAATAAGTGATAAAACTCCTCAGGATCAAATTCCAAGCATTCTAACAGGCGTGCTGGACGAGAAATTATAAGCAAAAGTTTTTTAATTAATCCTGTTAAATGTGTTGCCGCTTCAATAGATTTATCCTTTGTCTACAACATACCATAAGTTAAAAATATTAATAATTGAAAGAATCTTTTATTTACAAGTATTTATTATAAAATATTTTATAAACTTTTAAAAATCAATAATTATAAATGATACGTTTATTTATAATTTAAAAAATAATTTATTACCTCCATTAATAAGTGTTCCAAACTTTCGGTCATTTCATAAAAATATCGAGAAGTAATTAACTTCTCTTGTGATTTTTGTAAACAGTCCCGAGCCATTTCAATAATTTGATGGTGAACGAATCGTATTATTGGTAAAGAATCTTGAGCTAGATGTGATACTACTTCATATTCATCAATTTCTTTATTATTATTTATAAAATTCGTTAATCGTTCTTCCATCTGTTGTGTAGCCTAACAAAATGTAAAAAGTATTAATTATTACCATAATAACATTTTGAATTTTTTTTTTTTTATTTGCAATTAATTTATATCATATATATAATTATGCGCTTTTACTTTACTTGGACCAATTTACGAGTATTTAAGAGTAATTATGCATAAATGGAATTTTCTCTGATTCAATGTTCAAATTTTGCAACGGTAACAATACGTAAAGCTTACATTAGAGTGAAGGGTTATTTTATCAAAGTGAATTATTTATTATTTTAATTAACTAATATTTTTTTCCAATTAAATTATAAAAATCTATCAATAGACCAAACGTAAGAACTAAGATATAATACCTTAGGAAAACGTTCTTTATATAGAGTATTCATCATCACAATTTCATTATCAAGAATTGGAGATCGACTTGGACTACTGTAATATGAAAACAAATTAAAAAAAGAACAGTGAAATAATTAAAAAAAAAAGATTTACCTTAAACTACGCGAACGAGGACGGTGTAACGGTGATTTTCTACCTTCTTCTTCAAGATTGAAAGATGTATTAGAAATATTATATCCTGGAAATCCTGGATGTGATGAACATGGAGTACCAGGTTTAGAAAAGTGGCATGATAGCATTCGCAGTTCATCTTTAGTTGGAATGTTTGGTAACTGATGTAAACGTTCTTGGCTCGAACATTGTGACTGTTCATAAATAAAGTTGATAAATTAATTGAATTTTTCAAATAATTAAAATAAACAAATCAAATCATTTCTTAGTACCGATACGTTGCTAGAGCCAGGTGTTGTACCATAGCCACTCGAAGGTAAACTTGCCACTGACCACCGTCTTCCATCAGCTGTATTGGATGCTCCACAACTAATTCTGTTATAGAAGAATGTTAAATAATCAGAAAATAATGGTCAAATTATAAATTCTATCATCATTATTCGTAAAATAAAAATGAGTACCTCTTGATAGGAGCAAAAGCAAAATGTGGACTCGATGACATCCTTGGACTTTCTAATGGACTTCCCGTAATTGGTACAAATGCTTAAATTTTTTGAAACATAATTTTTTGAAATATAATTCGAAAATATTATGATTTTATAGCTTCAAAATAATTTATAGTAAAAATTATTGAATATATTATCTTGATTGTTATTTATTTACTAAAAAAAAACCTTCAACTTGGGAATGATTCATTTTATTTTTACGATAAAAATATATTTCATTCTTTTGATAAAAAAGTTTAAAAATAAATTAATCTGTAATAATTAAAATAGGCCAAAAATTTATTTTAATAATAATTTTCTATTTATAGGATTACGATGATAAACATTGTAACCTGATAGTCAAATGTGTCAATGTATATTACACATAACGATCTAATTTAAATTGTTTACGACTCTTAATTGATTTTTCAGTCAAAATAATCATTTATCATTTTAAAAAAAACGGTTCTCATTCATACCTGAGAGCGGAGAATTACATCGAGGTAAAGTAGGTGAAGTTGTAGCGATGAAGGACTTTCGGTGAGCTGCTTTTGTCGCTCTTCGTGGAATATTGAATTCACGCTAGATTATTTATAATAAAGTGAACAGAGAATTAGACGAAATGTAATAAAATGCTTGATTATTTTTATAGCTGAATAAATTATATACTACAGCAAGTAAATTATGATGACGATTTATTGGAATAAAATTGTTTATTAAATCTTCTTGTTATTATTTACATGTATAAACGTGTATGCATTACTGAGTGTTCATGTTAAAAATATTCACATAGACTAAAAATTATTAATTATCCATCTTCATTAGAAACACTTAATTAATGATAACAAGAATTAAAAGTCTTCCCTTCATAACAATTTTAAATCAATAAGCTTGTGCAACAATAAGCAAACCTAATTGTTTGAATAACTTTTGGACAAAATATTAACATATGTATATTTGTAAAATATGTTTATGCATCTAAAGAATTCGTTATGATTCTTCATTCATTATAATTGATTGAAAACGGATTAATGTATTAATTTCGAGTTTTTTTTTTTTCTAGTAAAACGAATTTCTTACGTGTGTGTATTGATATGTCTAGATCGAGACACCATTCATAATTAAATTAAATCAAACTTTCACAACCTTTTAACTTTTGAAAGACTTTAAAATTAAAACCCTAACATAAAAAAGAAAATTATCTATCAAAGATTAAACAGTAAACTCATCAATATCGAAACAATAATAGATTTAGTAACACTTTCTTAACTATTTGAAGTGTGTAAGTTGATGACATTCTAATTTACAACATAAGCAATTCATGCAGCAATAAATAAAAGATAAACAATAATTACCATATGAATCGATAGCGATGGTGCCGATTTACCAATAGCAGAATTTCGCATTCTCACCAAATTTGACATTTCATTTCCAGCTGTAGGATAAGATAAATTAATTTTATATTTATTGTGTATTGTTCGAATAAAGTAAATTATTTTAAAAGAATTTTATTAACAAAAATCACTCACTAGTTGGATTGGGTGCTTCCTTACTCTCCCCTTTTACAGGTAATGACTTTTGAACCATTTCCGTCTCTACTGTAGCACTTTTATTGTCTTCGGATTCCAATTGATCAAAGACAAGGACACGGGCAGAATTTCCATGAGATCGCAATCGAGATCTACTTTGTCTATTCTTGCTAGGATCCATATTTTTTATTTTTTTCCGTCTATTGCATTGATTTGATTTAATCTCCAAGTATCACAGAATTACTAAAAAAATAAAAATAAAATAATAACAGCATTGGTATTTTCAATCAAAATCAATAACATTCTTGTAAGCTATGCTTACTCAAATTCTAAACTGTATATTGATCACGACAATAAATAAATAATAAAATTCTGTGAAATAATAGAAAAAAAATTGATTTTTACTTAAAAAATAGTATTTAGTCTAGTTTTAGAATTTTTAGTCTACCAAATTTTTGTGATCAATATTATTAAATAATTTAAAATAAAACCATCAATGGGATATTTTTTTTGTAAACTTTGATTAAAAATTAATCTTAATTATATTATGCTCACATTATAAAATAAAAAATGAATAAATTAACTTTTATGAATAAACATAACATCGTTATAATGACAATTTTATACAAAGAAATATAAAATAAATCAAAATTCATTTACATACATAATAATTAATAGTGAATAATTATTTTAATAATAAACTTTATATATTAAAATATAATTTTTAAACTTACTGTAGCTTTAAAACACACATTGTTTATTTACGACTGGTTTAATTAATGGAGTTGAAATAAAGATGATTAATCAATCCCTCACTTCATTTAGAGTCAAATGAATATTTTTTAACATTTATTATAGAACAATTTACTCTTTTGAATTCATAAGAATTTAATTAATATCTATTAGTAGAATAAACTCGAAAAAATTCAAAGACTCAATAATGAGTTACTGATGATAAATAATTAAATATTGCTTGATTATATCAAAATTAGTAAAACAATTTGAACCACAAAATATTTATAATTATACCGTGAAGTTTTGTAATTAATGTTAAATTATTTATTTCAATAAAATGAAACATTTAAATTAAAAAAAAAATCAGTAATCAATAGATGATTATAATTTCTTAACTCCATCAATATTATTTCAAGTGAGCTCATAATTACTAGAGAGTACACAAAAATTTTGTCATCGTCAATCACAATATATACCAATCCTTTTTTGTCATTACTATTATTATGGTTCAACTATTACTGATGAATTGTGCTGAGTCAAAAAAAAAATTTCAACACGTAATGAATGTCTTTTATATGCAATTTCACATGATAGTGTCAGAAATATTTGTTAGGAGTTCATATCATATCATATCAATGCAAATGTGTAAGCAATGAAATAATTAAAATTTAATATTTACCTTATATTTAATTAATTTCGAAGCATCAGAAATATTTGAAAATAATTGTAGTTGTGTAGAGTTACAACAGAGGAAAAATGTTGAACATGGAATAATTCTATTTCGTTCACATACACCCAATGTAACATAAAACTTTTTCACTAAACAACAAATAAGTTCACTACTGTAAAGAGAGAAACAAGTAAGCTTGATGTTCATTCTTGCTACTAAAGCGGCTATTCCGCGTATATTCGTGACCGTAGATGTTCAACATTGGAATGCATCACTCCAAAAGAGAGATTAATTATGGAATACACCACGACCATGAATCTTTGAAGTTGTGACGAAACATCACTCTATAGGATTTAGGATACAGTCGAAGAATACCAAGTTACATGGATTATTTCAAAAAAGTTTTCTAAGTAATTAAAAGGTTTTTACCGTTAAATTACCTGTAAAATACTGATTCATATCTCGAGTCACGCCTCTAGTGAAACTCACTTCAACTAACCTAAAAATAATCTATATGATGGAGGAATAGCTTTTCTATCCATTTTACTATTTATGTGGTTGTTGCCATAGTTACTGAGTTTATCTTCTTTGTTTTTCCTATTATGTACCTGTTATAATTTGATTAGAACAGATTCATATTCAAGAGAGAAATGACGGTGTATTTTGACCTGAGAGTTCAAAATCCAGAAACAGCATCAATAAATACAATTGCTATCTGGCATTCGAATTTTCCTTTATTAGCAGTTGCTTCTTATTCTCATAATAAAGGAGGTTTTGTGAGAATTTATGATGATCATGGAGAACCTTGTCAAGATGCAGAACCTTCAGAGTATCGTGTTTCTCAAGTTACTGCATTACAGTGGCATCCTGAAAAGAAAATATTGGTAGCTGGTTGGGAGAATGGTGAAATGAAAAGTTGGTGTGATGATATAAAAAAAAAGAAATTCTCTGAAATTTCTTCTCTCCATAAAAGTCAAATTTCCATATTACAATGGAGTCAACGCGGGGGACGATTAGTATCTGCTGATATAGTTGGTGTTATAACAGGTTGGACTGTGGATTCACAAGGGCAATTACGAATTGTATTTTGCCATAATTTAAAGGAATCAATTACTCACATTGCATTTAAAATGTTCTCAACTAAAGTATCTCATCATGGATTTGATCCAACATCAGTTTCACGTGAGGAAAACTCTAATCTTGTATATCCATTAAGCTCTTGGAGACCGCGAACAGCTATTCAAACAGCTTCTCAAACTCAAAAAGATACCCTATCATTTTTTACTGGTTCCTCTGGAGGATCAATCCATTACATAAACTCAACTGGTCAATTTACTAAAGTTTTAGATACTGAGAGTAAAGCCATTTATGGACTCATGTACCATCAAGTTAAAGACTGCTTAATTTTGATGACAGAAGACTTAACAATTAGTCAATTTCAAGTTGATATTACAACAGGAAAGTTGTCTGAATTAATAAAAATTAAAATAAATGCTAAAAATACTTCTACAAAAACAGAATCTAGTATATGCTGGATAGGAATTAATACCTTAGCTATACTTACTGGAGAAACAAGTATTCGATGCTGGAATCTACAAACTGGAGATACATATGTTTTATCTATTCCTGAATCTCAAAATAAAAATGCAGAATTTTCTTCAGAAATATGTACTAGTATTTCATTTTGTAAATATTCTAATACTCTTGCAGCAGGAACTGATCTAGGAACTATTTATTTTTGGAAAAAAAAATCGACATTAGACACTGATGAAAATGGTTGGTCTTTAGATCGAAAAAATTGTGTCGTTCATGGGACAGTAAGGCAATTAACATGGAGTGGATTATACTTCAAAAATTCTCTTTTAGCTGTCAACTGTATTACCAATGTATTTATTTTATATGAACAAGCAATGTCTATAGCATATCACGAAGATACAATTGCAAAACAAATATCCGCCACTCAACTATTACTTGAAACTAATCAACAGACTTGTACCGTTAACACTGATATTCAAATACGAATATTAGGTGTGAGTAATGATTATGTAGCAGTTTCTTCGGGAAAACAAATAACAATCTATAGAATCAATAAAAGTACATCATTGCATACGACAATTGAACAATTTTTCAACTGTGATGTTGAAAAAATACTTATATATGAGTCTACTTTAATTATTTTAACTTCAACTCACATTCAATTAAGAACAATTGAAGGAAGTGTAATTCAAATTTTACCAACATTACCAGAAGAAGGTGAACCTATTGTTATGGAATTGACAAATCACTTTTTAACAGTAGCATCTTTAAATGGTATTTTAAAAATTTGGGATCTCAAAAAGCGTGAAGCTAAATTACATACACGAGCAATGGCAATATATGATGTGATAAGTGATTTTTCAGAAGTTATTGAAGCAAAGTGTAATATAAATTGTAGATGTGTTTCACTTACTGTTGCAACATCTAATTTATTACCTAGTCCAATTTTATACATTTGGGACGTTGAAGGTGATCAAATGTTTGAATTTGATTTTTCTAAATTCCATGAACACAGTGATAATAGTAATAAAACAATTGTAGAGTCACATAAAAAATTAATCACTGAACATTTTTGGGATACTCTTGATTCACGTGTTCTAATTTGTAATATTCAAACTATTAAAAATACAAACATAAATCATCATTTGCCAGTAAGTTCAACAACTGATGATAAAAATAATACTTCACTGGTATGCATTTTTGCAACTCCAGAACATGGAATAACGATACACGATGTTCGTTCTTTAAATAATGCACAATTTCATCTTTTAGGGGTCAAATCTCCTCACATGATTCTTTTAAATCTAACCGATGAAAATACTGAAAATCAACTGACATATTTATTAATGAGAGAGTTTGAAGAATTAAATGACTATGATGATGCAGTTAGAAAAGCAGTTATGGATTTTAGTTTCCATATTAGTATGGCAAATACTGAAGAAGCTTTTAAATCAATACAGGCTATAAAAAATGAAAAAATATGGAAAAGCTTAGCCAAAATGTGTATAAAAACGAAACATTTAAATATGGCCATTCTTTGTCTTGGCCATATGAAGTATGTGAGAGGATCAAAAGCTTTGAGAGCTACACTCGAAAAATCTGACTTGAGTTTAGAAGCAAAAATTGGCATTTTGGCAGTTGAATTGGAACTTTATGATGATGCTGAACGTCTATTTTTTGAAGCGAAACGATTCGATCTTTTAAGTAAATTATATCAAGCTCGAAATAAATTTTCAGATGCTATCAATTTAACAAAAGAAAAAAATAAAATATGTGAAAAGCTTGTTTATTATCAGTATGCAAAATCATTAGAACAAGATGGAGATATTGAACAAGCAATTGACATGTATACAAAGGCGGAGAGTCATAAATTTGAAGTACCTAGGATTTTATTGAATCAACCTGCTAAACTACAGAAATATCTAGAAGATACTAATGATTTGTAAGTAAATAATGCTGTTATAAAAATTATAAATTCTTTTATGATATTCTTACTGAGGTTTTTTCAAAAGTAAGAAAATAATACTTACCTTCCTGACAAAAATAGTATCTATTTATTCTGTGTAGTAGAAATAAATAATAATTACTCTTTTTTATAAAAAAAAAACACTCAATAATTTTATTTTTTAAATAAAAAGTCAAATTGTTTATATAAATACCATTTTAATCTATTCCATTAACTTCATAAGTTTTCGGCTTGGAAAGTAATTCGCACTTAGTTTGAAATGTTTTATAACTCTTGTACACTGTATGACGTCCAATTTTTTTATATTTTTGTAATGTATTTGTAATGTTCTTACAGAGAAATAAGAAACTGGTATGCTCAATATATAGAGTCTACCGGCGACTTGGAAAGTGCCTTACGTCTTTATGAAACTGCAAAAGATACTCTATCAGTGATACGATTACTTTGTTATCTTGGTAGAGAAAATGAAGCATGTGATTTAGTTATGAAAAATAATCATGCCGCCTCAGCATATCATTTAGCTGCTCATTATGAATCAATGAATAATTTACCTCAAGCAGTACATTTTTATAGAATAGCCAAAGCATATACTAATGCTATACGAATTTGTAAGGTAAAAGCTCTTAACTTTTTTTTAAAAATATTTTAGAAATTTATATTTTTTATTCATTAGTAATACAAGATAGCGAAATGTACAATGATCTTAGAGTTATCTCCAATTTACTTTAAATATCAAGTATCTTTGGAAGAAATGTTAAATATAATTCAATTTAATTTTTTTACATTCTTTTTAAATTATCAAAAGAAAAGGTCATTTGTTGAATTAATTCAAATAATTATTTGTTTAATAAAACATGCAGATAATAATGTTATTAATCATTATTGTGTTGTTTAGTTTTTTAAAGTTTTAATATAAAATACAAATTTCAGGAACATGATATGATTGAAGAACTGTGGCCTTTGGTAATGCTGGCACCACGGCAAACACAAATAGATATAGCAAAATACTATGAAGACGTTGGAAATCCTGATAAAGCAGTGTTATTATATCATAAAGCTGGATTACTCGCAAAAGCATTCGAGTTATCATTCGAAACACAGCAATATGATATTTTACAATCAATTATATTAGATGTTAAAGATGATTCGGATCCCAGTCTTATAAAAAAATGTGCTGACTTTTTTCTGGAAAATAATCAAATTGTTAAAGCTATTGAATTACTTGCTATTGGTAAACAATATAATCAAGTTTTGAAGTTGATTGAAGAACATGATATAATATTAACTTCAGATTTAGCCGAAAAAATGACCATTCCAAAAGATGATAATAATTCAATACAAGAACAGTATCGAATATCAATTCTTGAAAAGATTGGAGAAATAGCATTTACACAAGGCAATTATCATTTAGCATCTAAAAAGTTTACACAAGCTGGTAACAAATTGAAAGCAATGAAAGCACTTTTGAAATCAGGTGATACTGAAAAAATTTGCTTTTTTGCTCAAGTATCCAGAAATCGAGATATATATATTATGGCTGGAAATTATTTACAATCATTAGACTGGCAAAATCAGCCGGAAATTTTGAAAAATATCATTAATTTTTATTCAAAAGGAAAAGCAATGGATCTTTTAGCTAATTTCTATACGACTTGTGCTCAAGTAGAGATAGATGAGTTTCAGAATTATGAGAAAGCATTAGATGCACTGAATCAAGCTGCTAAATGCTTGTCAAAACTTACATCACCTAGAGATTCACTAGCACAAAAAAAGGCTGTTGAACTTATTAACACGCGAATAAGTATAATCAAACGTCTTTTAGAAATAAAAAAGTAAGTATTTTTTTGTACCTATTCTTTCTGTTTATTTAATTATACTATTTATGCCTATAAAATAATCATTTTATAGATTATTCATCGACGGTGAAGGTGAAAGAGCAATTTCTCAAGGAGAAGAACTTATAGCTACATATAAAGATACTTTAAATCAATGTATACGTTTGGGAGATCTATTTTCACTGATTACGCGGCATTACATGAAAGTTGGAGACTTACAAAAAGCACGAGCTTCTATAGAAGAACTAAAATATTTAGTACCTGGTGTTGATTTAAACTGTTTTTATAGTAATGATTTATTAAAATCTTTAGGTCATCAAACAAATATTTCAAATCAAAAGCATGAAAATAAAGATTATGAAATCGAAGAACTTTTAGATGAATAAGATAATTGTTAATAAGAATAATGAAATAATGTATTATACCTTAATTTTTTGGAAAACTTTTATTAATTTTCGACAGTTAATACTGTTGAAGTTGAAAATCAAAATACAATTAATCAAATTATTTATTATTAATAGTAAGAATAATTTTCTTTATTAACATTTTTTGTGCAACTTCACTTTAAGATAATTATTTAAGTTTTTTGAAAATGTCACATTGTATGTTAAAGAAAAACTGAAACTAAAAAAAAAAAAAAACAAAAAATGTGAAAGTTTTATCTTGAATCACTCATATGAAGGTGTATAATAAAAATATTTTGAGTATTACGATTATATCGAGACAAAAAAATTTACACATACCCACACATATACACACACAAAAGTAAATTATTCATCGATTTATCTTCATTAAGAAGTTTTCTTACATGGCGAAGTATTTTGAATATCAGATTCTTTAGCTTTACGCTTTTTTCTTACAAGATGAGATATGTCACTAGTAGGTTTTACGATTTTTGAAGTACTCGACGATGAATGAGAGTTTGTGTCATTTGCATGATTGACACCTTTTTTTATTTCATCAATTAAACGCTGACAAGCTTCCTGTTTAAAGTCTTTTGCATCAGTAATTTTCTCTTGAATTTCAGGAAGTAATTCTTTTAACTCTGCGATTTCTCCTTCAATCGAATAAAACGGATCATCTGATGGCGGGACATTTGGAGTGCCTTGGATGGCTTCGAGTTGCTTTATTCTGCTTTGTAATAAATTGATAGCTTTATAAAATTGCTCAACACTTATATCAAACTCATGGATTGATGAATGTACTAAACCAAGTTGATAATGTAAATCAGCTATAGCACGGAATTCGTAGGGTTTGAGATTTTCAAGAAATCCTATGGCTTGTTTGAACTCAGAAGCAGCAACTTCATAATTTCCACTTTCCATAGCTACTTCACCAAGTAACCGGTATGTTTCTGCAAGGTGTTTGTATCCTGTTGGTCCTCGTTTTAAAAATATATTCTTTGCAAGTTCAAGAACTTCCCAAGCAACTTGAAGATCAATACCTCGACTTGGTTCGTCTTCATCATCTTCAATATTTTCATCTTCATTTTCTTGATTTTCTGTACAGTTTTTATCATCTTGATTAATTTGAGAACTCGTAGCGTTGCTTTCTAATGTTTCTTTACTTGAACCAGGGACATTATTTTCTAATTCTGTAGTTGATTTTTGATGAAGATTTGTTGTATCACCATTTTCCGAAGTTGTTTCAGTTGGAATGTTATCGACATTATTTATACTTACACTATCTTCATTACTTTTTTGATCACTTGAAGCATTTTCAGTTGCTGTATCAGTGGATTTTTTTTCTTTATTATTAACATTGTTAGATACGTCTCCGGTTACATCATTATTATCACATCCATCATCATCATCATTTTCATCTTTATCATCATCATCTTCTTCATCGTCATCATCTTCATCATCATCATTTTCTGTTTCTTCGGAGCCTAATACACCATTACCTAAAACACTGGATTCAGATCGAGCTAACCCTAGAAGAGCACGACCGTACAGTAGGTAGGGTTCTCCTAATTCATCTCCAAATTCACCATATTTTCGAGATAGTAATTCTAACCCTTCAGCAAGAGCTGTTACTGCTGCTGTATAATCTCGAACTAAAAGAAGCCGTTTTCCTTGTGATATAGCTGTAGCAGCATCAGTATAAGGAACATCATCAGCTAATTCCGCCATCTAAACTTAAAAATATTTAAATTAAATCCTATTGAAAAATTGTTTATCATATTTATACATATAAATACATACAACTTAGTATATTTATATATTTAATTAATGAAAATCAAATTGGATAATGTATTTTATGGTGAGCTGAATTTTAATTATAACAGAAAAATTCAACAATAACACATGGTAATTGAGAGTCAACAAGTAACGTATTATATTATACTATATATACGTATGTACAGTAGAGAAGAACCGTCTTTTATTCAGTAGTAGTGGGGGACAGAGATTGTATAATCTAGAGTAGAGAAATATATAGATGTGAATCGATATTTTACAAGCCATTTTACTGTCAATACTCATAAAGAGCCCGTAAATTAACAGGTTAAATGCTATCAGTCAGTAAATTAACGGGCTATTTCACCATCTTTGTCACTGAGTGCCTCTCTATTTTTCCATCCATGACGCTGGCAATCATCAAAGAGTTGTTATATATTTTATTCACTCTGTCAAAACATTGGGTTTGTTTGTGAAGTACACAATAATAACATTGACCTCAATTATTTATTTGGGTAGTTGAATAAAATATTTTAGTGAACTACAAAAGTTTAATATTATTTTACAATTATGTTGAAATTATTCAACTTGTTACATTTCATACATCAATTGTATCAAACTTGATTCATTTTTGAGTAATTGAAAATTACTAGACTTCAAAATTTTAAGTCATAAAAAGTAATTCTAATAAAAAGATGCAAAATAATTTACCTTTAACACCTATTCAATTGGATGTGTCAACAGCTATAAGGCTTACCAAAAATGAAGGAATGTTTAAAGAACGATCATTGATGGCCAGAAATGATGCTTGGCATCGAATCAAAATTCTGCGTGGAGCTAAATATGATAAAGAATTTGTATTACAAGCCATATTAACAGCAGCAGAACCAGCTGACTTAATTCCTGTACGATATCAACCCATAGGCTTGGAAGATACATGCTTCATAGCACGTAATTGTGGCCCTGCTTTAGAAAAATTGTGTAAAAATAATCTAATAATTAAAATACCAAAAAGTGATCCACTCATTCTTGTTATAACTTTGGCATTTGCTTCTATTCAAGACTTAAAAGTTAGTATACAACCATTGCTATTAGCATCATTGACTAAAAGATTTAATCAAAATAATAAAACTCTGGATTTAAACAATTTCCATCGTGATGGAGACATTGCCAATCACGTTTATTGTCCTTTATCACAAACAAGAACATTCAGTCATGTTCTTAAACTTACCAAAACTGCTTTAGCTTCATTCGAACATTTAAATTTACAAAACAACCAGCTTTCATCTTTGACAGCATTAGAAAACTCAAATTTGTCAAACATCAAGAGCTTGGATTTAAGAAATAATAATTTGATTGGTATGGAAGCTTTAACACCAATTCGAGAATTAACAATTACAGAACTTTGGCTTGATGGTAATCCTCTTTGTGAAAATTATTCTAGTGCAAAGCAATATACTGAATCAGCTAAAAAGTATTGTCCACATTTGAAGAAACTTGATGGAATTGAACTAGATGATCCAGATATACCATTGATGATTCATAATTTTTGGTTGAATTCAAATGCTGAGAAATTAGTGAAACAGTTTGCAGAACATTTTTTTACTATCTATGATCAAAGGGATAGAGCAGTATTAAAGAGACTTTATCATGATACAGCTGTTTATTCATTAACAGTAACAAAGAAAATTAATAAATCAAATTACAAGACGCCAGGGTTTTACACCACTGAAAGTCGAAATTTATTAAATATTTCAAATTCAATTAAATATAGTTTATTACATAGTGGTCCAGATAAAATTCTAAGTGTATTTAAAAAATTGCCTCGATGTCTTCATGATCGAACGACGTTTCAATATGATGTTGCCTATCAAAATGACAGTGTAACAGTTTTTTCAATTAATGGGTTTTTTAAGTATATTCACGGAGAATCACAATTATATTCTTTTAATAGAACTTTTGTTATAATTTCTTTACCAGATAATGAATATAAAATTATCAATGATCAATACCATATAGATATTAATAGTGTTAAGATAATGCTGTCAAATTTTGAAGAAAAACTTGAAACATTTTTTGAACTAAGTTTAAGTTATCAAGAGAAAAAAAGAATGATATCAACACTTGTAAATATAACAACCTTAAATGAAGAATGGTCTCAAAAATTTTTAGAAGAAGTTAATTGGGATTTAAAACGAGCCATACTTAATTTTATACATATTTATACAACTACACGTGTACCTAATGAAGCATTTTCTTAATTTTTTATCATTGTAATTAAAAATTTGCTTATGAGTGTTACTATAATCGCTCTTTTTTGTAATATTTTTTGATGTAAATATAAAAATAGATCGATGTTAACAAAAGGCGTTTTTAGATTTCAAATAACGTTTAGCTATATAAAAATACAATATTTCATAAGAATAAAATTGTGTTTTCTACCATCTATCTATTATTTAAATTATTTACCAGCATTATTATAATAAGCAATAAATTAGGTATTTAAAGCATAAAAACCTTTTATAACATTTATGCTACTGTGATACATAATACTTGGGAATGCATTATTGTAAAATTGCTATATTGTTCTGAAAGCTATGCCATTTTGTTTTACCTCTAAGATAAAATTTTTAACTTTGGAAATCAGTGAAATAAATGAAAGATCCATTCTTACACTATATCACAATTTTGAGGTAGGCTGTTCACCTTTTCTCAGCTATATGTTAATATTTAAATGATTTTGTTTATGAGAAATCATATCAAAGTAATTTTACTTATTCGTCGTCGCTGAGACTATACTATTTTTCAAATTTGATCATTCAATCACTACTCTTTCATAACTTAGAAATCGAGTTTATTTATTATTCTTTCCAGAAGATATAATACTTCTTATCCCGTCAAATCATCTTTCGTTATTTGACCATCCTTTAAAGATCCAGAAAGCAAAATTTTGCTTTTCAAATCATGATAGTGTCGCAATCTAGATGCTGCATAATCCTAAAAATAAAATAAACAAAGTTTTTATTATTTTAAAGTGAGTGTATACTGGAAATGAAATATAGAAAAAATGGGTTTGGGTTTAATTTGTGCCCCGATGACAAACTTCCCATTAATTGAAATCCGTAATTTTGTCTAATATGCTTTTAAATGTCTCATAACGTAAAGATATAATAAAATTACGAATTTCACTAATTGATCCCATTACAATAACTTTCTAATGAGAAGTGAAGGATATATTAATGAAGTACATATTTTAACTATGTAATAAATATTATTATCTAATTACCCAATATCCAAATGGTATTTGAGAATGTCCAGCATTTACTACACTCCATAATGTCCACAATAGATGACTTGCCAATGATAACACTTCAACTTCTGCCATTAATTTAAGTTCTTCTTCACGATTACTTTTTTCCGTTGTTTTTAAGTAACTTCTGATGAAATGTAGCTATTAAAAGATTATATTATATAAATATTATTTTCAAAAAAATTGATTAAAAATTTTATATTTTTAATATTCGTTAATGATCGTTAATATCAAATATTAGTAAAAATAAATTACAAAGATTTTAATATTTATTTATGATGAAAAATAAATATTCTCTATAATTTTAATTTTATGCCAACTTTCATTTACGGTAAATTTTTAAATGCAGAAATGAAAAATACCATGATACACCTCTATATTTTTATCCTTAAATAGTTGTGTTTTGAATATGATTTTTTTAAACTGACGAATTGTCTAAATTGATGATAGAAAATTCGTGCAGTGTGGTACACTCTAGTGTCGTAGCAAGGTGAAGATACGAATTTCAGGTCGTCTGGAGTTGATTAATAATCTCAGATTCTTGGATCAAGTTAAGTGGCATTCAGGATCTATCCTACTAGTTATGTAGCAGACATCAGGCTTGTTTCTGAGATTTGCAGTCCTGTGAAACTGATACATACACCCGCAACGCACTTTTTATCCACATTATTCTCAAACAAATATAATCAACACTGATAACACGTTATATTATTTTAGTGTACACGTAATGACTTATCTAATTGTAATGAGAAATATATACCTATCTATGTGTATGTAATTATATATATATATATAATTAAATATACATAATAGATATATAATTATTTTATAGACAATTACAAAGATCAAAAGTACACTTTTCCAATAATTTTTCGTTTGATAAATATGGATAATTTTTTAATAGTAATAATATTATTATCAAAAATAATATCAAGTTTTTTAAATAAATAATATGAAATTTTATAAAATTGAATAGTGAATCTTACTGGGTTACCATATAACTTTTAAAAATCATACTGACAACACACCTTCTGTTCATCTGTGGGTCCGGCTGCTTTTTTTTCATAGAAAAATGGATATTCTTTAAGTGTATAGTTGTATCGCCATTCAATGAAATGATTAGCGAGATCAAATCCTCTGTAGTTGTAGGAACAATATTCGAAATCAATTAATACTAAGTCACGACCGCAATTTTTCTCATGAAGAAGTATATTACCCTCTTGTAAATCATTATGGCAAAAAACAACAGGGTAATTGTGTTGAGATACAAAGTGACTATAAAAAAAAAGTAAAAATATATCATAATGCTTTACGTAACATTAAGAAATAATAAAAATTAATCAAATATCTTACTTGAGCCAAACAATTTCATCTTTGAAATTGGTTGATCTGATAGCTTTTATGTATTCTAATTGTAAATTATTTACATTATCTACATTTTTAAGTATATCTTCAGCACTATTACACCATTTAGCCATGGTATCCCAAAGCCATGTAGGCTCTTTACTGATAGGTACTTGCATTTTATGTAATCGTGCCATTTTCTCTGCTATTGAAGCACTTATTTCAGGATCTGCAAGTTCTTTGGTTAAAAGAGGACGTGCTGGTATGTATTCTTCAATTCTGCCACCAGGAAAAACTCCGTAGAGTTTAGGACCAAGCTTACGCTCAGATAGAAGAGTAAATATTACGGATTCAGTAATAATACTTTCCATAGCTCGTTCACCATGAACCTGTCCATATATTCGCAATAATACTTGTCGAGGTTCATTACGGATTGGTGTGGTACCATCTGGTAATTGCACATTGTACACCCAATTGCTTAATCCACCACTGCAATATTTTGAAGTTTAATTAGATAAAAATGAAAATATTTATATGTCATCTTTGTTGAAATTTAACCTTATATATTTGAGACCAATATTTTCAGCATTTACATGTTTCCATACTCCAGTTAAATAGTCGCGACAAATTCGTGCAGCTGTTGCTCTCATTTCGGGATTACTATCAGACATCTATAAAAATAAAATTTTAATTAGTTCTAGTCATTAAATTCTAAGATTACGATATAATCCTCAAATATATCATACATTGAAAAAACATTTCAAAATTACTTGAATCACAAATAAACAACAGTATACTGATAATCGAAGGAAGAAAACAGGGAATTTTTTCTCAAGTGTATTATTGTCACCCAAGTCAAGAGTGGTAAACACCCAAGCAAAAATTCCCTGCTTTGTTCCTATACTGCATGCAAATTTTTATCATATTATCGATAAAAAGTCACTTTTTTGCAGTTTTAAGGTTAGAAAGGTGAAGATCTTTTTCTCTTATTGGAAAAAAATGGAGTTTGCGTATAAATAATTTTCTATTTTCTTATAAGAAAGATAAATATGTCGCTTTTTATTCTTAAAACAAGGAAACAATGTCAACTTTCGTTAAAGATAAGTAAAAAAATAACATTAATGATTAAAAAAACTGATCAATTAAAAAATAAATATGTCTTTTTAATTTTTTGGTCTTTAATTTATTTGAAACTCTAGCAACTTGATCAAGAATTTGTAATTAGATGTTTATTTAATAGAATTGAGCAATATTTTTGTTTATGTTTAGTGTTAAATAGAAACTTTTCCTCATCAAAAAGCTTTCACAATAAAACTGACAACAAAGTTTGTTTCTCACATTCCAATTACTATTTATTAGAAGAAGACGATTCTTTCGTCAGCTTATTATATATAAACATATGTAAATAAATATATATATGTATATTTACATGTACTCAAATTTTATCTATGTGCTAGACACACGCTTCTGTAATTAAAATAGGTATCACATGACGTACGAATGCCCTCTTGCGCCACAAATAATAATGTTTAATTTTTAAATCACTCAATCAAGGATTTTATATAATTCGTAGAATTAAGATGGAATAAATAGAATCCGTAATTTCGTAGAATTAAATAGAAATAAGAACACAAATAGAGATCAAAATTACAGTTGTGCATTCACACAAGCTTGATATTAAAATAAAATTGATTTGTGCGCATGCGTATCCCTAATTTTTGGCCCTATTGAAAATCTCATTCTTCATCCAATGGTGTAAAGATTTTTAAAGAAAGCTTTTCATATGGCATATCATATTTCAGTCACCATTCTTTAATTTTACTTTTTTAAAATAATAAGATATATTTATGGCAAATTATATTATAAATTTTAATAATTTTATCACATAAGTAATTTTCCATTAGTCAATTTGTGGTGATTTTGTTTATATTTTTTTTTAAATAAATACGACAAAAGGGTAACATTACTTAAATACCGTGCTGTATAATAGTTTCCTAATTTAGAAATTATTTTAATAAAAATAAATTGAAACATGGACGATTCTTGTGACCAAAGTACTAATTACTGTGTAAAACTTTGACGTTGGCTGTGATAGATAATAATCTGTACTGTACTTACAAGAATCATTAATGTTTAAATATATTTTTATAACTGAGAGATAATTAAGAGATTATTGTGTAACACAGTACTGAGTTGTATTTTCTTTTTTCCACGAAGACAATTTTTTTATTAATTTTTTCATAAAAATTTACACATTTTAATGATTCGTGGATCTTACTTTGGTATGGACGCCCATTGTTGAATTTAATTTGAAATAATAAAGATAAATATATCCAATTCACTGTTATATTAAACAATAATTAATTACACTCAACAAATAATTAAACTGATAAATTTATGCAAAAATTAATTTTAAATTAAAGTAGACTTGAACAACACTTTTTACATTAATGTTTTATCACCTCTTTGTACACAAGTAATAATAATAATAGTAATAATAATTGAACAACAAAAATATGTTTTATCAATCACAATATAAAAATGCACACTCAAAGTTCAATAAATTAGTTAACATATAATTTAAAACTTTTGTGCGCTTAAATTTCAGTTCAACGAAATTTTGTTGAATGTCACAAACCAACTACGTACGCAGAAAGTAATTATATTTTAAGTAGAATACCACCTCTATGTTTCACAATTTCAAATAAAGTAGGGGAATTTAAAGAAGGGATATTCTGTGGCCATCACACTTATTAGGAATCGTTATTGGAAATTATCCCATATCAAATATCAAACTTATCACCTATTAGATAAATAAAAATTTTTCTTTTAGTGTAATCATAAATAACCTTGAATATGTTATCAACAATTTGAAATTTATTTAACATTCAGAACAATAATAAAATTCATCTATTTTTAATCAAGACACATACATTATAAATGATTCTTTTTCCTGAAAGACGATCGAATGATTGAAATAATTCTTGAAATAATGAAAAAGCAAAAAAATCATTAATACATTAAATGATAGAATTATTTTTGAATAAATCAGTAAGTAAAAAAAATACTGTATGAATTGTTATCTTTATCATTGAAAAAAAGATTACACAAATCATATAAAAATGAATCATCTTGATGGTAAGCTGAACATTAACGTCATTTATGAACATGATAATCAGTACAAAAATTCTGTTAATACTTATCTCCTTTTAAGATGTACAATAAACTTACTTACATACCAGAATAATAACTTGATTTGTGATATACAGTGTTGAAAAAATCAACGTAATTACAGATAATTTATAGTAAAATTTTCCTATGACAATCTCTATGATTAATTGAGCATATAACATGATTATGTATACAGCCTTTAATATCACGAACATAATAATAAACAATAGACTTTAATTAATGCAAATTTTCTATTTTTATTCGGGAAATATTAAAGTTATATAATAGATAAAAATTATCTTATTCACAAATAGAGAATTTTTTTGAACTCTACAAAATAGTACATTAAAAATAAATGGCAATAAATTTTTTTTATGGTAATATAATTATTTATCAGTTTGATTTAATTTTTTTTAGGATAAAAATACACGTTTCAAACTTTAAGATACTTCGTATTAGTATTTGCTTCATGAGAAGCTTATATTAGCATTACATTATTGTGAAACAAAAATTAAATGTGCAAAAAACTTTTACAATATAACAATTATACACAGATAAAGAGTACAAAAGTCTTCAAAGCTGAATACATGTAACAAAGGAGTTAATGTTAAAAATAATTAGAAATAATAATTAAGATTTTTTTCAGGCTCTGCAGGACTGGTTACTGGGGCAGCTAAATAGGATATGTAGTTGAGCTTGCTAATATTTTATTATTATAAACCATACCAATAATAACAATCAATTAGGTGTCATTAAGAACAATATTAAGCATCTCTTAACTCTCTCTAGCTGATAACAACAATATCCGGTTAATCTTGTTGATATCTAATCGCTGTCAACAATGTTAAATTGATAAATATAATATGCAACAAAGTTTGTTGATATTTCATTGTTGTTAAAACATCCAGGTGTTCATCAGCAAATTTGGATGCGATTCTTCAAAGTCGTACGAATTTTCAAAAATCGCGTGAGTGTTCTACAGAAATTTACCCTCTGTTGGTATTGGCTAGAATATTTATGAGGGACAGTACCGACATCGATAACAACGGAAATGTTCAAATACTGGACGCAATTCAGGGTAGTCTGCTTTTTTTTAGAGAATTTTTAGAAAAATTTAGATATTATAACTAAAGTTTAATTTATGCTGTATTGTTGTAAATAGAAATTTTATTTACTTATTGATGTTTCATTTAATGATTTAAAAATCTTCAGATACTCCAATCCCTCCTTTTTTTTGTACACACCTGAAAATTATCATTTTTTTTAAACAATTTCTCTATTACCTACCCAATTTTCATTGACAATAGGCTTTCGCTTTTCGCCGCAGGAAGCAAAGGCGCTAATTAATTTTGGAATTTTTTTTTAGGTTAGGCTGGCCGGGAGCGTGACATCCGTCCCCAATAAGATGTCAGTCAAAGGCATTTTTACAATCTTTTAAATTTAAATCTTTAAATGTATAATCTTACTGATTGTTAATCAAATTCTATGATACCCAGATTTTTTATCTAATGATCATTTTAAAAATAAGCTTTATTCTTTTAATCTTTTAAAATTGGTTTTTTTTATTTTCAATCATTTAATATTCAATCAAATTATAAAAATTTTTCTTTTTTTAATGTTTATCATTTCGTTGAACAGTCAACTTAAGAAATTAGGACTGGTAAGTTATCTTGCATCGGTATAGTAGAAAAAAAATGCAACTAGTGTCACTGTTTTCTAATAGATGACAGTAATTACACTGTTTTCAATCAAAAATTAAAAATGCTTATATGATTTTAAATTTTGAATTGTTTAATAGCAACTTTACTTACCAAAAATAAATATTAGATTGATCTTCTTGAAATGGAGCATAATTTTCTTCAAAACCAATTACTTATATCGATATTTTTCATCGTTAGAGATATACCACATCAAGTTATATTGAGTTAATTTCTTTACAATATCAATTACACAATTCAAAATAATAAAAAAATACTTTACTTTTAAATTGAATTTTTCTTCAATATATTTCCTTTTTTTGTTTCATCAATCATTTAAGTTACTGAATTACTTGCTATTTCTTCAGTTAGTTTGTGTTTTAATTGACTATCAGTAAGACAGTCTTCTAGTATTATCGTAATTATAAATAAAATAAAATATATTATTTGTATCATTAATTTACGCTTAGCTTAACTTTTCTAATAAAGTTAGTTTCTTCCATTGTGTAATGAAATTTTTTAAACAGGTTTTTTTTTAATATAATTTTTATTTCAAACTCTTTTTTCATTAATGACATATTTTTTAAAAAACAAAATAAATTTTTACACAAATAAATTATATATTAAAGAGAAATAAAATTAAGATCATATTAAATTTTTATTATTACTCAATTTAGTTCACACGACAATTAGTTTTAACACAAAAAAGTAATTTTTTGGGTAAATATTAAAACACATTTAATATATATATTTATACATATTCATAATTCTAAATTGAATTAAATTTCATTTTTCAGATCGATTAATAAACATAATTTGTGACAGTGACATTGAATATTGTAGAATAATGAATGAAACTACACGACAAAATCATTCTCGAGCAATTCAACATACAATTGACTTGTACATTAATAATTTACAAGAGTCCTTGAGAAATGGAAGGTACTTATATAATTTGTTAATTTATTCAATCATTTTATATTAAATTTAAATAATTTGTCATAATATCAATTTATATATAGGATGACATTGTCAGAATATTTGTAGGCAGTAGTTGAACGCACAAATATTGGACGGGAGCTGAGACAACGTGGCTCATAATTTGGAAGTGTAGAAAACCAAAGTTAAAGAGATACCAGCAAATGTAAACTTTCTTAAATATAAATAAAAGTTATACTTATAACTTCAGGAATGATTTTTGAATTCTTTAATTGACCCTGATTATTTTATTTTAAAATAATTGAATTAAGTAGTGATTTATATTAAAATTTATTAATAAATTTATATTCATATTATATTTATATTTAAATTCAGTTAAATTAAGGTATTCATTAAAAATACTGATTTATTTTTATAAAAACTTAAGTAATAAAACTTTTTTTTTTCGTTGCACGAAAATCGTTTATGTTTATTAAAGAAGAGAATAATACTGACAGACATTATTTTTGAAGTTTTTCAACTTTTTAATAATTCAGTTTTCAAATTTTTTTCACTTGGATTACGTTATTACGCTAACATTAAGATAAAAATGTTATTATCATTAGATTATAAGCCTAAATATACTTATTTATGTAGTAGGAATTACATGACATTACATGAGCCAGAAAGCAGACTTTTCTCTGTATAAGCATTTTGAATTTTTTTTCTACTATACCGACGCAAGATAACTTACCAGTCCTAATTTCTTAAGTTGACTGTTCAACGAAATGATAAACATTAAAAAAAGAAAAATTTTTATAATTTGATTGAATATTAAATGATTGAAAATGAAAAAAAACCAATTTTAAAAGATTAAAAGAATAAAGCTTATTTTTAAAATGATCATTAGATAAAAAATCTGGGCATCACAGAATTTGATTAACAATCAGTAAGATTATACATTTAAAGATTTAAATTTAAAAGATTGTAAAAATGCCTTTGACTGACATCTTATTGGGGACGGATGTCACGCTCCCGAACTCGCAGTCTTCTTTAAAAAATAAGACGGAGATAGATAGATGTATTCTGTGCTCTGTCTTGCTCGGAACAGATTATTCTGAAATTTCTTGGTGCCCTAAGGCTCCCGTTTTTTAGTGCATCCCTGAAAATTATCATTTTTCGAACGATTTCTCTGTTACCTACTCAATTTCAATTGATATCGAGCTTCGGCTTTTCGCCGCACAACGTGAGGGCGTAAAGTCAACTTCGGGAAACTTTCTGACTTCAGCCCAGCCTTAATGATTTAAAAATTTTCAGATACTCCAAACCCTCCTTTTTTTTGTACACACCTGAAAATTATCATTTTTTTTAAACAATTTCTCTATTACCTACCCAATTTTCATTGACAATAAGCTTTCGCTTTTCGCTGCAGGAAGCAAAGGCGCTAATTGATTTTGGAAATTTTTTTTTAGGTTAGGCTGGTCGATGTATGGTCGCCTCAAATTTTTCTCTACAAACAATGATGTATTTATTGATTTTTTTCATGTGAAAAATATTTATAAATAATGTACAAAATGGTATACAAGATTAAATACAAAGTTTTGTGACTCAAATGTAGTGACAAATTTATAGAGAATGATTTTCTTATGAATGGCTGATGACAACCAAGGTTCACCATGGCACTTTGAAATTTTACTGCAACATCACTGATAATTAATGAATATTAATTACTACAAACTAATTTTAAAATGAAAGAGACGCATATATAATCTCAGAGAAACGTCTCAGCTTTCAATAAAGACAAATCGTCGCACAATATTTATTTTTTATCGAGTAATCAGTGGAAATTTTTTTGTTTTCACAAGTCAAAATTTGATTATAATCCAGCATAAACAATAATTATAATAATAATCATAATAATTTTATAAGAGAACCCTTACATAATATTAAGATATGATAATATTATTTCTCTGGGGAATAATAATTGCGACTCTTTAATCTATCAAAAAAAAATTTGTTATTGAACATCAATTAGTGAATAATTCTATTGATACGTTTGATATTATTGCTGTTATTAATCATCATTATTCTTCAATCAAAAATCAAAAAATGCTTACGTGTCGCATGTCATTGATTGGATTATCTATTTATCTATTTTGTATCATACAATTGCAATGTATTGTTGCAGTTAGGTGTCCTGTTGGACCCAACGAACGCCCAATCATAGGTAAGAATAATAACTTCATGAAATCAATTTAAACGATTTAATTCACTGTCTTTAAACTTTTTATAGGAATTTTAGCACAAGAAGCAAGTCATCGAATGAAAAGTTTATACAATGGGACATATAAGACTTATATCGCTGCATCATATGTAAAGTTTTTAGAAAGTGGGGGAGCTCAAGTTGTACCTATTTGGTAATTAATATTAAAATTATTTATCAATATTCTATTTCATTTGTAATTAATTATTTTTAGGCAGGGAAAAGATGTTTCTTACTACGAGAATATTCTGAGGCAGATCAATGGGTATGTTTTTATTTACATTATTTTTGTATGCTGTTCATTTATCTTGATTTAGTGCTATTGTATACATTTTTAACGTTGAATATTCATTCATAGAGTTGTTTTGCCTGGTGGTTCTGCGTATTTCAATACAACCAATGGATATGCTGATTCTGCTCGCATAATATATCGGTTCGATACATCTATTTTTTTTTTAGAAAAAAATTGATTAAATCAAGAGAGAAAAATGTGTAAACAAACTATTTATTTTTAGTATTGCTACTGATATTAATTTATCTGGAACTTATTTTCCGCTGTGGGGAGCCTGTTTAGGTTTTGAAGTAATGACATATATAGCTGCTGGTGATCAGTATATTTGCAAACGATGTTATGGCATGAACAATGTTGCTTCACCATTGGAATTTAAATCAGGTACGTAGTAATCATAATAATATGTCTACTATTATAATAGATTTAATATAGTTAAATATTTTATAATTAATACATAAATTTATTCGAAATTCATTTGAATTTTATTTTTCAGATTATCGTACACGCCGATTATTTAAACATGCACCATCAGAAATTATTGAAATTTTAAACAATGAAAATGTGACTGCAAATTTTCATCACTATTGTGTCACAGAAGAGGTGTGTTCATTTATAGAGAATGTTAATCGTCAATTGAGTTAGAAAGCTCACCAATTTTATGCTCTCTCACATTTAATACAAAACCACATAAAATGATACTTTTAGGACTTTGCAAAGGTCGGCCTATCTAATACCTATCGAGTAGTCACCATAAACCGTGATAGTCGAGACACGGCATTTATATCAACTATGGAGCATGATCAATATCCATTTTATGGAGTGCAATATCACCCTGAGAAGAATAGTTTCGAGTGGGCCGATCGATTAACTGGTATACCGCATTCAAGCAATGCTATTAAAGTCAGCCAATATTTTGCTAACTTTATCGTTGACGAGGGTAAGCTTATTATATTATTGCCAAATTATTGTTTCTATTTTTAATCTTTCTAATATTAGATTTATTTTTGTCTGTGATTTTTAGCTCGGAAAAACTTTAATTCATTTCGGACGAAGGATGAAGAAAAAGAAAGTTTGATTTATAATTACGAAGTGACATACACTTCATCACCTAAATCATCATTTACTCAGTGTTATTTATTTGAATGGTGAATACTGTGAGTTGTATTTTTTATTGTTTATAACAGAAATTTAAACGAATTCTTATATATAATAATAATATTTATATATTTATTTATTTATTGCTGTGGTAAGAAAATGGAAATTAACGTTTTTCATTGGAATTTTAAAAAAAATGTTTAAAATTTTAAATAAATAAATATAAAAGAAAAAAACTAGCTTATATGATTAAACCATTAACTTTTTCTGTAAAAATTACAAATTAGAAATTTATATTCAAATATATATCCATAAAATTATATTGTAAGTGATAAACTTACGTTATCATCTATTCATCTTTTTTAAAATATTCATTTTATCAATTTTTCAATATTAATGATCTTCACAAGTAATGTGTTGGGCAGTAAGTGCTTAAATTGTATAGAATAACTGGCACGTGGAAGCCCCCAACGTAAAAAAAAAAAACTTCTTTTCATTATTCTCAGATTTTTCACAACAAATTTTTTATTTCGACGACACGTGTCTCTTTTTTCATTCTTTTTATTAGATACTTATTCTATCCCTTCTTCATAATAGCAACAGATATATCAATGTATTACGAACAAGAAAAAAGTTTTTGAATGTTCGAGAGTTGATATCTGTAAAAAATGGAAAAGTTATTATGTCTTTAGACATTCATGCTTTTCTTTGTGTGATTTTTAGAATTCCAAGAGTTATAAAGTCAAATACTTAACAATGGGTCGTAGAATTTCGTTATGAAATTTATTGCAACTATTTAATTATTATGGACTTGCTCTTTGAGAGATAAGAGTATACATGGAATTTATTTTATCATTTTGAAGGTAAATCATTAATAAACTAGATTCAAAAATTTATTCAACACTTAATAACCTTGCATATTATATAATAATTTTAAATAATCATATTTATTGTGTTATCTATATTCCTTTATTTGGATAAAACTTATATGTCCTTTTTTATAGGTTTAAAACTAAATAAATTGCTGGATAAGTGAAACTTGAGAATAAAGTAAATAGGTATGGAAAAGAAATTTATTATGTTTACAGTGGAAGAAAATATAATAATAAGAATAATTCTAGATAATTTACTTATAGCAAATTTTGATTTGAATATATCAATGCTGATACGATAATCAATTACTCTCGACATGAATGTTTTCAATTTTGATACCTTCTTTTTCAAAAACAACCTTACTTTAAATAATGATAATAATCAATTTTTGAAAGCCGTACTTACGTTTTTATATTACAACAGTTTTTCACATTCTCAAATTATTTATGCATTAGAATTTCTTCTTTGCGTCAAAAGAAAACTTGAACTGTTTTGAACATTTGATGTTAAATTTACAATAAGAAAAAAACATTCTGATTAAACCAAGCTGCATTTAAAGCAGGTTTCTCACAACAAACATTCATTAAATCACCTTTATTTCTATTGCAAAGTTTAATGCGTCAACTGCGAATTGTTTAACTAAACTTTGACTAAAACTCCAAGTGCAACGTGATTAAAGGTTCACATGATATCTTGATATTGAAGAAGCCATAATGCAGTGAGATAGTTTTAAAGTGTCTAGTTTATTTTTGATATGAAATTAGAAGAATAAAAAAAATGCATTTCTAAGATAATTCACATTTTCTAAAATTCAAATAACATTAATTAATTTGATTAAACTTTTGGTTTGATATAAAAAATTAATATAAAAGTTTTAAAAAAAAAGGTGATAAGAAGTGGGTAAATGACCTACTGCATCGTTTCTTTCTGGTCGTTAAATCGTTTTCTGAGTCAAAAAAAAATTAGTTAAATCTCGACTACTGCAGTTGAGGTTGGCCCACTTTAGGGTCAGAGTCCCAGATACCAGAAGAGCTTTCGAGCGTGCGTGGAAAGCTGTATGTATATACAGTTATATGACGTAGCAAAAGCGTCATCACGACGGTGCAACGACCTAAGCTGCAAGAGTGAATGAGGTGATGTAGTCAATTTCTACCTTGCTCTTTGCTACTTTCCCATTTTCTCTTCACACAATTTTCAATCTGTTAAAGTTACAAATTCGTCAGTAGTTGAATTTCTCATTAGATTTAAAGAAAAAAATAATTATTAATATTTTAAATCAGCTTTTTGTTTTTTTTTTTAATTACAGTTGTAAAGGGCAGCTTTGTCCAGATGCAAAAATAAGTCAAGTGAAGAAAAACATTTAAAATGAGCAGTGTCGTCTATCTTTGAAGGACAAAGTTGGAAGGGGGCTTTGCGGAAGGGGATGCAGTGGATGAAAACCGATCAGCTCAGCTCTGTTGTAAAGTGGCAAGAACTAGGGCAGGTTGCTCGTGGCCACATCAATGACGCCAGTGACGTCACACACCAGGTATCGGATGAAGAACTGGGCCAGAGGATGGAGAAGGGGAAAACATAAGGATAGAGGATGGTTAGGGCACAGAAGATTGTGTCGACTGAATGATGACTATAGGAATGGCTTCCCAGGGTTTTTCTTCCTCGAGGTGAAGGTCTTTTACGTGTACAATATAAAGAGGGTTTATTTATCCTATAATGTTTTTCCATTCAAAAAAACAATACCACTGAATGTGTGATAAATCTCTAGAAAATTTTGGATCTAAAAATAGCCTTGATGGTTTCGGTTACTGGTCTTTTTATTACTTTAGTAATGTCTTTTCTATTTCTTTCATTTCCTTTGTATAAAATACAATGATTATCGATCATTATTAACGACATTGCATAAAACATCTAATGTTTGGGAAAAAACTCCTTTCTTAATTTTTCCCATAATGTTCTAGACCTTTTTCAATCAATTTAAGTTTGTATTCTTGTAGTGGCTGTTAAAATCTTGAGCTTGATAGGATGTATTATTTTTTATAAAGCACGAATGTAGTTCATTTAAAGTAAGAAATTAAAAATAGTTAATTCTTGTAAAAAGGTCAAAAAGCTAGATAATAAAGTTCAACTTGTATATTTAAATCGAAAAAAGTTAAAATACTGTATTGCAGGATATCAATGAATATATGATACACAGAATTTCTTGGTTGTCGAAATTCAGGTTACGCGGTAGGGTCGTGAATGGAATCGATGACGTCATGGAGTGCAAGCTCCGCGAAATAGGTCACTCCTTGGCCTCGCCATGGCCACTGCGAAATATCCTCATACTGTGTGATCAGTCACGTTTATTGTTTTCATGACTTTCCGTGTATGTATGATGTTTATTATTTTTAAATCTGTGTTAATTTCTATTTGCAAATGTAATAAAATATTGGAAAAAAATGACATTGACACTAATCATTATTATTGTTGACATATTTTAAATAGTTTATTTTATTTTATTACAGTTATTTGGAAAACAATTCCATTTTGATTGTCATTGATTAATGTAATACAGTTTATCGTGGATTTACTGGAAACCAATTGATTTAATTATTATATTGACGTTCAACATGTCACATCATTAAAACTGCAAATAAATTATTTTAAAAAGAATGATATCTTTTTGTAGAGAAAAATGGTTATACTTAAAAAAATTTCCACTCGTAAAGGGTAAAATATAACGGGATTTTGACGCGTTATTAAACCTTTCGGATAATTTAACTTTCACCCCCGTCATAGTATTTTTCCATGAATTCAGAATTTTTTTAATAATTTATTTTTTCTTAATTGAATATTAATTATAGCATGGAAATTTTATAATCACATTTTTACTCATCAATTGAATTTTTCGTTTTAAGAAAAATTTTTTTTTTTTTTTCAATGCCGTCCATTCATGGTTTTATATTTTTATTCATTCAATTAATTCTCGATACCTTCAGGCATTCTTGTACATAGATTCTTTTTTTAATTATGACGACCATGAGAATATTTCAATTAAAAATTATTTATTCCAAATTCAGTAAAAAATTTTTAGAGGTTATATCCACAGATTGGGCTGAAAAAAAAAGATTTTATTCAATTTATTTATTTATAAAATATTTTTCATTAAAATTGATATATTCATTCACATTAATTACATATAAAATCCGAAATTCAATAAAAACTACGTCATGTTTAATCGATCAAGGGCACTTACCTCTAGGGATTTCACTGTTTAGAGTAAAGGCAAACTCGGCCAAGGATTTATCCCTGGATTATTATATTTTTGCACTCTAATAGAGCACATCAGAGAGCATACACGTTGTATTATGATCCAAACATGACAAAAATTCTTTAAATTTTCTAATTCCATCGATATTAACTCACCACTCTTATCAATGACTTTTTCCTTATTTTTTTTCAATTCTAGAAATTTCATTTAAACAAGACTTAATGAAAAAATATTTTCTATTGCGATATCTCATGGTCGTTTATTTCCAATGCAATATAAAGTTGAACAATGACACCACCCTATAGTTCTCACAAAGCACAGCTGATGCACATCCAAGTAGTTTGGATTGAAGTCAAACCAGCCCAGTAGCACATAATCGGGTCAGGACTTGAGTTCGATGTCCTTAAGTAGAAGATATAGGATGTAAGATTGTAAAAGAAGAAAATTTACGAAATAGTAAGCTATTACATTCTTTTTTTAACTTTTAGTTTAAACTAAAATTAAAAATGTACTGCCTATGAGTCTTATTGCATTTGTCTGACCTATTATTTATCTTTTCTACTTACTATTATTACAGTGAACAAAATATTATTACTATTTTTTAATTATGAATGAAAATAATTAAAATAAATCTTTAAAAAATTGAGTGAAAAAATTGTTATAAACAAATAATTATGATTGTAATAATATTTTATTTATTATTGATAAAAGGAAGGTTGAAAGTTATGAAAAAATGCATAATATATTTATATTTATCATAAAAACGTTTATTATAACGTACAATAAGTCTACATAAATTTGATATAAAATACTCATACCTGAGTTAATATTTTTACAATTGTTAAATTACATATTTCGAGAATATTTCTTAATGAATTATTTATATAATAATGTTAGGATCATCACATTCATCATTTTTTAGATTGGAAGTGTAGCAAATATTATCAATCATACAAAGGAATTATCTACAAAGGCACTAGCGTGGATCGTACAGTTAATTGGCAATAAGGGAAGATACATACGTACTTTTTTTTATTAATGACTAAAAATTAATTGTGTGTAGATTAATGATAGTTGAATAAATTTTTCCATTAAGTGTGATACATTTGAATGAATATTTTTGTGAATATGATGAATCATCATTTAATCACATTTTATTAATTTTCAATTAATTGAGTAATCCATTATTAAAAGTTATAGATTGAAAGGTAGAATTATGACAGTATAGTTAATAGTCTTTTTGACAGACAGTCATGTTGTGTAATTGACTCTGCTTTTGGTATAGTTAATAATTGATGATAGTTATTACTATCAGACCACTGACACTCTCCATCATTTTTATAAACATAGTGATATGCTATCGTATGTTATATTTATTTTAATGGAAAAATTACTTTTATTAATTTTGAATATTTTATTAATGCGAGAATAAATAGTAAACTATTATTAATTAATTAATTAATTATTATACTTAAGCTCGCAAATATTTTTATTTTTATCAAGATATATTTTTGAAATTGTTCAAAAGTTGATGAAAAATTTTGGTAAACTATCAATATTTAATTTTTAATATCACTAAGTAAATGATTCTCATGACTAAAATGAATTAATTTATATCATTCAAATTAATTTAAATTTTAATTGAACATAAAAATGAATTTTCAACTTAAAATACGAATGATGATTTGAGCATTCTACACTGCATTCACGTTTGACCAAAAAGCCATTGTTCTCCTTAATTCTAAGTGTAATAAAATTGAATCTATAGTTTATCAGCGATTCTTCTTACTATTCAAAGGTCTTTTATATCAGGATAAAATTACCACTGAACTTATTGCACACTTCTTCTTGGTACTCTCTGTGTTGGTAAACCGGACATTCCTCTAACATAAGTGTAAGGAATGGGGTCTCTTAAGATCCTCTTGGGGCTTTTCTTCGTATGTTTTCTTTCCTTCGAGTTGTTTTCCCATTTGACAAGCTTTAGGCATTGTAGAGCACGTCGGACAACTTCAATCTTTGATGCACGATTAAGAGAATCGCTATCTGTACTTTGGACATCTGATGGACTAGATGAGTAAGAAGGTGATTCTCGGCTTGAACTTTGTCTTATTGCACTTGGACTCCAAGATCTTGATGATTTGTTTGTCCTGCCACGTTGATTGCAAATCATCACCCTCGACAACCGCTCTTGAGATTGGGTCAGAGTTTCATGGCGATGGTGATGAGATCGATGATGATAACGATGGAATGATGAATTTCGGTCATTGACACGAGGTCTAGATAAGTGTTCAACACTATCAGTATTTTCTCCACTACTGCAACCACTATCAGTGCTGCATTCATCTTCAATGGATTTAGGACGTTGTTGACCATGTCTTGAAGACTTGATGAATCTCATTGTCTCCCCCATGATCAAGGAAGTAGGATTTTTTGAATCTACTATTGTTCCAAGGACAACTATTGTATGATCTATTATCTCACTCTAAATAAGATAAACTTGATAATTCAACCCACAACAAAATTATTCACTTTGGTGGATGTAATTTCAAATCACTGAGATTCTTCAAGTGTTTCAAATTTATTTAGATGATGTTTATTTCAATGAAATAAGCTTGGATTATTTGTTGTTATTAATTGTTCAACTATGCTAGTGATAGTTGATATAACTCAATGGTTCGAGTTAGACTGAGCTTGCAGGGTATGTCACACACCCTTTTATCTTCTCGCGCCGTACAAGGGGTACATACGCCTGCGCTCTAGAATCCACGTGAGAATCTTGTTCCGTCCACGGTCGACGTACGCAAAACCCCTTCACTCGTTGTGTTTAAGCGTAGTAGATGTATTATTATTACACATATAATTTTTTATTTTGATTATGACAAGGGTGATATATAATAACAGTATTTTCAGAGTTACGAAAGGTAATTATAAATGATTACTGACAATTATTTATACCTAAAAATAAATCACGATAATATAATATGTTCCTCAAAAATATCATTCAGTATCAGGATAGATTACCCCGGAATAGATTGAATAATTTCCAAATGAAGTATAATTGTATACTTGTGGATTAATTCAAATAGGATTATTATCTTTTTAATCATGTGCTCGATTTCAAAAAAAATAATCAGTGGTTATTGGAATAATTATACAATCTTCACTAGGATTGAAGGTCGGTCTTGATGTTCTTCTGAGTCTTCAATCCGTCCTCGGCAGACTATTGTCACGTTGCCACTAGCTATATAAGTTCGGCCCACGATTTCACGTGTATTGTAGTGCGACTTACAAATACTTGAACAATTTTCTCAAGGAAATGGACATTGAAAATTTCCCTTTATGCATCTTAGTGTACCACGTGACAAAACACGCGCAATTTTTATTGAAATTCTTTCCTGGATCAAAGTACTACATCTCTGTGCATTTTCAATCTTGAAAATCAAACATCCTGGAGCTTTCATAAAATCACAAGAAAGCTCTACTGCTTAGTGAGAATCAGTGCTTTTGAATTTCTCCAACAGGATATTAGTCATTTTATATTGAATCTAATAATACTATTAGTTTCTTGTTACTATTGGTAACATTTTTTCAATTATTTATTTATTTATTTATTTATTGCACACTTCGATTGACTAAAAATATTTCAATTTTTTTATAATTTAAAAAAGAGTGAATATTGTAATTCATTGAATAAGCTTCTCCATTGGTTTTCATTATTTTCTGAGTTTTTATTTATAATTAATTTCAAATAATTTATCTTTTATTTATAGAAGAAAAATTTATGTAAAAAATATCTAATTAATTGGTTCCATCCTGTTAAAAAAAAAAATTAATATTTATTAAATGTTGCATCAATTTCAGTACTAAATAAAAAACCACAACTCAATGTGCTCCAAATACCGAAATAATTTAATCAATTTTTTTTAAAGCATGACCACAAGTCCATTCCATCAAATAATTAAATAATAAAAAATTCTATTGAGTTACCTTATGAAACTATGATTTTTCGAATTGGATACAGAGGTTATTGACCCTAGGTCAATGCACCAAGGTGTAGAAGTGCAGCATCTGTACTGATCGATAATGACGCGCCTGAAATGATACATGTCTTCTTTTATAGTGCAATGATTAAATTTAGCATCATAAAATATTCAATGCATTATTCATTGCATCATAATCTGATTAGTTAAAATTTGTGTTTTTATTCTGAAACGTATAACCTTTGCTTATAAAATAATGATTGGCTAAGGTTAGTATTTTGAAAGTACGGTTCCTACCTTAATCAAGTTGGATCTTTTGAATAGGAGATGATTAGCTAAATACGTTGAGCATTTGATTACGCAGCATGACGAATCTTTCAGAGCAGTTAAAATTGTTCATCCACTTGAGAAAAATAAGTTAATAGGTATCTTATACTATTATTGTTGTTATCATTATTTATAATAATCATGACTAGATAGATTGATTGTGTATGATGAATAGTACCTGGAAAAAAACCAAGTTTTAGATTTCATCTCATTTGTCATTTAATTTTTTGATAAACAATGAAATTCTTGATAAGTTAACTTCTGTTTACTTCCAAAATATATACTTTATCGATTATTTTTTCTCCATAAACATTTATTAATTGTAAGTATTATTTTTTCATTAATCTATGACAAGTTTTCGTGAACCCTAAATTCATTTTTCCGTATTCATAACAAAACTAATGCTATAATAATATTAAGATAAATCGTTTTTTTCAGTGTAAACTTTGGCAAGATCGATGTTAATGTACTTTGAAGTATATTATATTTTTTGACTAGGAGATGATAAAAAGTATGATAAGAGAAAAAAAATTTAGCAAAGCTTCCTTACTACGGTTGATAACTTCTGCGATGTTTTCAAGACGTTGAAAAATTTATACATTTATTATGTTCACGGGTGTCATTTACTTCTCTTTTTCCCTCGTGTTTTTTCGTTTATTTTACACCTTCAAAAACATTTGTTTAGGTTCATCACTGTCTTAGGTCTTAGCAATTGGAGAATATTAAGTCCAAGCTAGCTAACACTAGTGTACTGAAGTTTATTATCAAGCTTGATGATGTCTGAAATGAAGAAGAAATTTTTTTAATTAATTCTTGTTTAAAGAATGTTTAAACTTGAATAATTAAATTTTTATTACCTTGAATCAGTTATAGTCCTTATGATGATAAGAACTGCAGTTTGGGTTTTGAATTAGATATTTCTAATAAATTTAAATAAAATAAAATAAATATTTTATTTTCAAATAAGGCTTAAAGCAAATGAAATGTTTTGTTTTAGATGGTAAAATTTTTCTGCTATTTTTCATGAAGTGAAGATAATTATTCACAATATTCATTTCAGGAAATTCGTTAAGTTCAGGATCCCTTTTGCACGCCAGAGTTTCAATGATAAATAAATTACAACAAATTTATCTTTACGCTCGGGTTTCGTGTCTGTTATCTGTTCAAAGTTCATTGGTCTTTTAGCAGGAAGGAAGTAATAATTCTTGTCACGATCTTTAACCCCTGTTTTACTAACTTTAAAATTTTTTTTTTCAGTTGTTTTCACTATCTTTACCCTATTACTGTCACGTTCGTGTGCCTTTGATGGTTTAAATATTCACCCTCGAATAATTTGTTATCATTTCTTTATTCGCGAATTGTAATTAAAACTTAGAGAATTAACAAGGATTATTTTAGATAGAATATCATTCGTCTTTCTTTTGTCTGGTTTGGTTTACCTCCAGATGAGCTTCATTTGCACTACATCCATCATCTTGAATCATCTTTCAATTTCAATTCTTTCCATCACATTATTTGCCACACCCACGATACTCTACTAAGGTGCACAAGAATATTCTCTTGGTTTATTTTTTTAAGAGTGAGTGAGATCGAATTACTAGTGTCTCAAGATTATATGAAAAAACTTGTCTCAGGACTATGAGAACCATCCGTTGAAGATTAATTTCTGTTGGATCTTCGTACGTTGTTATTTTTTTGTTAATATGATGACATAGAGATAAAAAGGGATATATCATCACACATACATAGATAAAAGCATTTACCACTTGTCAGGCCATCAACCCCATCGTTTTGGACCAAGTCATTGAACTATTGGTCATATTGATTATATTCATCACTATAACTCTTCCATATGATATTGATTTTTTCTTCATTTATTCCAAATAATTCCCAAAGGTCAACAGAGCAATTTTTATCGGATTATCTGAAAAGAAAAAAATGGTAAAAATTTTTTAATTAAAAAAATCTATGCAAAAATTAATTAATGATTAAATTGAAAAGTGATTGTCAAGTAAAGTTCAAAAGATAAAATGTAAGTTTTGTTCCTTTTTGCCATTTATTTAGGATTTTAATAATATTTTTACTTAAATTTAATGGATTAGTATAAATAAATTATCTGAATAACTAAAAAACTTTAAAAAGATTTTAAGAAAAATTTTTTACATTCACAATAAGGAAGCATTTTTATGCAATCTTGAAAGAATCCCCTTAGGTTGGAGAAACAACCTTTTTTTTTTAAGTGAATGAACTCTCTGTATACATTTGAACCGATTTGAAATATTTCCACGTCAGTTTAAGCGTTCAATGCTCCTCCTTGAATGATATTTCAATGAATGATAATCTTCACTTTTTTCTGTGTTTCTTTTGAAACTTTGAGTTCATCTAATACATAGACCTCCAAGATATATCTCTCATTTATTTTTATACCCTGGACAGTCTTCTTTAATGACATAAAAGTATCCTATAACTAGAATTTAATTTCTCCAATTCACTAAGAAAGAGTGAAAAAAAACCTCTATTCAACCCCAGTTCATTAGGTCAAAAATTAAAAAAAGCATTGAATAAAAAATTCATTAAAATTCTCTTGAAATTACTTTAAAAATAACTTCCTAATAAATTTTTTAATCTAATGATTTGAACTTATTTTTATTTAATGAAATAGCCATAACTACATCTATTGATTTAGATAGGTTAAGTCCACTAGTTATAAAGCTCCACTAATTTTATATCATTGCAAATATATACATAGTAAAACATGCAATTTCTATTACGCAATATGTGATCGCGTTATTTCCCAAGTTCTATCAGAATAATTATATAATAACAACAACTTATGATACTGGATTAAAAAAAAAATTGATGAACACAATTATTATTTCATTATCCACATAAATGATAAATTCATTTATTATTATTGGCATACATCTAATTATAATGAGCCTTCATTTAATTAATGTTTTAAATATTTTTCACGTATAAACCAATACTGGTAATGGTGTCAATCAAGAGTATTGATTTATGTAATCAACGAAAGAAAATGTAATGTCGAAGGATAAATGGTAAATTTAAATACTTTGCACATCGATGCCATACTTTAAATTCTTATATTGCCATACTTCCGATTGATTACAATATTAATTTGATATTCAATAGCCGTACAGGAATGTTTTCACAAAAATATAAAACTTTGACATTATTTTTATGAATACTAATTGTAGTCATTTTGTCATTATATCATTATTTGAATTTTAAAGAATTTGTATTCTTATATATTAATTAAAATAATGAAATAATGTTGATTAAACCATTTCTTTATAGTAGAAAATATCACATGTACAGTTTGTCAAGGATGTCCAATGAATTAATTTAAATATAACCGGCTTAAAATATTAAATTAAACATTTTAATCTGATTTTTATAATCATCTGATAAAATATTCATGTATAATCATTCCATGCCATCCAGTTTAACCGGAAAAGGTTTTTCATTTTTTTTAAGTTATTTATTTTTACTCGATTGCTGTTTTAGTTTGAAAGTACAAACAAAGATATCATTAATTAATAAACGAATATTTTTTTTTCCTTCTCTTACAAGAAGTTAATTAATATTCATTATATCATTTATTTTCTTCAAAAAATAAATATTTCTCTGTAAAATGAAAGCATAAATTAGTTTTTTTCGTATTTATAATTATTGTATTTGGCAATAAATAAATGTAGCAATGTCTTATTACTAAAATTGCAAAATTGTGGAAACTCACTGAAATATAGTTTTTGAGGTTATTGCAGTTCTATAAAAAATAAAAATGTTTGTGGTATATAAACATTATAAGAATTATTGATTGGCTAAATTGGCATGATGACAGGAAATAAAAATTTCACAAAAAAAAAAATATTGCTGAGATATTTTTAAACACATTTCTTTTATCTCATCAAAGAGCGAAACAGACTAAGATAAATGCATGTACGCAACTGCAAAACGACATCCGGAGTAATTACGAGTAGTGATAAACAGGTGGAAGTTTTTAAAAATTGAGTCAAAAAGGTATTACAAAAATAATTAGGTTACCGCCCATTAAATTGCAAGTTAATAAATGAGATGTTAAATCTTCTTTTTAACGTGTTTGTAAAGTTCTTGAAGTTTCCTGTTGAAACTTTCAATCATATTTGTAGTATCGAAAAAAAATTCGAAAATCCTGTCGATTGAGACATCATAAGAGGTTTTCGTGTAATCAGTAAATCATTTGAGAAATCACTCGAATATACCCAATTGCTATTCGACAATTGAACCTTCCATCATGTATTCACTCCAAGTACAACAGTACATATAATCATGCAACCAATTTCTCACAAAGATCGCGATAAAGAGAAATAAAATTATTAGAGCATAAAAGAAATGCAAGATGAAGGTTATGTATGGTTATTTAATCTTCCGATGAAATAATAAGTCATTTCTCTTATTCTCAAGTATTTGCTTGGAATATCAAGTTTATTTATGCTCAACATTATCTTTATATTATTTTTTTCTAATTAATCATTTCAACTTTTATTTTATCAAAACATTTATGAAATTTGTTGAAAAGCATTTGAATCTTTTTTTTAATTGTTTATCATTGTTGAATATGATTGTTTTAATTTAGAATGTTTCAAATTAATTAAATTCTGATCAGAGACTTTTGGAATTTCCAAAAACTTTCAAAAAATTTCTAAAGAAAATGTTCTTGTTATTTAAAATGCAGTTAACAATCAAACTAAAAATACTCTGATCCATTTTACAATCTTTCAATGCTGAAGAAGAATACAAAATATTTGATATTTAATTTTTAATTACTGTTAATTAATTTTTTAGTATTTAAAAAAAAAAAATTGTCAAATGTTTATTGACTATAATTGAGTGAAATAACTAATGAACAGTTTCGTTTTTATCCCTCATTTATTAAGTCATAATTATTTGAATACCAGTTTATAAATAAATTTGATTATTTCATAATAACTATTATGATAACTGTAACAAAAGGATTTATTTCTAAAAGTACACCCTAAAATACTCAACTTATTTTCATTTTTCATAATAAGTTATAAAATATGTATCCAAAAGAGAAAACTGTCACGTAAATTTCAACATCATAGCTAATTTCATGTAAGTCATGAATACAACCATTATGTGCACCAGTGTTTACCAAAGTCTCAAGTTCATTTCACAAAGTCTAATTGAAATTGAATATCATTCTTACGTAAATTTTTTGTTACCACGAACAATCATAACATGGTCAATGGATAATTTCACCTTGACTGACCATAATTTCAGGACAAAGCAAGTAATCTTAAACAATTTTCGTTAGCTGGCAATTTTTGGGAAAATAATTACAAATAAGTGCACTTTTTACGAGGGAGATCATCAAGGTCGGAATATACTCTTGAACAAAGAAGAAACAAAGTGTCTAGTGGTCGTTGATTTACCATCAAAGTACAAGATGCAATTGCAGATCTCAAGCATGTATTAAAGGTATTGCTAAGTCTTTGTGAGAGATGGAATGACCGGATGATACGTTCAAGTCCGATCGTAGTATTGATCTCACTTGTTGAAGACTCCCAAGGCCAGTTACTACATTGGTAAAAGATCTACCTTTCGCTTTTGCATTGTATTAATATGTATTAATCTACTTTCGAAATTTATTATGTGTGATAAGTGTTTTCAATTAACACAATTATATATGTGCCAACGTGATCAGAATAATTATACTTGGAATATTGTTATTTCCGGGATTTACGAAAAAAAAATCATCGTCCAGACTAAAATTAACTGGTTCATCAAGTTTGTGAATGTTTTAACAAACTAACTGATATAATAATAAATATCTAGATTGAGGGCATAAAAATTCTAAATAATTAAATAATTGTGAAAAACGTGTTCTATTGTAACTAGTTTATCTCTAGAATAGCATCTGATAATTGTCACGAGATATTATGTAAAAAGATTTTCAGGTATAACAGACACTTTACAAATTATCTCGTGATAAAATAAATGAGACATAAACTCTCTACTTGAGAAAAAATCACGTGGAATATTGTGTCAAAATGATTAATTAATTATGAATGGATGAATATTTAAAAGAAGGTTTCCTTTACATTTTGTCACTTTATAGATAAAATGAAAAAAAAAAACAATTAAACTCTTTTTAATCACCATTTTTATGATGTTTTCTTGATTAATTTTTATTAATATAATTATAATTATACTAATTTATTAGACGAGTATTATTAACTGTTTCTCTTGTTATGTATAATAGATTATGAATTAAAATAATTTACATATATAGAATAATCACTCTAAAATCTCTTTAGTAAAGCACGTAATTTGATTGAATCACATACAATTAAAACAATATGACAATTAATAGTAGACCCACTCCTGTTAAAAATTGTTATATGTTTACTTATATCATTATTTATTAATAGACCATTGTTAATAATTCATTCAAATTTTAGAGTCTCTATTGATTGGAAATATGCAACATGTTATTCAATAATAATTCCATTTACTAATAATATCTACAGATTTAGGTAAACAACTTTGTATGTTTATTAATATATGCATGATGATGCAGTTTTTTTTGTATGCATATTAAACGGTCCATCTGAAATTAAAACATTATGATAATTATTATGTAAGTGTCTTTTGGAACAGATTCTAGTTTATTTTCGTTAAATTTCAGTTTCGAGAACAGTATAAAAAGAGGATGATATGCTGAAAAATGTATCAGTTCTCAACTCTAAATCACTTCTTGGAGAACTTGAAGAAACTCATCATCACCACCATGTACAAATTGGTAAGTAAAATATATTTAACATCATTGATTTTGAAATTCAAACTTTTTTTTAATTATTAATAATTAATTTAAAACAATGTATTTATTGTTTTGAGAAGAAAATTAGATAAAATTAATCCTAATCGAATTATGTCTAGATCATTATTTCTGCTGTCCTGGCCTACGTATCAGCCGCACCAAAACCCAGTCTTGTCCACGGAAGCACAGTTCCAGTTGTCAGTGGTGAAGTTGTTGACGCCTATTCATCAGTAGTTTCCCCGAATATCGTCACGAGCTATTCAAGTTCTCTTTTGTCATCACCGTCCCTTGTTTCAACCTATTCAGCTCCAGTCGTCACGCCAGTCATTTCCAGTTATACTGCGCCAGTCGTTTCGCCTCTGACCTCTACTTATTCGAATGTTGGAGTTCACTCTTTACGCAATACTCCCGTTGTGCACACATACTCCAGTGTTCCAGTAGTTACTTATAAAAGTTATGCATCCGCTCCCCTGTTGCACCACACTTACACAGCACCAGTGATCGTAAAAAAACTTTTTTAAATATTTGTTTACGATAAATAATGAAATTTCTTTTCAACATTGATTTAATTGTTGTTATTATCTGAAAGTTTAAGTTTATGGCATACTACCGTGTTAAATGATGATTATAAAAATAGTTTTTTAATTGTAAACAATGAATTTTTTAGATTCGAGACGATATTTCAGGGAGTAAAATAATTTTTTATTTGGTAGGATTATGAGGAATTAATTGTATTTGAGAAGTAATAAATTTAATAAACAATTTAGAAGAAATAAAATTTATTATACAAGCAAATTGTTTTTATATTGTACAATAAAGTATAATTTTGACATTAATTTTGGAAGTATAAAAAAATAATTGTTCTCCATAAAGTAATTTTTGATATTATCTAAGATTTAAAGATCATTAAAGCCAAGTTTTAATCAGTGGTCGTCTGGAAGTCGTTCAAATCAAATAAGCAGCAGGTTTGGCATAGGCATATGGAAGTGTATAGTGAGAATAGGCATAGCTTGGTAAACTGTAGGCACTATAAGCACTATAGGCCACAGGTGTACCGGCAACTAGTGGAGCTGAGTAGGCTGAATACGCTGTAAGAGGACTGATGAGAGCTCCTGGTGCAGCAGCAGCGAAAGCCAACAGGGCAGCGAACAAAAACTACAATAAAATTTTAGTTTCCATTACTCCAAAATAATTTTCAACATCTAAAAACACTTAGAGATCAACACTCTAGCTAAGCAACATCATCCGTCCACAAAAAGATTTTATTGGGATCAAAAACACTTTGGAACTGATAAAACATCCAGTCAGAACCAACAGATAAATAAACTCATAAATATTACATTTTTTTAATTATCAAAGGTCCAATTGTCTAAACAATTAATTCTCTAATGTTTAATAAAAAAAAATGAATACTTGAAGATTCATAAACTCTATTAGCTAGTTGGAATTTAATGTCTGGTAAACATTAGTAAATAATAGTACTCACCAGTTTGAACATCTTTGTGGTTTGATTGCTTTAGTGGTGCTAGAGCAAGTAATGCTATACGATAGTATTGCACTTCTTTATATACCACATTGAGACGCCATTTTTGCTTTGTTTAGCATAAAGACAAGGAGTAGGATCATTGATAGTCTTGGCAACAGCACCAGTTTGGAATTTTTCTCGATGAAAACTCTTAGCCAATGGCCGATGATACCTGAAAAAAAATCCTGAATGTTGGATTACTGAGGGAAAGAAATAAAGTGGAAGGGCGTAAGTAGAAGGATTCAAGGACGTAGAATTTTGCAGGCGTGGTTGAACTTGAAGGTTTAAAATCCCCATGATTTTTTGTTGAAATTTTTTCAAATTAATCTATTGAAAAAAATGATCAAAAGTGATGGAGAACATATGTTTATCAACTATCATTATTTTGCATATTATAACCATATGGTTTTTTTTATTGTAATTATTATAAATGAACGTATAAGATGATGTTTCCTAATTAAGAGAATAATGGATCTTAATATTGAAAGATAGTATGAAATACTCGAGTAAACACAAGTGAAATGCGTCATCCAATTAAAAGTAAGAGGTGATTGTAACCGAGTGAACTGTTCTCTGAAACTGGTTGGCTACCAACATTAGCAGTCCAGCATGTGTGTACTTGGTGAACTTGAACTTGAAGAAAAAATATATGTACTCGTGTAGAGCAATGAAAAAGGTCTAAAGATCTCAAGCAGTTGGTTGTAATGATCAGTATTTTCAAGGTTTTTGCAGACCTTCACCTGAAGTCAATGACCGGTTGGATTTATGTATCACCCTTTGAGAAAATTATACGCTTTCAAGTCTCTCTTTATCAAAGCCGCAATACTCTTGTTAATTTTAATGATGTTTATCAAGTCAACTAATTTACCAATTCATTAAACAGTTCATTCATCATATTTCTACTGTATAATAATTTTTGGGATTTAAAAAATCAGACTAAAAATTACAAGTCAAATGCATCATTTATTTAAATTTAAACATAAGTCTAATTTACAATGTGACAAAATATTTATTCAATGATTTAGAATTTAAGATTTTATTTATCAGAAAGCGATCAGATAATTTAGAAGATTCTCATAAGTCTAGATGTAATAGGCTGGAGCACTGTAGGCAGGGTAGGCGTAAGCACTGTAGGCGATTGGTGCTGAATAGGCATATGGAGCTGCAGCGAAAGTGTTATAGTTTCTGACGATGGATTGACTGCTGGATGCTACAGGCAAAGCAGCTGGGAGAGCATAAGCTGAGGCTAGAAGTGCTCCTGGTGCTGGAGCTGGAGCTGGGGCAGCAGCAGCGAAGGCCAAGATGGCAAAGAAGACGCACTAAAAAAAATAATGATAAATTATTTCACAACAAAAACCATTTCTTTTTAACAGCTATAATTGCTTGGAATAATGATAAATAGACTTACAAGCTTGAACATGATTGAGTTTAAAAGATTGTTGGCGAGTCGGTCTGCAAGAGAGTCGAGGGCTAACTGTGGCGATCTAGAAAGATCTAAAAGCTTTTATACCCCCAAGAAACAGAGACTTCAGGGTCATGAAGTATTTTTTTGTTTGAGAACCTGTCGAGTGGAGTGGGTAAACAGGGAGACAGGTATACCTACCACTCTTTGTTCACTTTGGCTCTTGTCAATATATCTTACACTTTTCTGATCGAATTTAAAAAAAATATCCGAGGCCTGCCTATCGAATCGAATTGCATATGGAATATATTATACATATGTTTTCATTTATTTCAATATGGGTAACCTTGTCACGCGCATCTCAATCTCTCGTTGCTTGTTACATAACTCAATTATGTACTATCACATTTGCTTCCGGCTTAGTAGAATATCCCATTTTCTGTTTTTTTGTTGCTTTTGTTTATCTCATCAGTGCTTTTTTTTTTAATAAAGCATAAAAAGTAAAGGGACATGTTAGTTAATTTACGTATTGATTTCATAATTGAGAATCATTTTTTTATGCAAGCTATTATGATTGATTATTTGAAAGTAAAAGCAACAAATATGTAAAGAATGAAAATATGATTTTTTAGATTTATAAATAGTTGACACAAAATTCTTGCATAATACGTAGGTGTGACAATTTTTATTTTATAATTTTAATTCAAATAATCTCCTTTTTATTCATAGAAATATATTTCTCCACTTTTCTAAAAATCTCTAGTGATTTGCCAAATTCATAACTTCGTTTCCACTATCAGAATACAAATAATTTTAAATGATTATTTTAAAATATCTATTATCATCTGATTAAGCATAAAAGCCACCCTTTTCACAAATTATAATAGAATTAATGATGATATTTTTATCTCTCAACTCATACATAATGAAACCACAAAGTATCAAAGTATCATTACATTATCACCTGTATGAGCAAAAAAAAGTACCAATGTGACTCTGGTGCTTCCGGTGTTGAATTTTTTGACACGTTGCAAATGGTGGAATGTGAAAAATAAAGATATATAAATAAAATTGCGCAGTTCGATCATTCGATGGCATTCAAGGTAATGATTTAAAGTACTTGGACATACGATTCGCTTTGAATTAAAATGCTTTCACGTTTCGTCACAAGTATGTACAGTTTTGCCATTATTTCGTAATAACTATTACACGTAGTACTTTGTGTACATTGGCGGGGTGAAGTTTGAACAAGTATAAAATGTTCCACTGACTCCTGGGTCTTCATTCGTTCTTGATTCCACCTAGAAACAAGAAAACTCATACAAAATGTTCAAACTCGCTGTAAGACTTTATCATCAAAACTTTATTATTTATTTATTATCGAAATAATTATTTTATTAATTTATTTCATTATTTTCTAGTTATTCTTTGCCTTTGTTGCTGCTGTGTCAGCTGGAGTTTTACCAGCAGCTCCACTTGTAGCTGCACCTGCAGTTGCAGCATTGCCTGCACCTATTGTCACTGCCAGGAGTAGTCAAGTGATTGCCAGAAATTATAACACATATGCTGCAGCTCCATTAGCTGTTGCTGCTCCTGCTGCTGTTGCTACTCCAGTTGCTGCTCCTGCTGCCTTTACTGCTCCACTTCCAGCAGCTCCATTGGCATACACTGCACCAGCTTATGCTCCAAGTCTAGCATACTCTTCACCGTTTGCTGCTCCTTTGACTTACTCTGCCTACTCACCTTTCTTCTACAAATAAATATTAAATAAATAATTTGTTAAATACATGATGCTCAAAACTTTTGTACAATATTTTTTTTTTAAATAATAAATAAATTTGTTGAATTGTATTCACATTGATATTATATTTCTTTTCCCTATATTTAGAATCTATATTTTACAAAAATGAAATGTATATTTGTATATCGATTTAGTTTCCACACACCATGCATGCGACTATATTATAACAGAAAATTTGCATATCTATTTTTATCATATAAAATATTATAATTCCACATAAATAATTTTAGTTAATTATTATTAAAATATTAATTTTATAAGTAAACAGAAAATCATTCTGATTGGAATTAATTTTTCCTCCTTATTAAAACAGTTCAAAGGAACTTTGCATTGATTCCAAAACACTATGTCATAATATTATTTATGATGTAATATTCATGGATAGATAATCTAAATGAATTCTATTTAAATACTTATTGAACAATAGAATGATAATGATTATACTGACAATTAAAATGCAAAGCTTATGCTGTACATATATCCAGTAATAAGCTATTGAAAAATGAAAACTGCAGGACTTTCAACATAAGCATGCAGTTTTGTACGAATTTAAATTGAGGATTGAATTTTCACGACTTATATAAATAAACAGACGTGGAATATTTTTTAAACTTTTCAAAGTTTTCAGATTCATTTATATTTTATCAGTCAGAATGATTTTATTCTGTCGCTAGGTGTTTCAAATAATGAAATAAAATGATTTAAATAAATTTAAATATCTTTATTAGACATAACCTTTTCCTTTGCACTCTTCTCAATCGATTGGAGATGTGCTATGTCAAAAAAAAAAAAATAATTAGAGGAATTTTTTTTTACATGATAGCCCTTGAGAACTGTTTTTAAGGACAATAAACAATTTTTCTTACTGAAACAAATTTTTGAGCAATAAGAAAGTAACATCCTGTTTCATTTATTAAGTATTTTCTTTATTTTTACCATCTTGATTTCCATATTATTATTGAAGAAGTCGTTGATTCTTTTTTCAGTAATTAATTCGTAGAGTAAAAAATATCCTTATTTTAAAAATCCAACAAAAACAATGCTTTAATTAAGCAAATAACTTTCTTAGATTAATTAGCTGGAATGTATAACACCAGAAAAGTTTGCTGTTTTATCATTCAACAAATACCAGACTGTCATATTGTCGTCTGTTCATCAATAAAAAGAAGCCCCTGCGTCATCAATTGAGTTGCATAACTCTTAGCTCATTAGAACTTGACTCACGTCAGGAAAGAAAGTTTCAAATGGAGCTCCCCAGTATAAAAACGAGTTGAATATGAACAATGTCATTGTAGTCTCAGTTTTGCACGAGCAAAAACAATTAACCCAGCACCATGATACTCAACGTTAACGTACGAATCTTATTTTTCTTGATCTATTCAATCAACTTGATTAATAAAATAATTAATAATGTAATTTATTGATTTTCAGATGTCACTTGTCATGTTCATGGCAATGATCGGTGTAAGCTTAGCAGGTATCATCCCTGCAGCACCAGTAGCATTAGCTCCAGCAGCACCAGCTCCATTGGTAGCATCAGCTCCAGTAGTTGCACCAGCTGCAATTGGATACACTAAAGCGGTTCCATACAATATTCCACCTTTCGCATCAAGAGTTGATTATAATGCTAGAGCTTTAGCTGCTCCTTACATCGCTGCACCAGCACCAATTGTTGCAGCTCCAGCTCCAGCCCCAATCGTTGCTGCTCCTGGAGTTGTTAGTTCTCCATACTTAGCTGCTCCATTTGGACCTTTTGCTCCTGCTGCTTACACTGCAGTTGTTGCATAAGAACTTGTTAAAACAATTTGTTATCTCCTTGCCTTGATTCCATGTTGAGTTTTGTTAATGATAAATAATTAGCTTCTCTTTGTACAAAATTTTTTAATAAATGAATTTTATGCTTAACTTCTTCTAATCTGATTCATCAATCTTCCATACCGATGATTATTATCTGTTTTTGATGAATTTTTTTTAGAAAGTACATTAAAAAGTTTATTGAAGAGCATAATAATGTGTTATGGATATGCATGATATTGGCTCTATAAAAAATATATCCCTTCACTCATCAATAAATTTAAATTATTATTTTTTCTTTATCCATTGTGATACGTGATTGAAATATATCGGTACATTTTTCTTGTAGACTCTGACAACCAATGAACTTTGAAGTTTAATAACCTTATCTACACTGTCAGAATGTTTTTACATGATTATAAGGGTGATGGATATAAGTGGCCAAGTACTCCGATCACTTGCAATTTTTGAGACGAACTAGTTTTGCCTTCTCTTTGACGAGAAGTCTCTTGAACGTCATTGTAAAACCTTGAATTACATCCTGCTTGCAACAGCCAGATTGTAGAGATACAAAATAAATTTCTTTTTTTGTTCAAATGAATTTCTCTTGAAAAATTCAATCTTTTCCACTGTTTATGAAAATGCATAGTCTAACAGTTTAAGACAATTGAACTGTTATATAGATTTGATTATTTATTGGTTAAAAATAATGAACATTGTTAGAACATTATGTAAAAAAAATCTTTGAACTGATTTCAATATGAAAAAAAAAGGAAATTCTCTCATAAAAATTATTATCATTAATCTTTTTTCTCACAAAAATATGAATCTGTTGCTCACCAGAACATGTTGAATTGTTTTGCTATATTTTAAAAATGAAACCCTATTTCTGCAATTCACATCCAGTGAATATTTATTTTTCTTCTCTTATTTCACTAAATATTAGTGTAAATTTTAAAAAGCTTTAAAATATTGCATTTCTTCTGATTCTTTTTCTTTCAATTCTTAAATAGATCTCCAATACTTCCTATTGATATAAAAGTAAAACCGAGAGGCTTCAGCTGCTCGAATATTGAAAGTCATCAGTAGCAGCAATAATAATTATATTAACCACAACGATCATAATAATTATTATTATCGTAATTCGAGGTTAAGGTATTGTTACTGATGATTATAATGATGATGATGCAATTGTTATTATCATGTCAAGCGGTGCAATAAATATTTTACTAAAGCTAAAAATATTAGTCAATTTTTTTGCATTGTTCTATAATTATTATCATCTAGCACAAGTGAGAATTGATTACACGAGCAATGTCAACATATCGATTAATATGGCTCAATATCATTCAATAGTCTACATAACAGTAATGCACTGTGCATATAAATTAGATTTATATCACCCACGTTGCAATAGAGACTATAATAAAATTTGAGAAATAAACTTTATTCTTTTAATTTATTCGTAGAGTCTTCTCTATTTGCATGAAAATGACTGTTGATACATAAAAAAATTGATTCAGTTATTAAGCTGAAAGTTCAGAACACTTTATCATCTGGTGTAGTTAACATGATAATGAAGCATCTCCATAGAATCTGATTAAATCAATTCATCACATTTGAAATAATTAATACTGAGTCACTGATGTCATTAAAAAAGTTCATTAACATGTTGTAATTTTATTGAAGATGAACTTCATGTTCTAGGTTATGTCATTTCCAAGTTCCAAGTAATTTTTGATCAGAGCGATTAATCGACTCTATTTAAAATGTCCTAACAGTGAAATTTCAATTTTATTAGCAACAATAAATTTTATTCATGGTCCGGATATATACGTGTATGGCATGAAATTGATTCCGTTGACGAAATAATAAAAAACTCAAGCTATTGCCCATCTACTTTCTCACCTTTCACACCACTCTCAAGAATTCGCATGGGATTGCAAACAAACTAATGTAATGAGAATTGAATTTTGATGCGAGGGTAAGACCTTGAAGAGTTAATTGCGTGTGACTGAGGAGTGGACAGCAGAAGAATAAGTTAATGTTCATATCACGTGCAAGTTTCGATTTTCTTTAAAATAAAATAAAAAACAAGTTATTGTATGAGCCACTTTGTTGTGAAGGTATCTCTCGAAACTCCCCCAGACCGTCTTGGAGGATCCAATTGGGTGTGGCCTTTGATCGACCAAAGGCCATCTAGTATGTAATGCGAAAGCATGGAAAGAATGATCTGCAAGGGGGAATCCCTCTATGGAGGGGATGTTTCTTTGTTAGTGGTGTAAACCAACAGAGTATATAATGCGCTGCTAAACTTCTCCATGGCATCGCAGTTTCCTCAGCGAACCCTATAAACAATCACTCCAAGCAAAATGATGACCAAGTGCATTGTAAGTTGATAACATTTATCTATTTATTTCTAGTTAAATATCAAAAACAATTCTAGATCAAATCCTTGTATTTCTATATATAAAATTATTCTGTTATTTGATGCTCCTAACATCAACTTTGATGCTAAAATAAATTAACTAAGAATATTTTTAGTAGAAGCTATTGCAAAATAATGAGTAAAAAGAATAAATAATGAAATAAATTTTAAAAATAGTGTATAGATCATTTAATTGATGCAATGATTTTTTTGATTGACTCGTAAAATGTATTCATCATAGCTCTGTCACTTTCAAGACAAATTTCACCATTAAAAAAAATTATTTCAACTTTTATATTAAAATTATAAATCAAAATCACTCAATGATTGATTCATTTACAGCTAAATCTTTCGAATTAACATTACATCATTCATTTCAATATCACGGTTTTCAATCTTGATATTAATATCCTTCAGATATTAAATATCAGATATAAAAAATTGTCTTTGTTTAAAAAAATCTCCTTTCTCAATATCAAAAATAAAAAACTGATTCCTTATAGCTTTGGACAATTGGAGCAATTTTTATTTCAATATAATTGCAATGATAATATTTAATTCAAGTTACTGATTATCGTATAATAAAAAAAAATGTTTCTTGATTGAATTTCAGATCTTCTTCTTCGCTCTTGTAGCTATCTGCTCAGCAGGATTAGTTCCAGCTGCAGTACCAGCAGCGTTAACAGTGGGAACATACGCAAGTAGTTACAATGCACATGCAGTGAACCATGCATACGCTGCACCATACGTAGCAGCACCAGCTGTTGCAGCTGCACCACTAGCCTACTCTGCTTATCCATACTCTTACTCAGCTATCCCAGCTACATATGCTGCAGCTCCAATCTTCGCCGCTCGTCGTTAAATTCTGTCCACCGTTTAACATCAGTCGTCAACAAATGAAGCTATTTTTAAAATCAACATCCATGTCAAAATTATTTTTCACCTGGTCCAGTCATCTTTGAGATTATTCTTCTGAAGATAATGCGAAGATTGAAGGATCACAGGTGTACCGTCAGGTGGTTTAATGATTTCTGTTCATGATCCATCGATCAATTTTAGTACTGATCTTGACTGAGCGATGGTGCTGCTTGCACTTGATCTCTTGGAAACCTTTCACTTATCATCAATGAGAAGAATAATAACAACCTCATCCAACTGGTTTTTGTAAAAATTTATATATTTGCTGTTCTAAAATAAATTAAATTTTATCCAATTATACATATTGTGATTGATAATTTCTATTCCTTTTCCTGAGAGCATGTTCAATACACAGCAAGTGGAAACTAATAATTTCTAGAATATTTGTTAGAAAAATGCACAGAAATTCTTGATGAATGAACAATCAAAATGTTTTGAAAAGGATATATATAAAAATTGATTTCATTTTTTTTTTATTTGTAGGGTAGTATTATTTAATTTTATTACGCAAATATTTATATAAAATATTCATTCTTGTAAAATAAAAGTATACATGTTTAGTATTTTATCTTACACAACAGAAATTATTGCATCGTGAATGGTGCAAAAAATCAAGTACTCATGTCACACTAGAGTGTGCTCACATTACGAATGACAAGTGAGTTGTCTATTCTGAATGAAATAATGTTTCCAACCAGCTTTTGCATAACAAATAAAAAGATAGCATTTTATAACGTAGTTCTAGAAATGGAAGAGATAAAAAAAAATGGTATGAATTTCTTTTTTCAGGCTATTTTTGATTAATTAATCAAAATGTCTTTAGAAAAATTTTTTAATCATTCCTTCTGATATTACATCAATTTATCCTACTCTTATACTTGACAAGTTATATTATTCCTACCATTTTTTTCTTTACTCATAATTTTCTATTTTATCCTCATTATTATAGACAAGGAATATTTTTTATTCGCCTACACAGGAAGAATTGAAAATTTTCAAATTTATTACTCATTTTGAGTATTTTATTTGCACAACACAAAAAAATACTTGTCTTTGAGTTTTAATGGCTCCTGCAACAGCTAGAGACCCTATCAAACCCCCCAAAAACCCATACATACCACCCCAAAGACCCGTTGCACCTGATCCAATGCCTCCACCTAGAACACCAGCTCCAGCAGATGAAGTTATAAAACCACTAATAACTCCAAAAGAACATGATACAAGCACGAAAACTGATAGCACACTGGCAATGAATATTCTTAAAACGACATTAATAACTGTTCCTATGATGACAATTGATGTAATTGTATTTGTATCAGATCACATATCCACAGCATCTAAAGTATTGATTGTTATATTAACCATAATAAGTTTATTGTCTTATTTTATCATAAAATTCTATGGCTAAAAGAAAATTTGATTATTGAATTATTATGAATGATGGGAAACTTGACATTCAATTGAAGATATAATTTTTGATGAATTGATATCTAAGGTCAAAGACCAGCTGGTAATATTGGATAATTATGGAAACCCTTAGATTTTTTTTGGAGAGAAAATAATGTACAGAAAAAAGATAAATATTGGGAAAAAATTCCGGCAATTTTTTTTTAAACAAAAATAAATTAATTCAATTTGGAAAATAAAATTGATCTTCAAAGGTCTGGAGATCCAGGTTGTTATCAGAAATAATAAAAAAAAAAATAATTTGCAATGAATCAAACTGTCATGTTTTAATTATAACAATTAATCAATGAGACAATGTTGGCTGTATGTTCAACATTCATGGTAGATATGTTTATTTGAAATTTTTTAAATCAATCACAATACAATAATGTCACTTCAGGCTGATGGTTTGATGCATTCAGTCAATCCATTGGCTGTCATGTACAACCAGATGGAAAGGAGAGTATTAAATGCAATATAGGCAGTTGATCCCCAGAATGCATAGACCATGAGATTTTCTTTCTTTACCTTACTGTCTGCATCATCTTTTAAGATTAAATGAAGATACACATATATACCTCCACATGCAACGGCAAATATCAGCGTTAAAGCTAAGCTTAACATAGCACTGATTTGTAAAGAACCTGACATGCTGTCACATTCTGGTGTAATTGTTACGTTTCGTAAAGCTGATCGAATTTTGTTTCCTACTGCGCTCATTTCTTGTTGGTTTTTATCTAATCAATTCAAGTAAATTTAACAGATTCAATTAAATAGCTTGCTACTAAATATAAGCAAATTTTTTTTTTTGCAACAAAAATACTTTTCTGGAATATTCTTATTGATCTATTTTTCTTCTATAGTAAGCTGAAAAAATGAAAAACAATTTCATAATCAAGATGCACTTGATTACTTTCTAAAACCTAAATCTTTCATTTCTCTTATTTTTTAATTAAAAATATTTCTATTAGTAAGGAGATCAGTTTCATGAAAAGAGTCTTTGATATCATTATTTAAAAGTATTCAAAATTGTGTAGACACATTGAACAATTAATCAATTAAAATGATGGAAAATATTCGTGTAAAAAAGTCTCTAACAAATAATATACAAATATCAACACCTAAGTCCCTTGATGATGTCGACAATAAAATCCCTCCTAGTTCTGGTAGCTCTGATTTGAGTACTTTTCTGACCATTGAAAATTGCTTCAATATGGGTACTGTTATTCTTCCTCTAGCTATTGTAGATGTGATTGTACTTGCAGTGTCTGAGGTAACTACTTTTATCTATGTACTAATCACTGTTCTGCTTATTGTTAGTGCAGTATTTTATGTTCTCCAAAAGAAAGACTCCAACTTTAATCCTTACCTCTGGATAAAAGCACGATTATTCTCAGGTTGAAACTGATCGTATTGATGATATTAAAAAAATTTTTAAATCTTTTTGAAAATATATTTATGCTGGAAACTATACAAGCAATGTCTTCAAGTCAATATGTCTTTTTCAACAAAAAAATCTACATTTTTACTTATATTTAGATACAATTAAAATAACTGTGATTGATATAATTAAATAAATATAATATATCTTTAAAAATGTCTCTGGTTGCTGCTGGAAAAAAAATTGCTAATGCTGTAAGAGATGTTAAAATTACGCCAAAATGTGAAAACATGGCAAAATCATTACATTTTGGTAGCTACACATTTCTAATTACAACAGTATTGTGTATTATTGCTCATATTGTTATGCATTGTTATCTTTATGGTGTCAGAAATAATACTCCTGAATCAAAAGAACATGAACAAAATGTTTTATACTTTTGGAGTGTTGCAGCTATTGCTTTTGGTGTGTGTAATATTGTGCATGCAATATGGTTTTGGAAATCAACTTCAGAGTTGAATAAATGCATTATACCATCATTACTTGATATATACTATGATGATGAATGAAGTTGAATAAATAACACAAACAATTGGTCATAATTATTTTGATTTGAATGCAAGTACAGGATTGTTGAATTATTAGTCTGAAAATTGATCATATATAATCAAGTTTTGTAAAATTTTTTTGTTGATAAATAATTGTAATATTAGAACCAGAAACTTTTGTCTATTTCTTTCTTTGGATCTCTTGATAGAAAACATTTTCATTGAAGAGATTGATTCAATAATAAGATTGTGATAATTGAGCTAGATATTGATAAGGAATAATTTATTTGAATAAGTTAACTGATAAAATGATGGAATTAGAAAAATATAATAAAAAACAGGCCTTAAAATGTAAATTTCATGTTGTAAAAGCATCGAGCATAATGAATCAAGCAATGAAAGTTCATCGCATGAAACGATTACTAGAAGATAGAGCTAGAGAACAAGCTAAAAAAGCTGCTGAAAATAAAACTCAAGATGAATAAATTGATAGTGATTAAGAATTATCAATTACATACAAAAAATGAATCTTTTCAAATGAACAAACTTGATAGAAATATTTTTTAGCAAAGACTCTAGACTTGTTACTAATGAAAATATACATTTCTTCAAAAAAGGAAGAAAATGTTGAAGTTAATTGAAATTTCTAGCAGAATTTCCAATCTACTAAAGAGGCAGAGAAAAGTATTCAGAAGAAGTGAATACTTCTGAAATAAAAATAAATAAATTTTGTTTTATATTTAGACCCGACCTTGTTTTGTTGAGTTCATCGTATTTAATTTAGATTCATTAGATCATTCAGACATGGAAGCAATCAGAAACAAACTCCGTGCAGTTGGACGAAACGTAACAATTACACCAGAATGTGACAGCATGTCAGGTTCTTTACAAATCAGTGCTATGTTAAGCTTAGCTTTAACGCTGATATTTGCTGTTGCATGTGGAGGTATATATGTGTATCTTCATTTAATCTTAAAAGATGATGCAGATAGTAAGGCAAAGAAAGAAAATCTCATGGTCTATGCATTCTGGGGATCAACTGCCTATATTGCATTTAATACTCTCCTTTCCATCTGGTTGTACATGACAGCAAATGGATTGACTGAATGCATCAAACCATCTGAATAAAAATTTGTCAAGATGAATTAGAAAAATATCAACTGATTATACAAACTATGGTTGAAATATACATCAACATTTCATGATTGACTAATTTTATCAAGCACTTTCATTGATACGAATACCATGATTCATTAGAACAATTTTAAGCTTTATTTTTTCATATTGGAATTCATGGAATAAAAATACTTTGAATCCATGTGATTATATTTTCAAAAAAATCATTATATCTGAGTATAATTAGACTCATGAAATTATTGGAAACATTGAATGAATAATATAATTATATCAAAGTTATGGAACCATTATCACGACAGTTAAGTAATCTTAGCGAAGAAAGAAATGTAAAGATAACTCCACAATGTGATCAAGCAATTTCTTCTGTACGAAATAGCATCATTTTATATGTTGTTGTTGCTGTGTTGATAGGACTAGGGACAATTTATGTGCTCATAGAAAAATTCATTAATAATCCAGCTCGTGCTAAGCTTGTGAAAATCATAGAAATGATTTTAAATTATGCATTATTAATTGCTATAGCACTCCATTTCATCAATTCAATAGTATTAATAGTAAAATTCTTTGCTTTGAAAAAATGCCTAGAATAAATATTTCAATGTAATATTTTAATCAATAACAATTGCTTTAATCTTGGACTATTAGACCAGACATTTTCCTTTTTGTCTTCATTGAATAAAAATCCAAGACATTTGCAAAAATGTCTACATACCAATTCTCTATTAAATCATCATGATGTTTTAAAATGAAACATTTTCTTGCTACTGATTTATTCCTGAACTCACTATAGATCTGTTCACTTGTGGTTCCATAATATGAAAAGAAAACCTACATTCGCAAAAGTTGTAGAGCCATCATCATCACGTGAGCAAAAAATAATTCCACATGGATTTCGTGAGTTTACTAAAACACCTATGTTACCTGGAAAACTATTGAATCAAATAAAAACTGAAGTGTCTAGATGTACTGATCAGATGGATAAAAATATGGAGCAGCCAGTTACTTCTAAACATGTTGAGAATGATCAATTGAGTGCGAGTATCATAAAAATTGGAGATCTTTGTCCTACACCAACTGAGTATAATGGATATGAAATTAGAGAATATAAAATAATTAATTTTGATCGTTCTGTTCTTGATGATTAACATAGATGATCTATTATCTATCTAATTAGCAGTCTATTCTTAAATAACTTCACATGTCATTTCATTTTTTAAATTAATAATAAAATATTTCACTGCTTAAGTCATTTTTTAAATTGGGAAAATAATCATCTATTTTTTTTTTATTATTCAAGTTAGAAAAAAAAATATTAACTGTTGAGTTTGTTTTGTTTTTTCGACCTATTATTCATTTTAAAAATTCGTATAGTTCCCCTGGTGATAGAGAAAGAAACAATTGCAAGTTGGTTGTAAATTGATAGTTACATCTTGAGCGTGCAATTTCATCAGCCAATAGTTGGAATAAAATTGCTTTTACTGACCTCCAAGACTTGGAATAAATTTGTGATCACATCTCCATCTCACAAAAAAAGAGAATACTTGGATAGAATTCAAAAAAAAAATGCGTGAAATTGCTCACCTTCAAGCTGGCCAATGTGGAAACCAGATTGGTGCAAAAGTAATTACTATTAATTTTTTCATTAAACAAATTATTTACAAATAGTTAATAATAAAAAATTATAATTGATATTATTAGTTTTAAAAAAATGTTAAATAAATTTCAAGTACAATCAGCAAACTAAAATAAACTCCATAAATTCTTTTTTAGTTCTGGGAAGTAATATCAGATGAACATGGCATTGATCCCACGGGTACGTATCATGGAGACTCGGATCTTCAATTAGAGCGAATCAATGTCTACTATAATGAAGCAACCGGTGGGAAATATGTCCCTCGAGCAATCCTAGTGGACTTAGAGCCAGGAACGATGGACGCAGTACGTTCAGGACCTTTTGGACAAATATTTCGACCGGACAATTTTGTGTTTGGTCAAAGTGGAGCTGGAAACAACTGGGCCAAAGGTCATTATACTGAGGGCGCTGAACTTGTTGACTCTGTTCTTGACGTAGTTCGTAAAGAAGCCGAGAGCTGTGATTGCCTCCAGGGTTTCCAATTGACTCACTCTCTCGGTGGTGGAACTGGAGCTGGAATGGGTACTCTTCTTATCTCAAAAATACGTGAAGAGTATCCTGATCGTATTATGATGACTTTCAGTGTTGTTCCTTCTCCAAAGGTAATTTTTCAATAATAATTCTATCGAAATCTTTGTTTTATTTAATAAAAAAAAAAATCTAAAAGAAGTCTAAAATAATTTTTTCTTTGCATTTTCAATATTTGTAATTAATGATGATTTTCTTTAGGTTTCAGATACAGTAGTGGAGCCTTATAATTGCACTCTATCAGTCCACCAATTAGTAGAGAATACAGATGAGTCTTATTGTATTGATAATGAAGCTCTTTATGACATTTGCTTCAGAACATTAAAGCTAACAACTCCGACTTATGGAGATCTAAATCACTTAGTTAGTGCAACTCTCAGTGGCGTCACGACCTGTCTAAGATTTCCTGGACAATTGAATGCAGACTTACGGAAACTAGCCGTAAATATGGTACCATTTCCTCGTCTACATTTCTTCATTCCTGGCTTTGCACCTTTAACATCCAGAGGTTCACAGCAATATCGTGCTCTCACTGTACCTGAGCTCACTCAACAGATGTTTGATGCAAAGAATATGATGGCTGCATGTGATCCGAGGCATGGGAAATATCTTACTGTTGCAGCAGTCTTTCGAGGACGTATGTCCATGAAAGAAGTTGATGAACAAATGCTTAATATTCAAAATAAAAATAGTACATACTTTGTTGAGTGGATTCCAAATAATGTTAAAACAGCAGTATGTGATATTCCACCAAGAGGTCTCAAGATGTCAGCAACATTCATTGGAAATTCAACAGCAATTCAAGAACTCTTTAGACGAGTTTCAGAACAATTTACTGCTATGTTTCGACGTAAAGCTTTCCTTCATTGGTACACTGGTGAAGGAATGGAAGAAATGGAATTTACAGAAGCTGAAAGTAATATGCATGATTTGGTTTCTGAGTATCAACAATATCAACTTGCTGCTGCTGATGAAGAGGGTGAATTTGATGAAGATGAAGAAGCTGAAGGAGATGTTTAAATATTACCAATTTATTCATATATTCTAATGCTGATAATAATTAATTTAAATTTTGTTGTAACTTATTACTATATTTTACATTACTTCTCTTTAATGAATAAATTAAAATTAAATAATGTAATAGTTTTAAATGTTACGGTAGCTTTATTAAGTTCAATAAACAGACCACTTTAAAATATTATTGCCACTCAATTTCATCAGACTCTTTGTTCAAAAGAAAATTCAGTTTTTATATTCCATTTTAGTAATTATTCACAAAGATTATTAAAAAAAAAAAAATAATCATTCTATTATTTAATTGAATTATTATATTAAATAAATAATTCAATATTCTTGAATACATATTCTATTTATTTCTATTAACCTTGCATAACTCTATCACCACAAGTTGATTATAAATGTCAATATTATTACCTTTTTTTCCTATCATAATTCAACTACTTTATCCGATTAACTAATTACAGAGTTCAGTTGGCTGAGTAATATAAAGATTCATTTGTGATTAAACTAAACTTAATATTAGATATTAATCAACAATATCCTCATTTGTCTACTCACTTATTCTTTTCTTTTCTGAATCATTATAATTATTTTATCATAGATAATAACATCACGAACCTCATTCTCACAGATAAAAATGGTAAATACTATTCAAAGAATCTTGCCATTCTTATTGTAGGTATTATTTAATATTCAAATGTGATGGTTTACATTTCTTCTGTAAATTTACATAAAACAATAATAATGTTTTAATAAAGTTAAGATTTAGCTAATTAATATTCCACTTTGATTTTCCTTTTTCTCTTGATTGATTTATCATTTACAGTAAGATATTTATTTACATGATTAAACAATGAGTAAATAGATGTAATGAAATTTTATTAGTAAAAAATAGACAATTTGTAGATAACAAATAGCACTGGTATTTTCTAGAACTTGAATGATAATAAAAAATGAATATCAACACTATAACAATTCGTTCACACTTAATGATCTCATTGCAATAATTATATCCTTTATTGACTAAACATCCGTAGCAAAAAGTTAATGACAAGAAATTTATATTACGTACAAAAAAAAATGAGTCAAGTACTAGTGCAAAAAAGGCGTGTCAAGTATTAATATGCCAGCTCATATGGACACTATTATTGTGGCAAGTGAATTTTTTGCTACAGAGTTGTTTAATAAATAATATTCTATGATTAGGCCCATGATCTAGATTCTTCCTTTTTGCAAAATTGAGTAAGTTTTCACGACCTCGCATCATTGGTACGGTTGATTGCCCATGGTCTCCTCCGTGGGTGTGTCTCTTCAACTGGTCTTCATGCTTGACAGCACCAGGTTCTCAAGGCACAGCAAAAATACGTGTACGATAATTACAGGCATGCAGGAGATCATGTCTTTTGTTTCAAGGTACCGTGAACACTTCTTAAAGTAGTAACTAATGAACATTGTATTTCTCACGACAAATGTGCCAACAGAACTAACCGATTTCTTCTGATAATGACTTTAGCCTTCATGACATTACCTTTGAATCTCCCCCAGTTTAATGGGTACTAGATTATCAAGTATCAATCCTTGGTGATTTCTTGATCAAACAATGACAATCTGCTATGATATTGATGATGATGGTAAACGTGACAAATGTTATAAACATTCTAGTTGCTTTGTCAGATGTTGATGTTGTCCTAGACACGCTCGCATGCTTCATGAGAGAGAGACTTGGAGGACCGCGAATTCTTGCAGAATGGGGGAAATTTTTTTCTAGCCTTCGTGAGTTACCACTCTCTTAAATGTGCTTAGAATAGGGTATATAAGCACTTCTAAGGATTAGTCTCGTCAGTCTACGATACCTCTAAGTTATCATCGACAACTTTAGCAAAATGTTCAAATTGGTATGTATACCTCTTGAAACAATGAAGAACTTGAAGAAGTGAAATTGTTCTTAGTCAATATAATTATTTTGATAATAATTATAAAACATCATATGATAACATTTTCATTTCAATGATGATCATGTTATTTTTTGATGTTCTACTCATGTTGCAAAATTGCAACAAGCAATCATATTTATTATTGAAATTATTTTTATTAAGTTAAGTGCAATAAAGCATGTGGTAATAATAAAATTCTATGCTTGGTGTAAATTTCAAAACTACCAAGCGGATATGTATAACTCAAAATTATCATTAAATTTATTGCAGTTGGTTCTCTGTGCCTTAGTGGCCTATGCCTCTGCTGGAGCCATCGCACCTTATGCTTACTCTCATGCAGTTGCTCCTGCTGTGCATTATGCTCCCACTGTGAGTTACGTACCCTCTGTATATCATGCCCCACTCGCCACCAGTTATGCCAATACTTACAAGGTATTTATTTTAACATAATCTTAAATGTTACATTAATCTATCAAGATAATTTTTTTCTCCAATTTTTACAATAAATTACAAACTGTTGCTTTTAAGTAAATACTCAAGCCTTATTCTGATCAACTAAAGAATATTCCATTTGATCTTTAGTTTATTTTATAACATTGTTCATCATGAAATATTTAACGACAAAGGTTGTTAATGAAATTTGAATTCCAGGTTGCTCTTACTGCCCCTCATGTGACTAAGTTGGTCACTCCACCAGTAACCAAAACCATTTACTCTGCTCCATATGCTGCCTATTCACCATACTACTCATATGGCCATGGATATGGTGGTCTCTATGGATCCTCATATGGACTTGGATATGGACATGGATACGGATATGGTCTTGGATATGGTCATGGATATGGCCATGGATATGGATACTATCATTGAAAAAATTCACCATCAAGATATTTCAAATATTTCTTAAGGACGGATGTAAATACAAACAATTGGATTTTTTCCTTTTGATAAATAAAACAATTTTGGATTATTTTATCTGAAAAAAAAGGTTCTTTATTGAATAAAAATTTTTTCTATCATATTTGACTTTTATTGGAGTTTAACAGAATAAAATAAGTGATTAGTGACAGCTTGGTGGCAAAAGATCGTTTACGAAAGATTAGAATCGTTAGAGATGTGGTAATTGAATGTATCAATAACTCTATGAGGGGCTTTTGTTATTTATCTTTCAAATGTTGGCTTTGTGTTTGATACTTGAGCAAGCGATTGGTACAAAGGTAGTTGCCGTGGCAATGAATAAATGTCTATGTATGGTAAACGATTCTTTAGAGAGTACAACTGCCGATCGAGATACTTTGTCGAAAGTGAAAAAGACACAGTTGCGTATAGAAAGACTGATGAGATCGAGAAGTACATAAATGACGTGGAGTGGATCAAGGCTGAGGCGAGGCTCCTTCTCATATTTATCTTGTAAATAAATCTTTTTCATCGACATCTTGATTCTCTATCACTGCATCTTGATATTCTTTTTCATTTATCCTTCGTAGCTTGCAGATTTTTTATGATATCATAAACAATATTTATGTATGAATATTTTTTTTATCAATTGAGTACAACTTTTCTTTCTTGATCATTTTTGTTTTTTTTTATTCTTTACTTTTTGTGAACATTGAAATTACGAGATCACCTTGTTGTCAAAAGAGGATTTAATATGTGGACCAGTTTATGCACCAAAAATATATAAGAAAAAATTCATTTAAGAATTGCACAATTTGGTAGGAACGAAAGTAGAACAGCAGTAGTAGGATTGTTATCATTTTCAAGTTTGAATAAATTAATGTTATGACTTGTTTAGTTCATTCTCTAGTTTATTAATCATTATTTATGTCCATAATTTAGTTATGTTGAATTAAAACTAAAAATAATTTACATTAATGCTCACTGAGTATTTTAATTTGTAAAAATAATTTTAATAGTCTAGATTAACGAAGAAAAACAAACAATTCTAGATTATATTGCTAAATTTATTACTGATATTGAACAACAATAAATTTATTTACGATCACCTAACAGATTTAAAACACTAATTCATGAATTTCAATGTTGTAAATTATTAGCAGATAACGAAACCGGTTTACATGCTAATTTTCTGCAAGTACTATAATTTATTTGCTGTAAAATAAAGTTGATTCTTTGTTCAATTTTATTTTCTATATATTTTATTAAATTTCATACTATCATGTAAATATTGAAAGAAAAATTTCAAGTGTAAAAGATGATTATACTTTAATAATTATAATTTAGTTAAATTCTCTATTGATTTAAATAACATTTGAATAAATTTGAAATATAAATAGTAATAAAATCAGTAATTAATTTGTCTACTTATTTAAAGTATTAATTTATGAATGCAAATAGAAAGTTAGTTATTTATTAATTAACATAATTCATGAATTGAATGATGTATTTTATTTGTCAATAGAGAACAAAATATTATAATCGAACAAATTAAAAATGCAATAATAAAGCATGAACATTATAATCATGAGGAGATTAAGTCTCCGATTAGAGGGCCCTCGAGCGTTGAATTATACTGAAGGAGACGGGCCAGAAATATCTTTCTCCAGGTCCAAGGTCGTGCAATAGGTGTTGTGTATGTCGAGGGTCGTTGGGCTAATTTTTTTTGTTCTTTTCAAAGTCGAGAGTAAAACTGACACACATATTAATGTCGAAGGTACAAGTTACGAGAGATCCACGCGTGGTCTTTGGTATAAAAAGCGTCTGCGTTACCGAAAGAAGCATCAAACAGTCGACAGCCAAGTCGAAGATAAGTTTGCCTTTCGTGTGAGCCAAACAAAGTTTTATCTTAACAAAATGTTCAAGTTTGTAGTGTTGACCGCCTTGGTTGCCTGCGTAGCAGCCGCACCAGGAAACTTAGTCATTCCAGCAACACCTGTTGTTGCTGCTCCAGTGGTTGCCGCACCTGCAGTTGCTGTGCACCATGTTCCAGTTGCTACTAGCCAACAACATCTCTACAAAGCACCAGTTGTCAAAGCTGCACCATTACTTGTCAAGACTCCAGTTGTTGCTCCAGTAGTCCACGCTGCACCAGCTCTTGTTAAAGCTACTCCAGTAGTCCATGCTGCACCAGTTGTTGCTTCAGCTGCCATCGTCAAGACTGCTCCAGTTGTTGCTGCTCCAGTTGTAGCTGCTGCTCCAGCTGTTGCTGTCCACTCACCAGTCTCCTATGCCACCAGCTACTCCAACAACTACAAAACCCATGTTGTTGGTACACCACTCGCTGTCGTTCACTAAAATGTTTTGAATTTTATTTGTAATATATTTTTATGCATAATGATCCTCTGGATTTTTTAAACAATAAAATTGCAGTTTATCATATTTGTTCTGAATTGTTATTTGTCTTCTCTTTATATATAATCGAGTAAGTTGATGCTGAAAATTTTAATTATAAGTAAAATAAAAGTAAGTATTTTTTATGAATAATTTTCTCCAGACATATTATTTTAAAGTATTCAAAATTATATTAAACAACTTTATTATTCATTCTTATAGGAAATTTTTTAAATACAATATAATTATCGTACATTTCTTAATAGAAATGTTGTATAAATCAGAAAATAAAATTTTATATTGATTAAATTTTTTTTAAGTATAAAATTAATCAGTAATAATTAACGTATGCTTTAGATTGTAAAAATTCACTAAAGTATACTTAAAAAAATTTTTTTTTTTTAAATTAAAGAAAATAATGACAAGTTTTTATTTATTTAAATTTAAGTAAATTTTTATTTCCCAGAAATAAATATTTACTAGTCTTTTGTTCATGATGTTTGAATGGATAGCTTTGATGAAAAAGATTTTAAAGAACTTCTGCTTCTATATGAGAATTGCAGAATTAAAATTTTGATTATTTTTTAATTCAACTCCCACAAGAAATATACCTCTCGTTGATTCTAAAAATATTATATTGAATTAATAATCAAGATTTTAAGAACAATTTTTTTCACGATCAATTGAACATATTTTTCATAATATTGTGAATAAAACTATGTGAAATATCATCAAAAGAAATTATTTTTTTATGAAAATTAATATAAAAGAGATCAAGTCCAAAAGAAAATCAACAATTACTTGTTTAAAACACAATTATTGAATTATTAAATTCTTGTTAATTATTAATCAACATAAACATCAATTAATTTAACAACTCATTCAATCTCCAAGACAAAAGAACTAATATTATCAATGTTATAATTAAAAAATTATTTTCATAAAATAAATAAAAGCTTGTACTTAAACTAAAAGAGTTGGTGCAGTAGGATGTAGAATAACAAAGACAATAGTTATGCTTCAAATAAAAGATTTTATTTCATTTAGATCAAAACAGTGAATAATTTTGTATCATACAGAGTATTGAAGTTCTTAGTGAAGATAAACTGGTGAAGCATGAGCGTAAGTGTATGAAGCTGGGTGTACAGAGTAGGCAGCACTGTGAGCAACATGGACTGGAGCATGAGCAACCACTGGAGCAGCCTGGTAGGTGTAGGCTGGTTGAGCGATGTAAGCTGCACTGTTGTCAACTTTGTAGGTATTGGCGTAGCTGGTAGCAACTGGTACACTGTGTGCTACAGCAACAGCTGGTTGAGCGATGATTGGAGATGAGTGCAAGAGTCCTGGTGCTGGTGCAGCAACGGCACAGGCCACGAGGGCGAACAAAGTCACAAACTTGTACATGTTGATTGGTTTTGAATAGCTTTCGATAGTGTTAATCGAATTGTGATTTGACTGTAGAAAATCTAGACAATTTATACCAATATATCCCTTCTTTTTGTCCAACAAATTTTTCGTCCGGGGAGGATCGAGGGCAGAAAAAACGAGTTCTCTTTCTCTTTGATCATATTGTCTGACAATCTCTATATTAGTATTGCGTTGAAACTCTGGTAGATTGACATGGCCAAGGCTCTAAAAAATTTTGTTGACCTGCACAAACTTGATTGCGTGATCATTTGACTATGAGAGAAATGAATTCAAAAAACTTGTAGGAGTGATGGTAAATAAAAATATCAGATAAGACATGATTGCTTTGCATAACACATGTTAAATTCAATTGCATAAGAAATGCTACCAATTGTCTACTTCTAAATCAATCAATTTATTGATTTCAACTATCTATAGACCAATAGTTTGAGTAACATTATCAATTTAATTGTTATAATTTTACCCATCGTAATAATCATTTTCAACATTCAAGTTCATTTCAGTCCAAAAAAGAAGAATATAACAAAGTATAAATTTAGATCAGAACAAAAAAAAATTCATGACAAAATTATATAAAAATATATGTCTAGTCATTGTTATAAAGATCAAATAGATAATAATGATCTGAAAATGTAAAAGTAAGCGGCTCTTAATTAACTTGAAAAGGTCACTCTACTGTACGTAATTTCTTCTAAAAAAGAGATCTAGAAAAAAGTACAAAAACTTATGAATATTAATATAAAAACTAACTATTGTTTTATATTAAGTACAAAAGGGAAAAAATAACCAAGTAAATTAAATACATTAATTTTATTATTATTAATTATATTAATTTTTTAATCTTTTTTACTCCATCAAATATAAAATAAAATCCTACTTCATCATCATCAATAACAGAAATGTAAAAAAATTGTTTGCCATGAAAAATTGATCATCATTTTAATATCTCCAAATATTCTTCTTATAGTTATTTATTCAAACTTAATAAAAAATATTTACAATAACATCTATTAATAAAAACCACAATAAATTCTATTTTAAATTCAGTGACAGTTTTAGAGTAATGTTACCATAATTACAATATTACAAATGGACAAGAAATTGCAACACTAAAATAAACTGCAAGCTTATACGAGTAATTTCGTAAAACTAAAGCATTACGAATTTACATTGTCGACATAATAGGCTTAGTATCAACTTATTTGTAGATTACATATGCGTTTGTGTTACGAGTAACAATTGTATCACGTAACAAGAATACATCTGATATCTGTAATTAGAATAGAATACCCGGATGCTGGAAAATTGACCTTGATAACTAATTAGTCTTAAAATGATTACCCCAAGGTATCTAACATAATCAACAAGGGTTGAATAATAATCATTAATATATTGATAAAAATATGCTCTCATACTGCATTTGAAACCAGTAGACCAGTAGTTGGAAGTCTGACATACAACTGCTTCAACCACTTACTTTCTGACTCGATTCATCAGAAATTAATTTTCTCTATCTTACTTGCTTTAATAATACAAGTTGTCTCTTGGACTTCATTTAAATGTATCTCGATCAACTGTGTCTATATATTTTAAGTAAATACATTAGCTATGTGTCACATGAATTTAAATAACATAGGTGTGATAAGTTTATTACGTCATTAAATGATTATATTAGGAGATTTCATGAATTTTAACAAGGTGAGAAATTTAATACCAAAGGTATTTAAAGATTGTACATATTTATTTCTATATATGTTATTATTTTATCAGATATGTATAGAAATTAATTGACGTTATGAAAACAGGATATATTTATATCTATAGCATTTGATTAATTATAAATAAATTTGATATTTGAATAACAGCAATTAAAATTAAATTGATCATTAGTAAATTGTTGGTTTCAACATAAGGACTATTCATAATCATTTCAAGCTAATTTTGGATAGATTAACATATTGAAAAATATTATTTTGTGGTTGAAAATTGATGTGTTTGCTTTAAATCAAAATATTATACATTGCAGGTGATGTATTAGGTGAATTATTTGTGCTGGATATCTTAATTTTTATTAATATATTCTAATGTAATCAGGTATTTTGAAGTGAATGATAGATTGTGACAATAAAATTCTTCAATAAACTTAATTTATCTTTAATCAATAATTTAATTATTCAACTTAAAATTTCCTTGTATTAAGAAGAAGCTAAAAAAAAAGAAGTGTTTACATGTAATAACGGTCATAAGAATGATAATTTCATACTGGTTCATTTTCAGGACATTAACTTTATTAATATTAATTTTTATTTATTATCCGGATCAAATTCTGGAACAAATTATTTAGCAATTTCTTAATAACTCGATATCCTTCTTTGATATCGTATTTCTTTGTAGAAATTTTTTATCAAGGAAAGCGGGTTACTGAATTAAAAGAAAAAAAAAATGAAAGTTGCACAAAAAGTGTAACAATCTTTTGTGTCATCTATTTGTAGTCATTTTAAGCTACTGAGCAAATAACTATACATGTTGTTATTCGATAATATTGATTATCTTCTTAATCCTTCTTTAACTTCAAAAAATCTGGGCTCTCATCAAAAGGGTGTGGCTTACAAGAGATACTTCCTGTTTCACGTACGTTATAGGGAACAAGTTTTTCAACTATATCAGGGCTTGAGACTTTTATTTAGATCACAAGATAGAAATAAATTGGTAAACATAATTATAAATGCAGAGTAGCCATTTATGGTAAGACATATACCAGTTAATATAGCCTTGACAGTGCCCTCATGTTATGGCAACGTGAATGTAAAAATAAAATATGTTTCCAAGTCATTATAAAATTAATACAAATGAAAATAAACTAATGAAACATAATATTTCTTTTAAATCAGCAATTTTGAAATATGATTTATTCATATTATTGTGTATTAAAATACAGCAAAGGCTACTGGCAATATAGCAGACAACAAAAAATAGAAATCGAGGGTCTAGAGTCCTTGGTAGTGCTTGCAACGTTGAAATAAACGAAAGTAGAATTCTTGAAAGCAGGATGGTAAAAGCAACTGGGCTAGGAAGTATTTGGTGATGGGAGAGGTCATATCATTCACGTCTGGGGTTGGTTTGTGAATAAAAGCAGCAACCAAACGCTCTAGAAGTATCATTCGATCTTCAGTCTCGAAGTAAGAATAAACTAAACAATCAACATGTACAAGTTCGCCGTACTTCTCGCTCTCTTCGCCTGTGCCATGGCTGCACCTGAACCTCAACCAGGTTTCGTCGCATCATCTGTGCCAGTTGCAACCAGCTACGCCAACACTGTCAAAATCTCTTCCTCCTACAAGGCTCCAGTCGTAGCTGCACCAGTTGCATACGCCGCTGCACCAGTCGTCGCACACGCACCAGTTTATGCCCATGCACCGATCGTCGCATCTGCACCAGTCTATGCCCACCACGCTGTTGCTGCTGCACCACTTGTTGCTCACTCACACGTATTCGTCAAATAAATCCATTTACTGTGATGACAGATCATCTGGCTTACGTACATCTCCAACACCTACAACAATAATAAGACTTCTTTTTTATTCAATCAACGTTCTTTTTCTAATTTATGTTTGTTCAAATCCGTACTGAATAATAAACATCATTCATTCAATAGAAATTTTTGATTTTTGTTTGACTTATCCTTTTCTACCACTCTAATTTAATAAATTTTAAATGTCTTCAAAACCTATTTCTTTGCTTTAATTAAATAAATATAAACAATAAAAATAACTATCAATATTCATTGATTAGACAGGAATTATATCACATAATGATAGAGTGATATTTTAAAATTTATTTTTAATTATTTTTTTATTAATAAAAAATTTTTTCAAATTAATAGAAACAATTATATATAAAAAGAATTATTGAAAGTACTTGAATATTAATATTTTACATTTAAATAATCAATGATTGAGATTTAAAAAAAATATTTCATATTCATAACTCTAAATATAAATCTGTAAAATTGGAGTTACTTGTTTTTTTAATGACAATTATTACAATAATAATATTAATTGATAGTTAGGAAGATATCTATTAAATACTTTGCTTCTTCTATCTCTAAAAATAGACTCTCTAAAGATAGATTGATATTCTAAAAATAAATTTCATCATAAAAAAATGTCAAATCATTCTGATAGCAATCTCCTAAAATTCTAGTATAACAGATACATTAAAAAACAATGGTTCTAATTGTTGGAAAAATATTGTTTTTTTTTCACTGAAACATTTCATCCTAGTGTTTAATTATTATTTAATATTAATGTAACAACTTTTTTTTGATAATAATCATTTGAAACAAATTTTCCATCATGACCTATCCAAATGAACATATGATATTTCGATTGATATATTAACCAATACTTTCAGTGCACAGTGAGTTGATTGACAGACAATTGTTAATTAATACAATACCATGTTGCAGCAACAGTAAAAAAGAATCTTCGCCTTGTCTTTTTTACTGTGTTATTCAAAGCTAGTACAAAGTTCACTCTCATGAGAAAGTACATAAAAGTGAACGTTTCCCGTTGTTAGTATGATGTCTCATGGTTTGAGAAAACATACTTTAAATTATACAATAAAATATATAAAACTTGGCCAATTGTTGCATTGCATGAAGTAAAAAGAGAATGTGGATTCACATAATCGAGTAAGACTTTGAAGGTAGAAAATTCTTGTCACGTTTTTGAGCTAAACAGAAAGACAGTGAGACTTATTATATAGTTGTTAGTATACTTAACATTCAATCGATGTGATTAGCTAGTCGACATGGTGACCGACTTGAACGTAATAGAATACGTCGATCGCTAGAACATTATTACACTTGAATGAAACCAATTCCCATCAGCTGGAGGTGAAAGTACTTTGACTCCTACAATACACCGTAACCTTCGTAAGGCACTTTCAAGGTCGACCTTACATTATTATTTTTTTACAAATTTTTCTCGTAGAAATGTCAAAAGGTCTTAGGAAATAATATTTTCATCATACACTAAAACCAACTAAATCATAGACTAATCCATCAAAATTAATTGATAGTTGTATGTATGAAGAAACATATATGTACATTGGTGCTGATGTAAGAAATGAGTCAATTTTACAACAGCTGATTACAGTGACTAATAAATTTTCATCTTATTTATCTCCTAAGTGATGAAATTTTCGCAATAATATATTATTTATTTAATTTAATTACAGTATTTGTTCCTTCCTATTAATGAATAGGTATTATCCTGATGCATATTTTTTAAAATATTATTTAATGTGAAGATTGAATGAGTTAAAACTCATTTAAAAAAATATTGCAATAAAAATAATATTTGCAATTCATACTTGAAATTTTTTTTAAAAATATTCCATTTATTTGTTTGATTAAAAATCTATAAAAAAACTTTAGTCATTCATCTATCGAATTTTCTTGCCTACTCTCTGTGAGAAATTTTAAAAACTTTTCTACTTTGTAATGGTAATATCAAAGTGGAAAATTAGTTTTTTGTATATATTCAATTTAAAATACATTACTTCTCTGTAAAGATAAGGCTTAAGGACTTTGAAAAGTTTGACAAAATGTTTAGAGACAGATTATTTGACGTGAAATAATTTGAAAACTATATAAAGGAGTCGTTAAACTTATGTCCTTGCTCCTTAGAATCAATGTAAATCTATCATCTTTATTATTTCGCTATTCATCATTACATTGACCTCGTGCAAATTTTAATCCTTTGTAAATGCTCGACATCGACTCTTACAGGAGTTTCAAGGACACCGTATAGATTTTCAACATGACAAATATATTCTTGACATACGGAAGGGATTGTGATTGGAAGATAAAAAGCTGTGAGAGTTGGAAGGTTTTGCTATCGTATGATTCTTTTCCTTATTCTCTATCTTTTTCTCAACCGCTCTCTCTCTCTTGCTCTCGGTCTCTTTTATGAAAAGATTCGAATGCATTTGAAGGTTTCTTTGATCAATAGAAGTGGACAAAGGTATATAAAGTGAACATCTGGGCTCAAATAGTCAGTCAGAAGGTTCTTGAGACCATAACAGACACATTGAAAATTTATCAAAATGTTCAAACTTGTAAGTTTCATTCATCATACTCCAGACAATGATTATTAATTAATCCATTATATAACTGAAGATTCTTTCATTTTTTTCTCTTTACATCTATTATACTTTTAACAACCGACTTGTATTGTTTTTATCCTGAAAACTTTTTTTCTTCTTAAAATGAAAACCACAATAACTATTAACATCTTGGATTCCTATTTATTGCAATGTTTTCTGTGGTGATCAATAAATTTTTGTTTTTTTTTGCAGTTCGTTTTCGCTGCTATCGTTGCTGTTGCAACTGCAACCCCAGGATACTTGACATCTCCATTGATCAGCACCTTGATTGGAGAAAAAACCATTGAATCCCATGGCAACTCTGTTGTCCATGCAAGTGCACCACTTGTTAAAACTGTTGCCGCTGCACCCATCATCGAAACTTATACACCAGTACACTATGCACCAGCAGCCAAAATCGTCTATGAAGCTCAACCTGCTCTTCTTGCTGAAAAAACCATCTCCAGCCATGGACAAAGCATTGTTCACAACTCTGCCCCTGTCATCTCCGCTGCTTATGCTGCACCAGTTACAGTCTGGTAGACATCCAATGGAAATAACTCTCCAATAGCCCGATTTAAATCTGCAAACAACAGCCATTAATAGCAATTTGTCATCTTTTGTTCATTAACTTGATTCAACAGTCTCACAGGTCTCTGAGAGGTTAATTGAGTTATAAATGTGTTTGTTAAAGAACCAGAACTGATTTATTCTTTGTTTGTAAAATATACATCAAAACCCTGTTTTTAATTCAATAAAATAATACACTTTACTGCCTAATTTCTGAATTTTATTTACTTCATTAATATTTAAGCATCCTTTTGAAATAAAATACAATAATTATGATTCAATAATTAAAGAATATTTTATATTTACGATGGAGAAGAATTTTCTTATGGTTGATAAGTTTATTGACTAAATAAGTAGCATTTATATAGCGTCAATAAATTTTATAAATCGCAAATATTAACAAAAAATGTATCTGACGCAGTTTGACAGTAAATACAATTTAACAAAGATTGCAAATAATGAAAATACGTCAGATACGTTTTCAATAGCTTCTTAAGAGAAGGATAAGTAAATCGATACGTTTTTGTTTACAGTTCACGAACTTTGCAATAAAAACTGTAGCAAGAAACTGATTTTTATGCAAAATAATGATAATTTATTATCATCTTAAAACATTTATGATACCATTGGCTTGTTGCTGCGGAGGATCAAAGAATTATAAGACAACTTGAGAGTTCATAAAAATTTCTCCCTTCCTTCCTTCCACGCACTTTTACTGAACTCAACGACCTCGACGATGAGGAAAAATATCGATGATATGTAAATACTTTGTTTTTGTTTTTGCCTCGTAAATTTTCTTTAATGAGAGGAGAACAATGCTCTTTAAAAGCCATCAAAATAATGATAATAATATCAACAGATCCTTAATGTAAATAGTCACACAAGTAACTGAAAAAAAAATATAAAATCATAAAGTCAGTGACGTTAATTGGAGGGAATATTCAAACATATTGAAAGCACAGGATATATTTACCGAACATAAAACTTTTGGTTGAGACGTATAGGTGATCAAGCCTTGAAGCTGAAGGACTCTTAATTTTTATTTTATTTTTATAACTTTATCCGTAGAAAGGAAGGGAAACCTTCAGCTTCTCTCCATATACTTTGTTTCTTCTTCCTTTTCTCCTTCTCTTTATCCTTTTCCTACCCGCGATCTGGATCTGAATCTATGTACTACTCTTAAGTATCCATAACAAGTAACATAGAACCTCAAGGTTCAGGTGAATGAACGCAACCACTAACGACATATGTTTTTGTTATATTTTTTATATTCATTTTCAAGTGATTTTTTTTCTTTTTACGCCATTTAATCAACTTTATATACTACAGATATTAGAGCATGTTTTTGTTAATAATCGATTCATGCTAATTTTTAAATATTCTTTTTAAACCATGATAACAATAATCATAAATCAAAGCTCAGGAGAAATAAATGAGTAATTAAGTTAATTGCTTCAAGAATCTAATGTGTAATTTATCAATGAAGTAGTTTCTAAAAACATTTAATTAATTGATAAATGAGATTTAAAAAATAATATTATTATTTATTTTTTTGATGCTGACTTGGCAAATGGAAATATCATGTATTAAAGGATACATCTTAAAACTCTTCCAAATGCTTCTTGAAGAATAGAACAAACTTAGGGTCATTTTATAGTACAGTGATATGTTGGTTATTCAGAGGCATAAATCAATGGGGTAATGGCCGATGGACAAAGTAGCCTTATAGGCCGACAACCTCTCGTATCTTGACTATCGGGAAGCGAGAGTACTAGTTTGTGTTTCTCTTATATACACTTATACGATACAGATAGGAATTTACTGGAAGCGATAGGAATTGCAGTCAGGGAAGCGTGTTTGCTATCAAGTTCCCTGGCCTCTTCTGCTGATGAGTCTGATATCAAAAGCATCTGTTTGCATATGTTTTCGTTGTAAAATTCTCTAATGATAAGACAATGAGACTTGATCTAGTACGTTATCAGTAATTTATTTCTTGACTTGAACTAATAAGTTTACCAGTAGAAATGAGGAAGGATTTTCTTGATGAAGATCCTGGAATGTACCTATGAGAGCCGGCCCTGCCAGGATTGCAACTGCATGTACTATGCTTGTATTGGACGAGACGAGTTTTTTTTATCAAGTACATGCTCTCGCCTCTATAAGTAGCTGGCACTGAGAATCCTAGCACAGAATAACGAAAGCTCTTCTGCAGCAAGTTCATTCACTTTCTTCACTCAACATGTTCAAATACGTGAGTATTATTCTAATACGATATTCTATTCCAGTGATTTTATTTAAATATTATCTAGTCATTTCTGATCAGTTTGAATAAATAAATAAATTTCATGTGCGATGATTTTATATTCATTTTAGATTGCTCTCGCCGTTTTGATTGGAGTTGCCACCAGTGCTCCAGCAGAAGATCTAAAATCTCATGCTGAGGCTGCGCCTCATGCGGCTCCAGCACCAGCTCACGAAACTTCCGCTCCAATTCCACAAGCTCCTGAAGCTGTTCAACATGAAATTAATGACCAACCACCTGCTCCTGCTAGTGCTGCTCCAATCCAAAGTGCTCCAATTCAACATGCTGCTGAGCCAGCTCCTCCAGCACCTGTTCCAACTCCAAAACAACTCTTCATCGCTGATCTTCCTCTTGTAAAGACTCCAGCTTCCACTGCCAAATTAACTCCAGTTGCTACTTCTTTCGTTGCTCCTGTTGCTTATGCTGCAGCACCACAAGTTTTAGCATCTGTAAGTACTTAAGTTTAAATTCTTAGCTTTGTTATTTGAATAATTGTTTAATTTATTCTTGTTATTGTGATTTTTAGTATCCTTATCCTGGACTTGCTGCTCTTCCTGCCAGCTACTCTATTGAACAACATGGTTATCATATTGTTTATTAAATAAAGGATTAGAAGATTCCTTTAATTTTTCAATAAAAGTCTGACTATGTAGTGGATTTTTCACTATCCACTTGATAAATCAGGATCAAAAAATTGATTGATCCTTTCTTTTCTTAGCCTGGAACTGATAATTTTAATTTCTTCTTTATGCATTGTTGCTCATATCATTCATTTATCATTTTCATGTAATGAAGTCATGCACATAAAAAATATGAATAATAAAAATAAAAAACATCAATAATATTTCTTGTGTTTGTTATTGTCATTTCCTCATAAGAATTAATTATAGTTTGACTAAAAGAGAAACCAAGTTTATGTATATTAAAACCTTGAAATTTTCCCATTGATATTCACTCTTTCAATAAAATTTGAGTCAATCATTGAGAAAGTAAGAATTCCAATTAGATTGAACAATAAATCAGAATAATATAAAATAAAAGATGTGTTTAGAAAAGCAGTAATAGAGAGAAAAAATTAATATCAGTACAGTTAATCGTGTATCAAAAAATTAATTCTTTATACTATTAGTGTCATTGGAACTTTAGTTTACTTCAGAAAAAAGTGAATATTCAGTGCTAATTCAAATATATTTTTTATTTAGTTTGTTAGGTAATATTGAAGATATCATAGCAAAAGGTCTTACACCTGATAATGTCAGAGGACATTAGACACTATTTTACTGAAGGAAGAAAAAGTTGACACATCTAACTCAATGAAAACATGATTGCAATCTATTTTCTAGTCAGAAAAATAATGCAAATCACTTTTAATAATCAATAAAGCAGCATAATATAATAACGAATAGTAATCATGAAGGTTTTGTATACCACAATAATGTTGTTAAATATTACAGGGTAACAGTACAACAATGAATATGATGAAATGCAGCATATCACAGCGGTACATGTGTAGAAAATAAGATCTCCATGGAGATCTGCAGAAGTATGAAGACAGAAAATAAATTTGAATACATTAGCGACAATTGAAGCTTGTAGTCAAAATGATGTCGGTAATGTTGTATCATTTATTGTCAGTCGAAAACTTATCTTCAGAGTAATCTTATTCTTCTGTTGATATGGCAGCATGAGAAATGATCAAATAAAACTCTACTATTCCAACGATAAACAATATCGGTTTGAAAAGTTTAAATTGTCAAAAGCAATCAATGCAGTCGAATAAATGACAATTTTACCATTTTTGAACTTCATGATTGATTTATCGAATAAACGATATTGTTATAGAATTTATTGACGTAATTGAGAAAAAAATTGCAAATAATTTGTATCAATAATAAATGATTTGCTTCTAATAATAAAGCAAATATAAATTTTATTATTTCAAGTTGTTCAAGTTCAATTTATTTCAGCAATGCTCATGAAAAACAGCATGCAGTAGTCAGACAAGCTATGGTGAAATCAGGTTTATTCTTTAATGCAAATCTCAATGAATTATCGTGCATCAACATATTTATCTTTTTAATGCTATTGCGTAGGTTTAGCCCCAATACACGTAAAGTGATATTTATTCAAAAAATATCATATGGTTATTTCTTGATGGTCTAAGAAATCTAAACATAGCCATTAAGTAAAACTTCAATTAAATACGCATGTTTTGTTTTTAAGACATAAAAACAATAGAAGTGGACAATGGTTGGTTACAGTGAGAGGGAAAGTCGAATCATCCGTATACTTTCTCGACTTTTTAGTACTCTTATCACATCTCTAGTTCAAATACATGTTGAGTGACTATACAAAGAATTGATATACTGTAATTAACTCTTTTAAGGCATTACGAAACATAATAAACAACCTAATTTCATTAAGGCTTCCCACGGAAAAGGAATAAAAATACCAATGAGATACTAAAATAAAATATTTACATATTTACTCATGTTTTCTATCAATATTCATTCAGTATTTAATTCTTTATTTAGCAATGGATAATATATTTTAAAGAATAAAATTAATTGTAAACATGGTTTGTAATTCTTAATGAAATTATTCATCAGAATAAAGTGTTCTGAAAGTGGTATCATAATAAGATTTATTGATCAAAGATGTTGCTAATTATGTCTGATAATATTACTCTAATTAAAATCGCCAATTATTCGAAATAGTGTAATGGGTTATTAAGAATAAAGATGCAAGATAATTATTGAGTGTAATCATCAGTATATGCTGTTTGGTATTTTTAATAATAATGCAAGTCATAAGATAGATAATATAAGAGGCTTATTATTTCTTCGTACTTACCTAAATCAGGTCAAGTCAGTCTTTTATAAAATCTGAAATGTAGAATTCCCCACTTGCAACAGCTAGGAAATCCCCTGTTAGGTAATCCAGTGGCGTTCCAGCAAAGCTATAGAATAATAAAAATTAATCGTAAACATAAGGTCATCAGCCATAGAATAAACAAAGATTTTTTTATATCTATTCAAAGATGCAATACTCATAAATAAGTATCTTCTAAAATTTTTTCTTTGCTTTTATGACAATTTTTTAAGTAATTTATGAAGCTGAGATTTCTATTAGTCTTTAGAAGACTTAATTTTATAAATAAATATTATTATTACTAAGAATTTTTTTTAAACTTACGTCAAACTCTTAATACATATTTTTATGATGGTTTTGGTAAACCGAACATCTTTAAGAACACTTTCTCCCGGATACATGTATGGTACAGTCTGCTCTGTGTAATATCAGCCAGCGATCCTTTATCTACCACTAGAAATTTGTATTTCTATTTTTCGCCCTTTCTATTGCTTAATACGATTACAAGATCCATTCACGTCATTGAATAAAGAAATAAAAGTGGTGATAATTAAAAAGTCATTACACTTGAACTAAAAAAAAAAAAATTGTTCATTTAGAAATTTTTTATTCTCAACGGTTTTTTTGAATTGTCTTGATTCAGTTACGATGTCAAGGTTGGCATCAGCTGAAGAACCAAACACAAGTAAAGAAGAAAGTTCACTCTCGCATCGAACAACTGACGTCAAGATATAATTTCGCTGGCATCGGAAGTAGTAATTCTCGTGGGCAGTCAATCTTGACTTATTCTTCTAGATCCTTTATTTTAAAAAAAAAAAAAATTTCAACTTTTGATAACAATTCAGTACAAATAAATCAAATTTAATTAACATGTAAATAAAAAAAGTAATAATTAAATTTATATTAAAAGAAACAAGACTTACTTTTATCAACAACAAAAAACATTAGACAGCCATCATGATTTTTGTTGAGTTCAAATACTTTCAATCTTTCTTTGTTGGTTGGAAATTTGATGAGAATATTGAAGCTTATTATTTTTGTAAATATTTTGAATTTTTTTACGGTGGAATACCTTCTTGATCCAACGGCTTCTTGATAATGAGTATCACAAAGTCAATAACCTCCAAAAATTGAGGTATGGAAATATTGTATAACAATTACAGAGGTCATCTTCTCCATCATTAATCCGACCATGACTCAGAAGAAGTAGCTGAAGGATTCATTTAATCCAACAACTAATGATTCTCTTTTCACAATCATTAATTCTGTCATATTTATTTTTATTTTATTTTCAATTTCATTATTTTCATCACTCACGGTGTTACTTTCGAGAGCGTTTTTTTAAGGCCTTTCTTTACTCTAATGACGCACGAACTTTTTCCCGCGTTCGGTAACCCGAGAAGAATAATTTATAAGCTGTTGGGTATAAACCATGATTTTTGTTAAGTAACGATTCATTGACGACAATCTTTATTACATAATTCTCTTCATGGTACCTAAAATTTAGTAATTTATCTTATGATCATCCCGCAAATGTGAACCATTGACGTCAATAATGATTGGATAATATAGTTTTTGGTATAATTGCGAAATGGCCACAAAAGAAGGAGGGTTATTTATGTTATCCGAGATGATCTTGGTGTCGAAATACTTGGCAGGATTGAGAAGTTCAAGTTCTAGGAATGTGTCCTGGATTGAGTAAAACTGTGCTAATAAAATTATTTATTTAATATTAAACAGATTAAAAAATGGTAAATAAATTTGCACATTAAATTTGGTTTTGAGGTTAAATGAATATGTTTACAGTAATTGAATTAATTTTCAAGCATCTACATTTTTTTTTTTGGAGTAAATAATGAAATAAAAACAAAAATTGCAAATGATTAAAAAATGTAAATTTGTTTACATAAATAACAACAGTTAATAAATCACGTATTCTTTATTTCAGAGATGATTTGCCATTTGCAATGTATTTTTTCACCATAAATTATTTCTCTTTATTAAGCATAATAGACGCTAAACAATAAAAATAATTGTGGAAGAGCTGCAGTTATTGGTGAGCATTACTTAAGACCTCTGTAGTTGTGCTGAATGCAAGGGAAAACCCCAGGTTAAATTCCGGTTGTTGATCTCATGATTTCTTCGTCGCTTTGCGAATAAAAAATAAATTTCCCTTTTACTTTTATTCTATATCTATATAATCTACGAATAATATTTTTATTCGACTTTATAAATAGTTAATATTTAAATTTATTAAATTAATTGGATGATTAAAAATGCCAATTTGAATGTCAAAACAATCAAAGATATATAAACATACTTCGTATGATGAATGTAATCAGATATGCTTGATGAACATTGTTAAAGAAAAGTACTTTCGGCTGACGAATGACTCATATTGTTCAGGTACCCCACCTTCAGAACCACCACATCCCCGCAGCATCCTGAATTCACGTATATAAGTTGGTGATCGTTCACAAAAGCTCAGAATAACAAGACGGTGTCCAGGAGAAAGTGTTTAGGGAGAAGAGAAACAGGCCTATATAAAGACACCAATCCAGTGCTCAAAAACTTAGTGTTGTGACAGTGATCGAACTGAAGGTAAGCAAAATTCAAGAAACAAAATATATTGGTCAAATTTATTAATTTAATTAGACAAATGATCAATAATGTTTAAACATTTCAATCAATTAATTAATTTAAAGTATTTTTAATAACAGTTCATCTTCAGAGAAAATTAGCAATATTTCAATTATTAATTTAACTTTATAAATTATATTTTTTATTTAATCACTTTTAGATTCTCGTTAAACTTAATTGAGTTGATTAATTGAAATTAAATAATAAATGAAATGAAATGTTCTATTAAAGGGAATTATAAATTCTAATTCGATAATAATAGTATACATTTCTTAATTGATTTGTCTAATGTAAATACTAATTTATTCGTTATACGTTCAAATTTTTTTATTATGTAACAACTTTCACTGTCGAAATATATCGAAAATATTTATTTCAATAATAAAGAGCACGAATTACACAGAGGTGTATGAAGAAGTCATGCAGCTCTTCGTCGTACCGGTCAAACGACTTTCTCCAACTTCCTCTCACTTTCGTTGGTGGTTGGATCAGAATATAAATAAGTTTATTGTCTTTTAATGTCTCATTATTCGCTTTATACAAATACTACATTGTTTTCATCGATTGGATTCTCAAAATAGTGTACTGAAGAAGTAGAACAGACATGAATGTAGTGAAAAAAACAATTAAAAGCAGATGATGTAGATATTTAAATGAAGAAACGAACATCAGTTTAAATAGCTAGAGAAAGGTGATATGCACTTTCTCAAGGATCAAAAAGATAGAAATTTGTATTCTTTTATTTTTAGACTAAGAGTTGTTAATTTACGTATGGATTTTAATTTATCGTTATCTGAAGAATAGAGAAAATAAATGGAAGACATGTGTTTAGGGTTTAGAGTAAACAAAGAAAGCATTGGTATGGAAAGTAGTATTTCCGGAGAATAAGTAGTACTTTCACATACTGAATTTTGTACTTTTTTTTATTCTCACAATAAGAATGAAACAATCAAACTAACAATTAAATTGTCATCTATAGAAATTATTATTAAATAGAATGATTTTATTTTGTAGGAAAAAATGTGGTTCATCTTTTTGATGGGTCTCTTGACCCAGGCACTTGCAACGCAAGTATCGTATCAACCGTCAGGTTCACTGTCCACTCCTGAAGAAGATAAAAATGACTGGACTTACACTCAACATAACTCCAATCCATCGAAATTTACTCTTCTTGATGCTAAGTCTACGGCATCTTCAGTAAGTAATCAAATTTATTTATATGGAAAATACTTGATATATTCTTTGTATCTGAGAAAATAATTAATAAATTTTATAATTACAGAATGATGATCTTATTGAGAGAATTTTTATATCCAATCGTGAAGGCCGTCATGTTGAAGGATATGATGAACTCTATGCTGATCCTGGTGTCAAAAATGCTCTTCAAGATACAAATGAAACAATCGCTCGAGCTTACATCAGGGACAAGCTTTGCGATCTTGGATTAATGAATGTAAGAAATAATCTCAAAAATATTTTTATTTCGTTTTTTAATTATTCAAATATAGAAGATTTGTGGAATGTTAACTTAATAAAATTGTTTTAGTGTGAAAATATCGAAGGAAGACGTCCATACTTCTCCCCTCATCATTATGATATTCATCCTCATGAAGTAATTTATGCTCAACCCGTGACAATTAAGCCAGTCGGCAGACCATTACCTGCAATTCCGGTCAAGAAACCTTTTGGTTATGGACCACCAAAGCCAGGACTTGGCTTATCTGGACCACCCTATGGACCTCCTGGACCCGTTTATGGTGCCCCAGGTCCCTTCTCTGGACCACCTCCTTATACTGGCCCAGCCACTTTTAATGGACCTTTCTCAACTTTTAAGAAACCTGGATCCTATATTGGTAGCAAACCTGTTTACGAAGAATCTCCATTTGATGGAGAATACGATTTTGGACCTGAAGATAAACGAGAATTCATTGAAAAGAAACAAGTTATTGTCCAGCCTGCTTCATCAGTTCAACAACACGTTCATCATCATTACCATCATTCTGATGGAAAACCTTCATCTGTGATTGTCGGAACCCCTGGAATCGCTGGACCGATCCTTAGCCCTAGCTCACTCGGTGGACTTGGTAATAATCATGGTTATGGATTAAGTGGTACTTATGCTAATTCATATGGAGAATTCAACGATTACAAAAAAGCTTTCAAAGTCAATTCTCCATCTGCTGGAAACAGTCTAGACCCAATTACTACTAGTGGTAGCTATGCTAACCGATATCCTTCTTACGAAAAACCAAAAAGAGATTCTTTCTTTACTCCAAAAGAAGGTGGAAAAATTTTAAACCCAGGTTTCGGTAATTCAGGAATTGGATCTAATAATTTCGGAAACAATTTCAATGTAGACTCTGGTAGCTTTGGATCTAATGGATTTGATAATGGACTATCCAATGGTTTTGATGATTGTATTTGCGTTCCTTATGATCAATGTATTGCTATCGATCATGCTGGACGTAAAGATGATTTGTTCCTTCCTATTGATCCCCGTAATATTGGAAAGAACATCGAAGCAGAGAGTGAAGAAGTAGTTGTTACTGATGGCAATGGAACAATGAGCATTATTAGAATACCTAAAGGAGTTAATATTACAGAAGAAGCACAGCATGTTGAAGAACAGAAGAATTTATCTAATACTGCAGAAAGTGATAAATTAACTAAGAGAAGTAAACGAGAAGCTAATCCTGAAGGAAAGAAAGATAGAAGCATTGATGACGCTCAAGGCGTAAGTTGATTTTTTAGATAATTCTTTACTTCTTATACTTGGCATGAAAAATTAACACTGGTATATATAATTTTCTTAACGTTTTTAAAATAAGAAGCAAAATTATCAAATGACAAAAATTATTCTGATATAATCTAATAATTATATAATTTAAAAAATAATATTATAAACATAATACAGTATTAAATCTTAAAAGAAATAATTAGATGAAAGATATGATTAATTAACTAATTATCACCTTATCTAAATTGCTATATAACACTTTAATTGCACGATTACTATCTAATCTCACAATCCAGGACCTCGGATCGTTTCCTCAGCAGACTTTCAATGCTTTACTTAGCCTTATTTTTTTTTATCTTTCCTACATTTTTCATAAGAATACGTTTAATATCGATTTTTCGTTATTACAAATACCTACATCCTTGCAATCTTACAAAGTTTTTTTTGTTTTAATTTTCACTTTTAATTTTTTGTCAATTTCTTCTTAATCAATGTTTGTTCAGATAAACACAAGTTATAAAACTTAAAAAATTTATTTAATGGAATAGATTTTACTTGACTGACGAATACAATTATAGAGCCACCAAGCCACCGTGAAGAGGTCCAAGAATAAAAAATATCAATAAAATCTAACAAGTAATCTAACAATTTAAAAAAATGTATATTAAAAAAATAATAGATTAAACTGACATTTATTTGGAGCTTGGATCTTTACAATGTGGCTTTGTGACTTTCAGCGACTGATCGGTAACTTTGACAAATCAAAATTGAACTTGAAACCTACTTGGGGTGTCAGCTTTGGTTTACCAAATAGCGGACCTTATCCAATCAATCCATATGGCGGGAATCCACTAGTAAATCCTTACTCAGGCTATGGAGGTGGTAGCAATGGTCTAAATCTTGGTATAGTCTCAGTAAATCCTCTTGTATCAGTCCAAGTATCGAAAGACGAATATGGAGACAAGGTTGTTAAACCGTTTGTTAATCTCCATGTAACACCAAATCAAGGATTCGTACATAAATTGGGTCATATTCTTGCTAATCAAAAGCAAGCTTTCCTTGGAAGTCTTCATGGAGGTCATGGAGGTCATTACCATGGAGGATATGCTCCAAATTATTATCCGCCTCACTATCATCAAAAACCTCAAAGTCATTACCACGACCATCATCATCATCATCATCACGGACAATTCCAACCTTCTTGGACTGGAAATAATTATGGACACTATGGCGAACATGGAAATCATTATGGAGAATATCCCAGTGGATATGGAGGCTATGGAGGATTTTCAAGAGATAATAATTATTATAGTGATGATGAAGACTATAACGATTTTTATAGAAGCTCTAAAACTGATGCTAATGAAGCAGGAAAACAAGAAGGTTTCCAACAAGGAAATACTGATGGTCCAAGAGAGGGAAAAGTTGCCTTTCGAAACAGAAAGAAACGTGAGGTGGATCAGGTGAAAAAAATCGAAGAGGTAAGAAAAGGTTTTTAAGGACTCTAGGATGAAGAACTTCCCTTATTTTAGAAGAAGAATTACGTCGGAGATTCCAGACTGATTTAATTATATTGATTACTGAGGAGTATTAAAAATACATCAAAATGACTAGACCATAATTACCATTATTCGCTTTATTTTATTATTTTTTAAGCTTATTGCACGTGATAAAACTTTTAAGGCTACTTTTAAAAGCCCAGATAGCTTCATGTATCTTACCTTGTAGTATTTAAACATTTTAATTTTTACCTTATCGATTTATAACTCTCCTTGAAGTTCTTTAATTCCCTTACTCGCTTGGAATATTCTGACTGAACGCTACTGATTTTAGTAAAAGAAATAATCGGGGTTCTTATAATTGATTGTAATATATAATTTTTAAAATGCTGGACTGGTGTAAATGAGCATCTGGAATTATGATATTAATTTAATCCAATAATTTCTAACTTGAAAAGAAATTGAAATATTAATTTTTTCTTCAGAGACGATTTGGTAGACCACCTGTTTGTGGACCAAGACATGTTTGCTGTCGTAAGAATCAAATACGCCAAGATCTTCATCGTCCTAACTTTGGTCAATGTGGAGTTAGGAATAGCCAGGGAATAAATGGACGTATCAAGACTCCATCTTTCATTGATGGAGATTCAGAGTTTGGTGAATACCCTTGGCAAGTTGCAATCTTAAAGAAAGACCCTGCAGAGAGTGTTTACGTTTGTGGTGGAACGCTGATCTCTCCAAGACATATTTTGACTGCTGCTCACTGCGTCAAGACTCACAGTAGCTATGACTTGAGAGCTCGTTTAGGTGAATGGGATGTTAATCATGATGTTGAGTTCTATCCTTATATTGAACGAGATATTGTCAGTGTAACGGTTCACCCTGAGTTCTATGCTGGTACTTTGTACAATGACATCGCTATTTTAAAGCTTGATCATGATGTTGATTTTGAGAAGAATCCTCACATTAGTCCAGCCTGTCTCCCAGATAAACACGATGACTTCACAGGATCCAGGTGAGAATGATTTGTTAATTATTATTTAAATTATTTTATAATGACTGTATTGACTTTTTTATGTATTAAAAGAACAATCAAAAAATCATTTTCAATTTTTTAATCATTCTCTAGATGTTGGACCACTGGTTGGGGAAAAGATGCCTTTGGAGATTTCGGAAAATACCAGAATATATTGAAAGAAGTTGATGTACCAGTAGTTAGCAATTCTATTTGCGAACATCAGATGAGAAGAACTAGATTAGGACCAAGTTTTAATCTTCATCCAGGATTTATGTGTGCTGGAGGAGAAGATGGAAAAGATGCTTGTAAAGGAGATGGAGGTGGTCCAATGATCTGTGAACGTAATGGCCATTGGCAGGTGGCTGGTGTTGTCTCGTGGGGAATCGGTTGTGGTCAGCCTGGAGTTCCTGGAGTATATGCCCGTGTTTCCTACTACCTCGACTGGATTCGCCAGGTTACTGGACAGTATTAAGAAATAACTTGAATATTCCATTCTGGCCTTAAATTACACTGATGACATGTTACTATTTATTCATCAACTAATTAATGTGGATTTGCGAGAGCAAATTATTTATTAAATATAGTATGTGAGCATACTTATTTAAGTTATAATAACTTATATTGTATATAAACACTTTTTTAAACTATTTTATATTGTAATATTAATACTAACTTAATGAATTATTATTGTATTTAAATATTCTGTCGAAAGATAGATCTCAATAAACATTATTCTAAATATATTTGTTTTTTTAAATACTATCATAATTACGTAATTATAACAGTTAACTGTTATAAACCTGCTTCTATTTTCATTATTAATTTCAATTTTTATTTTTCATTAATTTAAATATCTATTCATAATCTTTTTCTTGAACATAGGGGTATTTTTTGAGGACAGGTTGTAGAACAAGTCTTCTTTTTTACAGAAGAATATTTACTTGTTCAGGATTACGAAAGAGTTGGTTTACTAGCAAACGGTATTGAGGAATACCAGACCATGGAGTCAATTGTTATGAGTTTTCTTTACTTCAACTCTTTTAATTTTCAAAGGAATCCCGCGTTTTATATGACACGCATGCGGTCTAAAGCACGTTGGCGCATATGTGCACATAACCTACTCCACCATCTAATAAAACGTTTGTTGTTATAATTAATATTTCTAATTTTCTTAGTTTTTTGTGAAATAATATCAAGTTTTTTATTCATAATCATAACATCATAGAAGTGATTTATTTATTATTTGTTTAATTTTCAGAAAGTGTCATGACAGCTTATAAATACGTTGGTAGAAAAACTCCTTTCAAAGGAAAACCTTTATGGGAAATTATTGGAAACCTGAAAAATTATGGAGTAGGAAGATTAATATTTAGAAATCAATTTCAAAGGTACGATGAAGTATGTTTTTATAAAATTTTAAAAGCTGCTGCATGGCCAAATCCAGTTTACCAAATTAGACCAGAATTTGTGAATTTCTTGGTAAGTCAATTTTGAAAGAACTTTAACTTTTTATAATGTTTTTAAATTTATCAAACGATAATATTTAATTGTTTGGAATTTTTCAGTTTCCAAGACGATGTATAGTTCTGGTAGAGGAATATTTCAGAGGCGTGAAAAATAATGAAATAGTTCAGTTATATCATGAAACATACAAAGATGACTTCCATTTAATACCAAAAGATGAAGAATATAAATATTTTGAAAGAGTTAAACCAAGGGAAGAAAGAATTCTACCTAAAACTATGGAATTACCTCCTCTCATGAAGATAGTTATGGAAAGACAATTCAAAGCTAAAGGTGTTGATGGACCACTTGATATGGAAGTTGTTTATAATTTTACAAGAGCTGGAACCAAACCTTATCGAATTGCTAAAGATGGTGAAACACCAAATGTAAAATTAAGTATTAGTCTTGGAAAACCGGCTTCTCCAAATCTTTACGCTAATGTAAAACCAATTTAAACATCTAGGTATTAATTAACTTGTAATATATTTAATAAATAACATTTGTTTAATAAATTCATGATTAGTGTTTATTGAAATTGACGAATACATCTAATAAGTATCTCTTTTCTGTTACTTGACAGTGTAAAAAATGTTAGTCTTAATTATAAAAAGAATTCATTTAGATATTTAGATGATTGACGTGAACATATTATTCAATTTGAAAAAATCCACGGAGAACGATTTTCTTTTCTTTTATTTAGGATTGACGGATTTAAAGTTATGTAAATAGCAAAAATTACTGGTATAATTTTTGATAAATATATTAATATATATTAATTAAATTATTTTTAATTAACTTTCATCATGTTAGCTCATCAATGTTCACCACATTGTTCAAAAATGACAGAACGTCGAAATGGTAAAGCTAAAATTATTTTTTAACTCAAAATTTATGCTTATTTAATTCATTATACTTCAAAAGTACATTAATTTTAGCATACGAAGAAAAATTAGCAAAAAAAAAACGTGTAAAAAAGAAAACTTTTGAAACTGATGATGACATTGCTACAAGTGCTCTAATAAGCAAATCATCACAAGAACATCTTAGTATAGATCTGTCTGATTTATCAAATGAAACTGAATATCTAAGTGTCCCTTTAGGTGATAGCTCTTCAAAAGATGTCAAAGAACATCTTAAAAGACGTGTTGATCGTGCTGACAGAATAGAAAAATCTCATAAAAAATATCAACAAGAATCTCATAGAAGACCTCGAACACCTACAGCGAGAAGAATCAGTATGGATAGTGTAGAGTCAACTGATGAAATAACTTCACGCGACGTTTCATCTTCTCCACATCGTTCACCACGCCAAGGGAAAAAATTTGATGAACCAAAGAAGAGTGATCGATCATGTGAAAATGAAGAATGTTCAGGAAAACCTAAACGTCAAAGATCTCCTTCCTATTTAAGTGAAATTTCATCATCAGATCCTTCTTGTCCAGAACTTTGCGAATTAGATGAATTGAAAATTCCAGAGCCTAAACAACGGTGTGAATCTTCTTGTCCTTCTCAAATTATAGAAGGTAAGTAGGAAATAGATGTATTCATCAAATTTAATTATTAACTGCTTCATTTTATTGAATTAAAAGTTATAGATAGTTAAACTAAGACCATTAAAATAATTTATTCACAGTTAATTATGGTATTTAATTAATTATCGAATACTGTAAATGCTAGATGAACAAAGAGAAATGGATCAAGCAGAAGTCGATAGATTCGTGTTATATGGAGGATTAAGATATTTCGATGACCTTTGTCATTGTTCTCTCAAATGTCTTTTAATCCAAATTTTTGGAGACAAATTTGTACAAAAAACAGCATCTTCAGCATTTTTTTTTGCAATGGGTATGAAACTTTGCTATGAACTAGATTCTTGGTTTATTCCATTTTAAATAAAAAAATTAACATTAAAAACCTTATTTAGTATTAAATTTTTTAAATGATTTTCTCAACATTTTATCTGATTATTCGAATTTTATTTATACATACAATTCACAGCATTGATTAAACTTATTAAAATATAATAATTTTTTAAAAATATGCTCAATAAGGAACTCTAATGCTTTTCATTTGCTTATAAACAGTTTTTATCATACAAAGCAAAGCAATGATGGATATAAGAATAAAGATAGATAGAACATATGGAATAATTAGATGATTATCTACGGAATTTTTTAAATTAATTTCTGGCTTAGGTAAAGTTACTCTGAAAGAAATATCATCAAGCCAATCGAAAGTTTGATTATTTAGGTTTATTGAGTTATTTAAACTCCTGCTTTTTCGTGAATGGCCTCCAGGACAATTTAAAACACAGTCATTACCGTCTAAACATCCTGTGACTTTAACATTCATTATCATCTCATCAGTTTCTTTCATATTATCAAACATGAAAGCCTGGAATATCAAATAACTCTCCAGAGGATTAACCCGATATTGTTCTCGAGAACAAACCTCTCGAATATCTGGATTGAGACATCCATTCGAATTTAATATCCACACACTATTCATGACCTTTTTTTGCCTGCTATTTTCAATGTAGTGAACAGTTACATCGCTTATTCTTGAATATCTCCAACCTTGCAAAAAAAATTTGCATTACTTATGATGGTAAATAAGATTTGTTAAAGATATATGTTAACAATACTCGTTGTTTCATATCAATAGAGATATAAACCACTTACCGTCACCTTCACGAACTGCTGCACGCAGTAAAATTTCCTCTCCAAGAATTACCGTTCCACCTGGCTGGATTTTTGTATCGAACAAGTGCTCAGAGCCTAGAGTTTTTCGGTACAAACCCACTTCTGTTTCAAAAACGTTGTTATGTCCACCTGTGGCTATTCTTGGAGCCATTCTAGCTAACCTGAAGTTTAAATAAATATTTATTCATTTAGAAATTTTTATTTGTAATATTATTGATTAAATATATCATAATAGTATTCTGAAAGTATCTTATTAAAATAAAATAATTAATTTTATGAAATCAATAATTTTATCGACAATTTGTAATTTTTCTTGTCTTAAATTATTTATGTTTAATTGATTTTTATCTTTACAATATCCATACACCTGACATTATTTATTATCATGTGTTTGTTTCTTTTTAATAATTCAATGTTGACATGAAAAAAATTAAATATGATTAACATAAATTTACTCATACGTGTCAATAGGTTTGATATTAATCCTTTTCGTATGAGAAGTTGTTCTTTCTTGAATCCGACATCGTAATATCACTTTAACATCTCCATTAAGTCTAAGTCCAGAGACACTTGGAAATCTGATGTTCAAGCAATAAAATTTACCAGCTTCTGTTGAACAATCTTGTACTCCACAATTCCAGAAGAGTTCATTACTAAAATCAAGTTTATATTCATCATTAACTTTAACCACTTTACATGAATCACTACCAGCGCCTTCAACAACAGGAAAATCTGATAACTTGGGTGGAGTAATGGAAGCTCTAAAAAATATCTCTTCATCATTTCTGCAGGCCATAGAATTGATCTTGATAAATCTAGACATCTCTGAGCCATCACCCTCGAGAGTTCCACTTGTTTTAACACTCGGTTGCTTTGGAGGAGTAAGATAACGAAATTCACTAGCAAAAGGAGTCTTTAATGCAACACTTGAAGGAAGAATATTTATTGGAGTTAGTAGAGGTTGAAAAAATGAACTTCTCACTCGATTGTCGATCACTTCTGGTAGCACAAAGTCTGGTTCAGTTGGAGGTGATGGAGGTAAATATAAATGTCTTGCAACAATTCTATTATCATTAGATTGGGTAGAAAAATTAAATATCTCTGTTCGTTGGTTATTTGAAGGTTCGAAAAAACTATTTTTAAGTTTGGCTCCATTGGATCCCAATATTGTCATCAGAATGAGTTGAATGAATGTAAGTAGATTCATTTTTTTCCTCTAAGGACTTATTTTGAACACTTTACGAAGCACGACTGATTCAATAATCGAATGTTGAATGGTTTTTAAAGGCTTGAGTTATTAGTAACTCTCACATGTGTATTGTGGTCTCATGCTGGAGAGATCTGCTGTCATTGTTTTCGATTAAAGACATACAGAACACCAGCGATGTCCATTATTAAGTACGTGGCTCCGTGATTTGGGCGACGATCAGATACTTAGCATAAAACATCGGTCTTATCCTCAATTTAAAAACTTGCTGCCATTAGCGACGAGCGATAACACCTTTTCAACTCTCTACTCAATAACATGATTGGTCTGGTTTTATGATTAATTTGGGTTAAAGGGTCTTATGGCATTGAAAATCATCGTTGTGACTGAATTGTATGTGTCTAGATTATTGCCTTTTGGCATTATTTCTTTTCTTTGTTTACAATCCTTGGATATTCTTCCCTCATTTTTATTTTATTGATTAACTTTACTGCTACGCAGACACGAGAAATAATTTTTTTTATGATGAATATTTTTTTTTCAGTTTTCAGAATCTTTGTTGAATAATCATTTGATAATTTTTTGATCTTGAAAATTACGTCAAAAAAGTATGTAATGGTACAAAAAAAATTTTCAATTCAATGAAGCTTGAAACATTCGAGAAGATTCTAGTAATTTGGGTTGTTTATTCGACCTGCAATCCGTCAAACAATGAATGATATGCTTCACAAAGAAGACTTCACCTAAATAGTGCAGTATGTCATCTAACTGCAAAAATGATTTTAAAGTTTAGAGTTGGAATAATTTTATGATAAATCGTCGGACAATTACTAAACATTATACGAACATTTCAAGCGATATTTTAAAATGTCGGATATCTTTTCGATCCAAGTGTGTTTACTACGAGAGCAACTGGAAGAACAAGTGGGTTAAAGACATCCTTGAGGGTCCTAAGTGTCGTAAAAACCAACGGAATTTTGTCAAAGCCAAACGGAGCATAAAATTTATTTCTTCATCGTCATTTTCACATATTTATTGTTTTTTTTTAGATATTCTATTTATTAATTTCTTAAAAATTCATGAATGAAAATACTTTAAAAGGCATTCACACCTGTAGAAATGCATGGTTTATATCCTCATCCTCCTCGACAGTCAATCCTTGAAGCATTACAGCTTTTTGTTGCAAAATATACTTATATGTGTGGTTTGAAAACTTCTCAACTCTAATGCGATTGTATTTAGAAAAAAAAGCAAAACCATTTGCACTTTACTACAAAAGGCATAAAGAAGTTATTCTCGTTAGCTGGAATCTTTCTACTTCTTGCCTTCTTCCGACTATATTATAGTAATCATCCACAGCATACTTAATTTATTTTTTAACACTAGACTTATTGCAGTCTAATAACTCGTCTGAAAATTTATATTAGGTAATTAATAATGATGCATAATATTATAATATACGTTATTAACCGTAAGATTATTTCATAGTGAATAAATAATTAATTATTTTATCAATTTATTCATTAATCTGTTGGATCAATTTATTTCTATAGAATTATAATATTACATTATAATAACAAGTCAACAAAAAATTGTTACTCACCAAAAACAATGACACTTCTGGAACATACGGGATAATAATCCATTGTTTTCGCATTCATACATGATGATATTTAACTTTAAAAAAATAATCCATCAACTCTTATTTTTATTATGACTTCATGAATGTCATGGTTCCGCTTTTGGCACAATTAAGGCCAGACTCAGTGGAACATCGAGATAAAGCTCTTATTTAAAAACAAAATTCTCTTCAAGATAAGTGACTTGATCTGCACTCTATGGATTATTTATGAATATGCTGTCTACTTTGCGGGTAATGCATCAAGCAAGTTTTCTTCATCACCTTAAGCCTACTCTCCAACCTCATATGTCATCATTTCTCTTCTGGATCCTATAAAAGATAACATGAATTGAATTAAACATAGTACTTCTACTTCAAGGAAGCTTTTAATGCTCAGATTTCAATGGCAATTAATGAAATAGATTTAAAAGTTCTTAATGATGTTAATGATAATCAAATTGATGATTATGAAATATTCTAGCGGGGAAAAAAAGCTGTTAACAGCAGCCATGGCCCGTAACAAAAACTGCTTTAGACATCGGTCAGCACGCGCCAGCTCTAACGGATAATTATATCTTTAATCTTGCCTCGTGCCAGTATAAAAAGTCACTAGAATATGCCTTAAAAGCAAAGCATCGAGCTGGAAATACGTAAATCCAATTCTTAAGTATCTAGGAAAAATAAAACTCAATAATTATCTCCAATGAATAAAGGAAAAAAGCATGTTCATCGAAACGCTCCCTTGCCTCGTCGGAACGTCCAGGGATCAGCCTGGATAACAGTAAATCCCTGCTAGCCAAAGTCACAATCCATGACTGGGTGGTGACGCGTCGATAGTTGAATTAAAAATTCATTCATTTGATATGATATATAAATAAATAATGATTCATATTACAGACTTATTGCTAATCAAAAGTATAATGGCTTTGGGTGGTCTTTGTTGGTTAAACCTTTTAACAATTTTATGGTTGTTTTAACGAGATTGAAAGCAACAATAGAGATTTTTTAAAGCAATTTTCTATGAGTGTAAAATGCGTTGAAGACTCTAGATAACATATTTGACACAGCCTCTATGCAAGAAGAGACTAACGGAAGAAACAATCTTTCGTTGATGGCAAATAACACTAAAGTGCGTGACAAAAGTGATTTAACGCATTCAGTCAGTGACAAGTACAGTAACTATACAGTAGGAAATTATTTAAAGCCATCTGGAAATTTTTGAATCATTTCCTTAATTATTTCTTTTTTTTATTTTACAAATGAAACGTGATTGTTCAGTTTATAAAATAACGACTTTACTCATAGAACTTTGGAATGCTACACCTTAGGTTAGGAAAACATAGCCTATATGTTTTTAAAATAAATATATTTTTAAGTTAATTTATCAACTAATGAAAATTTTTAATTAAAAAATAATTAACTGTAAATTAAACAAATTGATACATCTGGTAAAAAATACTGTCAATACTCCAAAAAAAACGGCAAATAAACTGATGGGATAATGATCACTTTGAAACGTATCGTTACAATAAGTATCAGTAGTAAAATACCGGTTTACTCGTACGCAAATTCGTTGGTTCAATGTAGACACTGCAACTAAAAAAAAAAAAAAACTTGTTTTTGCGTTCAAAGATCAGTTATATCCCAAAAAATACGACATTGACCTAGAATTTAGTCTTGGAGTTGATGTCAGTAACCGCTTAACTCATTCCTTTTATACATATCTCGAATCGCGTAGCGTTTCGCGTCTCGTTGATTTTCCATCTTTACCTGATCTAAACAGCCAACCATTGCACCTTAGGAAAAAAATACTAATGACTCACTTTGGCTATCTAAAAATGACCGTTGAAAATAATATAATAGTATTTATCTCCATAGCCATATCTAGTTAATTATTTCGTGTTAAAAATTCTTCTTTCATCGAAACTGTTATTCAAAATTATGTTGTGAATCAACATAATGATAATATCAGAATAAAAATGAGTATGTCGAAACCATAGAATTAGCAAAGAAGGTCCTAATGTCGTTGACAGACTTATTTGAGACCATCAATAGTGTCTTGCATGTGGAGAGGACACACGTTCGCGACTAGAATGGTTGTTAGCAGAGGCACCAGGCATGCATTAACAGTACTCTACGAATGGGCTGGTGATTCCCTGTTTCTCTGCTTCCTTTCTTTACCTCTCGCTTTGGTTATCTGCAGGGGGCTCAACAACTGTCTTTACTAGAACGTTCAGTCCATCAGGAACCTCCGTCAAAATTACATCACGCAGGTTTTATCAAGTTTTTGTATCTCATTGCAAGCTCGATTGCTACTTGAGATCCTTTAATCAGTTATTGAGTGAATATCATTTAATTAAATTTAAATCATGTGGAGCATTTTCGTCGTTGGATTTTATACGGTTTGTTCCTTGTGTTATTAATAAATATTTATAAAAAAATATATCAAACAATTATTCTCAGTGTAATTTTTTTTTCTCTTGAAAGTTCAATTAAACTAGCATCAATGAGTAGCAAGAACGTGTTGATTGAGAAAAAAAATATTGTAAACAATGCAAAGGTGGAAGGCTAATTATAGATTATGAATGAACATGAGTGTTTTATGCACGTTCTTGTCAGTCACGTGTTTGATAATAAACAGTAATAAATTGAATAAAAGAATGTTAATTCTATTAAATTACTTGCAATAGATCGTGGTAACGTTAGCTCAAGATTACGAGGTATCAGACATCCAATGCAGCGCAACAACGGCTACAACAGATCTTCTCACTGCAAAAATAAAACGCCCTGTTGGTTTCAAAGGCGCACCGCTCTTTGCTGATGACCGTGCTGCTGATCCTCTCACTGATATCCAGTGTCAAATACGACCTGATCCATCTGATCCTCAAGAAGATCATTATTTTTTGAAAGTCACCGATTTTTCACGCTGTGGAATATTGAAACGAAATGTAAATATGATAGCAATATCTTTTTTTCATACAATATTTTACACTTTTAATTAACAAAGAAAAATAATATGCATAAACTTCTGTTGTATAATAATTTAAAAATAACTTTTATTATTTAATAATTAAAAAAATGCTGAGTATTAGTTTTTTAATGATCGAATTCCTGTTATATTTTAGGGATTCATTCACCTTAGAATATGGTTTCCGGCATTTCCTGGTGTGGTCATGCTGGCAGACCAGGAACTAATTCTCATGTGCAGGCCTCCGGAGCCAACGCTTTTAAGACACAAGGCAGCAGGATTTGCTGGAACATTGTGAGTTTATTTTTACTCACCTAACTCTATATATACAACAACATAATAATGTCTCAATTTATATTAATTAAAAAGTGACAATGACCTTCAAGATTCCATTTACATTTTTTTTTCTATGAAATCTGATTCTTTTTTATCAAAAAATTCTTCCCATTTCTTTTCATAAATAATATATTATTAATCTATCCTTCCGTTTCAAAAGTGCATTGATTTTATCATGATCTACTGTATATAATATTTAAAAGATCAAAGATATGGGTAGTGTAAGTTGATTATTATAATTTGGGGTTGATTACTATTTACAGCCCTCATGGTGCACGAGTTTCGGGAGTGGTTGAAGAAACACCTGGACGTTTAGAGTACGAAGTGGCTCTGTATCGAGAAGCTGTTGGCAATGCATCAGAAAATTCTCTAGGTTCTGAAGCAGTAGATCAAGCAGTTCCGATAGGCACAAAGCTTCAATTACGAGCAAGAATCAGTCCGGAAAGTGCTTGGGGATACATTAAACTTCTGGAAGTAACTGTGAGTCCTGATCCTGATCAACCACATTCTCTTGGAAGTGTTACTCTTGTCAAAGATGGATGTAGAAATCGTGACTTTGCTTCAATAATCCCACATCAACCAGCTCGCTACCGTGATAGAAAGAATGAAGTTTATCTTGACTTCGAAGCTTTTCTGCTGAGCTCCATGCGTGAAAGATCAACACTGTGGATTCACTCGCAAATAAAAGCTTGTATGGAGCCACATGATTGTCAACCAGTGAGTATGTTTTTCAGGCCAGAAAGTCTGAGGAAAAAAACGATTATTTAATTAAATATTTAATCACTGTGAACATGAAATTGTTTTAGGATTTTTGTTTGGATCTCTTTGAGCCTTCTGGTCATGGTAAACGGAAGCGACGAACAGCTGGACTGATTGAAGAATCGTCAGAGAATAATCTACCGAAAAATGATCGAGCAATAAAGAAATATAATGACTCGACACAATTTACAAGAATCAAAGAAAACATAGAGTACACTGTTATGATGCCTAGTGGTAAGAATTCAAATATTCATTTTATTGAAAATTTCAAAAAATGTTCATTAGTGATTTTATTGGTCTGCTTCAATGCCCATCCGATCCTTTAAAGCATGACGCCCATTGATGCATCTTTGATGAGTTAATTTTTATGATTCTTATTTTTAATGATGTAAAATTATCTTTTATGTTCGGTCAAGTTTTTCCATAAATTATTTTCATTTTTCTTATGTAAATCCATGTGCATAAAATGCGATTAGCACATAAATATGAAAATTTATTCATAGTTTTTCTCTCGCTTCTGATAATTTTTTGTTGTTGTATAGCTCATTTGAGTGTGAAGAAGCTAATTGCCCTTTAAATTGTTCAATACATGTAGTAATTAATTTTCAGAACACATTATTATACATACTCATAGGCGGAGTAAATCGTAAAAGAAATGATTCTCGTCTTCTTTCGAGTGTCACATAACTTTTTTATTTTGGTTCGATTTATTCATTTATTATTGATTGATAATTCATGAGAGCAATTGTTCTATTTACATCTTGTTAGAACATAATAATCTTATCATAATGTTATGTTATCCTGTAATTACTGATAACTTTTATCAACAAGATTTATCTGAATTTTTGATTTACTGTATTGTTTATATTTTGACAGATATCTATGATAAAGTGGCACTTGGACTAGAAGGAAGTTGTGGAAGTTTTCTGTACGTGGCAAGTGGTTTAGGCATACTGCTAGTTTTTTCTGCCTTTATCATGTGTTATCTGGCTTCAAGACTACACTATACAACTGCCAATGTTCCGCAAAATAAATCCATCGACGAGCTTATCAGAGAAAGAGCAAGGAAATACTGCGAGCCAACTTCTGGCTATACTGGTCGTTCAACAATGCAGTAAAGATAGACTTTAGTAGTTTTAGTAAAAAAATTTTTTATATTTCTTGTAAAGTAATTTACTTGGTTTCTACAATTGGAATCACTTTCAATAATGAATTCTTTTTATAAATTTTATTACAAAATAATTTATTGGAATCTCTTGAAAGAGATAACAAGCAGAGCTATGACGTGACCTGATAGATGGTGGAAACTTGTGACGTTTGCTCATTTAAATGAATACTTACAATGTAAAAAAGTCGTGATAATATGAGTCAGTTTAATGATAAACATTTTAATAAAAAGTTAAGGAAAAATACTTATTTTTCGTTGAATAAATAAACTAAAAAGACTCAAATTAACACTACTTTGCTTAATAGTATTAAAATATTTTTCTTTCTGGATTGGGCTGGACAAAACCAGAATTGGGTGGTTGTAGGTAATCAGACACTTTGTACATAAGAACACAAATATATTTAAATTAACAATTTAGAATAAGTAATTATTCAAACATAAATACATGTTGACGATATTCATCATTTGAATGTACATAGACGTGTTGTACGTCTTTTCAATAAAAGTAATAAGATAAAAGTTGTCGAAATAATTGTAAGTAAGCTTATAATATAAGCTTTATGAATAAGTTTAACTCAATTTTAAAAGTATTACATTTATATAAATATAATATATATTAATATATCGATCAATTTAAATGTACTACATTTGACTGATATAATTTATTAAAAATAAATAGAGAATGGTTAAGTATTGTTTTTTTTTATCCATTGATGAAACTTGTTAGGATTTTTCTGGTAACAATAAATTTACTCAAGAAAAATATGATACTAAAATAACTCAGAGTATCAAAGAATAAATGGATTGGAAACTTGTAGATAAAATCACTTCTTATTTGAACCATGAAAGAGTATTACTCTTTTTATTAGATCATTTTAAATTGAGGTAGCTATTTCCAACTCAATCTAAAGTCTTCCTTTTAACAGAGTTTTAAGAAAGTTCAGTATCTAATAGAAGCATTCAACTTTTAACTTGAATACATTATCATATTTTATTGTAACAAAGTTCTAAAAATTATCAAATTATGTAATTTATGTAATACTGATTAACTCCAACATGCAAATCAAGAAAGGTTATCGGAAATGTTAATTCACAGATATAAAACGCAATTCAATTTTCCTGACAATTTTTAAGTTGAACATATGATGAAAATTATTTGATTAAAAATAGCTTATAAAACACAGGAATATATTTTATAATTAATTGAACATTGAGTTTGTTAATCAATAAAATTTATTAATAATAAACAGTAAAATAAAATAAGTGTCTTTATAACTTTTCTTTTCAGATGTAATAAATTTCAAACAATTTCGTGTCTTTGGTAAAATTTTTGTTCGTTTTGCTCGACAGAAAGCGCTTGAAATTGTATAAAACTTATCAATTTATTAATATAATAACATTATTCTTATTCTTTTTTTTTTATTAACAAGTGAGATTTAGTGTCTCTTTATTAATGATTTATCTTTAACGTAATACAGTTTAGTTTTCTAGAGTCTTTTGAGTCACTTAAAGCGTCACAAGGACTACTTTAATTAATGAGTAAGTTTGAGATAATCACACAAATCTGAATAAGAAGCAATAAATAAAAGATTCACAATTAAGAATTACAGTATACATTTACATAATCATTGAATTAATTAATAATTCCTTTGTAGGAACTTGTTATTCATTTTTACTCCGATGTTTCCTTTTTTTGTGATTTAATGTAGGCTTCATAAGCAGCAATTTCTTTTTGCTCCTTTCTTAAATTTCTATCCTCGTATGCCAACCTGCAATTTAAACGCTGAATAAACACGTAAAATCACTGAACGGAGCGAAATTATAAATCGATAATAACTAACTCAATTAATATCACTTTAACTTATTTTCTTACTTTAAATTGCAATTATAGTAATTCAAATATAAAATAATGAATAATTCATTAAAAAAAAATTATAAAGCACTAAATTAAACAAGAATATAAGATTTTTATTGGATTTCAAGCAAAATGGATACAAAACAGCAGGATGCAATGAATTATTATTTTTTGTTCAAGCTCGTAATTACTGAATAAAGCTCCTCCGACCTAAGAGGATTTGTAAGATATGAATGATGCACACAAATCTATTTAATAAATTTGCCATTTATCTATCGCTGTATCACGGAAGTGTTGTGATTAAATAAATATTTAAATGATAACACAATTAAGTAATTGTCAATAAAATTTTATAAATTGTATTAATTATATTTGATAAGATACCTTAAAATTATTATGTCTTTAAATAATCTAGACTTCCGTGTCATCAGCTTCAGAAGAGGTGCAAGAACTGAATGATGAAAACGTTATTGTTAAATAAATATTCAATATTCCATTCAATGTTTTAATTTATTATTAGTACTGATTCGAATTATTTTTTGTGTTAAAATAATACTTGTTATTTATATAAACACACAATTGAAAAATTATACGTTTGTGATATGAATATATTCACATAGAGTTAATGTACTTAAAAGATAAAATGAAAAATTATTTTTTGTACATCTTATCCATTATTCATCCATAAAAAACTCTTCATGAAGAATAAATAAATTATCTATAATAATAATAAATAGATAAGCTCTTGCATCTCTTTCTTTTTTGAAATCGAAACAATCGTACGTTACCTGTGCAATATTATTCTCTCGATGATTTTCTCAGTCGTCATATCATTTCCACTATCAAGTAGTTTAAATTTATTTTGTCTTTTGGGTTCCGCATAAGGATCAGTACCTCCTTCACAAGGCATTATTGGAGTTTGTCCATGACATACGACGGAAACATTAAAATGTTCCATAAGATCTTTCGTCACCTCATAAGGGGCACCAATGACAACTTCATTCACATACTGTAATGAAAAATGTAAATTAATATGCAAATTATTATTAATGATATTTCAATTATTCCAACAGCATTGGATTTTGTACTCATATATTCACCTTACACGCTAATACACTAAGCACTCGTTCATGAAGGTTCATGATAGGATGATTACCACATTTATAACGATTTACAGCAGGATCTGTATGTAATCCAACAATTAAATAATCGCCTTCTTTCTTGGCGACCTCCAAAAAGTCTAAATGTCCCACATGGAATAAATCGAAGGCACCAGCAACGTAAACAATCTTATCTCCTGGCTGCGGACTTTTTCCATCACTAAATTGAATTATTTTTTGTGTTGTAGGTAAAAACTGCGAACATCCCGTCCAAGGACTACGAGCTGTTCTATCTTGGCCCATACTTTCGCTTGGTTCTTTATCAACAGTATATTCGCTGTCCCCTTGTTTGAAATGTTGCCTCGTCATCAATAACATTCGACCTACTAGATCTGTTGTAGAGACGCCAGCTGTTCTTTGAACTTCTCTGCAAAAAAAAAGATCATTTTTTAAAAAATTTTTTAGATTTTTTTAGAAACGGAATTATAAATAATAAAACAATAACTCTAGTTACTAATTAGCTTTTACGACATTAGTTGAGTTAAACGATACAAATAATTAAGTTTTTCTCTTAATTATAAATAGTTCTATTTATGATATTATTAACAGTAGTCTATATAGTCTTTTATTACAACTGTTCTTGATCAAGTGCCAAGATACTCTGAACAATATTAAGTAACATTACTCCTTTTTCCTAGACTTCTACGTAGTCTCAGTATTATTAATTATATGCTATCATAATAACCATATCTATTTCCTAGACAATGTTAATTCTAAGATAAACAATATTTAACTTTTGTCTAATTATTCAATTTCCTAGACTAATGTTATTTTTTTTCTTCGATAATTATTGTTATCATAATCTGTTCATTGAAATGGAAATTTCATTTATGTTTAAGAAAAATCTATTTACAGTAGAAAATACTAGAAAGAAACAGTTTATCTGTCACATTTGTTCTACAGAATTTCAATCAAGTTTCAAAGTAAACAGTTTCCTGTTATCATACTGTGACTTAATTTTCAATGATAAAAATATCAAGATTTTCATTTACTACTTCTAATAAAGCAATGTAATTATAAGTCATCTCTTTTCTTTCTATCAATTGATTTAATTTTTAAATATTAGAATTACCGATATCTCCCAGCAGCTTTGACGAGATGATATGTATCAACTCCATCCGCTGTCACGGTAATATCATCACCGTGAACACAAAAATCACAATTGTATTTATCCAAGGTCTCTAAAGTCGTAACATAAGGAGCACCTTCTACAACTTCATCTACCCACTTGATGCCTTTGACCATTTTATACCTGGAAATAGAAACAGAAATAGTTTAATACAATGAAGACAGAGTAGAATATAAATTTAATCCAATTATTGAGGTTATCAATAAGATTATCAATCTTCAAAATATATCTAAAAAATTTTTTTTATAATGTTCAATAAATATTGTTTCAGTATATTACTAATACTAATTATAGCAATTATCATTTTGTAAATAATAATAAAGTAGTTAGTGAAATTATTCATTCAAGGAGCATACATTTTAAAGTGTATTTAAAATAATCAAATAATTATAAACAATTAAAAAATGGTTGAAATAATTGGTTCGAGTATATTCACTCGATATAAATGGAAAATTATCAATAAATGAGCAATTTGTTGCATCACCTTATACTGAATTTTATCAACAATACACACAGAAATTCTTGTTGTATAATTTTCAACAAATTATTTAATTTGTTTTAAAACGTAAAATATTAAAGTACAATAAATAATGATAGATAAATATTATTTCCTACATGTTAATTTATTACATTTGAAGGTGACTGGATAAAATGTATAAAATATTGAATCTAGATAATATTATTTTACAATGATTATGGATAAAAAAATTATTTAATTCATTTAAATCATGATAGAAAAATTGGACAAGAAATAATTGCATTAGATTTAGATCGCAAAAGATATTTCTTAAAAAAATGGAGTGTTGAAAGAATATTTTAGAATGATTTGCTGCAATATTTCTTTTTTACCGTGAATAATTGCACGAATTCTTTTAGTTGTCAAGCCTTTTTTGATGACTTTCAATTTTATTTTTCTGCTTAAAAAAGTCATTTTGATGTAATGTAGTACTAGTAATTATAAAAGCTATTTGAATACATGAATTACTTCGTGATCATAAAATTATATATGTTAATTCAAATGTTAGATTTATGACGTCTCTCTCATAAATTATAGTTCATTCAAAAATATGCTCAAGTTACTTGGTTTTATCAACTCAAGTAGAACGAAATGAAACGAAATACAGCAAATAATATGAGTAGCACTGAACAATATTTAAAATATTTAAACAATGCCATGAGGTAATCTAAAAATACTTATTTAAGCCAAAATTTCATGTCAACCAAATTAACAAAATTAGAAACAAATACATTATCGAAACATAAGAATTCGTTCTTTGATGCGTAATCAACTATTTTTAGTATTTTATTTTTAAAATGACAACGATTATCAGAATAATTTTAGTTCAATCAGTAAACAACCTTCATAAATGTAATGTTAATCATTAAGTAATTTCAATTCATTAAATCCAAAGCAAAGAAATTCTCTTATTTATTCAATTGATAATTGCAAAAATTCATTATCAAGGTCACGGAAAAATTTCAAAGTTAAAGATCTTTTCAGAACGACATTTTAACCAAGGTCACATACATCCTGTAGTTAATTAAGTTTCAAGAAAAAATTTTTTTAAATTTGTTACAGTAATAAATGGTAACTTCAATGACACATACTGATGTGAAATATGAATCTCGGATTCTCATAATGAATGATAAGCCAGTAAGTAGACTTTAATGTATTCTTGATAATAAAATATTAACGTGTCAGGTTTAGAACCGTGTACATTTACAAATTCTTTAATAATAAGTTTCTTATTGATCGATCTATAGTCTTAAACATTTAGGTGCATAAACCTGTAATATCTACATTCATCCTATTCTATTGATTAAAACCACTTGTAATAAATTATATGGGTTCTCACATTTATAGTTAAGTTAACGATAGTGAATATAAGGTCAAGGATTCATCAACTTTTCTCAATACTTAATAATTATTTCAACAAGTATTAATATACATTTGTCCTACATCAATTCCACTGATCGATGAATGAATTTGCACATTTTATAAAGTGTTTAACATAGAAGAGAAGTAGGATTTTTTTGTCAGTAATCGCCTCATGAATTTTACTTATTATCAATTTATTCACCTTTCTTCCTGAGTAAATACTGGAGGTCCTTTATGCTTTGTAATTTCTGCATCAGTGTGTACCCCAACAACTAAATAATCACCAAGTGCTTTGGCTTGACGAAGAGAGTTGGCATGGCCAAAATGTACCATATCATAGCTATAAATTAAAAATATTAATTAATATCATAAACTTGTCATTTTTTATTTAACAATAATCAATAATAGTAATTAATAAATACGAATAAATAGATAATTTTGTGTCAAGAATTAAATTAATCGAAGAATAAATAAATTGAGCATAGTGTCAGTGTTTAACATCAATCATTAAAATCACTAGAATTAATCATACTATGTCAATTTCAGAATTATTTTCACTATAATCAATTGTTTCTAAACCAGTAAACTATCGGTATTACAAATACATTGAAAAAAAAAAATTTAGAGCTATCAATCAATAAAGTTAATTAATAAATGATTTATTGAAAAATTATACTCGTGTATTTGACATAAATTATTAGACTTTCTGTGAAATTTTGATAATTGATGTTTACACAAATACATGTGTTGTGAATCATTTTGTCAAGACACTTACCAACCATCACACCACACACGCACTTCCTTCTTCTTTTCAGTCATTTTGTTATAAAAATATAGTTATTTGTACAATTAATCCTATTTGGAATGTTTTATCAACTAACTTTGATTTGACTGATGTTGCAAAATATAAATAATCCTTTATAATCAAGCGTCCACAGCAGACTGGAGGCAATTGAGACTGCCACCTACTATTTACTACCCGTGTATAGCCTCATGAATGACGTCATTAAAATAGTCCCTACAGCGCAGACGCCGGGAAATCATTCAAAATGACTAATCACATCATCTCCCATCAGTATCTAGAATTCTTTTTGCGATAGTGCATAACAGATAATAATATTTTTCTTTTAAAAATCAATAACAACGAATTTTCAACGTTAAGGGATTTCTACTCTCTATTTCTCTATTTTTAACCTAGTTACTCAGCTTCAAAATACAAAAAAAAAATCAAGGACAGGTTTTATGAAGTTTTTCCTCATTTTTTCTATTAGCATGCCAACAACTTATATCTCTGATAGGTAATTGACAATTAATGAATGTATAAAAACTAATCAGGTTTCATTAAAACTAAATAATTTATTCAAAATGCACAGTAACCCAAAGCATAATAATTACAAATGAAACAAAAAAATAAAATCTCTGATGAACAGTATTTTAGTGCGTATAAAATTAAAAATAAATTTCATTAGTTTTTTTAGCGCCAATATATATTATGTTATTGTATAAACAATAATAATCGAAATCATTATATTGGAATAGTTAAATAAAAACAAACGTGAACTACATATTTAACTATATTTCTTTAAATTATACGATAAACTCATGTTTATGTTATCTCCAATAACATTTGAAGAAACATAAGAAATAACTTTATCAATTGTCTAATGTCTAGACAATTGATGGATTACAAAGCATTTAATTGTGTCAGGCAAAACATTGGCCTATAGAAATACTTATAAGCTATTTGTATAAATGAAATATCAAATGAATAGAGTATTCTACGACATTAATAAAAGAGATATCAAGTATCGTTTGTAACTCTGACCATGTCGGATGATTTTTGATATCAATTGACCCAATCAAGTTGCGAGAATTCCCTCTTTACTACTTTCATATCCTGCAGTTAATGACATTATCAATTTTTTTGCGCTTATCAAAATATGTGAAAATAATCGAATAAATAGTCTAACAGTATAGGATTTTATAAAGTAATAAATTTTGTTTTTATCACATATTTTAGAACTACATGGTTTTAGGTTTACTTATTTATTCAATTATTTTGTTATAGTTTAATTGCTTTTAATGTATTTATATAATCTAACAGTTGGTAATAAAAGTGTGAATTTATTTTATTACAATGTACTTATTTTATAAACTTATTTACGCTGGTCATTCTTATTCTAAGGAGTTATTAAATTTGATTTCTTATAATTATTTTATCAGTTAAATTACTTTCTGGAGACATTTTTTTCCTCAAGGAGTAACATTAAAAATATTTTATTTTTATAATTCTATGACTTCTCTCTCTCCTTTCCTTTACTTTTATCACTAAATTACGTTAATCAAATGTATATTCTTTATTTTGTCCCTTTTTCCCTCTAATAAATTTATTTTCATTTCCACTCAATTGATTTATTCGATTATTTTATTTAATTTTCAATTTTTCTATCATCAATAACCATTTCGTTGAGTATATGATCCACTATTTCCATACGAATTTCCATTTTGGCCATAACTATTACTATTGGAGCTATTTCCTCCGTAATTGTTTGATGAAAAAGGTTTAACATTGTAACTGCTACCACTCATACTGCTACCACCACCTCCTTAAATCAATAAAACATTTATTTAATTCTAATTTTCATAGAATGTCATCAGATTTCAATTAAATCTGATTTATTTTGAATTAATTGCTGTAATAATAACTCTTTAATTTGAATTTTTTAGTTTCTTCATACAGAATATTTCAATATCTCTACACAATATGGTACTGATGACAGAGAAAAAAAGTACAGTTTTGCAACATAAATGTATATATTCATTCTTGATTATTGTAATATTCTGTTGAAAGACGTCTGCAGTAATTTTGATAATGAATCATATTCATTATTCACTATTTTTTAAAAAACATATTTTACCTGAATTATTTCCACTCCACTTATTGCTTCCACGATCTCCTCCGTTTCCGCGATCAAATCTATTCCTGTCTCCAGAATCTCGGCCTCCTCGGTTTCCTCCGCGGGAACCTCCTCCTCCTCCTCCTCGTGAATTATTCCCTCGACTATTGTTACCTCCTCCTCCATTATTTCCACCACTAGATCTTCCTCCATATCTACCTCCTAAATTTTTATTATCTTTTGAAATTATTTATTAAAAATAATAATACTTAAAATGATAGAAAAAATTTATAAAATTATGATTAAAAAAAAGTTTTTACGTTTAAATAGACTAGGATTTCTTGAAAGCTCATAGAGTTTAGGATTGACAACTTGTTTTGCTTCTTCTAAAACCTGAATCAAGTCATTAGCTTTATGTGCATTGCTTGGAGTAAAAAATGCATATGCTGTTCCGGTTCTTTGAGATCTTCCTGTACGTCCAATTCGATGGACGTAATCTTCTGAATTTGATGGGTAGTCCAGATTTATTACAAACTTGACATCTTCGACATCTAGATAGAAAAATAAGTTTAGTAAAAAATCAAAAAAAGAACTTGATTCTTTGTGGTGCTATGAAAAGCATGTTAAATTAATTTGTCAAATATGATGATGATTAAATAATAAATAGTATTTTTAATCAAATGATGTAAAAATTTGAAAGAGAAGGTCTATTAAAAAAAAAAATCTATAAAGGATTATAATTAATAAAAAATTATGAATAAACAATGCGTACTTGAAATTGATTTTCTATTTAAAAAAAATTCTATTCATAGACCTTCTACTTTTTTGTAGGACATGAGAATGAATTAAAGTGATAAAATAAGTTTGACTTGCATTGAATATACAGTGAGAACAAATGAGTCGACCACAAAGAGCAAGCACATTTGAATTACCTGTTTATTAAAAGCTGGAATGTAAATACATTTGTTTGGAAATGTAGAGGAATCAGAGCTCAGATGGTTGTCAAGACTCGCATGAGAGAAAAGCGAGCTCTAGATAAATGCTTTAGCAATTTCACACCCTTCTCTCCCGCACCAAAGTATGGATCTTTTGTTGAATAAAGTATGGATTTGTTGGACTTACTTTCCTAAGAATCTCTGCTCATCAGCTCGCCGTTGATGGAGTATAACAGAAGCTTGAATTTGGAAGCAATGTCATGAACTTCGTTGACGACGTGTTGAGGGCACAATTTTTAATTGATAATTATTACCAAATGATTGGTGATTGATTCTCAATTGTCGCCAATAATTTCATGAGCATTGCAGACGACAGTTGGTGGACGGCGTTCTCAAGAAATGACCGAACTACCTATGAAAAAAATAGCTGCTTTCTGGTGTAGATCTCTTGCCCTAACTCTTAGCTTCTATTCCATACTTTGGACCGTCGCAGGTACAGAGTGAGAGTGTGGTTTTTTGAGTGGCACGGTTCAAACCGAGGCACAGCGTTATGTTAGCTTGTTGCGAGGGGACGCAGTCACACCCCGATCATTTATTTTTCCAAAGCAAGCTCTTCCAGAGTTCTTATCATTGATAAAACTCCGTCGCATGTGCCTCTGAAAACACATAGAACAGCACGTTATTACCAGACTGACAAGACTTGTCTAGTTCTGAACTATTAATATCAAATCGACGCATTAACCACCCTCACTATCGCTTTACCATCCTTCGTTTTTCACCTGTAAAATGTCCAAACATTCGTCTAACCATGTAATATAATTGATTAAAGATAAAATTTTTATAAAATAAAATTATATGATAATTTGTTGGTATTTCTTTGAAGGCTAAAAAAATGTTTGGATTCCTAAATCTATACTAACATATTTAATTATAAATTAATTAAGTCTAATGTAAATACTAAAAACCAGCGTCAATCAGTCTGGCACATGCCGTCATCCGTGACCACGTTTGTTTATTATAGAATACTGTCAAAATTGTTGGAAACCGATAGTAACCATCGCAGCCTGACCCTTACATCTTAGATTATTGCACAAATACTAATTCTTACCTAACCCTCGAGCTGCTACGTCTGTTGCTACTAAAATAATTGATCGGCTGCTCCGAAATTCTGAAAAAAATGAATTCATATTATTATTATAAAAATCATGTTCGCATAATGTAAGTATTTTAAGATTAATACAGATTATAACTTAGCAGTTATAAGAATCAAAGAATTCAAAAAAAAATCGAACACTTACGATTAAGAACATAATCCCTTTCTGGTTGACTTTTATCTCCATGAATTCCAACAGCGTCCCATCCAAATATGCCGAACTTATTTATAGCTCTTGTAATATCGTCAACTTTTCTTTTCGTCTCTACGAAAATAATTGTCTTATTTTCAGGTTCATTCGCAATTTCTTCAAGTAATTTCATTAGTTTACTTTCTTTTTCATATTCTTCACAAACATCAACGATTTGTAAAATATTATGATTAGCTGCAAGCTGTAAAGAGCCGACATTTATTTGAATATAATCAGTTAAAAATTCTTCTGCTAAATTCCGAACTTCCTTTGGCCATGTAGCTGACCACATTAAGGTTTGTCTGTCAGGTCTAATTTGTTCGACTATTTTTCTTATTTGTGGTTCAAAGCCCATGTCTAACATCCTATCAGCTTCATCAAGAACTAAGTAAGTACATCTTCTGAGGTTAGTAGTCCCACGTTCTAAAAAGTCTATTAATCTTCCGGGTGTTGCTATGCATATCTCCACGCCTCGTTCTAGATCTCGTGCTTGGGGACCTTTTGGAGCTCCTCCAAAAATACATGTGTTTCTTACTTGAGAAGAGATCCCAAAATCAGCAGCAACTTGTTGGATCTGTTGAGCAAGCTCTCTTGTAGGAGCAAGAACAAGTGCGATAGGTCCATCACCTCTATTAAGTCTAGGCTGATGATTAATATGAACTATTGCAGGTAAAATATAGGCCAATGTTTTTCCGGAGCCAGTCTGAGCTATTCCCACCATATCACGACCCGATAAAGCTATAGGCCAACCTTGAGCTTGAATTGCTGTCGGATGGTTGAAACCTTGTCTCCTAATTTCATCCATAACATAGTCAGGAAATCCCCCTTCTTCAAAATAGATACTTGGTGCTGGTATTCCTGATCCTTTTACTGTAATTTCTCTTGATGATCTGTAAGAATCAACTACATGGGGGTTCCTAGAAACAACATTAGGATGTGGTTGATAAAAATCTTTACGAAATGGAAGTAAATTGTTCAAGTCCCAGCGAGGTTTTCGCAATCTTTCGCCTGGCTGGCGGTTTTTAAAAGAATTATTGCCAAATCCACTATCACGACTGCTTCCAAAACGGGATCCTCCATCTCTATTCCCAAAACGACTTCCACCACTACTTCCACCGCGAGATCCACCTCCCCCGCCGCCTGTTCCCCGTCTGTCATTACGATCACGGTCGCGAAAAGCCCTAAAAATGAACAATAAATATTATATTCAGAATGAATACACTTATAGTATGAATAGATACATTTTTAAAAAATTTTTTAACTAGTTAAAATTAATCATTTCTTGTTAATTTTGAATTATAATTGCTTATCAAGAAACGACAATCATTACTTAACATATAGAAAGAATGTTTTGTTCATATTTAAAGAATTTTTTCGTCCAACAATTGTTGTACTTACATTTTCTTTAATTATTTCAATTGGAATTCGGAGAGAACTAATTTAGAACCACTCCGAATTCGCTAGCTTTTTCTGTAAATATTGACGATAAGCGTCACTTTTATCACAAGAAGATTTCGCGGATAATCCAGAGCAGTCTTGATATCAAGTTGTACTCAATATTCTTCTACTTGTGATCCTTGTTGGTAGTAAAGATCCAATGGCGGAAACTTTTACAATGGAAAATAATTCTAACCTAACATAAATATTTTATAGTTCTCCGCTAGATGGATTAGATGCTAATTTTAATTATTAGCGGGAAGTTTTAATTTTGATGTTGATTGATTAAGTGGGAATTAAATTTTACAACACAAATATAATACTTGGATTAATGTAAAAACATTTTATATTTAAATGAAAAAGAAAATAATTTTATTATTTCTAAGTTTTAAATTTAATATACATCATAACCATATTCTTTTTTAGTGTACCAATCACAGAAACGTTAAAATCTCATGAAATATACTAATTTCAGTTCAAGAAAAGTAAAATTAATTTAAAGTTCTTAAAAATTGTCTAAAAACATTTTATGTTATTGAATGATATCTTTCTAATAACTGAGAAGCAGTAAATAAATTTATTATATCACGAAATTTTATAAAAAGGATTATATCAATTTCAATTATTACTTAAAAATAAAAATACTGATACAAGTGCTATTGAAAATGTGATGATTCATTAAAATAAATATAGTTAAATTATTCAAAGTGTTTGATTGAAATCTCTTATAATAACAAATATAATGTAACTTAGACATATTTTTTGTTTCAGTGAAACTATTACTTTTCAGTCTATTAGTAAAACTTTCTTTACGATCACATATGATTCATAATTGTGAAAACTAAGAGATCTTTTCTTATGAATGTGATTTATATTAATCAAGAATACTGACAGTGATATTTAAAATTTTTTTTTCTCATTATCTGACTTAGTTTTTGTATGTTTTCGTTTAACTCAATAAGAACTTGGAGCTGAATAATTACATTCATATCTTCCATCAGCAGACCGATAGTTGCCGTTATTTTGAATGTAATTTCTCTGAATATTATAACTGTATACTGAATTTTGATTGACTTGAGGTTTTGCCGGATAGTTATTATATGTAGATCCCACATAATTATTCAATGTCGATTGATAAGGCATTCCAGAGCGATAATTATTTTTTCTAGCAATGCTTTCGATTGGCTGGGCACAATTGTTAGTCAAACGTCTATCATTTCTGTCATTGTTTCTTGGAGCTTGTCCACCATATCTTTTACCACCTGTAATAAATGAAAAATATAAAATTATAACAAACGATATTAAAAAATTTCGTGAATGGAAACTCTAAATTACCTTTAGTGTTAAAGTTGCCGGATTTGGCAAGCTGTGCCATTTCACTCAAACGTGGATTAATATTTTGTCCGGCTTCACGTAATACCTCTATTAAGTCTTCAGCGTGTTTCATGTTATGTGTTGTAAAAAAAGCATAAGCTGTTCCAGTTTGACGTCTCCGACCGGTACGACCGATGCGATGAATGTAATCCTCTGACGATGATGGGTAATCGAAGTTTATTACATATTTGACGTCATCAACATCTAGATATTAAAAGCAGATTTATCGTATTTTCTATGACGGTTTCTGATTTTAAATCATGGAATCATAAATTTTATATTATACACACCTAAACCTCGAGCTGCTACATCAGTTGCTACCAAAATGGGAGCTCTTCCACTTCTAAATTCTTGAAGAACATGATCTCTTTCGTGTTGATTTTTATCACCATGAATACTTAATGCTTGCCACCCATCTCTTCTTATATTTCTTGTGATGTCGTCAACTTTTCGTTTAGTTTCTACAAAAATAATTGTTTTATTCTCTTTTTCCGTTCCAATTTCTTGCAACAGTCGTTGTAATTTAATATCCTTTTCAAATTCTTGACAAACATCAATAATCTGAATAATGTTATGATTAGCTGATAAGGTCAAAGATCCAATATTCAACTGAGTATAATTCGTCAAAAAATCTTCAGCTAAAGCTCGCACTTCTTTAGGCCATGTCGCTGACCACATTAGAATTTGACGATCAGGACGAATTTGCTCAATTATTTTACGGATCTGTGGTTCAAATCCCATGTCTAACATGCGATCAGCTTCATCTAAAACTAAATATGTGCATCGTCGTAAATTAGTCACTCCACGTTCCAAAAAATCAATTAATCGGCCTGGGGTGGCAATGCATATTTCAACACCACGCTCGAGATCTTGAACTTGAGGTCCTTTAGGAGCTCCTCCGAATATACAAGTATTTCTCACTGCTGCTGTTTCACAGAAACAGTTTGCTACCTCTTGAATTTGTTGAGCTAATTCTCGTGTTGGAGCGAGAATCAAAGCTATTGGACCGTCTCCAGCATTCAATGGTGGCTGATTAATTAGATGAACAATTGATGGCAACATGTACTGTAAATAACATCAACCATGTCATATTTGATAAAATAAAAAAAATATTATCATTCGATTTATCGAGGTGTTGACTTACTCCTAGAGTTTTTCCTGATCCAGTTTGAGCTATTGCTACTAAATCTCGACCACTAAGAGCTATAGGCCATCCTTGAGCTTGAATTGCTGTTGGATGTGAATACCCCTGTTTTTTGATTCCTTCCATAACATAAGAAGGAAAATTTCCTTCCTCAAAGCATTGAATTGGATTCGGTATATTCTCTCCTTTAAGCGTTATCTCAGCAGCTAGACGGAATTTTCTAATTTCTTCCGGTGACCTAGTTGCAAAGTAATAATTTTTGTATCAGCTTTCTGTCATTGGAGATAAAAACGATAGTTTTTAACTTATAAAAAATCAATTATCGACTAAAATAGGAAGTATTAAATAATTTTAAAAGTTTTAATACATAAATGCAATTAACGATGTATGTATTTTTATAAAATTAACCTGTTTTTTACTGCGGGATGTTCAATGTAGAAATCTTTTTTCAGTGGTTCTAAAGATTTAATATCCCAATTCAGCTTTTTTACAGCGACACATGACTGCTGCTTGCCCTTTATTCCACCATTGCTATTATTTCCTCGATTATTAAATCTTCCGGCACCGTTTCCGTAATTATTATTATCATATCCTCGTCCATTTCTGTTGTTTCCTGCGCCATGACCTCGGCCTTGCTCACGCTCCCGATGAAACCTAGAAAATTTGCCATTAAAACATTTTACTGTTATAACATGAAATACGCATTACAAGTTTGCAGAAACAATTACGTAAATGTGATGTTTCAATTGAATACACTCTGATATTTCCATTAAACTGTTGTGATGACGCAAGCTTACCACGGAATGATAATTTAATTATTATTTATACAATATCATTAATGTATTATTTTATCTATTTAGTAATTCTCTGTATTTTTTTTTTGTTTAAATAATACATAACACAATAGAGCTATAAATAAAGTTTGACATTTGCATATAAATTTGAAAGATAGTTATCTGAGATGAAAGTTTTTTTGCAAGAAATAGTTGATTTATGTTCAAACTTATAATATTCATCAGAATAATTAATAGCCATATAAACTAAATATTCGTAAATTTTAATAAATTATTCAATTAATTCATTTCATTCGATATGAAATGCAGGTCAAACAATTGGTTGTAATCGTAATCTTATGAAGATGTTAAAAAAAAAAATGGCCGTGTCCTAACAAATGATAGATAAATCTACAATACGAAATTACTGAAGTAAAACATACATGATTGATAAACACTCTTGTATATTGATTGAGAGTTGTCATTCATTACTACTTACATTATTGGAGTTTAATAAAAATTCACTTGGCAACACAATTTTTGCTTGTCTCTTGTATCCAAATCAATCAATGATCTGACATGGATGGAAGTCTGCGCGAGACTAAATAAAATCGAAAATAATTGATTATTATTAATAAATAGTTAGTAATGAATATAAATTTTTTCATCCTAAATTAATACACAAAAATAAATACGAAATTACAAGGTTGAGGTGATGGCCAATAAAGTTTGGACCAAGCCGGCAATCCCGCCAGCTACAAGACTTGACAAGTGAACTTCCGAAAGTAGTCCCTTGTAAACTGTTGCTATAGAAACGGCGGAGGAATACGAATATATTTTTCGTTAGAAAGATCCATATTCGCCCCAACAGAAAATACACCGAGAGAGCTCAAAATCAGTTTGTTCCATCAAATTCTATTGTACCTACAGAAAGCTATTAAATTTTCACATTCTGATTCAAGCTAAAAAATTAGATGGCGAAACTGATGATTTTTGTGGGGCTAAAATTTACTCTGTGAATAAAACAGGATTCAACAATTTTACTCATTTCTTTGCTATTCACATTCCTCTCATAAATGTTTTAGTGTGTGAATGTTCTGTATACAGTGTACTCGTCTTAATATTTACAAAAAAAATAATTAAAACATTTTTATTAACGTCCTAGATGATCATAAACAATTTGGAATTATTTCTTTTCAATTATAGATAAAATAATTGACATATTTCAGTGAACTAATGTAATAGTTTTATATTTTATTCGGCGTTTGAAGATTGATTAGTAATCAGCTACAAACATGGCTGCTGCAGCGGCTGCCGCGCTTCTTGATGAATTAATGGGAAGAAATAGGAATGTTTTACCTAATGAAAAGCCGAAGGAACTTAATTGGGAAGATCCTGAGGTGAATATTCATTTTAAAGTCAAACAAAAATCCATCTTCTACGTATATATTCATTTATTTCTCCATGAGAAACATTGACTGCTACTGTCAATTTTTTTTTCTTTGTTATTTATTATTTGTCTGAGTTCTTTATTTACTGTATTTCTAATGATATTTTTACAGTTCTGCAAGCTCTACTTAGTCAAATTCTGCCCTCATGACCTTTTTGTGAATACACGAGCTGATTTAGGAGCTTGTACAAGAGTTCATGATGACGAAGCACGAGAACTCTTTGAAAAAGCACCGTATTCTTACAAGAAACAACAATATGAAGATGAATTTATACGATTCTGTCAAAGCATGCTTAATGAGGTTGAAAGAAAAATAGTTAAAGGCAAACAAAGGCTCGCTCTTATTGGGAAAACAGAAGCAGTAAGTTTCTTAAAGATGATAAAATTAATAATTTCGTTCTGTTTTATTGCTTATTAATTATATTTTTCTGAATTTTATTTAAACAGCCTACTTTGACTCCAGCACAAACTCAGAGGAATGAAGAGCAAATAGCCTTGCTTACTGAGAAAATTAATAAACTTGTAGAAGAGGCTGAACAAAGTGGAATTCAAGGAAATGTAGAGCAAGCTCAAGGTCTCATGAGATTATGTGATCAACTTAAAGAAGAACGAGAGACACTTAGAAAGTCTAATGATAATAGTCATTACAATCAGGTTGGTAACTGTTGATTAGATGATTGGTTTCACTTAACAGTCATTTTACTATTAAGAAAATCTTTAATATTTTTCGTAGAAAAATATGTATTTTTTTTTTAAATAATATCTTTCATTTTAATCATGATACTTCCTTTGTTTTATATATCAAGAGATTATTTTATCTTTTTATTTGTTTACTTATAGACGGCGGAGTTAGCAGCAGCTCAAGAAAAGCAGATGGAAGTCTGTGATGTTTGTGGAGCATTTCTCATTGTCGGTGATGCTCAGCAACGTATTGACGATCACTTAATGGGTAAACAGCACGTGGGCTATGCTAGATTAAAAAGTGCTCTCCAAGAAATAATGGTAATACTATTGAAAGCTTTTTCTCACTTTATAATAAAACAATGAACTGAGGCCTTTCAATTTTTAATCGGTTGTTTTCTATTTAAACTAGGCCAAACGAGAACGAGCAAGGGATGAAAAAGAACAAAAGAGAGATGAAGACAGAAAAAGGGCTCGGGCTAATGAAGAGCTTGAAAGGAGACGTCGTGATGACAGAGACAGAGATCGCGATCGTGATAGAGACAAACGTCGGAGACGTGATGATGAAAAGAATCGTCATGACTCACACAGGTTTGCTGCATTTTACTCAATTTCGGGTATTCATTACAGAGGCTTCTGTTATTAGATTTGATAAGTAATGCTATTGATTTGTATTCCAGGAATTCCAATTATAATAGTAGGAGTAAATCACGCGATCGTCATGACCGTCATAGAGATGACGACAATTATCGTCGTCATAATAGAGATAAAGGTATAAGAATTTTTAATTATGAGTATAAATTTCGGTAAATTATTATTATGATTTTATTTACAGGAAGTCGAGATCACCGAAGCTCCAATAGTCACAGTCGTCGTCGCCACCGTTCTAGAAGTCGAAGTCACAAGTAACTACTCTTGATTGGTTAGTGAGTGAGAAATAAGCCAGGTATGCACTATACAATTAAATATTAACGTGTCAATTACTGTGCAGGTATTAAATCAGGTGAGTTAAAAACGCTGCACATAAATCAACATAAATAATAATAATTCCTATATTTAACGAGATTATATAAATAAACAACGTTCCAAAAATCTTCCAATATCAATTCAAATAAAAGAAAATAAAAAAATTTTTTTTAAATAACTACAATCTAGATAAAATTCACTATCGTCCAAAATATTTAGCACTTTTTTTAATGTTTAGTAATTAAATCTCAATCGCGAATAATTTTGAATGCGGGTTGAAGCCGTAAAGTCGCGAGTCAATTGAATAGTTACATAATGAATTAGTTTATATAAAAATAAAATAAACGCAGAGCAAGTTAGGAGAAGGTATACCTATACTTGCTTTCATAAGAAAATAATGAAAACTCCTTAGGAAAGAAAAGACGGCCGATTTTTTGTGAAAACGTCAAAACAACATACGTTTTTGTTTATTATTTTTTTACGTAAAAAAAACGAGTGGTTTAGTGGAGGAATCAGTGCCTACTACAGTAGACCTGCTACAACAGTGCCCTGTGTGACTGTGACTATATCCTAGCTTCTGCCACATTTATGAGGTATTTATGTCGGAATGAGTAATACCAAAATGTCTTTTTAACCAAAGGGAAATGTATTAAGTCCTCTATCAATTTGTTATAATACATAAATAGGTTTATTGAATTATTGACATTAAAAATAATCAGTTGAAGTCAATAAATGTTTTTTACGCAAAGCTGTCGGCTTAATCCCGATTGTCCAGTTATCTTTCGAACACTGACAGGATTCTAAAAAGTGTCGCAAAATTGGTGACGGTCTTGTCGGCGAAACAATTCTACATTTAAAAAATATTCAAATTAAAAGCGTCCAGCAGTGAAATTAAATTATATTGATATATTAATTCTTTATGATTATTAATATTAATTGGTTTATGTAAAAATTTTATTTTAAGAGATGTTTGAAACGTCTTTGTTTATTTCCAGAAATCCAATGATCATTATTTGGAGAGATCTGACGTGCAAAAAATCATGCGAGTATCCAGCTCAAAATATGTTTAAGGTAAAGATTTTATAATCTTGAAACTCCAAGCGCGAAATGTAAATTATTTGACAATTTACGTATTGTTTGCGACTAAATTCAAGTCGTCAACACGTGCTTAATTAACCATTTATTTTCCTTTTTTTAACTGACTGTTGGACAGTCGACAAATGAAACGATTTCCATTGATGGCCATGTTTTTTGGTCAAATTTCTAATTCCATGAATTCAAATAGAAGCTATTGTTATTTTATCAACACGGGTTTAACATTTCACATCGAATAAAATTGTTATTTTAGGACTGTCTTAAAACTGCAAATAAAGTGTAATTTAACTAAATTAACGTGGTGGATTGTACATTGATTGATAATTGTAATTTTCTTGTCGTAAAATAATTGTTATTTCTCATAAATAAACAGAAAAAAGAACAAAAATAACAACAAAAAACAATAGGAATTGTGTATAATTGAAATTAATTTTAACAATTATGTATAATTTACCGATCAAATATATAGATATAAATATATATACATCTTTGAATTATGTTCCAAACGACAATTACTTATGTGCTTAGTAAATAATTAATCACTTAATAATACACAACGATAAAATATCGAGTTTTTTACAGCCTTGTGCGCTTTTAATACTGGAATTTGAATATTAATGAGTTTTGTTGTATTTTTTACTTTAAACCCAAAGCTTTTGTCACCTGAAAAATAAAGAAAATTGATTCATTAAATAATAAATAAATCATTTTCTTATTTTCTTATTAAAAATTTCAATTTAATAATTATTTATTACATACCTGTTCGTAAACAGTCCATGCCATTGCTGTCATTAGAGTTCTTCTCAACATTCTTGGCACCATTCCTTTAAAAAAGCCTTTGTACCCGTATTTTTTATATATAAAAACAACTCCGTTGTGTAAACTATTAAATTCATGTGAATAGAGTTGCATTTTTGTTTTAACTACATCAGCTGGATGAGTTACAATTGATGCTAAAATTCCAGCAGTAATACCACAGCCAAAATGCATCACTATGTATTGTTTACCATCGCAACCTTTAAGAAATAAAAAAGGTATTAAATAAAGTTGATTGCTCGATAATTAAATAGTAAAGAAGGGTTTCTTTCAACATACTTCTATCAGAAATAGTTTTTAATTGAGTATAAAACATAAGGTAAAGGCCACTGTACGGAGCATCTCGCAATAAAGTTGGAACTAGACCACTTGAAAGTCCTCTAACTCCTTCATATTTGTAAATAAGTCTTAGAGCTTCTCCCATACTTTGATATTTATAAACTCCACTTTCGAATCGAGTTTTAATCACAGTAATTGGAATCAATAAAGATCCTGATAGTGTGCGAGCTGCTATCCCTAAAGAAACTGCCTGAAGGGGTGTGAGAGACTCGTCTGGACAGACTGTGTGCTTCAGCCAGTGAAGTGTAGAAAAATATAAACCGACTCCAGGAATCACTCGAGTTATGGACTAGAAATTAGGATTATTAATTTATTAAAATAGGTGGAATTAGTCATCATGAAAACTTTAGAGTCATTGCATCATGCTCAACTTACCGGAGTCATTCCCCTCCATAATCCAAAAATATTTTCTTTTTGAACAATATTAACAACTGTTGAGAGCATAGCATTACGAGGAGCACTGAAAAAAATATAAAATTAATTCTAGACCTTTTTTTTACGAATATTAATAACTTTATGAAAAAATTTTCTTACCTAACATGGTTGTTAACAGTATTTTGTAATCTGGTTTTGACAAGATCCAAAGGTTGAAATAAAATTGTCGAAAAAGTTCCTGAAAATGAGCCTGCCAAGAAAGATTTCAAAATCGGATACTGAAAAAATACATTATATTCGTAGATTAGTAATTACATTCATGGTTAATTACTTGTGATTATTGTTCTTATTTGCGATTAAGTATTGCATTACTACAGTCTGATTTATGACATTTTGATCTCATTATCAACTTTAAACGCATCATATGAAGTTCAATATAGCGTTAGGAAACGTACAAGATATTTTGCACGAGTTTGCCTCACGTGAGTTTGAATAATCTCAATAAGGGGTCAAAGCAACATCATAACTGTCTGTAGAATGTCAAGATTCAGCTATCTTAATAATGAGTGTAGACAAAAAGAACGATTGAATAACGAAATTAATTGATTCTATGAATAATTTTGAAAATTTTTTGTTGATAATATGTTTAAAGTTATTCGATACATCAAATGTAATAAAAAATATTATTTTCTATGCAAACATTACTTACTGCTGTCAAGGTATCCATATCCAGAAAAAAACTATTGAATTAGAAAGTTTAAAGTTTAAGAATAAATATTGAACTTACAACAAAATATGATAGTTTTAAAGAATTGAAAAGTATGCCAGAACAGTTGATGATGGACTGAAAATATTAGAGATGGACCAGTTTACTTACATGCTCATTTATCGAAGTTTCTTCATTTTTGGGGTCAATCAAATGACCTTCCATATCAAGCTATATGACAAATAAGTCGCGTTTGAGGGTATCAAAAGCAAACGTGATTAAAACGTGACTTAAGAGAAACGTGATGAACATACATTTCCCATTTTTGTATTAATAACATGTCAATTAAGATAATTTCAATTATTCCATTGTTTGTTTCATGTAAAATTCCTCTTGCCTTTCATTTTTGACCACTTTATATTTTTAACTGCAAAAAACAATATATTTTTATGCTGTATACCCAGCGTAATGAATAAAGATATTAATAAAGTAATTAATCGCTAGCTTTTGTTAAGATATTAAGAGGATTTTATTTAGATAATATTTCAAGTCTGAAATTAATTTTTTACTGATTATCAGACATTCTTATCACTTACTGTACAAAATTTACACGTGTATTCATGAGATTCATGTTACGTAGTCATCATCTTGTTTGGTTGATGACAACAATTGATTGCTTGATTATTCTTCTGAATAACATATTTGTCTTTCTATATTTCAATATAATTGCGTAAACTTGGCGTTATTTTCCAGGACTTTATCAATCCTTATCAATGCACTTATACTAATCGAGTGAAAAATTGCCTCATTCATTGTGATAATTATTTATAACTAAAAGAAACATGTTAATTGAGGTAGAAATCGTTGTTAACAATTGAGTTATGATTTATTGAACAGTTATCTATTTCTATTGTTAGATGACAGTCAAAACTAAGTTTTCAAATTTCCCGCCTCATGCAACTGTGTAACGTAATTTATAAAAAAAACCACAAGTTAGATGAGAAATAAAAGTAATATGAAATTATTACAAGTTAATATTAAATAAAAAAAATAGTATAAAAAATAATATAGAAAAATATTAAGTTTCGAAATGACATTGATTTGATTTGAATTGACGCGGGTAGTAGAATTGCTCTGGAATGACAAATGTGGCGCTCTTTACTTCCGGAAGAGCCACCCGAGATACCACGGTCATTTCCTCGGCCATTTTCTTCGCTGCTTTGAACGTAGAGTCGTCGTTTGCGTGTGTTTTGCAAGTAAGAATAATTTTTAATGCATTTTTATACATTTATTAGCGAAAAATATGTTAAATAAATACACTTTAGCTCAATACAATAATTGATACATAATTTTATTGAAATTTCGGTCTTATTATTCTGAAAAATTTAATTAACCAGCTATGGCGTGGGTGTCCACGTGCTGCTGGGAAATACTGTAACATGAAAAAAATAATAGTGGACTTTTATTCACTTGGAAATTGATATTATTAGATAAAAAATCTTTAATTAAAATTGAAAATTTTTCATTTTAATCCAATTCATAATTTGAAATATAAAATAAGTTGGATAATTCGTATGAATTAATGATTACATGCTTAAATAAAATGAATTTATATTTATTTTCTATAAATTATTTTTTAATTATCTGCTATTATTTAAGGTGACGATTCAAGATGGTAAACGGTAGGATTCCTTCAGTCTTCTCAAAGACTTACGTTACACCACGTCGGCCTTATGAAAAGGCACGTCTTGACCAAGAGTTGAAAATTATTGGAGAATATGGTCTCCGTAATAAACGTGAAGTATGGAGAGTAAAATATACTCTTGCTAAAATTCGTAAAGCTGCCCGAGAGCTGCTTACACTTGAAGAAAAGGACCCAAAACGTCTCTTTGAAGGTAATATTACATTGAAGAAATAATATTAATAGTAGCGATCGCTAAACATTCAATTATCTACGATACATAGAAGAAAATGATGTAAAATTATAAACTATTCTGACACTTCTTGTCTGAATAACCGTGTAGATGTAATTATCCTGATTATTATACTTCTTCATTAATAAATCCAATTAGCCCTTGAATTGATATTTAAGTTAATAATATTGTAATTTGTGTTACAGGGAATGCTCTTTTGCGTCGTTTAGTAAGGATTGGAGTACTAGATGAGAGCCACATGAAACTTGATTACGTCTTGGGTCTTAAGATTGAAGATTTCTTGGAGCGTCGTCTACAAACTCAAGTTTTTAAGCTTGGATTAGCTAAATCTATTCACCATGCTCGTGTTCTTATTCGTCAGAGACACATTCGGTTAGTTGAATCTCTGAGGAATAATTTTTGAACGCCTTAAACTGAGTAGGAAGTGTTGATTTTTAAGACAATTTCTAATCTTTAAGGCTAAATTAAATCCTGTTTAATCAATGGAAAAAAACCTTGATTCTTTTCCATTTTCATGCTCAGGAAACAAATTGAAATAATTTAAAAAAAGATATCCACATTGCATTAACTATTTGAAGACTTTTTGCAAGTTTATAAGCAATTTAAAAGGTGGTCTTTATTTCTACAGATACTCATAAAGTGTACTCAAACTGAATAATTGACTGGAAACACTTATATTTTTTTTCATTAAGGCCACTAAAGTGTCTGGCTGACTTACCGGCACTTTACGCCTCGCTAAAGTAACGTTCAGATGCCAATGAGCAGAAATATTTATCAAACAGACCACTTAATGCGTCTTGAAGACGCTTAACGTCTGGTAGATTCCAAGAGGAATCTTATAAACAGCTCGGGAATTGGTACGACGTTTTGATTAATGATTCTTGCTATTCCATTCATTTTGAAACAAAGATTTAATGTTGTCCAACCATTTATCTTTTATTCGTATTCTCTTTCTTTATGACTTATGAAGTTCGTTGTCTGTTCACAGTGTCCGCAAGCAAGTCGTGAACATTCCATCGTTCATTGTACGTTTGGATTCGCAGAAGCACATTGACTTCTCGTTGAAATCACCCTTCGGTGGTGGTCGTCCTGGACGTGTAAAGAGGAAGAATCTTCGTAAGGGAAGTGGTGGAGCAGCCGCTGAAGAAGAAGAAGATTAAACTGTAATCTTAAAACATTTATTTTACTGAAAATAAAAAATCAAACAAAAAAATAAATTTGTTTCATCTATATTAATCATTGTATTGGTCTTTGCATGAATTCTGTTAACAGAGAGTAGAATGTAAGAGAATGTAAGATGAAGTCTTGAAGAATTTTTTATTTTTATTTCGCGATGTTGAATAGCCGGTGAGTATTTGCCATAGGCTTACATGCCTAGAATTACTTTTTTATTTTTTTCGACTTATGTAAATGTTTATTTTTTATTTTTCCTTTTGTTCATGGCGTAAGAAAGATACTTTAACACCTTAAGGATGATGCAGTCTTGACGCTGCTTTTGAAAAAAGAACTCATTTTAAATGCAATAAGAGAAGAGACGTTAGTCTAGAAAAGAAGTTGGAATGATGAAAAGTAGTTCACTGCTGGATTTGTAGTATCATAATTATTATAGTATTGCGGTAGTTGGGGCAAATGACCGATATTTGCTTTGATACATTTGTATGTTGAGGTTTTTGGAGCACATGTGCTGTAAGAACGTGATCTTACATAACAGCATTCACAGAAAAAAGATATCAAGTAAAAAGCAGGTAAAGAGTTTCATTTGAATTTATAATTCAATTTATAATTTTTGAAAAGGAAATTTTATGGGTCATAAAAATAATTAATTTAATCAAAACTTTCTCATTAGCGATAAAAAAAAACTCCTTTTGAGTATAAACTGAGAAAAAAAAATTATCTTGGTAATTAATTAAAAAAACGGTTTAAGTTGGTACGAAATTTTTTCTGTATATCAGACTTTTTGAATGAAAAAAGTTTGAATACACAATTTTTTTAATTTGAATTTGTAAATTTAAATGTTTATGAATGAGTTACTATTGTGTACGTTGTCAATTTATTAGATAAGCAGTCACAGATGAATTACTTCTTATAGAACCAGACGGTTGTGACACAAGATGAATGTGAATGAAGAAGAAGAACGAATAAATGTAAATTGAGACGAAGAAATAAGAAGAAAAAAAATGATTTTTCACAAGCATTTATAGGAACAAGTTGGATAATATATTTTGTACGTAGTTTGATCTACTAGAAGACAGGAAGTTGAAGCAATTTTACATTTTGTTGAACCTCATATTCAAATATTATTCAAGCCTTTGTCTATAGAATCGGTTATTCTTACCAAACTAAATTTATATGCTAACCATACGTCCTCGGAAGGTCGTCTCTCTAGTGACTTGAGTTTCCGTATCTATATTTCGCTTTACGTACGAAATACTCTTGTTGACATGGACTCGCTTGTAAGAGACATGCATTAAAGATGAGTTCAAGAAGGCAAAGAACATAAAGAGAAAGACAGTAAGGACGACTAAACACTTGACCAACTTTAAAGTCAAGAAGAAGAAGAAGAAAAAGCTAAATTCTTAAGAAAATTTTGAAAAAATGGAGTAAGTGGAAGGGAAAAAGATATGATGAAGAAATGAGTTCCTCTAAAGAGATGTCAGGTGAAAAGACACTGAAGAAGCCAATGAAATAGAAGTTGAGAAAGGAGACAGTCTTCGAAGAACGTAAGTTTAAAGTAGAAGAATCATATTTTCATCAATGTTAAATAATTTATTTAAAAATTTATTTTAATTTAAAAAAAATTTCTTATAAACTTTAAATAATTTTTGCTTTACAAAACAATTTGTTTTAAGTAAATTATTTACTATTTATCAGTGATTTTACTTTCGTAATATGTAAAAAAAGAACATATTAAAAAATATATTTATTTTTTATTTTTTGAAAATAGAAGTTAAAACAAAGTAGCAGAATGAGTTAAAGAGGAAAATAAGTCATCAGTTCATCGTCTTCAAACGAAGGCCAGCAGTTAATAATGTAAGTAAAGTATAAAGTAATAGCATACTTAGATATTTAGAAAGTCTCCAGCACTTTAGTGAGCTCATGTAGTCAACACAAATACACCTGTACAATCAGTGAGATAAATAGGTATTTCTATCAGCCGTGTACTCTCGGTATTTCTTAGGTAAAGGGTGCGGCATGTACGTGAATAAGTACCGCTGCACTCTAGGCAGAGAAAACGCCTGAGGGAGAGCAATGGATATCTTGCAGCATATTCACATTCTGACGTAACTTGGAATCCCTGGCGTTAAACTGAAACGAGATTCACTCTACTGAATATAGGAGGGGTCCAAGTGTGTGTTAGGTGTCCAATCGAATAGGATACAGCTTATGCGTAGGCTTGATATAAACCACAAAGCTAAATTAGATGGTTAAAGCATTGTCTATTGGATCTGGTTGGCTTTGTACTCATTGAGATAGTATAATGACAGACGATATCTTTGTCGAATCTTGCGCAATAGCTACCTCATCATTTCTATCCTGTTTCTATAGCCTTGGATTGTTACGATACATAGCTTTAAGTTCTCTTCTGCTTTTGTTTAATTAGTTTTTGGACCTAGGAATCATTTGATTCTGACATTAAATTAGCCATGAAAGGTTTCTCAATTTATTCAATCCTTTCGCAGTGTCGGATAATAAGGTGTGACTTCATATTGAATTTCTAAATGATTAATTAACTTTGAAATGTTGAAGAAAAAACTTATTTCTGAACATAATAAATGTGAGAAAAAATATTTTTAATTAATATTTATTAAAAATAAATCATAATATATTTAGATTAAAATTGATCATGATAATGGATGATGATTGAATTTAGTTCCATTGAAAGTAGATATAAACAATGGGAATTTTATGTTAATATTGACTTAATTCATGTTAATGTTTTATTACTAGGACAATATTAATCTTCGTGACATAGGGACATGGAGAAATGTACTTTCAATCAGAATAGTTTGAAGAAAATTATAACTAGTAGTATATATGGATATTTTATTCAATAATGTTAATTGTTTAGAAGAGAAGTTAAAAAATGTAGACAATTCAAGGAGATAGAACAGATTATAGTTCTAGTTGGAGGATTGGAGAACTGGAATCCCGTCTACCTTCGAATATTTTTACTTTTACGAGATTACTCTGTTAATATGTCTATATAGTGAACTTGATAGTTGGGTATATCATTTTGTTTAGATTCTTCGGTAGTTATTTTTATTATTCATGGCACGACAGTCGTAGATGATGTAGATATACATTGAGATGACGAGGTCGACAGAGATGGATGAATGTGAATAATAAGTAAGAATAAAAATGTGAATAATATCAATGTAAAAATAGGAAAAAGGAAATATTCTTTCTTTATGTTATGAATTGCATTGTACAGGAAGAGTATTCTTTTTCATCGTTACATTGTTTGATTAGTATAAAAATGCTTGAAAGATCCTTTGAAATATTACTGTAAAGAGATCAAATTTAATTTTTTTTATTTATGAGATTATTTAATGTTTATAAAATGAAATTTTATGTTGAGAAGTATTGAAAGAGATGTAATTTTTTCTAGGATTAATTTGATAGATTCTATTGTTGATTTTTAATATTAAAAACATAGATAAATAATAAAAATAATATCCCTTTACTTTTAATTATTCTTATTAGAGTAAAGACGATTATTGGTGATACTCATTCTTAAGAATAAAAGCCTACTTTTCTAAGTAGTCTAAAGCATTAAAGTTTATGTTAATATTGGAATTTTCAAGGTTCTTGACCTTGTCAAGAACTCTGATATTTGCTTTGTAGAAGTTTCTGGTACTTTAAGAGAACGATGTGGAAGCGTGAGAAAATTCAAAAGCTTATACAGCTTGAAGCTTTTGTATACCTCAGCCGAATTTTACAAGCTGCCTACTTTTCTTCTGTGTTAGAGTGAGAACATAATACACTTTCAAACTATGCTAGTAAATCTTTCAACCGCATGATAAATCCCAAGGGCCGTTGAAGTACTGAGCTTTTCAGTTCGTTTTCTGTTTGTCTTTTCTCGCATTGGTCCTCAGAGAAATGTAGATAAAAATGGACTTGAGGGATTTGGATTATTTTCTTGGAATATAAAAGATGTAATTTCTTTAGAAATAAACAGAAAAACACGTTGATAATAGAAGACAAATCGTGGTAAAGATTGGAAAGGACACGAATGTAAAATAAAAAATGAACAAGAGAAAAATATTTTGAAATCTGGTTTTAAGCTTTTTTATTATTATTATTTTTATTAATACATAAGCTATATTTATGTGGAAGAGCTTTAGTTTTCTTGCAATATGAGTAAACTTGTGCTTGGTAAAAGCTCCCTGAGGTTCCTGCTTGTAAAAGCAACAACAAACAAGCGGCTCGTAATCTTATAAGATAAAAAAAATAATAATGTAAAAAAAAAAGCTTGATAAAAAATAATTTTTTTTTTGTTTAGAATAAAATATCTTGGTAATAACCATATCTTCGAATTTACATAAAATTACTAATTCTCTTATGAAAATGAACACTCTTATACTTATATTTATATTATATTTCTTCATTAACTATGCACTTATTATATAAGATAGTTTTATCATACAGGATTACATATTTTTAAAAGCTCTTGCTTCTTTTTCATCATCATTTTTTCATGAGATAAAATATATGCTGACCTGGATTTTTTTTCATTTAAAACATTCTCACTTCTTGGATCCATAGCTTATTTGAATTTTTTCAACCTCAATTTTGTTATTTCATAAAATAAATAAAAAGTGTTGAAAAGGTTAATGACCTTTGGAGGTTGTCAGTTAGATGTTTCCTAGATGTTAAAAATCTCCAAAAAATATCAAAGTTTTAAACATTTCCCAAACTTATTCCCTAGAATTTCTTTATTCTTGTTGAAAGCTACTGAAACATTCATGGTATCTAATTCTTCTATATATATATATATATGTTCTTTTATTTTTATTTTTTTCCAGAGATTTTCAATGGTTTATGTTCGTCTTGTAGAAATCTTTTCAGTACCAATAACTTTCACATTTTATCCACACTCTGAACACTTCATCTTTGATCTTCTTTGACTGTATGCTACCATTGAAATTTGTAGTGATCATGTCGAATGATGACTTAGGGTCCATTGAATTTTCAATTGAACTTGAAGAGATAGAGGAGTTAGGGTTGTCTCTGTACTTCTGTCACGCTATTTGATATCAAAGCTTTTGTAGAAATCATTGTACTAAATAGCTTTTACATTGCTGGATAAATATTTTCCTTTGATTAGTAATCAAACAGACGTGTTAGAGTTTAGTTGACAGGAAAAAAGAAAGAAAAAAGATCAATGAAATAGAATGTAATAAAATGACCATTACTTAGGTGATTGTAAGATATTTTATTGGAATTTTCTGATATGAATTTCTATTATCAGACTTTGGTCTGAAAATCCTCGAATCCCTGAACAGTTTTCACCAATTCTCAAGGGACAAATCGTAGAGTCCTGACCTGGGCTCATGAACTGGTAGAGGCTTCAACGACTTCCCAAAGAATTCTGTATTCGCTTCTACACTTCACCCAGATATCCCGGAAGCTATGACGTCGAAACTTTAAATCTCCCTTGCTATCTCGTACGTGCCTTGAACTATATGAAGTTGGAATAAAAGTTTACTCGTTTGACTTTTATTCGTTTTTGATTTTCAATTCTTCTATTTTTTGATTATTTTCTTTTTCTCTCGTCTTCCTTTTCCTTTGAATTACCCTAGTGCATTTGAATAAGCTTGTCTATTGGTACACATATGTATTGAAAATCATTGTGAGCTTGTATAAATTTGGGATGGGTTTCTGTTATAAAAAGAAAAGGATCACTATTGGAATGAAATAAAGAAAGAAAACATCTACGTGTCACTAAGGAGATAAGAAGGAGTAAATAGGGTGTGAAATATTATGTGGACAGATTGTGACGAAGTGTGAGGACTGGAATCAGGTTTTTGGAGAGAGTTTGGGCGGCAGTTGTGCCGAGTATCCATCACTGAGAGCTGTCAGTGACACTTGGTATTGGTCTGGTGGGATTGGGAGTCAAGATCTACATGTCAGTAGTTATAAACGTCAGAGGTGTTTACGTTCGATATTATTGTTTCCCTCTTGCGGTTAGTGATGATGAGTAAATAATGAAAATAATTAGTAGAGCTTGTAAATTATTAAAAGATGAATTATCAATAAATATTAATTGAACTTTTTTTATTTAAACCTTCATACAGCTTTCAAAGTTGACTTCTATTAAAATATCATATTACAATACCAGTTGTTCAAATGTTTTTTAACGAACTTTTGATTGATAAAAAAAAATAATTGGAATTTGTTTGGTTCGAAGTCATATTGTATTGTTAAAACTAAAAACAATAATACAAGGAGAAGCTATAAAATCACTTTGAGTCATATTACTGAATAAATATTTTTAAATAAAAAATGTTTTAAAAAATAAATAAATTTGTTTCTCTGAGTGAACAATTTTTTTTTATTGTAATAGTTGTTGAACAAATAACAATTTCAATTAAAATTGAAAGTTATTTCAATAAGAGTTAACTTTATTAAATTGTTTTTTGCTATTTATCATACTCGAAAACTGACCTGGACACTAAATATTAAAACCAACCAAAAAATTTTGTTTTTCATTTTAACATGAAAATTAATATATTCTGTTGATCATGAGCTCTTCATTTTTAATTATTATGATGATTTAAACATGATGTAACGTTGATCTCCAGTGATAAATTGGAGAATGCTTTGGATTAAAAAAAGGTAGACATTGAGAATATTGAAATGAAATAGATGTTCTTGAAGGTATTTAGATAAAGTTAAAAATTGAATTTAGTTTAAAAATGTAATAAATTTCCAATAGTATCATGCCAATAACAATAAACCACAATTAAATAAATAATCTAAAAAATAAACATTGAAAAAATGAGTTTGTCAGAGATATAAAATTTTAGTATCACTTTGTCTTCATGACAATTGTTAGTTCGAGCACATTTTACGACTATTAACATTTTCCGTAACATTGTACACACGTTTTTGTTTTTGGGTGGTCATTAATGTTGCTATAGAGGGAGATAGAAACAAAAAGGGGTGTAGAAAACGGGTGTGTTGCTCTCGGTATCATACTAGCCCTCCCCCTGGGGAACTCATCGATCACCTTTACGAGTTTTCATCGCCCGTTCTCGAAACTATAGAACCGACTACATGCTTCTCTGGTTACTCTATCTCCAATGAGAGAATGAGACAGAACTATATACGCTTTATTATCACTAGATACGACATACATGAATTTACGGACTTGCAAAGGTTTTTTTTTTTATCTTTCAACTTTCTCACCCCTACTTTCATGTTTTCATCTCGGCGCTTGTGCGTACAGTTTTTCTCTATTTTTTTTTTGTTAATCCGCGAATTCACGTGTTCGATAGAGCGTTCAGGAGGGCGCGATATCCGGGTGGAACAACCGCAGTGGGACGGTCGTTTATGCTCGGTCGAAGGGAAAAGTTTATTCAGTCGAATGGAAAAATGTGTACGAATTTTTATGCCTCATCTCATGTTTGACTCCATTACTTTACTTTGTTGGGTTTCTATGATGTACTTAAATTATAATACAGTAGAGAAACTTTCAAATTGAGTGGATACTGGGTCAGAGTAGTTATAAATTGAATTAATTTGAAAAAAATATATTTCGTTTCAATATGTAAAATACTAATAACTAGTCAGGTTATTAAATATTGAATAATTAATTTTTTAGAAAAAAATATGTGATATGAGATACTTGTTTATTATTAAATCATTACTTACTAAGATTTTTTTTTATTAATTATTTAATTATTATTACTTTTTGTAAACATAATGAAACAACTGTTTGGAAATAAATATTTGCAAATGTAGAAATTGTAAATAAATATTTCAATGGAAATGAATTGTTTTGTAATATGAAATGTTTTAATTTTGTGCTAAATATAGTGAATATCTCGCTATGTTATTATGCTTTAGAGTTTATCTTCTCGCGTTAACCTTCTCTATAAATCAAGAATTATTACTAATAAATCTTGGGATAAATAAATATTATTTATTTTTCAATTTTATTTCAAACATTTCATTAGTTTAACTACATCAATAATAAAGTATTCATATATCATAAAGTGAAAAATTATTTTATGGGAGTGCATCTTAAATGTAAATGTGTCATTTCAATATATTTAAAAGTGTCTACATTAAGAAAAAAAATTATTTATTAGCCAAAATTAATTATCTCATCGATTTAAAAAATAATTTATCAATTTTATCTATTAGACAGTGAATAGTTCTTTACAAATCTACAATTAAAAAAAGCTTTTTCAAATATTATTTATTATTTTCTTTAATTAATAAAATATTTTCTGAATTAATAAAATAATTAATTGCAATTACTTGATAAAATATTTTATTAATATTAATAATTGTCTTCGCAGTATACTAAATAATTACACTGCATAGTGTGTTCAAAATTAAATGTCCATAAATTAATTTTAAAATTCATTAAGTTTTTAAAAGTATAAAAAGTGATTATTAAATGCAATAGTTTGTATAAAGAGTTTTAATATTAAATCAACTCAATATGTATTATTTTAATCTACATGTAGTGATGCAATGTTAATTAAATGAATGACATCATATTTACAGGCTTTTATCATATTGGAATAACACACTTCCCAACATCAAGATTTGCAGTAAAGTATCTTAGATATCATTAAATAATTTTTTTTTATATCCAAAGCATCTTATCGAGTACTTGAGATAATTTATAATAATCATTAAAATCGAATGAAATTAAGATTGAAGCACCTTCCATTAAGAGTGGTCTCAAAAATTTATTCTCCTACTCAGTAATATTTATTTCCATGTTCATTATCGCCAGTAAAATTTTCATGTAGTCATAAATAAGCACAAAGTGTACTGATATTTCTTTCAAAGCTCGAAGATCTGTTGACCAAAAAGGCTAAAATACAATTAGATAACGACTAAAATGTCTTACATTAAATACAGTTTAAAAAAGCATAAACAGTCGTTGAACTTCTTTATCAGAACTAATTATAAAAAAGTTGATGTTTATTAGCGTTAAAATCCATTAGAATATTCGTTCGAGCTTAAACAAACACCAGAAGGAAATAAATTAGGGATTAGAGGTTTAAATTACTTCAGTAGTGTAAGAGTTGGTGGAGAAGGGATGATGGTACTGGATAGACTAATAGTATAAGTAAGGGAATTAAATCGCGTAGACACTCTCTTATACTTTTGAGACCGGTTATTCTACTACACTGGAGAACTTTCCAAGGTTTAGGTACTTGTTAGTTCCCTTTGCAGATTTTCTCCGCGCTTCACTTTCGACTCGTTCATTCAAAGGGTGATAGTATACGCCAAGTTGCACTCTCAGCACTCGGTGTCGTTTATCCCTTTTTAACCCGTTAAAATTGAAAAAGCGTCGGCAAGTTCTCGCGGTGTCTCGTTGCTTCAAAGGGACCACTTGCACTCTCAGACTTACATTAAGCTCCAGGGGAAACATGATGACGATAAGGTAGCCAAAGGGAATAGGACTAAATAGAGAGGAACAAGGCAATTTGCTGAGAAATGAAGGATATAAATGAGTGTTGATGCTAAAGAGTTGGAGAAAATTCTAAATACTTATTGATTGTATGGTAGGTTAATTTAATGTGACATTTTATGAATTTACATGATCGCATAAATGATTTCACTCTTCCGTTTATGTATTTGAGTGCCACTTTCTAACAATTTTAACGTTTTTCTCGTGTCTTCTGCTCATTTATTTTTTAACACAAATGAGTTTAGAAAACGTGGGAATGAAAATTCTTTGACATTTATTTTTTGGAGTAAACAACTTCATTTTATTTTGTTGAATATTTTATTTTGTCATTTTATTACTGGGTCGTTTTTTTTTTTAAATGCTTTTAATTATTTCTGTTGATAAAAGATATTTGAAAATTCAGTTCTGGTTTTTGGAATAATTTTAATAATTTATTTTCATTCTTTATTGTAATGTTAAAAGGTATTTTATCAATACAAATTAAATTTAAATGTTATTAATACTGGAGTTTCTAGGTATTGTCTTTTTTTAAATGATTTATTGGATCAATTGAGCTAAAATATTATTAAAGAGGAAAAATAATGCTTTTTGCAAATTAAATTCTCGAGAAGTTTATTTTCAAAATTAGCATTATTCAATCAAACCTTTGAAATTCCACATATTCAAAGTAATAAATTAATATTAAAATATTCCACCATTCGTAAAAATTTGATGTTTATTTACACTTGGAGTTTTTATGATGAAAAATGTGAATATTTTATTTAAGAAAAAAAGTTACTGTTTATTTTGATTCCAAAACTAGAATTAAATTTCCATGAATAACCTGTTATCAACACTAGATTTATTTAAAGTTTTTTCTGATTCTATTCTCGATGAAATTTTGGCAAGATTTATTGCTAAATTATTTGAATAATATAAGAAATGAATATATGTATTAAATGAATTTTTAAAAGAAGGTATATTATATAAATTTTGTATGCTTGTAGATACACATTCTGGAGGTTGGAGTAGAAAAAAAGGAGGAAATCTTTTGCAAGATCTTCTGATCGTTCAATGTTTCAGAAGTGTTGAATTAGAATCAAGATTATAGTCAAGAAAAGCTACTTGATAATGCATCAGTCTGTGGAGTGATATGGTATCGTATATATATATATATATATATATTATATAGAGTGTAGTATGTAACAGAGTAATAGTAGAAAGGTACATAGAATCACTGATAGACAAAGAGGGTGAATGAATATCGATGTCTTAGAAACATCCCACGGTTCTTCCGTCAAGAGATTTATTTCGGTTACGTTGCTGCAGATTGGGAACTCGAAGAATTCGAGATTGCTTCTTCTGTCAAATTTATCAGCGAATAAAATATTGTTTTTATGTGTTTCAAATATTCAATTTGTTTCTAAAAAAGTAGGAATATCACAGGTTGTATTAATATTACTTTCACTATTTATTTTTTTTTTAAATTTAAATTTCGCTAATTGAGAGCTCTGTGACACTCATCCTTATTTGTGGGGAATGAAAAAAAATAAATATTATCTAGAGTTTAATTTAAAAAAATCATTTCGATTAAAGCAAAAAACATAGAAAAATATTGTATGAATGTGATGTTTATCGAGTCCCAGTGGAATGTGGTTAAAGGCCGAAATGAAGGTCGCCTACGGCTCACGACCGGTCCAGAGAGAGAATAACACTAGGGAATAGTGGAGAGGAAACATCGTCTTTAATCGATTCACTAAAAGTGGGAAAAAATTTAGAATTGTTTTGAATTTTTATTTGTTTTACTCTTCAATCTAATCTTCATCATGATTATTTAAAAAATTTTTTTCTTCTTCGTTTATTTATGTTAATAACATTTATGCTCTTATAGCTTTAGGCTATTGAGCTTTCAATAGAGTGTCTGCATTATAATTATTGCAACATAATTAAACTAAGTACGGTAGAAACATTGGAGATAGCAGTTACAAGATATTATTAAAAGATATAGTAATTTTTGCAGTTAATAAAAAATGAATTTTTTTTTATCTTATTGCTAATAAAAAACATCTTGTCTTATAGTCTTTAAATCTCTTTCATCTCGATCATAAACAGACTGATGTTTTTAATTTGAAGATTATTTTTTAACAAAGAAAATGATTATTTGTTTATTAATAACAAAAAAGTATCAGTAATAATTTTTTAAAAAGTTCTAAAAATAACAATTTTATTATTTTTATTTTTTATTGGTTGATTTATTCAATTGATTATATATTTTATCAATTAATTGGCACGTTCATTTGGCCTTCTGTCATGAATTTTAATATAAACGATCAAATTTAACGTAAATGCTGCTATAAAAAAAAAGATTATGAAGATGAATACACCGACAGTGATTATTAGAGATAAAACTTCACCGAATACATGAAATTTTAAGATATAAATTTAGAGATCAATTCATAAATGATTATAAAATATAATAAACAACAAGTTAAGATGAAGATTCAACTGGAATTTGGTCAATGATCGACCTGGAATCGGATCTCCAGGAAAGCGGGTGCGCCAGGCAACGTAACTGGCTCACTCAGTGGGGACTTTACTACTTCACTTGTACTCTACTCAGTCGCTTCGCGCGCGTCGAGACGGAAGGTGGTCCTAGACCTTTCTTCCTTTCACTTCTCGCTTGATATCATATCGCGTGTGTGATTTCAAAATTGCTTAGTAATTTTTTAAAAAAATTCTCAAATTTTCCGATCAATTTTTCACCCATTTTTGGGCCTTTTTTTTTCATTGGATGGACCATTTTTTATGTGCTCGTGAATGAATGTTAATTTTTTGCAGAATAAACTTTGAGTAATTGGTGAGTTTAAAAAAATTATAAGTCGTGATTGATATTTTTTTTTTCATCTTTTACTGTTGTAGTTATATATTTTATTTTCATATTTATCTTTGTTGCATCAAAGTTGTTATAAAGTTGGCTCTGAAAGATTTTTTTGTGAAGTGATACGTAAATGAGGGTGTTGTCGAGAAACGATCGAAATTATTTTAGCAATTTCACTGAGGAAAATACTTCTGGTGTTGCCACAGAAAGTTGTGTTTATTTTGAAAGTTTAATGCGAGTACCTGTAGGATGAATCATTTCGTATATCTTTCCTACCCCTAGTTACTTCTATCAAATTTCTCGTTGATTGAGGCTGTTCCTCGCTTCGTCATTCGTATTTGATGAACTTTTATTAATGATTTGTTTAAATAAACTCCTAACTTTTATAGTTGCTAAGAACTTCTAGAAATTTTGGATGATAAATAAACTTGAAAAAAATTTTTTTTTTGTCTGCTAAAAAAATAAATAAGATCAACTTCAATTGAAGAAAGACAGACAAATTTAATGAATTAATTGTTTGATTGAGAATTTGAAATATTTAAAATACTTTTTTATCTTCTTGCTAAAATTTCCAAGAGCACAGAAATGTTGGATAAATGAAATTCAATCGAATTGGTAGGATTTTTTTTTTCTATTCTCATAATTAAAGTTGCTTAGATTGCATTTTCTTCAGTGCTGAGTACCTCTCGTTACCGTTCTATCTCATCTTAAATTAAAGTCGATGCTCACTTGAGAGTAATGCTTATATGATATCTTAAGTTAGATTAAATAAATATAATACGAGGTGATTTATTTTTATATAAATAAAAATTGTCATCAGATAAATATCATCATCTTATCATTTATTTGAAGAAATGAATCAGTACTTCTTTTCATTTATAATACAACTATAAAAATAGAGATTGGACAATTACTAATAATTTAATCCTTATAAAAAATAACAATCCTTTTTTATTACTTATCTCAAACCAATAATAGATAAAATTAATTCATTATTGAGGAAGAAAATTTTCCATTTTTTTTTATGGTGTAGAACATTTTTTTATCAATTATTACATTCAATATAATAATTTATAATAATTCTTTTTTGCTAGAATAATATTAATAATTTCATCGTCAAATATTTAACACAGCCATCTTTTTAATTAAATATGAATTTTTATGGCATTGGAAAATTTATTGAACGTACTTACATTCCTAATCGAATTATTATTACAGCTATGAAAATTTTATGATTATTCGTAATTCCATAAGTTATATCTGGACAGTAATTTAAAAAAAAAAATCTACAATACATTCAGCAATAAATCCATTCATTCATAAACTAAATAAAAATGTGATGAAAAAAAAACTACTTTTTTTAAAGGAATCATTATAAAAATAAATCAACTTGGAATCATTAAATATTCATAATAATCCTACCAGGAATTGTACGCATCAATGATAATGGGCCATTTTTTCCATCGTTGGATAATAAAAAAAAGTGTTAAAGAAATGGTGAAAAACTGTAGAGAAAGTAAAGTCAATTTTAATGCTAAAAGTATTTGAAAAATAAAAAAAAAAAATGGTTGAAATACGTAAATTGTGAATGTCCTGGTATATTTTCATGTCGATCGGATATGCCATCAAATCCGTTTGTTGTTTATTGAGTCTACGACACCGAGAGGAAAACGAGAAAGGGTAAACGCGAATAGTGTGGCTCGTGCCATGATCCACTCGTCGCTTCAGGAACCAAACAAATGCGATAAATGGACACACCGGAAGGGATACTGTAATTTCATTCCTCTAACTCGATCTTCCTCATCTCTCTTCTGCTTGTTTTCACTATCTAACTCTAATTCGAAGGTTTATATAGATATGTATGACATTACTTACAATTTATACCCCTTTAGGCAAATTTAATATACAGAAAATATATACATAGATATTTAGCTTCAACTCTCGAGGACATGTTTTCGATTGCTAATGTTATATACCAATCTTCTACATTTTTCCTTGGTTCCTCTGTTTCTCTTTACGCTTTGTGAATCGTCAAAGAGATTAAGCTGGTGAAAGAATGAACTTGCTGTGATTAATCTAAGCTTTAAAAACTTTTTTTATTCTCTTTTTTTTTTTGTATTCATTGTTTTATTATTCTGTTAAAATTCAGTGGTTACACTAGTGTGTCTGATCATGAACTGTCGTTTTCACTTGCGCCTGACGTTTCACAAAAAAATATGCTTGCAAATGTTGAATCTTCTATAGAATAAAAGTTATCTTTTAAAAGTTTTTTTCTATTTTAGTGGAAAAAAGAGAATTGATGTGTAAAATTTGTTTTTGACACCAATAAAATTGGGAAAATTTTGTTTTGAAGTAATAGGAAGGTTTTTAAATGGAAATATATATCTATATATATAGTGTGAAATGATTGATAGATAAAGAGAGGAAATGAATTTATTTAAATAATTACTTTTTAATTGAGTTGATTATTTACAAATTACTGTTATTTAAAATTAAGTTGTTCTTATGAAAAATTGATTGACAATAGAAATGTTTAGTTTTTTATAAATATTTATTTATGCTAACAATGTATAGAATTAGTATTTGATGATTATGATTAATTGAATGAGATTAGAGTTATAAAATTAATCATAGGTATTTACTCTCAGTAGGAAGAAAAATGTTAATCATAAAAAAAAGTGAGTAATTTATTGTTTATCTTGATTTCAACTAATTATCAATGAATAATACTTTGGGTATAAAAATAAATCATCATTCATATATGTATTGAATTTTATCTTGAAATCATAAATTCCAAGAAGACCGAGCGATAAATATCTTGTGGTTATTCATAGCGTGAAGTATATATTCGAGTAACTGTAAATAATAAAAATTTTTCGATAGAATTTTGAAATGTAAATAATGTAAAAGTTGAAAATAATTTAGGGAAATACGGAAGAAGAAAGGTTTACTTGATAGGAAATAAGGTTAAATAGTGGAAGGAGAGAAATAAAAAGAAATTGTCCGACAGGTGGGATTTCGTAAATGTCGAGTAATGTCTTTGGGAGATACCGTGGTGAGAATATTTCGTTTCTAGGAAGAGTCTATTGGGTCCGTTTGTCCTAATCGACTTCACTGATTTTTTTATCTCCCTATATTGGAATGTTGGAAAAAAAGAGGAAGAAAGTGGAAATTAAATTATCTGTAAGAAGTTAAGTTTGACTGTCCGAGGTGGTAAAAAATCTTAGTTTGAAGTAAAATAAAAATTATGTATTATAGAGAAGTGTTTTCTTCTTTTTTTTTTACATGATGATAATGCATTTTTATTACAGGTTTTTTATCGTTGAAAAATTTAGATAAGGTGTTTAAAAAAGTTAGTGATGTGATGTTTTTTTTTGGGGTTTAGTTGTTGTTAAACGGTTTAATGTTGTTTTAGAAGTTTAAATCACTTGGAAACAAATAAAATTAAATATGGGTATCATAGAAGATTTATTATAATTATTGCAAATAAATATTGAATAAAAAATTTAGCCATAAATATTTAGTTAGTACAATAAAAATTTCACAATGATATTTATTTTATTAAATAATAATAACGATATCGGAAAAATAGTTTTTTTATAATAATAAGCAACGTTTAAAACATTAAGAAGGTAGGATTATGGGTCACTTTTTTTTTTTATTTTGTTAAATTATCATCAATGGTCACTTTTCGAAGTTTCTGTTTATTGCGAAGAAATTATTTTTCAATATATTTATGAGTTAACTAATGGAAGACGCACCATGCTCGCATAATAAACAAATCGACCTACCTTCTCTTCTAATAATAATATATAAATTTTATAAAAAAAGTAGTAATCGAAAATTCATTACTCTAGTGGTTATGAATAATTAATTGAATATTTAAACAGATAAATAATAAAGTTTGTTGATTAATTTATTAATTAAATTAAAATTATTCAATAGAAGCAATTGATAATTTTAAATTTATTTATTTATTTTTATATTTGAATAATAAGGAAAAAATAAATTGGGTGAAAGTCTTGAGTTGAAAAAAAATCTACCTTATAGTTATTCATGATTGGAAGTCTTTGCAATTGATTTAAAGCTCAGCGTGGATATTTATGATAATTTATAGGACGATTTGTTTGTTTACCTCCATTAAAATAATAATATTAAATTATTACAAGGATTTAAATCTCAAAGTAATCTTGATAAAATGCATTCAAGAGCATAAACAATCTTTTACACAGGTGCAGTAGGTACAGGTCAGCTGTGTGTGCCTGTAGGATATCGGAAGGTTCACCTTGTTACCGTTACAACAGAACGCATGAGGTGGTAGGACAGCATTCCAAAGTATCAAGACTCTCGATTTGAATATGTGCGCGCGCTCTCTGAAGTTAATCGACTCTACGTACGGTACATTAATATAATGTATAACGGAAGCAATAATTTTCAATAATAATAAGAATAATAATTCAAACATTTACTTAATGCTGAAGAAAACATCACATAATTCTATATCGTAATAACAATCGATAAAAATAAATGATCAGTTGATGAGTAGACAATTATCTTTTGTATCGACTCAGTCATTTGGTGCAGAAAAAATTGACTAAAAAATTAGCAAAAAAATTAAAACAGTTAAAATGAGAAACGATGAAGGAAGGATTGAAGAATGCAACGGCAGTTTTCATCGCTTGAACCAGCAAATTCGTTCCACATTCTTTCTCGGTACCTTTTTCACACCAATGGAGTTTACACGAGAATTTTATCAGACTCCAACACCGTAGTTAATTGCTACCCTTTTTTTTTCTTTATATTTTTCCTCCACTGTATTTTACTTCATTTAGCATTCCTGATCGATCCTATAATTTTAAACATTCATTTACGAAACGAATTTTTTCTATTCACCACCACCACCAACTTTGACTCTAAAGACTTAAATATTTTGTGATCGAATATTGAATTCTTGTGAAGCTCTTTAATGTATTGGATCTTGGAGTATATAACCAAGCTAGAGAGACTAGTTTACCTTATTTTTATGGAATTTAATCTCAAGATACTTTGTAGTGTTTGTGTCACGACAGATCAGTACCAATACAAGTTTCTAACCTTTCCCTCACTGAACACTCAGCGAAAATGATTCGGTCGAATGGCTTCGTTATAGCCGATTGATAATCTATGTTACATTATCGAATCCGTTGGGTTTATGGGGTTACACTTATATAATTTAAATGCGGAAGCTGGGTCAGCTGATAATTTTATGTGATATTTAAATCATATCCAAACGAGTTAATAATTATTGAATTACGTTGGGAAATAGGATCAATTGAAAGGTATTTTTTTTTTTTCGTGTGCATAAACTTGTTTGTGTAGAGGAAATTTGAATAATTGATAATAATTTACAAGTTTTATTTTTGTCTTGTTTCATATAGCCTCTATTGAATGTAGCTTAGAAGAAATGAATAATAAATTATGACGTTAACATTTCATTTAGATTTTTTTTTTTATCAATATTATAATCAATAAGTTTGGTTCATATCATGAACAGTTTCCTTTTATTATGCTAAAAGACTTTATAAAGGTTTTGAATGGGAAAATATTACATAAAATCAAGCAAAAAATAATTTTTTTTTATCAAGAAATATGAAAGGTAGATTGCGAGTTATAATATTAGATGTTAGAGATTATTAATCATGAGAGAATATAATTTTTATCACTGTTGAAAGTAGAATAGATTAATAAATTTTATTTATTAATGAAAATATTTTTTTTTTTGGTTCTTTATCAAAATTAATTCTGTTAACGTCAATATTCATAGTAAACTTTCGTCTTGAAAGATATTTAAGTCTATTAAAATAACTTAACAACGTAGACTGAAATAAGTAAAAAAAAAATCCCTTCAATATCTTGCTGCTCAATTACAAGGAAAAATACTAAATAGATATATTATAAATGATTTATATTGGAATACTGTTATTTCTTGGATAAAAGTTTGGAAAATTGAGAAAAAAAACTACGTCATAGGTCATAGCACATAAGGGCACGTGCTTATGCCCTGTAAATTCTTTCTCTTTTTATCGCTTATCTCATTCACCGTAGCTTAGACGATAAAAGCAATGTAATGCAAGAGTCGTGTTCTTCGTAAGAGTGTCAAGGAAGTAGCTTCCTGAGGTCCCTATGTTGTCTCTTTTTGTCAGTATACTTCTTTTCAGGCTTTATTTGTATTTTAGTATCACAATTAAAATTTTAAATCAACTCAAATAAACACAAGTTTCAGCTTTAGGATAATAAAAAATACTTTCAAAGTATATAAATCAAGGTGAGTTGATGGATACATTGGATATTTTCATGTTTCTAATTGAACTGTGTATTTAAGTGACTGAAAAATCCGGAAGGTAATTAAATTTTTTATGTCCTGGGTGAAGAAACTTGATTGTTGCAGTACGACGAGTTTAATTTCCTAGATGAAAGTAACGAAAAGACTTGCTTGAATGAAAGTAAACTTGCAAGTTGACATCAACTAGGATCTATATACGTCAACAAGAGCATGGAATCACTCTCGCTTGACTTGGTGTCTCGGTCAAACGTCGTCTTACTACTTTTTTACTTTAAGATTCTTTTCTAGTTATTTTCCTCAGTCAAACTAATCGAGTTCTCTTGACTTCATAACTGGCCAAAGATTCCTCTTAATTTCCCGTGACTCTTTTTTCATTATCTACGCGTTGGTTTTGTTGGCAACTTTCACGATTTCTCGTTTTCAAATAGCCTTTGTGATGAATGGGGTTCATAATAGAAGCCATAAGTTATTTATATATAGAAGGAGACTGTATAGAAGTTTTTGTTCACAACCTAATGCTTCACTTGTTATTTCTGCTATTTCTCCAGAGTTCATTGCTGAGTCTAGATTATTCTCGTGTTGGTTGGTTAATGTCTATGATAGCTAGAGTACTGGGTGTCCTTCAAGAATGAAAGTACTCTGGAAATCGTGACCTCATGTTGCATTCGAATGAATAATACCTAGGTTCTAGAGTTGATTCTATATGAGCTAGCTACTTTGATCAACATGTTGCTTGGTGGAGTTAAATTATTCGGAAGAATTGGTGTCGACTATCTGAACATTTGTATTTTATGGCTTTACCTTTTTCATTTAATCATAGATACCAATCTTCAATAATATATTTTTAGAAAAATAATGGAAACTTGGAGATAATCTTTAGCTGCAGTCTAAGAGTTATTATAAAGTCAATAAAAACATTGAAGTGAAGATGATTAAATATTTATAAGAGAGTTAAATAAATATCATCATCAAGTCTTTTATTTTTTTATTTAGATTAATATTTTAATTGAAAAAATTATTTAAATAAATTTTTGTGTAAGAAATAAGGTAATATTTTTTAGTAGAAATTTTTCAAATAATAATAAATAAAAGAAAGATGATAATATGTCTTTTTTATCTGGTAATAATAAATTTCTCATTTTTCTCTTGTGTAGGACTCTCCTATATCATCTTCGTGAAGAATTTCTGCAGTGGGAGATAATAGTCACCGCATAGCAGTGTCGTGGATCGCGAAAGTAGAACAAGCACGTGAAACTCGGCTTATGCAGACTCAAGAAAAAATATGAGCAAATCGTGAAATCGATTGTCTCAGTAGTGGTTTCAACGACCAGTAACTACAAAGAAGTGCAAGTTGTGGAAGAGGAAGAAGTGAGTGATAACCATGGAGACGGAGGAGCTCACGCGGCTCGTTGATGGCATCTACAAGGTCAGTGGTATTTTTTATTAATACTTTTTTAACTCATTAACATTTTCATCAATCTGTAATTACTCTGAGAATTCATTTATTATCATCATTGTTACAAACTGTCGTTTTTTGTTGTTTGTAACCTAACATTGTCATTAACAAAGTAAGAACAGTTTATTAATTGTTTGTGATAAAATCCGGAAATGATTAATTAGCTAGAGGATTACACAATTGTTATTGTTATAAAAGATGTTTAAATATTACTATGATTTAAGCCAATGACTCACAGGTGTTTATATTACGTATTAAAATATTCCAAGAAAAGTTCTTACCTTCACAATATTCTTTTAATATTTTACTTTCAACTGAAAAGTATTATAGCATAAAATTAATCTTATTTAGACTGTCAAATATGATGGAGTTTCAATGAAAATATCATCTTTAAATGAAATTACTTACTGGCATACTTGTAATCTATGAATTTCTTGTGACAGAGTCTTTACAATATCTTTCACGTAATATATGAGATGAAAATGAGATGGTGTATCTTATAAAAGGGTAATATATAGTTTTAGTATTATGCTTGCGGTGAAATTTCTCGATAATTAGGTATCAAGCAAGAGAATTAAGGTCTGATGGTATGGGAGTATATAGCTAGTAGAGTGGGTTCAAGTGAAAGCAAAGGGGGATGATCGTATGTGCAGAGAATAATCTTATTAGTCGTTTGGTAGTCAAACTTGCTTTAAAAGTCTCATGTCATCGCCTTGAGCTTACTAGCTTGCACCCTTGCATAAAAGCTCAACCTCCCTTGTCTGTTACACAGAAACCTCTTTTCCCCAACTCCTCTTTTCGTTATACCAACAATGTTATATATATTTCTCTACAAGTAATCTCCAAGAGTTAACGACACTTTCTCGCTTGCTTGTCATATAATAACAGACTAATTCGTCTCTCGTCGTGTCCTTGAGTGTACCAGATGTGTCGTCCTGTTGTTTCACTAGTGTAAGAAACTTTGCAATCAACGCTGATGGATCCCTCATTTAGCAAACTGGCCACACAAATGATAAAAAATGGAAATGCTGGAGGATAGAAGTAATATTACAAAACATATCTCAAGCTGTATTTCTTCACAATCATGAGAATTGGATGATTTCAGCAAGGATTTGATGGAGATGTATAAATTATTATTATTATTCAGAGAAAAATATTACTTTGATGTCAGGATGGAAAAAATATTGTCCAGAATAAAAATATATTTTACTAGAAAGCTTTCAATAAAAGGAAAATATTTTGAATATTTCTTTTTTTTTTTTTATTTGAAGAATAGTTTTTTCTTTTTATGCAGGAAAAAAAGTTTTTTTTTTTTACAGAGATAAAATATTAATTTATTTAAATCTCTTTTTAATTAGGTAACTATTGTTATGGATGATTTATATTGTTTAAGAGTTATGGAAAAATAATTTAAGTAGAAAATTGAAAATTTCTCATTAAACTTTGAATTCCTGGTGAAGAAGGATAAAAAGAATTTGAGAACTATCATTTTTATCATAACTTTATAAAACTATTCTTTAACAATAATGAAGATTTGAAATTTAAAGTGTTTTCTTTAGGGGGGAGGGGGGTATTTTGTCCGAGTGAGAAGCGGTGAAAAATTTATGGATGTATTACTTTTGTATAAAGAAGAATGCTGGTGAAATTACAAAGTAAAGAAAAACTTTGTGATAAATTTTATATTAAAATGTTCAACGTAGCAGTGATCCTTTCAATTAAATCATGATTACTTCAATACTTTTTGCAAATCCTTAAACATCAAAATATTAATATTATAAATAAAAAAAATTGTTTTCTTATAAATAAGCAGACAGATTTAATTTATTTTTTATATTTATATATTATATATTTATATTAGATTTTTTTACTGAATAAATTTTAAAATTACATCAAAGGTTTATTATAAATTCAGGTTTTTTGTAAAATTATAATTATAAAGTATATTTTGTTATTTTACGAGGTTCACATTTTTTTATGCATATTAATTGCACTTAAGTTTAGTTATAGCATCAAATTTACATTTTAAAAGGTAGGGAATAGGCTAAGACTATTATTAACGTGAGTAAATGTTAACACTTATTTTATGAAAATATTTTTATGCCTCAAACATTGAATTACAAGCTTTATTCATTTGTTAGATTCTTAAATAAATAAAGCTGACAGTTTGATGTCAAAAAGCATAAAAGTATTTTTGTATTAAAATGAAATATTGATATTGAAATAGCAGTTTTTGATGATCCTATTAAAATGTAGAGTGTGATTTTACTTGAAAAAATATTTTTGTTATTTTTTGGTTAAAAGTCGGTCAATTTCTGGCTTCCTTGAGGTTAAAGTATTCCAGACAATGGGGGTTTGGCGACAGGAAGTTGAGGGTTTGTGTGGATGATGGAGACAACGTTTTAGTAATCCTTGCTGATCCCTTAATTTTCATGGATTTGGAGAAGCTAAATCGGGAGAGCCGTTAACTGTATGGGGAAAAGGGGTTGTGGAGTAGGAGAAAGAGGATAAAAAATGTAAAAAGCTTTTCTCACTTTATTTTAAATTTTTACATATGTATAGATAGATATATAGATATATAAATATGTCGCCTAAAGGGTAGGTAGGTATATCAAGGCTTGGGTGTAGATCGGAAGCCAATTAATATCAACCCTCCAGAGTTCGCGCTTAAGCCACGGAGCTTAGTAGCTTCATAACTGAGTGTCTAAGGGGAGTGAGTTTTGGATAAGGGTTAGAGAGGAGCTAACATAACTGTACGACTTCAGCAGTGATATACTTGCGCCGTGGGGCTTGCTTGTCAACGCTTCTCTCTCCCTTCCTCTCGTTACCCCTCCTTCGAAATAACCCTCCAAGTACCTGTCAACGTCGCGTGATAATACGATGCTAAGCTCCCTTGTAACCTCGTTACGCAAAACTCTCCTTTTCGAATGCCCCTGAGCCACAGACTCTCGAATAACGAGTTGGTTTCTTCGTTCCGAAAGCTCTCAAAGTGATTTCCCTTCACACTTTGGACAGAAGATGACGCGAATAAAACTTTAATTTATTTCTTTATGAGAAAAATTGAAAGAGTTCATTATAAATAGAGTCTACAAGACTTTTTCTGATTTTGTATATTCAAAGAAGTAATTCATTCATGTTGTTCATTTTTCAGGTGATATAGACTTTCATTTAAGTTTATTTTTACTAAAAGAGTCAGAAAGAAATAGTCATATTGAAGAAGTGAATTTTTTTTATTGGTAATATCAAAAGTAATTTTAAATTAATTGGAAGATTGATTCTTGGTAATATTTTTCTACTTTTGAATCTTGCAAATAACTTAAAGGTGTTTTTTATCTTCAGAAAAGTTAGACAGTGAATGAAAATTTATAACCTGTCTTCCATTTCTTCTCAATTAAATTAAAAGTCGAGATTTCATCGAAATTTGTTTGATAAACTTTCAACAGATGATTGATTTGATAGATAAAAAGATGAAACAGTGATTACTTTTTTGTATTATCAAGTCTCAAAGGGATGAGCCATCGATCATCAGATATAACACAAGGGAGAAGGAAGTTTGGTGAAGCTCAAAAGCTTAACGAGTATGTTATCATTGTGCTTTAACTATTTGTTCGTTAGGCTCTTCGTTACTATTACTTGTTTTCTTCATCAACTTTATTCTAGTTCTCTTACAAAATTTCCAACTCGTTTTTTTTTTTCACTATCTCTTTGAGGGAATGCAAGGATTAATTTTTAATAAACCTGAACCCTTCCAAATTCATCTCTTAAAATGCTCTGAATCCTCAATAAACATTTCCATGAAACTGGTTGTCATATTAAATGAATTCCTCGTTCTCTCTTGGTTTTATTAAAATCTCTGAAATGTTATACCATTTATTATTAAATATATCTGAAAAAAATGATGTAATAATTAAATGTCAAAAAAAGGTAACATTAAATGGTGTATTTTTAATTTTTTTCTCATCACTAATTTATTCCAGTGCCAATAAAACTCGTGCGATATTTGAATTATCAACATGAAAATTCATTAAAGAGCAATGTATACCTTATTGCAGAGACCACTTGAGAGCAATATTCCCTCTGTTCCATTTGCTTTTGAGTATCGTTCGTTTATTTTTCTTCATTTACAACTGAAAATTAATGTGGCTGTCAACTTATTTAAATTAAATCCTGATTAAAAGTGAAATAAAAAAACAATACTAACTTCATTATAATATACCATAACCCTGATCTCTTTTTGATTACTTGTCAAACATATTTTCTTATTATCAAGTTAAAATCTGTCAGTTATTTTACATGAGTTATTGAATAATAGTGGAATGTGGAAAGCAAAATGAAAAGCTCGTAATGACTTAGTCTTTTAGGAATGTGCAACATCAATCACTCAAGTATATTACAATCTGTCGTTGTCTACACCTTCTATTCTCTGTATTATTACATGATTGTATGATTGTAACTATGAGTTAAAGTTCTTAAACTCTTGCACAATGGAGAAAAAAAAAAACTATCAAGAGAACCAGTCACAAATTCCATTGGAGTCAAAACAAGATATTACAGAGGTAGAGACATCTAATGAATAGTTATTGAAGTGTTGAGCAGTTTTTTAATTTCATATCAAACACCTTGAACTCTTCTGGTCATTCTTTTACTTCTTCAATCACTGTCATCATTGTTTTAGTATTCTGAGTGCTCATTGTCGATGTTAACTAATCGATTTAAGTCGTAAAATACTGACAATCAATGCAGTTCTAGTTTTATAGTGTTATTTCTTGACTTCCTTGATGATTCTGATCTTATCGTTGAGTTGTTACGTCGACCATTGATGGCTGGTGGTTAAGATAGTGAACATTGTAATACTTTCTCTGGAAATTAAAGTTAAACACTTGAATAATTTCATGACTTTGCAAAGTATTGGAATTTTTATTGCTATGCTTTTAGATTGGAAATCTACGGAGATAAAATTTATTGGAGTTTGG